ATTAAAATAATAAAGTGAATTTATAAAATTAATTAAAGGTTTAATTCTATATTCGGATCCTAAACGGCTCCAATCCCTACCTAGTTTGTCAATTAGGCCGGATCCGGAATTATTAAAATTCCGAAGTCAAATTAGCTATTCCAATCCCTACTTAACCCGTTAGCTAGACCGGGTCCGAAATGGTTAAAATATTTTAGTTAAATTAGCTATTTTAACCCTAGCCTAGCCTATTAGCCGGGCTAGGTCCGAAACGATTAAAATTACTAAGAATAATTTAATTATTCGTTTAATAGGCTGGTTCAAACTATTAATTTATAGGGTACTCCCTAATACTAAAACTATTCTTTTTAAATACTAACTAAACGAATTTAGAATAAGGTTAAAGAGGGGCGTAATATATATAGCGTTACTACCCCGGTAGATTATAAGGAATTATTCGCTATACTACTACAAAAATTAAAATTAAAGCTTCTTTTATAAATTACCTTCCTACGTTAGATGATCGATAGGTTAAAGGGTTTAATTATTACTTCCAAATTCAATTTATTTTCCCTACCTTTTTTAAAATAGGATTTGAACCTTTTAAGAAACCTAAATCTTCGCTCTTTATTAATAGAAACAATTTTAATAAAAACTTTTATAATAATTAATCTTTAATAAATCTAAGAATTTCACTTCTTATTATTAAATATAAATATTCTTAAATATCCCTATTATATAATTTAATTATAAATAATGTTAGGGTTATAACAGCTATTAGTACCAAATTTATTCTACTAGCGGCGCGAATGTATAACCCAAAGGTAGTCTAATTCCGCTTTCCCTACCTCCCCTAATACCTATATAATTCATTAATAAATCTAATTAATAATATTAATACTAAAAATATAGCCTATCCGTTGGCGTTTAATTTAAAATTCTCCTAAATACCGTCCGTAGAGTAATACCTTTCCGAAACATATTTATAAACTAATATTAAGGTAATAACCTATTAATAAATCTAAATAATATTATTAACTTTAAAAATAAAGCCTATTATAAAATCATCCTAAATACCGCTCGAAGAATGGTATTGAAATAATTTGTAATAGAATTATAAATCCTCGGTTTAAATTAATTTTCTGATAAAAAGAAAACCCCTAAAAACGTCCTTTCTACGCTTAATATAAAAGTAAAAATATCAATCCGAACGCAATTTGTATTTTAATCTCTAATATAATTATATATATTTTTATACCTAACGAAAGTTATAGAAAAATTATAGAACCGTAGAAAGGTATTAAAATCACGCCCTAATAGTTCTCTTACAAAAAAAGGTATAAAGTAGGAATTTAAATCTATTAAAAAGGTTAAAAATAAATTATAAACTTTTAACTATTATTATCGATTAGAACCGAAAGCTAACTATTACAAATTTAAATTTATTATTATATAAATTCTATAATTTACCCTACGGAAAAATGCCTAAAAATACTTAAGCAGCTCTCTTATAACAGCTTTACAAAATTTAACCCTCTAATAAGACCCTTAGGTAGCTTTATAGTATTTAACCTTCTAGGAATACCTCCTATAGCGTATAACCTTCTAATTAAACTTTCTAAACACCTTTATATATAGTCGTATAAAATCTTATAGTGTATAATATTTTAATTAAATCTTTTAAACGCCTCTATATATAATCGTATAGGATCTTATAACGTATAACCCTCTAATTGAACTGTTTAAGCGCCTCTATATATAATTATATATAATATCCTATAGTATATAACCTTCTAACTGAACTTTCTAAACGCCTTTATATATAGTCGCATATACTACCCATAGCGTATAACCCTCTAATTAAACTTTCTAAATACCTCTATATATAATCGTATATATTACCTATAGCGTATAACCCTTTGGTTGAACTTTTTAAACGCCTCTATATATAATTGTATATATTATCCTATAGCGTATAACCTTTTAATTAAACCTTCTAAGCGCCCCTATATATAATTATATATAATACCCTATAATACATAACCCTTTAATTAAATCCTATAAACGACTTTATGAACGACCTTATATATAACCAACCCCTCTTACCTACTTTAACTAATCGTTCCTACTTTAACCGGTCGCTCTTACCCTCCCTTGTTATATACCCTACGACTGCTAATTTAGGAAAAGTATAATCCGATAATCTAAATTACAATTTTCGAATTTCTACGAAATTCATTTATATAAGAAATTTTAAAAATCGATTTACGGCTACCAAATTTAATTCCTCCGTCGTACCTTTATATTAACTTCTTCTAACCAAATTAACCGCGGCGGCTAATATATAAATAAAGTAATAAAATAATCGATTCAAATACCAGATAAATAAACTACCTTCCCCTAACCAAATTAGCCGCCGCAGCTAATATATAAATAAAATAATAAAATAATCGATTTAAATACCGATTAAATAAATCACCTTTCTCCAACTAAATTAGCTGCTATAGCTAATAATAAAATAATCAATTTAAATACCAAGTAAGTAAACTACCTTCCCCCAACTAAATTGGCCGCTGCAGCCAATAATAAAGTAATCGATTTAAATACTGGGTAAGTAAACTACTTTCCCCCAACCAAATTAGCTGCCGCAGCTAATAATAAAGTAATTGATTTAAATGCTGGATAAGTAAATTACCTTCCTCTAACTAAATTAGCCGCCGCGGCTAATATATAAATAATATAATAAAATAATCGATTTAAATATTAAGCAAATAAATTACTTTCCCTTAACTAAATTAGCCGCCGCGGCTAATATATAAATAAAGTAATAAAATAATTAATTAAATAAAGAAATTAATAAAGTAGTAAAATAATATAATAATAAAATAATAAATAAATAAAGTATAAAAATATTAAATTCGAATATAAAGAGACATTAATAGTTTATAAGTTATTTTCATAATTATACGTATTATATTAAGTAAAATGATAGTAAAATAAAAATATAAAATCGAAAATTTTATTTACTTTATTATAATATATAAAAAAAGAAATAGTTATTAATCTTTATCTATTGTTTTGAGAACCTTATAATTTTTTTCTTTTTCAGTTTCCAATATTCTTTTTCATTTTTAACTTTCTTATTTTAAAACCGTTATTTTAAGTTTTAAACCCAATAAAGTATATAATTAAATTACCCTATATACTTGTAATAATATTATAACTATAGAGAATCTAAAATTTTTTTTTATAAAATTTTATTTTCACTACCGGAAGAGGAAAATAATTATTTATCTTATTTTAACTTGGAAAAAAAATTCCTAAAGTAAAACTTTACCTACGTAAAAAAAAATAGTAATAATCAGAATCGAACCTACAACCTCAATAGTACAATACTAACGTATTCACTACTAAGTTATAAAACCGTTAATAAAAATAGTTATTTCTTTTATTTATCTACTCCTTTCCCCTCTCTTCTTTTTAAAATTTTTAATACCGTTATTTATAACGCATATACAATACGAAAATTTTTAAAAACGCGAACTTAGAATAAATTATACGTAATATTTACGTATAATATACTAATAAAAAAGGAAAATAATAGTGTTTTAAATCTTAACTATTTTAAGCAATATATATGCAACACGAACCTCACACGCCACAGCGCGCGCCACGGTGCGCGCTACATTAAGCCACGCGCGCGTAGGTCGCGTATAGGTCTCGCCCGCGCAAGCGCGGGCGGGCCCAGGTGGGCCCAGGAGGTACGTCCCTTTCATATAGCCCTAATAATCAATACCGCCATCTGCCATCTGCCCGTCGTCCCGCGGCTGGCGCCTGGGCCCCAGATCTCGAGAGAGCTTCACAAAGTACCGTTGCTACTGGCGAGTGCTGGAATGAGTACAAATGACCCTTGACGGGTAACAGTGCTACGCTGTAGGCGGGACCATGTGTCTAAATATGACTCATAGACGCCTGCATGGCGGCTTGTATCGACATGGGATTCCGAGCCAATGGTGTTGCTGAGATGCGCATCTACTTTCAACTTCTCAGAACTAGGGCTTCCCAGATGCTTTTGGTCTCATGAAGGGAGCTTGGGCCATCCAGCGTTTTGAGGAAGCTTCCACATGGAATGAATGGAGCGAGAGAACGTGTAACTGCCGGTACGTCTTCTTTGTTCTCTTTGTCCATTGTGTTCTCTCCCCGATCTGACATATTGCTGCAGATAATTGAGATTCAAGATTATCGGTATCTTATCAGTCTGCCCTATCACCATCTCTTGAATGGTGTTTTCGACCTGTGTTTACATCTTTGACGTCAACTTCAAAGCATCAAGACTCCATAAACCGACAACGACAATGGCGGCTATTCTATCCGTCGAATCTAAACCCATTTCTCAATTATCCAAATAAAACGTCGAGTGACATGACCCTGGGTCTCGACGGGCGCCATGGATCTCCACGTTTCAGGTTTATTTTGATATCTGGGCAATCAGAATCGTCCATGGGCTCCAGCCTTTAACACCGACTGCCAAGATGCTAACCACCAAAGACTAGGGTCGTGACAAGGGCAAAGGGTAGCAACGTAGCCAAGGTAGCACTGAAGGCTACAAGTTGCTCTTCTCTTTCCGGCAATCCCTCTTGGGCTTCTCCACCACAGGGTAGGTATTCGCGCCTTACACTAAAAAGTATTCACAAGAGATACGTACCTTTCTGAGCACAGCTTACACGCCTGTGTCTCCGAACATGTCTCTCATGTCGTTTTCGCGACCGCGGTCCACGCTTAACGCTAGTATTCCTATGCCCATGTTTCTCGCGCCGGCAATGGGCGTCCATCGTCCAGTCCTCTGCTGGTGCATCATGGGTCCATACTTTCCGGCCATCCATGGCCTATGATCTCGGGTTTGCTATCTGAGCATGAGGATAAGTATAACCTTGTTTCCCTCCTCTCATTGCCCCTTCTTGCTCCATATCCAAACATCAACTTCTCTCCAAGCATCTAGAGTCTCAGGAGTGTTCGGGTCAAGACCGAACCTTCAACCCTTCCTTCCTTTTCACCTCCACTCTCATACAACTTAGAATCACTACCGGAGCGGGTCTCCTTCCTATCCTTGTTTTCCAAACTAATCTTGTAATCCGTTCCTTAACTACACAATTTTCAACATGTCTACGTAAGTTGTTTACACTACCCCTGACTGCCATCAGATTCACATGCTAACAGTTGTTTGGAAATAGTCTGGCAACAGGTGTCCCTTACGAATTCACATTCCCATCGTGTGAACTTCCGGTCACTCCGCCAAGCTTTTCTTTTGGCCCATCTCTCCTTGAGCTCAACTTCAACCCTAGCCATGTTCGCTCCGTCTCCCATAGCTCATCGGTCTACTCCTTTGAGTCTTCCCCCTCAGAGTCGGTGAGCGCAACAAGCACACGAAGGACAACACCGGTCCGGAGCCGGTCACCCATCCGTACCCATGGACCCCTTCTCCTCCCCAAGATCCGCAGCCAGGACCAGGCCATCGATCCATCCGCCGTTGCTGCTCCGGCTCCCAAGCGTGCTAGGACCATGCCGGGCCCAAGAATCCCCCGGGCCCGGGCCAACACCGACAGTTTCCTCCGACCTGTACACCAGCGCAGCTACACCAACCCAGAAGCCATCTCCTTCGCGGCTCCTCTCCCCTTCACCGAGGACAACAGCGGAATTGTCTTCGCTCCAGTCAACTACGTTGCCGAGCCTTCGTCGGTGCCTCACTCTCGCAGCCGGGCTTCCTCATGCAGCCTAGACAACGTCAGCCTTGAGAGATATGGCTATCCTACCTACCGCCAGATGCCGACCTACGTGCCCTCCCAGTCTCGGACCAGTCTCAGCCCGTCGCCCACGCCGCAGCCCCAGGCCCAGTTCCCCCAGCCGGAGTCCTTCATGTACCAGTCATATGCGCCGCGCGCACCTTCGCCTCTCGCCGCCGCCGCTCCCATCACCCCTGACATGACGCCCTCGACGACACTCCTGTCTTACCTCACCTCATCGAACCCAGCTCCGTCGCTTGTCCGCACCATCTCCTTCCCCCTCCGGGATCCTCACACCAAGCACTTCTGGTGGGACGTCCGACAAATCCGGCCGTGGACCAACTTCACCGCGGCCTCCATCCTCTCCATCCCCGGCGCCTCCGCCTGCCTCTCAGTGCCCATCTCCCAAACCCTCCTCCCCACCGCCGCCGCCTCGACCCATCATCGCCACCCCGAGACCGAAGCCGCTCTGCACTCCATCTACTCGGCTCACTACCTCCCCAAGCTCAACGCCGCTCTGGCCCTCTGCTCGCAGCGCCCGCTCCAGCTCTCCGTTCCCTCCAAGAGCCCCATGGCCGCCGTCGCCACCGGTGCTTCTTCGGCATCAACAGCAACCGACAACATGTTCATCGCCAACGTAGCCGGCGAATCCGCCACCAACAGCGTAGCCGCCATCTTCGGCGGCAAGCCCACGGCGCGCGTCGTCGGGCTCGTCAAGTCCTTCGACCGCTTCAACACGGGCATGCGCGTCGAGGGCAACATCAAGCGGGTCGAGTACCTCCGCGGCCTGGCGCACCTGCACCACGTCATGCGCGAGCACGGATGTCGGTACGGCTTCATCCTGACCGAGATCGAGCTGGTGTTTGTCCGCAACGGGACCGAGAGCACGCCCCACTTTGGCTACCTCGAGGTGGGAGGTGTGCAGCTTGCTGCGACTGGTAATGACACGGCGGTGCCGGCGGATGTGAACGAGGTCCAGATGACTGCTTGCTTGGCGCTTTGGGGTCTGTGCATGCTTGCTGGTGACGAGCCCGTTCCGGGCCAGGTCCATTGGAAGAGCGAGATTGGGGCTCCTGCGGAGGGAACGAGACGGAAGGCGCTGGCGAGGGATGAGTGGATGCCGCAGCCGCAGTTGGCGGAGAAGAGAGAGGCGAAGAGGAGTCGTGGGTGGATCTGGCCTGAGGATGCGGTGGGCAGGAAGGAGTTGGGGAAGAGAGGTGTGAGGTATGGTGCTTGCTAAAGTTCAGTTGAACTTGCGGCGGCACGCGATGGTGTGGTGTGGTGTTGTGTCGAAGCTGGCATGGAATGGGAAGAGGAGCCTGGTATAAGGGGGCAGTATCGACGATCCGGCATCATCTTGATTTGATGAACAGTGAAGAAACAGGTTTTCTTCAGTTCAGTCCAACAAGTCAAGAGGGATACTCTCCCCTTTTGCTCCTTTCCGTTCGCTAATGGAGGAAAAGAAAGAACAGTACAATGGGATCAATGGAAGTCTGGCACTCCACTCCCTTCATCATCATCATCATCATCATTCTTCAACCTGGTTGTTGTCGAAGATTTTTCATTTGGCTTTTTTTTTTTTTTTCTTCTTTTTTTTTCATTCTTTTTTTCCACACGGAGTTAAAGACATTACAGGGCAGCATGGGTTTAAAATGGGTGGTTAGCATTTGCATTTTTCACCAGCATACCAATTTTCCCTTTGTTTACAATCAAAAGAACAAGAAAGAAAGAAGGGCATCTATCTACAATCCTCATACAGAGGGATGACTGGTTCATGATGATAGCTTGAGAGAGGGGCGGAGGAAATTTTTGCATATACCATATACCGTACATAGTACCATATTCATCAGATACCATACACTACTAGGCAATTATACAACAGTATAATGATGATGCCCATTCAGTGGAATCCAACATCTCGATGTCTCTTGTGTGTACTGATCTGAATACCCGGACAAGAAAAGATGTTCCCCATCAATAATAGAGGAGACGGGAAGTATGAGAGCCGAACACCCCGCTGTTCTTCCAACTACCTTGTCCCTCACACCCTCCCTTACCACCCGATTATCAAGCCCACCCGCCGGACGGACCACCACTTTTGCCAACCGAGACGCGAACTTTTTTTCCAGTTCCTCCATATGAACCGTGGGATTCCTCCGATCATCTCTATCGTCACCAACCGCTTCAACTCATAGAGGTAGACATCAGCTGCTTCAGCCTCTGGAGAACTGAAGAATCAAATCAATGCACCCCAAACGACGACCCAAACTGTCACGTTTGTCAGTTCAGTTTGTAAAGCAATCATGGCTTGTTTGTACCTAACTAACCTGCCTTTATGCTTCTTTCTATAACACTGCAACACAAAAACTATACCAACTACCTCTAACCCACCCTATCACTCCCACTTTGCTCTTTCGCTTTAGGCAAACAAAGAGCACTCACTCAACCACAAATTGGTAACAAACGCCTAGTTCTTTTTAAAATCCGCTATGGTCCCCTCAGTGTTTTAGGTAAATATACAGAGACTGCCGTGAGATCCTTTGAACCTGCAAGCAAAAAACCACCCTTCCTTATCTCGTTTAACCACTTCACCTCACCTCAACCTCAACCAACTCTGCAGACCCTGAGCAAACATCATTTAAATGCCCTTCGATCAACGTCCTCTCGTAAGCGAATACTTCGCCCATGCCTTTGCCTTCCAGGCATGCTTCCCAACTACTACTATACGCGGTAGTCGTCTCTGCTTTCCCTGTCCACCCTGTTCTTCCTCTTCACCATGAAGTTCCCCTCTATCCCGCGTCTAACGAGATCCACCACCGGCACCAGGCGTCGCCGAAGACGAACCACCACCGAGTCCACTACCGCTACTCTTCAACTTGAGCTTGATAATCTTCTTCTTTGGCTCTGCCCCATTTGTAGCAGCAGGAGTCGGATGAATCGGGGAATGGGACTCCTTGAGGGGATGCGGAGCCTTTTCGCGTTCTTGGCCGGGTGCTCCAGAGGGTAATGGTCTCCTCTCTTTTTCTCCTGATCCTGGCAGCGGTTTTCTGTCCTTTTTGATGAGGAGGCTTGAGCCGGAGGATGATACCCTGTCGCGATCTCCTCGGTCACGGTCTCGATCTCGGTCCCGATCACCACGGTCGCGATCCCTGTCTCTATCACGGTCGCGGTCACGGTCACGGTCGCGCTCCCGATCACGATCCTTGTAGCTGCTGCCGCTTTCCCGATCGCTATCGCGGTCTGCTCGATCACGGTACTTGTCGCGGATCCGCTCCCTCTCGCGGTCAGTCCTCTCGCGATCACGGTCACTCCTCTCGCGTTCCCGTTCCCGATCCCGATCGCCGCGGTTCCGTTCCCGGTCACTGTCGGTGGTGCGGCCGCCCCTGTCGCTATCGCCGCGATCGGCCTTCTCCCTGTACTTGTCACGGGGTCGGTCGCGCTCACGATCGCTATCCCGATCTCGTTCCCGATACTTGTCTTTGTCGCGCTCCTTCTCGCGGGGACGCTCACGCTCGCGATCACTATCGCGGTCCCGCTCCCTCTCCCTGTACTTCTCCTTTTCTCTCTCGGCACCACCACGGTATCGCTCCCTGTCACTGTCGCGATCCTTCTCCCGGAACTTGCTGCTGTCTTTCTCCCTGTCCCTGTCTCGTTCCCTCTCCCTCTCCCGGTCCTTACTCCGCTGCTCCTTCTCAGCATATGATCCAGACGAGCCGTATCCATTACCGGCAGGCGACTGCATCCGGCTCTTAGGGGATGAAGGCGCCGACCCGCTGCTGAATCCCACCGCGGCGCTCGACCGCTTGTGGACGGGCGTGGCAAGACTGCCGGAGATGCCGCTGGCGCTGGCGGCAAGCATTTGCTTTTCGCGCTGACTTTGTTCGTAGTCGATGCTGCGCTGGGCGCGGGCAGACAGCTTGGTCCATTTCCTAAATGGTACCGTGACGACTTTGGAGGGCCGGCCGTTGGCGTTGGGACGGACGGAGAATGAGGATGTGCGGGAAGGCGGAATCTGGGGCGCGGATTCGCGAGAAAAATGGCCCTTGATAGTTTCGATCCGAGGAGCCTCTTTCTTAAAGGACTCGCTGCGGGGAGAGTCTGTCTTGAACGAGTTATTGCGAGAAGGATCGCTCCGGAAGGAGTCGTTGTTGGTCTTGATGATCTTCTTCGGGCTGGCTCCTTCAAGTGACTCGTCACTCTTGCGCTTGATGACCGGCTTGACGATCTTTGGCTTGCCCAAGATGACAGTGCTAGGCTTTGGCGCAGCAACGTCGTTGGACTGCTGGGGTTTGGGTGCAGGCACGGGGGGGGGTGAAGCCGCTTTTGGCACAGATGTCTTGATGACAGGCTGAGCGACGGGTGGATTGGGTGCGGGAGCACTTGGAACTGATGTGGGCAAGGGAGTGCGCGGACCGGCAGTCGTAGAAGGCCGAGGAGGCACGGTCACTGCGATAGAGTCCTTCCGTACTGGTGGGGGAGCCTCTGGGGCTGGTGACTCCCTAGGTTTAGCAATGTACGATGGTCGTGATTGTAGCTTCACGATTGTCTTCTTCTCAGGCGGCTTGATCTCTACCCTGGCAGCCGACAAGTTGGTCGACGGTACCGGGGCCGATAATGGCGCCGGAGGCAGTGGAGCTTCGATCGCAACCACATCCTTACTCCTAGGAACCGTCCGGTACTCCGATTTGAATTTGATGATACATCTCTTCTTGGGCGGAGTTCCAAGGACTGGTGGTGCAGCGGCGACAATAGTCGGGTCGCGAGTGGCTTTCCATACTATGGGATACTTGATAGTAACAAGTAAAGAATCTTCCGGTTCAAACATGGCCGAGCAGAGCTCCAATAGTTGGCGCTTCTCCTGTAGGCCAATGACAGGAGAATTGAAAGCCTTCCACATAGATATTTGCATCTCCATGTTCCCCTTCAGCTCTTCTTTGAGCGCATTAAGAGCGTGGGTGATGTCCTCCCTACGCACTGCATCGAGCTTCCGTTGCTGGATCTCTGCGTCGCCTTGGTCAATGACAAGGCCTCCATCATCAAGAGCTTCAAGTTCCTGTGTCGAAGCTTTGTTCTCGCCAAACGCAATGGCAGCAATTCCCCGGCAAAAGACCTTGAACAACCGATCGCGGACGAAGGGCGAGCTATCGGTGCTCATGTATGAAAGCAGAAGCTTGAGAATAGGAGGCTTGGAGATCATTCCAAGCTCAACCAGGCACTCAAACGCCTTGATCCGGACAAGATCAATGTTGTCGTCCTGGAGGTACTGAACGAAGTCGAGGGCCGATTCAGGGATGACACGAGCCTTCATGAGCCTCATCTTGCAGTGAAGAGCCGTTGTCGTCCAGATGTTCTGATATGTTAGGGTCCATTCATCCATCCTGCGAAACTTGTCGATCTCTTCGATGGTCTTCTCAATGAAGCTTTTGAATTCCGCATCGTCGTCGTCGAAAGGGTCGAGATTTTTGATAAGATACCCCTCGGTAATCTCTTTCTGTGGGATCAAAGACGTGGTGAGAGCATCGAGGAGCTTGGCGATGTAGAACTGGTCCGAAAACTCATTCTCCGAATTGTCATTGAACAGGAGCATCTCCATGATGAACTGCCGAGCCCTCTTGGAGCATCTTCCCTTCTCCTGCAGGTCCGTCGTCCGTGCAAGCACCGCAGGAATCGCACACTGGATGGCATACTGGCCTTTGTCGGTAAAATCGTTGGGGGCGATGGGGTAGTTGTAGGCATCCTTCTTGCCGGGAATTGGTACCTTCTTGCAGAAAAACTTCCGGAAACAGAGGATGAGATGGACCATACCGATGTAGTTCAAGTCAGGATGGGCCTGCTTGGCAAGGTCCTCCAGAGCCATAACTCGGACACCATGGTAATATCTACGGTCCATCACAGTCCGCGTCTCGATCGTCGAGTGAACCGCATGCCTCTTTTCCCTCTTGAAAGCGAGCATCGCATCCTGGTGGGCCACGACGTCTCGGTCCTGCTGCAATTGTGCCAGATACATGTACTCCTGCATATCGGTCTTCATGAAGCAAAGCCACTCCATGTTGGCGTCTAGCCTGATCCATTCATATGACTCTTGATCCATCTTGGTTTGTACCTCCGGAGCCCAGTCTTGCAACCCCCAATCCTCCATGTCCTTTTGGCTGGTCAAGACATCGCCCAACATGTTAAAGTAGACAACATCGTCCTCCTGGATCTCGTGTTTGTCACTATTGCTGTTGGCAGCCGCGGCCATAGCCTTTTTGGTTCTTTTGAGACGCTTGTACTTCGTATTGTACGCGATCTGCAAATTTGTCCCACCTTTATCTTTCTCGGTAATCAGCTGGTAGTGCTCATAAGGTGTACCGTCTGCTTCGTGAATTCGGACGGTGAATGGACCAGTGAAAAGCTTAGGAACGTCGCCGGCATAGACCTGGTGAATCTCCTCTTGCAACTCCCTCCAGAATTCGTCCTTCGAGATACTTTTCTTGGTCGGTCCTTGGAATTGTAGAATTTGGATGTCGACGTTGAGATTCTTCTTGTTGAATTTTTGGTGAATATCCAGTCTCGGGCAACCCCCACCAAACACGTATTGATCCCAAAGCTCATCGGGAACGTATTGACTGCGTTTCTCGCACCATCGACGGAAGTCCTGAAAAGAGAGGGTAGTAGCCTTGGGGTCCGTGTTGGAGATATTGGCGGCCGAAACCATCTGGGACAAAACGCGGACGACACCTGTCGAGCCAGGAATCTTGGACATACGCTGATCCAAGATGTAAAGGACAAGTGGGGCCTTGAGCGCCATAAACTCGAGCTCAAAGTCGCCGAGGTGAAGGTAATCGCCCAGAGCATGCAATGAGGGTCTCCTCACATCCGCCTCGACAAGCTTGTCGGAAAGCGACTTGATATGGAAACGATACCAGTTGTTTCCGCAGATGGTCCTCATGAAAAGATCTGTCATGAACCACTGGAGACCAATGATAAGCCAAGTGTCGGACCGCTCATTTGGCACGATGTGCACCCCCACGTACTGACTGGCGAGGGCATGGACGAGCTTCCTGGTAACCTCAATATCCGTATCTATGATTGTTTCGGGGTACAGCAAACGCGTACTGCACAAGGATAAGGAGTTTGCAACCGCCGTGTCGTGAACCAAGTCTTCGACAAAGCACATCTTGTAGGCTTCATAAGGATAACGGCCGAACTCGGGGGCGAAAAAGTCGGCAGCAGCCACGACGGCTTGGCATGTCCACCGAACTTCCTCGACACGGCCGGGGAGGCAATAGCCGTGGATTCTGGCTGCATTAGCCCCGAGCTTCTCATCCGCCTCCTCAGTTCTAAACTCTGCCCCGAGATCGACGTGCTCAAAGGGGCCAACGGCGAAACCGATGTGCCTAGCAGCGGTGTTAACGCACTCAAAAATCATGGTCTTCTTGTGCTCATCCGTGGGGTGCATCTGCTCGCCAGTAAGATTGCCAGAGCAGACCACGGTAATCTCCCTTAGCTTGTCCTCTTCGGTGAAAGATGAGCCTGGCTGGTGTGTGGAAATTTCCGAGGCTTTGCGTTTTCGACTGGCATCCAGAGAAGTTGACAGTGCTGATTGGGTAGCCAAAGGCTGTGCGAAGGCATCCCCCAGCGTCCTGGGGCATGTGATTTTGATTGTCCATGAATGCCTAGAGCCGGGATCATCGAGGCAAGGGAAGATGCAAGACGCCGTACCAGGCTCAAGCGAATGCCGAGTGTAAACGTGTGGGTATCTCAGGTCACCTTCCTCAACGCCGACAAAGTGCAGGCCATCTCTAATCGTCTTGGACCTGAAGGGCACAACCACCGTGATTTCCTCATTCGGGTCTGACAGGCCTGTCGCGTTGTCCGATACCGACTTGGCGGTTTTGAGCTTGAGAATGCGTTTCGGCTCAGCGTCCTGGATAAGAGCGTCCGGGCGGAGACGAATCCTGAGGGACCCATCAGCCGGCACACTGATGTTAAGCTGTTCTGCCCTTTCCACGATGGGAGCCTGGCGGCGTGTCTCTGGCAGTAGTGGCGCCATCCATTTCTTCATTATGTGATGCTGAGTGGCACCGATTTGAGCATTCGTGGGAGGCTCCATTCGATCGTATGGATCATGAGCCTGCGCCCGTGTCTTGTAGCCGTCCACCGTGATGTTTGCGACGTCGATTTCGCATTGCCGCGTGTCCAGGACGAGTTCCTCAAGGTCGGGAACCAAGGGATAGATCTTGAATGTGCAAATGCCGCTGACGCTCTTCTCCCTGAAGTTGATGTCTAGCTCCACCTCTTGCCTCAGTATGGCGTACGGCTCGGCAGCGGCAACAGGGTCGGGGGCGTTCGTCATATTGGCGAGAGCCAGATCTCCGTTCTCGAGTCCTAACATTTTGGAGGTTGCTGTGTGGCCACTGAGGCCGACAAGATGATGGACGCAGTGGCTTGGTAAAAGTAGAGCGTCGCTCGTGTGATCGGGGGGACGTCGTGGAAAGTCGAGGAGAGCGGAGAGCCGAAGGAGAGGGCGATGTGGAGGTCGGTTTCAAGGGAAAGTGAACTTGCAAGAGCTCGACCTGGCAAAGCTTAGACAGGCCGACAACGCTCACTCGGTCATGGCAAGAGGTGGCGCATGGAAGCGACCCCGCGGAATCGAAGTTAACTCGGCTGCAATGGACTTTGCGGACTGACGTATAGAGGTAGCTTGTTAGAGCCAAGGCCGGTCGGTGGTCACAGGCGCAACGGGTTGGACGCTACCTTTGATGATCGGGATTGTATTATTTTGTTAAACTATGACTGCGCGATACGGCGGGGCTGAGTTGCGCGAGGGCAGGAGTTGAGGTTCGCCGGTGCAGCACAGAGGATGCTATTCTGCGAGGAGGAAGTTGAACGACCGTTGGAGAGCTGCGTGGCGGGCGAATTTGACCGGGCAAATGAAGGGCGTATAGGACTGGACAGACTGCGGGATGCGGCGCGGGGCAAATCGTCGTAAATCGTGGACATACGTCGCAAGGCCGATGGGTGGTTCTGGTGGGAGTTCTGGTGCTGACAGAGAAAGAGCAAAGCAAAAGGCGACCGGACCTGTCGTTCAAAGCTTCCTTCCAGAGTCCCGTCGCGGGTTGGAGTTTCCAGAGTCGCAATCAGTCAGGCACCTACAGGTACGGGTGGAGGTACCTTTCAATTCAGTACAATAGCAGCAGTCGCGACTACACCAACACGACCACTGGACATTCACGCCCATTCACCAGACGTGCGTGCGTCTAGAGGATGACTGGTGGACTGGATTGTCCGTATTACAAAAATCCACTGCACTGCAGCAAACCTGAAATAAAAGAAATCGGAATCCGGACCAGAGTTGGAGGTCCTGGAGATGGTAGACGTGTGGTTGCGGACACGGGTCAGAGGTACCTTTTTACCGCGTTGCGACAAATGTTACGGACCTGGTCACTGCTTGCCTGCCCTCGACGACCGTTGCTGCTTTGGTGCAGGAGCACCTGAAACGTCGTCGAGCCAGTGCCGGAGTTTTGCCGCGCCGAACTGCGATGTTTTGTCTTTTGAGGTTCGGTCTTGGCATGCGCTCGGCGTCCGTGTGGGTCACCAGTGGGTCTGGGCGCCCTCGACCAGATTCGACTCTTTGATTGGTCAGTGTTCAATGCGCTCGTGGCCCCCCGCAATGTTCCATCCTCCAAGCTGCCGATGATGTCGTCACATGGCGGTGAGCTCGGTGTTGAAACCGACCGATATCAACAAGGTTTCAAGGTCAAGATAACAAAATTGGCGGTTTTTTGTGTTACAAATAGGGAAGACTACGCTTAGAAAATAAACAAAACAAACTATTATCCTTGCAATTCTCCTGCCGAGTCTCCAACTCAAGGTCATCTCATCAAACTCTCAAAGTGGTTATGCCGTGCTATCGTTTCTTTGAAAGAAGTAATGATGTGTATCATGATGATATGAAGAGTGTAGAGACCAAACTAAAGCATGCCGGGCTAATTCCTACATTGGGAATACCCAGAACCCAAACACCAAATTAACACGAACACCAGACTGCCCGGCTATCAAGTAAATAAACACCATGGCTTGTTATCCCTGAATGACCACCAAACGCCAGCCGAGAACACTCTCGATGCCCAGAGAAGAAAAAAAGAAAAGTGTGACATGTTCAATGTTTCCCCCTCTTGTCCCTACGCTTTCTTCTTGCGTGGGATTTCAGCGTCTCCTCATCCAGGATATCCTGTGGGAGCGCAAATTCTCCTTCATCACCATCGGGTACCGGCTGACCCCAGGCCAACACGTTTCTGCCCCTTCGCCTGTTCTTGTTGAGCGCAGCGTCTCGCTGATATGGCTTCTTGAAGAACGAGGTAAACTCTTTGTATGGTTCGGGCTCTGGTTCGGGCGGTGGCGGAGGAGGGGCTGGACGTTTGCCCTTTTTGGACGGCTTCTTCTTCGCCGCGGCGATTGCCTCTTCACGGAGCTGCTTTGCAATGGACGCTTCGACATCGCTCTCGTCTGGTGGGTCGCCGTCAGATTCGCCCGTGTCTTGTTCTCGATCCTCCATTTCCTCATCACTGTCAGCAATAACCCTTTGCTTGGCCGCATCTTCATCTTTTCGATGATCCTTAAGTTCAACTTTATGCTTTGCATCCTCGTGCTTACGCTTTCCGTTCTTCGCTCCGCCCTGCGGCTTGTTGGCCTTTCCGCCTTTACCGCCCTTTCCGCCGCTGTCGGCATTGGTTGTCCGGTCCTTTTTCCGTTTTCTGCGCTTCTCTTCGGCCGCCCATCTTTTGAACTTTTCCAGGATGGCTTGGCAGCCTTTGATAAAGTGCTCTCGGGCCGGCTCGAACTGCTTCTTACGACCTTCTGTGATCCCACTAACGCCCATTACCCGCAGCCAGTCATGGCCCTGCAAGGCATCCAGCAGTCGGATGATCTGGTCCTTCTCATGTTGAGCTCGTCCCTTTTCCGAGTTCCGTATTGAGCGTTCCAAACGTTCCGCCTTTTTGTGGGCTGTTTCGTAGAGTGAATCCGGCAACGGGTCATCCTTCAGTGCTGCTTTCCCCTTGTGTTGGGTTTCCAGAAAGCTGAAATTGATGGTCTGGGAATCGTAGAGATCCGTAAACAAGGCATCACCGTAGCCTCGGATGGGATAGGATTCGATCGGACGAGGCTGGAAGCCGCCCGGCTGTGTAGGAGTAGCGACTGAGGTGGACTCAGTCGTCACAGGGAGACTGGTGCTGCAAATAACGATTGGGGTGTCGAGGTTCAGGAGATCTATTAGAGAACCAATTGGCGTTAGTGATTGCTCGGCGAGCTATGCTGATGACCGGTGTGTCCAAGACCAAGTCGCCCAGGGTTGGAAAAAAAGGGGGTGGGTGGTGTTGTGACTTACGCTGTTCCTTGGGGTCATTGCCGATTACCTCATCATAGTCGGGAAAGTAGGCGGCCAATTCGCTCTTGAAGCGAGTGCCTTCTTGCGATCGTAATTTGCGACCGCCCTCCTTGATGGTATCGGCAGCATTTGGGTTCAGCCTGCTCAATTCGTGCTTCAAGCCATTGACGACTTTTTCTTGGTGTCGTGTAAGGCCTGATGGTTGTTTTGTGCTAGTTGTGCTGGGTTTTGCAGCAGTGGTGGGAGGGGCACGCGAGGGATTTGGGGGCTTTGGTGCCGCAGTGACAGTGACGACAGGCTTCGGGTTAGGGGCTGGCGTCGGGGGCTTCGCGTCGCGCGATTCAATCGAGGTCGATTGACGAAATGACGGCCGAGCAGGTATCTCGACGGCAAACTCGTATCTCGCCTTTTTGGGAGCAACGGGATCACATTCTCGGGCAGCGGCGGGCTCAAGCGATCGCTTGTTGCGTTGATGGGTGGTTGTGGTGGCGGCGTTCTGCTTGATTGGGGATGGGGATTGTTCGGACTTTGCGTTCGCGAGCGGGTGTTGGTTGTGGTTCTGCGGTGACGAGTGCGACCGGTAGGTGACAGTGTTGCTCGAATGCGGATGACGCAGACCTTCAGCTCGTCTCGAGCGGGTCACGGATGTGCTCGTAGCCATTTGAGAGCAAGCCCTTCATGGTGCGAACAACATGTGCCGCGATACTGGTCGAGGTTGAGAAGTGCACAATTGATCGAGTTCAGTTCGTTGTGGTTGAATTTGCTGTGGCCAGCTGCACCTCTGCTCTTGCCCGGGCTTTGCTTCTTTTTTTTTTCGGGTCGGGTCGAGTGAACCATGGGCGGGCAGCACAGCCTGGATGGGAAGAGTGGAAGATGCACTGTCCGCTGTGCCTTCCTTGCCCGGTGCGATGCGTTTGGCTGCGAGAGGGTGCTTGTAGCCCTGAAAAATAGGGCAGGTTTTACGGGTGCGGTGGAAATCACAGGCGGTCCCGACACAGAGCAGCCTTTTCCCCCTTTCACTCTCCAACCCGACCTGGAAGTGGCGGGTGTGCAGCTCGTTCATCCCGTCTTCAGGCTGTCTCGGTCATTTGCTCAATTGGCATTCGCACACTTGCTTCTGCTCATCTCCTCGGTCATGAGGCTTCCAGTCGAAGCGGTGTCGAGTCTTTGTGAGTTATTGGCTTTTACCGCAATTCAGCTTAGACCGACTTGGCTTCTTGGACGGCTCAATGACTGGAAGGGATGGAGTTCACTGCGCGATCTTGTCTCCTTTTCAGCTCCAGTCCCCTTGTAGGTGGCAGTCAAGGGCATGTAACTATACGGCTTTCAATGATTTGAGAAGAATTGAGGTTGGATACAAAATGATCCCCTCCTCGACGACGTCAGTAACGGCCCGGCCCCGGTCTTCGAAATGATGCGCAACCGGGGTTTTAAAGTGCACACAGCACACTGATCCACTGGAGACGACAGTGGCCCACCATCACCACGAGGAAACATGCAAGCCAACACGATTAGAGTTAGTGATCTACCTCCTGTACCTGGGCTGACCCAGCTCATTAGCAGGTACCATGCTATCGGTAACAGGAGCGGACAACATCGTCCCTTCAGAAGTGGTGAAAAGGCATCGAGACTCGTTTCCTCGAATCCACCACGACCAAACTACTGATCTTCACTCCACGATGATATGGAGGATACACTGGTAACAACACACATTCCACACACATCGACTTTCATCTTATCATATGCTGCTCGCACATATGAACATAGGCAGCAAAGGCCACATTGTCGGGTCCCTTCCAAATGTGGAAGGCGATGACACCGTCGGGAATACCACGGTAAGCACCTCAGAACACATGTCCGTCGTGTCTATCACTTTTCAACATTGAGATATGAAAAGTCTACAACTGCTTGAACTGAGCTTCGTCTTCTCTCTCGTATGTACTCTTGGCCCAATACTCGGCCATCAGAATGTCCAACGTCACTCTCACTGATGCCAAAGAACTAGAGACTTGGCTTTGGTCAGTTCGCTATGCCATCTCTGCCTTGTTCATCGTCCTGCTCCCAGGACGGCTGTATCAACTTCAACAACGACCAGTCAATGTCAGGTCCAACTCGCGCCAGTATCTCAAATTGGTATTTTCCCTTTTCAGTGGCTTGCCTAGATTTGGAGAAAGTGGCAGAGTACTCACACTTTCGTTAGGTCATAACGACTTTGTTCTTCGTCCAACAACTTTTTACGGCGTATGTCCTGATATCGAAATCCGCGGTCACTAGTCCGGTTCTAGTAGCACTGCTTTCGGTATGGCCAGCCGGTGCTAATTCGCTACGCCATCGAATATGTACAATCCCCGGAAACCAACGAGGACAAAGGTTATCTATTAGTGTTCATTGCCGCCATCGTCTACATTGGTCTTGCAGTAGGTCAAGTATTTGTCTATTGACCTGTGTAACTGACACTAACATTTCCGTAGCTGTCAACTAGGGCTTACCAACAGGGCTTAAACCGACTACAGGTCATGATTAGAGGTGCCCTGCTTGGGTTGGTCCATGAACACTCGTTGCTCGCTCGTCATGAGCCATACAGAAAAGGGAAGACAGTGGCCATTGCATCAACAGACGTGAGCGCCCTTGAAGGTGCCCCAAGAATGCTACATGAGTCTTGGGCCTTGTTAGTCGAGGTGGTTATTGGAAGCGTCCTGCTGGCCAAGCAAGTTGGATGGCTATGGCCGGTGCCTCATGTTATCATCATCGGTGAGTCTGCTTATCTAAAGTTAGATGTGAAGTAGTGGTGCTGGTCACTTACCTCTCTGTGGCAGTGTGCTCTCGAGTTAGCAGGTATGTCGCTCGCAATCTCAAAAGTAGCCAGGCTACGTGGAATACTGCAGCACAAGGACGGATCTCCGCGACTTCTACGATGCTGAGCTCCGTCAAAACCATCAAAATGTTAGGCCTTCAAAGCGTCGTTGGGAAACACATACTTGGGTTGAGAGAAGAAGAGCTCAACAAAGCGACGCGTGTTCGCTGGATCATGGCGATATACAATGCTAGTGGTATGTCCTCAGTAACCATACTATCCCTCCAGTCCGCCATCAAAATTTCTCCCGTTTCTAACAATTCATCAGCCAACGCCCTGGGCATGTTCGCCCCAGTCGTCACCATCGTCCTCTTCGCCATCATTGCCACAGCAAACGGGACCACTCTCGACACCAAAACAGCCTGCCCGACGATTGCCGTCCTCGCCTTAGTGACGCACTCAGCAAACATGGTCATGACCATCATTCCCCAAGCGATAGCGGCCTATGCGAGCTTTGACCGGATTGAGGATTACATCAAGTCCCAAAAGGCACCTGCAATCAGCCGCTCCCCTCGCCCTGGGCAGCTAGCCGAAGGGACCGAGGTGTCCATCCACGGCTTGACCGTACAGTGGACTCCAGAAGGCAACCCGACTTTGGAGGACGTCAACATCGAGCTCTCACGGGGTAAAGTAGTTGCTTGTGGTATTATGGCGTGCTTCATTCTTCTTATTTTGCCTCCCGGCCGTTCTACAACGTCCGTTTTGGGAAGGAGCTAACCATGATCCCACAGAGACGAAGTGTTCCTTCCTCAGGAAGGACCAAACACAAGTGAGATGCTGTCGAGCGTTCCTTCCTTTGGGAAGGATGGAAAAATCTGCTGCTGTTGCTGCTGCTGGCGCTGCTGGATCTTTTACCCTCCTTCTTGGTTGCTCTCAGCTTTGCATCTATTCTCTCAGCAGCGCCAACAGCAGCAACAGCAGCAACCATGGTAGCGACAACGAGAGCAAAGGCGGCTGTAGCTATGAGCAGCTACGACGACGACCCCTCAGAGGCCACCTCCCATGACGATGTATCAGACACTAGCGACGAGGACGACTTGTCGGACATGGACATCAGCGACGAGGACGACTTGTCGGACATGGACTTCAGCGATGACAACGACGAAGATACCAGCCCTGAGTCACATACCAGCCCTGAGTCACTGTATACTTTTAAAGCATACGGCGCCTATTCTACCATGGCTGCTGGCCGCAAATTGCAAATTTCTTAAGCGTTGCCTTCGGTACAGAAACTGGTTGAAACTATGTTGAGCTTAGAGTTACAATGGGCACCCGGGTTTTGTTCATTACTCAACGCTCCCAATCCTCCCAAGTTGAATACACAGCCCCCTCCAACTCCCACCACGCCTGACTCCCACGCCGACCCTACTCCTGCCGCTGGCTCTGCCCCTCCTACCGCCGGCCCTGGCCCCTCCGATGTTGTCTCTGTCGCGGACGATAACGAGCCCGAGCCCAGCCCCTCTGATCGCAAGGGCAAGAGCAAGAGCACGAAGAAGGAGGAGGAGAACAAGCATCGCGGTGTCCTTCCTTCGATTCGCGTCAATGCCCTTACATCCTTACCTGAGTTCTCATCCCACGACAACTATGCTTGGGCAGTTTACCTTTTGATCCTCCAATGCGACGGACAATTACCCTTAGTTTATGTTGGTTCGGGCACACACAGGGCAATAGGCGTACACCACAGGTTCAACAACTATAGCCAAGGGGAGGGTTTTTCGAGGTATACCGTCGCAGCCATCGCAAAAGGCTACACCCTCACCCATAAAAAAATATTGGTAAAAACACCATGTCCATTACCAGCTCGTCTCTTCAACCCAGCTCGCGCCCTATTCCATATCCTGGAGGCTGCTATATCATTCAGCCTATATGCCTACAAAAACAGAGGCATCGTCGACCCTACGCTTACAACTACCCAATGGGCTTCGTTAATCCCATACGGAGGATTATGTTCCCATCCGGCTTGGAGCGAAGGTTTGAAATTACCCTCAGTATATTCGTCTGGCCTCGTAGGAGCCGAACTCGAAGCCGCCATACGTCTCACAGAGGAACGTGCTAGGGAAGCCAAAGCCCAATACAAGAAAGAGAAGTGGGCGGCATATACCGATGAACAGAAAGCGGAAATATACGCCAACCGAAGAGTACATCGCCAATACCTGAAGGAATTCGACCCAGCAGGGTATACAGAGCTTCTCGCGCAAGACAGAGCATTTCAGCGTGATGCTCAAGGTTCTAGGGAGAGAAGGGCTAGGATTAAACAAGACCCAATCAGACACAAAGCATATAAGGAGAAAGAGAAGGCCAGGTATCGGAGGCGGCGGCTTCAAATGCTTGCAAAAGATAAGGCGATCAGGGCGGATTCCGTTACACATGCTCAACACAAGGCGAAGAAAAGGGCTGAACACGAGGCGAAGATGGACAGACTCAAGGAGGACCCCGCGGCACACGCTGCATACAGAGCGAGGAAGGCTGAGGCGGCCAAGAGATATAAAGACAAGAAGAAGATGGAGAAGGAGAAGATACAGGAATGATGGTTTGGTTGATTATGGAATGGAGAAGTGTGGATCGTATTGTTGATATGAGTGGTTGTGTGTTACGTCTTCCTTTTCTTTCTTATTCTTTTGTTTTTTTCTTTTTCCTTTTTCCTTTGTGTCCTCTTTTGGGATTTGAGCCCGTCGAGTCTTTTGCCAGTCATGGCCAACAACACCACAACAACATCAATATCAACTCCATCGGCATCAGCTACCTCCTAGTATTCTCCAACGCCGGGCCCTGAACATCCTGCTAATGGTAGTTTGTACGGCATCGTATTCCTTCTTCATCACTTTCCCCCAGTACTGGGTCAAGTGGTGGACTCAGAATGACGAGCTCGATTCGTCCAGCAAGAGAGGCACTCTCTTCTACGCGCTAGGCTATGCCCTCCTATACCTGATGGCTTGGATATCTACGAATGGCACGATGCTGTCGACTGTCTTTCGAATTGCGCCGACGTCCGGGTTGGCTCATCATCGGAGTCTTTTGCACACCATCATGCACGCACCTCTCCTCTACTTCTCCGCGGCAGACACAAGCGTTCTCCTGAACTATTTCAGCCAAGACATACAGCTTGTGGACAAAACGCTTGCGCCAGCTGTCATGGCCTTCGCCACTCAAGTGTTCAAGATGATCGTGCAAGCGTCTCTGCTATTGGCTGCTCAACCCATCATGGCCGTCACCCTTCCCATCTGTGCCGCCGTCGTGTACGCAATCTACAAGGTTTACCTGCGCACTTCGCGCCAGCTCCGGCTCCTTGAGCTCGAGAGTCGGGCGGCTGTGAACTCGTCTCTCCTGGAAACCGTCCAGGGTATCGAGACAATCCGGGCATTTGGCTGGCAAACCGAAGTCGCGGTGGAAAACATCCATGTCGTCGACCTAAGCCAGCGTCCTTTTTACCTGTTGCTCTGTCTTAACAGGTGGCTCAACGTCGTTCTCGATCTTCTCGTTGCGGGTGTAGCCGTCGGCACGATTCTTCTCGCGGTCAGCTTGAAGGGCACGGTGACAGGAGGCCAGGTTGGCGTGGCCCTTTCGGTCATTATCGTTGCCAATGCCACTCTCCTGAGCTTGGTGCATTCGTGGACGAACCTGGAGGTCTCCCTCGGGGCTATCTCGCGGTTGAAGAGCGTAGAGGAAGATACACCACAAGAGCCGGTCTCCATCCCCTGGCCTGGCCACATTAGTCCAAACCCCAGACCCTTTACCGGATGGCCCTCACCTTATCTTTATGGTAGCCGGCCCGGACTAATTCGGTTTGAAGGAGTCTCTGCATCATATACGAGCAATGGCCCCTTGGAATTCCAGGATTTCAACCTCGAAATTGCCTCTGGCCAAGTGGTTGTCATATGCGGACGGACAGGAAGCGGGAAAAGTTCCATACTCCTTGCGATGCTTCGCCTCATTAATATCCGCGACGGGACACTCTGCATAGAGAACCAGGACATTCGTCAAGCCCCTCTGCATATCGTCCGGGAAACGGCCTTTATCACAGTTACCCAGGACCCGTTCCACTTGCCTGACGCACCCCTCCGCTTCAACCTTGACCCAACATGCCTACCCCCCGACGACTCGCTGATATCAGTCCTTCAAATGCTCGATTATGGTCCCATCTTCCGTCATCGTCGTCATCGTCCTTCTCCTCCTTCTCCTCCTCCAACAGTCACCCAGAACCAGAACTCCCACCGCCGTCAAAAAACCACCACCACCACCACCACCACCACTCATCAACGAAACCACTCCCCTCCTCCTCGACAACAACAACACCAACACCATGACCAGCCCCAACACCACGAATCCCTCTCCAAACTCTCACCACCCAATCCTCGACCTCCCCCTCTCCCACCTCCCCACCCTCTCGACCGGCCACCTCCAACTCCTCTCCCTCTGCCGCGCCATCATCAAAGCCCGACACATGCGCATCACAGCCCAAGCCGCCGCAGACGAAGAATACAGACGCGATATGGCCGGTGATCCAGATTTCTGCTCATCTGCTTCTTCCGCACCAGGTTTCCGTAACCCAGATCTCGTGCAGCCGATTCTTTTGCTAGATGAAATCACAGCTTCGTTAGATGAGAAAACAGAACAAAAAGTGCTAGAGGTGCTAAAAAGGGAGTTTGTAGAGAATAAATATACGGTTTTGATGGTCACGCATAGGTTGGAGGCGGTCAGGGGGGCTTTGTTAAGGGGGAGGGTGGGGGATTTGGTGGTGAGTATGGAGGGGGGGAGGGTAGTGGGGGTTGAGAAGGTGGGCGACGGCGTTAGGGAGGAAGGTTAAGGGTAGGAAGTAGCGATGTTCACTCTCGTCAGACTCTCAGAGGGCTGAGAGGGAGAGATTCGGGTGGAAGAGATCGCATGGAGGGGGCAATGGCTGTGTAGGGTGGGCGGTCCTGCTTGCTTGAGCTCGGTTTATTCTTGTCAGCACAAAATGTGGAAAGAACGATCGATGGGTGATGTTGCTTTGGATTTTGGACGTTTTGGGTTCATCTCCATCCGAGGAAGGTACATCCAAGATATTTTCACAGAGCGTTTCGATTATTAGAATGGGATTGCTATTCTGCACCTTCCTGTTGTTGCCCAGTCACAACGGCAGGGGGAAGAAGGCAGTCGCAAGCCGAGCTGTCATGGTCAGGCAATGGTCAGAATTGGACCATACTGGGTCTTTCCCACCATATTCTTCCCGTTCTTCTCCTCGCCACTGCATCGTCATCGATCCCTTCGACAAGTTTACCTCTTTCCCGACCCCCTCACCATTTTCCTTTCCCCGTCAAACGCAATTCGAACCAAAGTCGAATACACTCATTCAGATTAGACGTTGTACTTCCCAAATCCGTGCGACTTTTCACATTTTACTTATACCTAACTTTCATCCATCACGCAGCTCAACATCGATCGATCCATCACGCGCCCAAGTCGAAACCATCAAAGTAGCGTAACGTAGCAGCCCGTCAACCTATTGCGGCGCGTCTAGAAAAGCTCCGGAGAATGCCAAATGACAAAAACCTTAACCGAACGGCAAGCATGTTATGTAACCAAACCAGGGTCTCATAACGCGAGGGAGAGAAGAAGCAAACACGGCCCGGGACAACAACATACGGTATGGGTTCAAAGTACAAGCGCATGTTCGGTATGTATAATAACTTCCCTGTCCCGCCCTGTCCCGCCCTGTCCCGACCGACTGTTTGGGACCTACCGCTTCTTTCTTTTTTCTCGAAAGATTCTTTGAGTGTCAGAAGTGCTATGTAGGGAGGCCTGTTGCATTCCCTATGTTTAATACCTACCGACCGATTGCTCTTTGGTAATACCTAGTTCTTTTCTGCGTTCGAACGAGGTCTTTGTCTGTCTGCCGACACAGTCTTTTTGATTAGGAAGAGGGCAAGTTCCGCTTCTTATGTCACATCATGCAGGCTGCATTTGGTGGTTGCCTGTATCCCTTTCGTTTAAGGATGATTTTTCTTGTCGGGCTGGCCCGGGGTTTGGGTTCAGTTGTTTGTTGGTTGAACACTGATGTTCCAAAAAAGATATCACTGCCATCGATCTAGTGATTGATCCCCTCCGGTTTTTGTTCTTACGGACTTAACCCGAAAGTTGACTGATCGACTTGACCGACCGACCGACCGTCGAGTCTTTTGCCAGTCATGGCCAACAACACCACATCAACATCAACATCAACTCGATCGGCATCAGCTACCTCATCCGCCGCCGCACACTCAGTTACATCTACCTCTCCCCCAAGCAGCAATGGCACAAACACCCTCTACCACGACGGCGACATCGCCTTCCTCATCCTCTGCACCGCCCTGGTTCTGCTCATGATCCCCGGCGTCGGCTTCTTCTACTCCGGTCTCTCACGACGCAAATCCGCCCTCTCCCTAATCTTCACCTCCATCCTCGCCTGCGCCGTCACCTCGATCCAGTGGTTCATCTGGGGTTTCTCCCTCTCCTTTTCTCGCAACGTCGCATCCTCGGGTTTCATCGGCACCTTATCCAACGCTTTTTTTATTGGTATTCTCGACCAACCCCTTGTCGAGAATCCGCACAAGATCCCCGATTTGCTTTTTGCTCTCTACCAGAGCTTGTTCAGCGCCATCGCCGTGGTCCTGGCCGCCGGCGCCGCGGCCGAGAGGGGCCGCCTCTTGCCCTGCGCAGTGTTCATGTTCGTCTGGGTCACTCTTGTTTATGATCCCGTCGCGTGCTGGACGTGGAACCCCCATGGGCAGGGCGGCTGGGCTTATGCCATGGGCGTCCTGGATTTCGCCGGCGGCACCCCTGTCCACGTGGTGGGCGGGTGCGCAAGCCTGGCGTATTCGATGGTGCTGGGCAAGAGAAGGGGGCATGGCACGCACGAGCTGAATTATAGACCGCATAATGTGGCCAGTGTCGTCATTGGGACCGTTTTCATGTGGGTCGGGTGGTTCGGGTTCAACGCCGGGAGCGCGCTGGCGGCGAATCTGAGGGCCGTGGTAGCGGCGGCGACGACGAACCTGGCAGCGTGTGTTGGGGGAATAACGTGGTGCGTGCTGGATTGGAGGTTAGAGAGGAAATGGTCGGCTGTTGGGTTTTGTTCAGGGGTGGTGGCTGGGTTGATTGCTATTACGCCGGGGAGTGGTGAGTTTTTCCCCCCTTCTTTCTTTTTTCTTTCTCTTGAGAGAAGGACTATGTTTTACTGACGAGTGACGATTTAGGATACGTCCCCGTCTGGGCAGCCGTCCCGTTCGGTATCCTCGGAGCCGGGCTGGCCAACTACGGCACCAAGATCAAGTTCCTCTGCAACATTGACGACGCCCTCGACACCTTTGCCGTCCACGCTGTTGCCGGCCTGGTCGGCAACATCCTCACCGGCATCTTTGCGTCCAAAGACATCACCCACCTAGACGGCGTCACGAACATTGACGGCGGCTGGCTCGACCACAACTGGAAGCAGATTATCTTCCAGCTAGCAGGCTCGTTCGCTGGCGGAGTATACTCCTTTGTCATGACGGCTCTGATTGTGTTCGCACTGGACCACATCCCGGGCCTCAGCCTGAGGGTGTCGGAGGCGGCAGAGGTGATGGGCATAGATGATTCCGAGATTGGCGAGTTTGCGTACGACTACGTGGAACTGATGAGGGAAGTGGGCATTGATGGGGGAGGAGCAGGAAGCATCATGGATGGCGTCGGCGAGACGGGGAGTATGTTCTCGAATACGCAGCTGAGACAGCAGCCGCAGCAGGTTGCGAGGAGTGCGAGTCCTACGGCGGCGGCTGGTGCAACAAGGGTATTCACAAGAGAGGATACGAAGGATTCGGGGGTTGTGTTTGGTGGTGGACAGACTTCGTTTTATCAGTAACCGTTCTGGAGTTTTGGAACTGAAAATGAGAGTGGATCTGTGACTTGGTGTTTTGAAATGGGCAGCTTTTTGGTTGTGGGAAGGGAGTCATAATCTTTGTCATCTCCAACTGGACATATTTCATTTGTATCTACCTAAACACTGATAATGTTAATCATGACGATAAGACCCCCTTCTGCTTCAATGACCGATGGAAGTCCTCGCTGTCACCGTGATGAACACCTGCAGCTTTCCTGTCCGGTCGTTGTCCGCATCGTTCCTTCCTCACCTTTCCACCACCCACGTGCGGATGTCCCTTCCTCCTTCCTCTTTGACCTCCCCCCGCCCCCTCCCCCAATCTCCCAAGACCGATAACCTAACACGTCCCACTACTTCCCAATCTAGCAAGTACTCCCATTGCCCGCAAATAAGTACCACTTGCCTTCTCCATTCCCAACAGTAGCAGTCCCGGTTAAGAATTGAAGTCGCTCATGGTGCAGCGGTATGAAGCGTCGGCATGTGCAAGTTATCTCCCTCCCCAGCTCCACGTTCAATTCCCAATGGAACCTCACTCGTTCTATATACGGTTGAGCATTCGACGGACAACCTCAACGTTCGCATGATGAATACGTATCGTTTCACAGAAGGAACCTGTGTATACCATATATATGGGAACCGATGACTGGAAAATCTTTCGATCTGACTTCCGAGAGCGTTTGGAAGTTGTCTGTCTGTCTGTTTGACTTTGTTCGGCGAGAAAGATGCAAATGAGGACGGGAGTGCTGATGATCAATGGTGTTTTCCAGATCTTCCAACTCCGGTTTTTTTTTTTTTTTTTTTTTTTTTTTTTTTTTTTTTTTGTGGCCTGGACTTGTTGATCTGCCTATGCACCTATCCATCGGATAATATGTTTTGGTTCTTTTGTGTGTGTCTGAGGCATGGAAGAATATAATGGGTGCGTGGAGGACTCCCGTCGGTGATAGTGCGAGGTGCATTAATGTTTCTGAATGTTGTGTTTGTTGGTCATCAGCCACACAACAACTGGGCGAACTTCACTCGCCCTTTTTAGGTGAATCAAAACGGTGATTCGCACCACCAAACTAAATGGGTGATATTTGGAAGCTGATAAAGAAGTAAGTTAAAGAATTATTGGGTGATGTTAGGAAAATAATTAGTCTAGAGGATGAATACAGTGAGTGGGAGGTGGGAGGACAATGGAAGTGGGAGAAGGGGGATGGATGATGGCGAAGGTATCGGAAAAAGAGAAAGCTGAATGGAAATATAGGCACTACATTGCAATCAGATCTTGAACAATCACAGGGATTGTAGTATAGTGGTCAGTACTTCTCGTTGTGGTCGATTCGACATACAACGAATCCGAGAGGACCCCGGTTCGATTCCGGGCAATCCCATCTTTTTTTCGCTTTTTTCTTTTCGTGTTTGTTGTCCCCGTGCCTTCTTCTGTTTATCTTTTCTCTTTTCTGGCGTTTTTTTTTTTTTTCTTTTTTTTTTTTTGGTCATGAGATCGTTCTAAGATGAGAAAAACTGATGTTCGGAAGTCTGGAGAAGAGAACGGCGGTGATGGTGGTCGTAGTAAGTGCTATCCGTTGTGATCCAAATGAATGCAACGGAATGACAGCGATGACTAGGTATGGACGCACAAGAGGCTGAAGGAAAAAAAAAAAGTCAACATCAGGATCATATCGGCAGTGGACTCTCGTAAACACCACTCACAAAGTCACAAAGAATACTGTAGGTACATAAGACGGATCGATCATAGACAGCATACATGTTCTCGTTGTCAAACGGTACCATAACATTACACCACCGCCAACCTATCTATCCACAAGACCATTCTATCTCTTATGCTTGTAACTAAGAGTTAGGTATAATATATACATACGATAGTACATTTGGCAGGAGTTTGTCCAAACCTGCTTTGGTATGTTATACAATGCTTTTGCGCACTTCTCTCTTCTCCCATCCTTTTGAAGCGCGCGCCTCCCTCCCAAGGTAACCCCTATGTAGTATATAGTCGAAGAATAAGATAAAAATGGTATAAAGTCCTCTTGGACAAGAAGGGAAATAGCAGCCCCAAAATGCTATGCAATCAGAATCCAAAAATAATGCTTGCTTCTTCCCTTCCCCCCCAAAAACCGCGATATCTCAAAACACCACCCTACCCAACCCCATCTGTATCCCCCTCTCCCATCCTTCCCTCAGCTTTCTATAGTCATAGCCATGGTCACCTTTATACCTTATCTTCTGCCTTACTGCTGCTGCTGTTCCTTTCTTATCACAAACAAGTTCAGTCTCCTAAGCCCTGACCTCCGTAGCGCCCGCAAAGCTCTTGAACCGCTCTTCAAAAACCTTGACCCTCTCCTCCTCCATCATCTTCTGCAGCTTCCTGGTCTGGCGAACCGCCTCCTCGCGCTCCTCCTGGAGAGTCATGACCTCGATCTGGGCCATGTTCATACGGCTGACGACTTCCTGCATTTCCGAGTCGGCAGCCATCAGGGCGCCTTCGAGCTGGGCAACGCGGGCCTTGAGGATGGTCACATCCTCGGCCATGTTACCCTCGGCTGCAGCCGACGAAAGGACTCCAGAAGCCCGCGGCCGGAGGTAGGTCGAGGCATGCGAACTAGAATAGAAGGAAGAAGATGATGAAAGTAAAAAAGGGCTCGACATGCGAGTGGTACGGGGTGTGGCATCGCTCTTGCTCGCCAGGCTCATACTAAACATGGGGCTGAGGGGGGACTTGGGCGGGAACGAACGCGGGGGAAGACCACGCATGGCGGCCGCCGAGCCCGCGGGCTCGCGGAGACGCAGGAGGTGGATGTTATGACTTTCCTTAAGCGTCTGCAGCTCTTCCTCGTGACGGTTCACGCGCTCTTCAGCGTTGGTTTGCGCGGCAATCACCTGTTCCTCGAGCTCCCTTAGGCGCTTTTGGAGACTGGCAATGCGCTCCGTGCTTACGCGCTGGTTAGCCTCACCGCGAGCGACGGTATCGGCCAGCCGGGCGCGGAGTGTAGCGTTGATGGCGAGCTGAACGCGCACCTGCTGTGCGAGTTCCTCGACGCGGCGGGCTGAGTCAGACAATTGCTCAGCTAGAGTGAGCTCGGCGTCAATGTGTTGCTTTTCCGACTCCCGGAGGGATTCGAGCTCAGCAAGCTGGGCAACGTTGTCCTCGCGAGCCATATCACGCTCCGTCACAACAGTTGAGAGAGAGTGCTCAAGACGAGCAATGGCAAGCTGCATTGCCTCGTTAGAGGCAGTGCTGTCCTCGAGGTCCTTGATACGGACGAGAGCTTCACTGTAGGTGGCTTGCAAGTCTGCATAAGCCCTCTCCAAGGACGCCGAGGACACGGGAACGAGAGCGTCTTCGTTGCTGTAATTGGACATGTAGCTGCTGCGAGCAAAGCCCTCAGGAATGAGAATGTCCTTCTCCCTGAGAAGGCTACGCAAGGAGGTGATTTCCTGCTCGGCACGGTCAAGATTCATCTTGAGGCCACCAAGACCCTTCTCGACCTCCCACTTCTGGTCAATGGCTTCCTCAGCCCGGCGGCGCAGAACGGCAATTTCGTCGCGAAGGGTGGCCACCTCCTTTTCGTATCCACCCCGAGGCGAAGACGAGAGAAGACGGTCACGCTCCTGCTCGAGAAGCTTGATTTTCTTGGCGTTCTCGCGATTCTGGAACTCCTGTCTCTCAAGAAGACTGCGAAGAGCACTGTGCAGTGCGTCGCGCTGTGCCTCAACGTCCTTCAGTCTGTCGGCCAGGACCTCCGTACGGGGCTCAGCCGCCGCAAGATGCTTTGTAGTGTTTGACCGGGCAAGGGACATGGGGCGGCCACCTCTCTTAATAGAGCTGCTATTTGTGCCCGCAACGGAGGTCGAGCGTGAAAGGACCATTGACATGCGGGTTCCTGTTTGTTTGAGTTCATTGTTCTCCGACTTCAAAGTGCGAAGTTCCTGCTCCAACTTGCGCAGCTCGGTGTTCTCAAAACGGAGTGCCTCGAGCTCTTGTTGAAGGTCGTCGATCTCCGCGCTCTCGGTCCTCAGTGACTGAAGTTCGTTCTGCTGGCTGCTGAGCTGAGCATTTGCTGACTTGAGCAGTTGAACCTCCTCGTGCAACTTGCTGCACTCGCTGTGTTCGAGCTTGATGGCGTGAAGCTCTTCCTGTAGCCTTTCGACATCCGAGTTTCCAGACCTCAGTGCTTGGAGCTCTTCTTGCAGCCTATCGCACCCTGTGTGTTCAGCTCGGAACTGCTCAAACTCATCTTGCAGTTTGGCGAAGTCCGTGTTTCCGGACTTCAGGTGTTCGTACTCCTCGCGGTACTTGCCAAGCTCGGCGTTTTCAGCCTTCAAGAGATCGACCTCCTCCTGGATCTTACCAAGCTCCTCGTTTTCCGTCTTGAGAGATTGGACCTCTTGCTGCAGCCTGGTCGCATCATAAGCGAGCTTCTCGTTTTCTGCAACTTCCGTCTCTAAGCCTTCGACACGTGCGCGGAGTTGAGGGACAATTTCGTCGCGTAGGTTGTCTCGCTCGTTCGACGCGTTTTCCAGCTCGCCCTTGACGGCACTGAGGAGATCTTCTAGGTTCTCCCTCGTCTGGCTCTCTTCGGAAAGCCTTCGTCGCAAATCGTCGCATGTGGCTTCGAGCTCCTTGAGCCTGTCACTGGTTTCCTCGTTTTGAACTTTGGCAACATCAATCATCGATGCCCGCTTTGAAAGTTCCTGGATCTGCTCGTCGAGGGCACGGCGCCTAATCCGCTCATCTTGCAGCTTGGTGGTAAGCTCAAGTCTGATTTGCGCTCGTTCCTGCTCCGCTTTGCGCTTGACCAGCGTGATCTCCTCCTTGGCTTGATCATCGTCACTAAATTTTGATGAACTGTGTCCCGAGTCGGAAAAGTAATCGCTTGTTCTTTTCCCAGATGCGTTGGGGTTGCCGTTGTTAACCTGTTCCTGTAGCTTGTCCACCAGGTCCTCCAAGTCCATCTCACGCCGAATGGATGCAGCCAACTCGGCGCCGATGGCTCTCAGTTCGTCCTCCATTTCGTCGATCTGATACTGCGATGTCTCACTGGGCGGTGGTGTTTGTAGGTAGTCTTCGAGCCTCTCGGTTTTCGCATTGGTATGACTAGGTGTCCTGAGCAGGCGTGGGGATTCATCTGCGTGAATTGATCGTCTCAAAGAATAAGGAGACGGGGACGGGATGGGCGAGATGTCTTCTTTGTCCTCCGAGAACTCGGTTGTGGAAGATTGTGGCGTGGTGGCCCAGTTGCCATAGAAGTTGGCGTCCAATTGGGACGAAGCTGGTGATTTTGGCAAAGGTTGCCTAAGATTATTGCTCTCTCCAGGGGTTGCAACGAGCGGAAAGGCCCGTTGTCGATGTTCACTATCTTCTGCTGGCGCAAGATTTAGATGTGGAGGGGGAGACTTTCGAGAAGACAGCGACATGGTACTGGGCTTAACAATGGGATTGCGCCCGTCATGTGTCTCTTGCGAGAAAGTATTAGTCGTCGCGGTGGCGTTGGTATAGGGAGCCGCAACCTCGTCGTTGTGGTCCAATGGCCGAGTGGTCACACCAAGACTGCCGGCGCTTAGATGCCGGTCTGGTGACACTGACAATGGACGCCCTGTCTCAGCCGACGCGATTATCGGGCTCTCCTCCAAAGTCTTTGTGGACTGCAGGTCGCCGGTATTATAGAAATCGGGACCTTGATGTTGTACAGAATGATCGGACACGGTGCTTGTTCTACATGGAAGAGTTGCAGGTCAGTTTATGGATCACCCGCATTTAGCCTGCCTAGACGAGATGACCTGAACCAGACTCTCGGGTATATAAGGACTTACGACCGTTGGTTGTTGCTGTTATACTCGGGATTCGCCGGCAAATCGGAAGCGTGGGCAGCAGAAGGACGAGGAGGATTAAGCGGAGGACCAAACTTGGCGGGGAATTCGTACAGAGTAGGGCTATCCAAAGAACACGATCTCGAGAACCGGGACTCGGGACGGGGCAGATCGCGGATGATGTCAAGATAGTTCCTTCCCGGAGACGAGAAGCGGGTAGCCAAGGGCGAAGCCGAAGATGATAACGGCTTGCGCTTGATGGGGGCCGGGGTGTAAGCGAGGCTTTGGGACCGGCCTTTGCTGGGACTCGGGGTCGGACGTTGGTGGTCGATGGTAGGCAGTGGAGGGAACTGATGGTCCGTCTCCAGTTGGTCCAGTGTTTCCTCTGTTTCGTCTGATGTCGAAGGTCCGAGCCCGTGTGGCGGGAGAAGGGACGGCAGCTGTGGGTATTTGTTTGAGAAACGTGGTGGTGTTCTATCGGACGGCACAGCAGGGGCAGCACCAACAGGCTCGACGACGGCTGAACGTGCAGGAGGCGGGGAGGAATTAAGGAGAGTGGTAGCCTCGTTCGTGTCGAGCTGTGGATGGTGATGTTGTTGTTCCTGGTGTTGTTGTTCTTGGTATTGTTGTTCTTGGTATTGTTGTTGTTGTTGTTGTTGTTGTTGTTGTTGTTGTTGTTGTTGTTGTTGTTGTTGTTCAAGAGCAGGGCCAGAATCGAACCCTCTCTCGTCAGGGGAAGAAGGGACGAAAGTAGCCATAATGGTGGCTGAGGCTAGGGCAGCGGTAGTATATGAAGAAACGAAATGACCTCAAGTCAACTAAGGTAAGGGTGCGATGCTAAGTGTGGTATCTGCTGCAACGTGAACGACGGTAGTGGCGTTTGGTGGTCTAGAGAGGTCGCTAGAGATGGTCTCCTCGGCTGGTCTGGGTAACGGGCCTTGAGGTCGAAATTCGAAACCGAATCTACAACGGGGACCTGATCATCCTCATCATGGGCTTCGATTGGATGTGGTTGATTGGGGACTGGACAATTAATTGCCGGACAGTCAATCACTTCCCTTCTCAACTATAAAAAGGGCTGAAAGGGAAAGGTCGCAGAAAGGGAGAGAGCGAGACGCGGAAGTGAGTGAGACCTTTGACCTGGAAGTGACAACAAGAGAATGACAAGGCTCCGGGGTCTATGGGGTCTGGTGTGTAATCTTTGACGGAAGGAGTGGAGGGAAACAATTTAACAGCAAGCGAGTAAACGAATTGAAAATTGGTTATTGGGACTGGAGGATTTGGCCGATTCAAAAGGGGGCAACTTCCCTCGCTCTTGTTTTCTGAAAACTGAAAACAGTTGACGCCGGCTCTTCCTTCTCTCTTCATTTGGGTCAAGAGGAAGTGGAATTGGAAAGTGGGATGGCGCAACAAACGCCCCAAATGCAACCTCCACTGTGTTGTTTCCCACCTGGCAGTGCCGGCTCCCAGTGGTCCTCCAGCGCTCCTCGGTGGAATCGCCCCCAAAACCGCTTCTTTCCATTGGGCAAGGCCGTTTCGTACCTTGCAGATTGGCCCTGGCAAGAACGCACGACCCTCTCCCTCATCAGTTCTCCAATCACCACGTCTTGTCAGGGGTTTCCATTGTCCATTCAGCCCATTGTCCTTTTATTAATGACCTTGAATGCATCCATTCTTGCAAAGGGGCTGTTTCTTGTTTGTCAGCTCGACTTGTCTTCTGGTTTGTGAGCATTGACAAACCACAAGTTGCGCATTTGCGAATCATATGAGCCATGAACCTCTGAAGAAAACAAAAAAGACCTCGAGAATGAGTTGATGCTGAAGGCAACCAGGGTGACCAAGACAATTTCCCGTAGTGCAAAACGGAATGGCGTCAAAGGCGGGAACTTGTCAAGTCCCGGAAGCGCCCATGCTTTTGTCATGATTAAGATGGGGTAAACCAATAAAAGCATTGGCAGGGGTTTGAAGTTCTAGCCTGAAGATAGGGTCGTCCTTCGTTTTCGGTCTCGTTTTTCTCACTTGTCTCCAATCTTGATGAAAGCCGGCGTGAGCTCATGTTGAACTAGTGTAGTGTACCCAATGGAATTGGACCGTTGACAACTTCCAACCACCGCTGTGCGGCGCTTCTCAAGACATGACGAGAACGGAAAGAAGACATGGCATGCGGTGTTACAACGGGAGCACGGAAGGCACGAGTTCTCCAGCCTTTCATGAGGTAATGAGGACACGAAAGAGTTCCACAAGGCCGTTCCATCCGGCGGCCACCGCGATCTCGGTCACAGCGGCGCGAAGTCGATCTCGCACCATCTGATCGTGATGGTGTGCGTGGAAGCGCCGGCCTCTTTTCCACATGGCCGGCCGGTCATCCGAAAAAGAAAAACCCAACGGGAGTTGTGCGACTTTTTGCGCATCAGGGAAGCGCCCACTTGCGACTATGTAACCCACTACGTATGCATGCAACCGTCCGAAAAGTCATTGTTGACAACAACAAGGAGACAGAGTTTTCTTGCTTCATTGTGTCTTTTGATGATTGTTGTTGACATGGTCTTTAAATGAATTCGGGAGAAGTGACTGCTCAAACCATGAGAGACTACTCCATCAGTTCGTCACTGGATCGGTCTCCGAAACATGTTTCTTTCTCCAGTGAAGGTTCACCAAGCTATATCCTTGTTAACTCATATAGACACCTGATCAGTTCCGAGATATTCGTAACGTTTCGCAATAGTCTTGTCGATTATCAGAGCCAAGAATTGCTCTTTGTTCCCAAGATTCCTGGCCAACCTATCACTTTCGACTTACCCTCAACCGCATAGCTTGAGGGGTTGGACCCCATGTGTTCAACGCTTAACAAGAATCTTCCCCTCAACGTCTCCCCTAGACTTCCTCTTCAACCCCTTCCCACTCTTTTTCATGCTCGTATTTTGGTCCCGTCTTCGTGGATGTAGCCTAGAGTGACTGGAACGTTACTCCCGGGCCGGAGAGTCCGCAATGGTGAATACGCTATGTCGTGATGATTGAAAGAGGTCCCTTCAGAACCCAGTCGGGCGGAGAGATGATCGGTCTTGTCACTTGCGGGTGAAGCCCGTACAGTCAGGTTCAGCAGACCCGACGGCGTGAATATCTTGGATGATCTGACAGGGCGGGTCAAAAACGTCGGTTGAATAGGCATCCGGGAGAAATCATTAGAGGGAAGACTCTTTGCGAGGTACACTTGGATGTGTGTGTTGCTGCCGGCATCTTGACTGTTGAGGGCGTTGAAAATTTGGACATGCTTGCTTATAAGTTGGTCCGCGGCCCAGCTTCGGATAGTCGGGAGGTCGGGGTATGTGGCCTGGGGTGCTAAGAGGTAAATAAATAAGTATCACCGGGGTAATCACCACTTGGAGAATCATCACCATTCACCCCAAACGTGGTAGCGCGAGTAATCAGGCGTCGACTATACCGCTGCGGGAAGAAGCTCTTGAGATTCGTCTTGATTGGCACCAAGTTTCCAGAACTAGGTAGAGGTTACATACTGCCTGGCAGCATTTCCGTGCTTGCTAGCAAGCTTCACCATAGCATATAGCCTCATCGGCTGTACTTGGTAGAATTCGTATGAAGATGAGTTAATGTCTCACGAACCGGCACCGCAACACTTGGTGACGTTTTCGAATCTCGATGCTTGCCCCTGGCCGCAGATAAGGCCCCCCACTTCTCCACTTTGAGGATCACCGTGTAAGATGCTGTGATTGGCCAGCGAACCCCTGAACGCGGGAAGGCTCTCACCTGAAGCTGTCGTTTCTGCCATGGCGTGTTAAGCATTTGCCCCTAAACCCAGGCAAAACACTATCATGGTCAGCGGCGCAACCGCAAGGCAACCCAAACCAGGAAGCACATGAACCAGCTCCCCGTTCTCAACCCTGAATGACAACACTCGATCATATCTCGTTACAAAACGATACTAGCTTCGACATAGCACTTTGATCTACACGCATATCCCGCAACACCTTCTTCTGAGCTTCTCGTCGCTTGACTTTAGTTCCTCCGCTTCCCGGTTCCAGCGGTATCGTCCGATTGTTCGTCACTGTTCCCGTCGGCTATCGTGCAATCCTCGAATCCGATCCAGGATAACATCAAAACAGCTACTCGTCAGGCTCGACCCTTCTCTCTACAGCACACGCACATCTACAAGCACATTACGTTCGACGGGAGACAGCAACCAAGCCCGCCTCTCGCCGATTGCATGCTTCGCGGCTCTAGCTAGCCTCGCTCAATGGTGGCTAGGTCACCGCCCACGCCATACACACCAACCTAGGCCCCGACGAGTTGCGAAGCGCATCGAATGAATGCAACCTCTAAACCCATTCCTCAGCGCTTTCGCCAAGAGCCCTTATCTCGCCCAGTGCTCGCCCCCTCAGCAGCACATTCTCCTTGTCCCGACCACCGATGTCATCCTTGACTCCCGCGACACCGAGACGGGCGCGCCCTTGTCAGCTTCCGTAGCCTCCGACGAGTTCATCGGGAGCCATGTTCTGCGCATCCTTCCGCCCAAGGGGGGGCCTGGCGCCGGAGCCAAGGAACCTGCCCAGAATCTTCGTGAAATGAAGGGCAAACCCAAGCTGTACAGCACCATCAATGGCAGGACCATTGTCATCAAGGACAACTATGTCTACAGCAACAAGGGTACCGAGCGCCTCCCACAAGATTTTAGAAAAGCTGTGAATATGTCGCTAACTATTCTCGGTAATAACAGGATTCAGAGCCTTGGCCCAAGCCAACCTTCTTCACGACGCCCTTTGGTACCCTGATACTCTCGAGCTCAAGCAGTTTCTGGTCTACTTCATATCGCGCCCGCTGGTCGGATCATGGGAAGAAGTCAACATCACCCCGGCTCTATTGCCGCCCGATCCGAGCACCCGACCCAAACCTATAGCAGCTGTGTCGGACGCACCCAAAAAGAAGGACATCAGGAGCTTCCACGAACTCCTCAATCACTTCCCCGCCATTGCAAGGCAGATGCAAAACGGTCTCGAGAAGCTGTTCCGCGAATTCACCCTTGTAGTCGAACGACCGCTACCGCCACCTCCTTCCGCCACCGTCATCCCTGACCCAGAACCCATCAATGGCCCCATTACACACGCGGTTCGAAACGTACGATCGAACAGTACGGGAAGTATCAGCTTCACGAGGAATCCAGACTTGACCGAGAGCATATACAGCCAGGATGATGAGGACATCATGAGGGTGGCATTGGAGACCGCTGTAACATCAGCCATTGACCTTTTCCAAAATGTCGATAAGCAACAATTGTCTCTGCTGGGCGCAACTACCGACTTGACTGGGCCGGTTGTCGAACGTATGATTGAACGTTATGTGACGGAAAACGTACACTACATGTTGTTCCCCCGCTTGACGACGCTTCGACGGCCGGATGATCTCGAGCTGGAGGCCAAGATTCGACAGATGGACAACATTGATATCTCCCAGCTGGGAATTGTTATGGACGGTGGGTCGCGAGCAAAGCGCCATCTCATCTCGAGACTGGGGCGTGCGGTGGATGAGTTCCGAAAAATGACAAACGCTAGCTGTCCTCAGGAGATGATGGAAATTCTTCTTTCGACTGCCAAGGCAGCAACGCAGCTCGCCCTACCCGAGCCTCCACAAACGTCGGGACCGGCTTCGGAGAAGCCCATTCTGACCATCAACGCCGATACTCTAGTGTCTCTGCTGTTGTACGTTGTCATCAAAGCTCAGATCAAGCATCTCCAGGCGCGTCTGAGCTATATTCGACACTTCATCTTCATTGATGATGTTGATAGTGGCGAGATCGGCTATGCGCTCAGCACCTTCGAGGCTGTTTTGGCCTATCTTGACCGTGAGTCCGGCGGGCTACGGAGAGCTAGTCGTCGGAACAGAGCCCTTTGGGACGCGGTATCAAAAGGCGACATGGTCGAGCTAAAGAAGATTATGGAACCAGAAACATATGCCAGCGATGACGCTCATTATGCAGTTGAATCTCGGCCCTCTTCACGCAGGGCATCGGGAAACGACTGGAATTTTGCAAATGGGGGTTCAAGTCTGTCTTCAACGACCTTCTCTGTATCCGAGCGTTTCTCTGAAGGTTCTGGTCTCAGTCATGTATTTCCATTCCAGGACGGAGCAACTGACGATATCGATATCGATCCTTTCGAGGCCGAACCATTGCCTCTGCCAAAGAAAGTCAAAAGGGTATCAATGGACACTCGAAGTTTGTCAATGTCGAGTAGCTCGGAAATCTCGTTCAGATCTAGGTCAGCAAGCATCGCCACGGCATGGACGGGTGGAGTTGAAGGCGACACTAGTATTGAACGCCTCGCCCAGACCACAGATGCACTTGGGGAGTCAGTACCAATGATGGCCATCCAAAACGGTCGTGTTGAGGTCTTGGAGTACCTCTTGTCACTGAGCCAGTACTTTCCTGCCCATGTCCTGCTGGAAGATCAAAACAACGCCGGCACAACCTTGATGAGCGCTGCTGTCCAGTTAGGTGAAGCCAAAGTCATCAACATGCTGCTGAACTTGTTCCTCGAGTCAACGCCGCGCGATCAACTTGCAGAATATCTCGCCATACAAGATACATGGGGTCGTAGTGCTGCGCATTACCTCTTTCACGCACCCTTTCTAATAAAGCTCATAGGCGAAATGCTACCCTGGCGGCAGAAGGACAAAAACGGACAAACGCCGTTATTCGCATTATGTCGGTCGTATGATCATGCCAACTACTCTATCATGGTGGAGGAAGGCCTTGATTTTGCTACGAGAACTCAGGGTGATGGTCAACCTCTGCATCTGGATGATCATGTTGATGCCAAGGGCAACACCCTTCTCCATATCATCAACGACCCGAAGCTGGCTTTACGAATCCTGCAACATTGCGATGTTGACGTCAATGCAACAAACGAAAAGAGGTTTACCCCCTTGATGTTGGCCAGCAAGTATGGACGTTTTGATATGGTGCGGGTACTCTTCGGAGATCCTCGCGTCGATGTTGCGGCCAGGGAGCTTCGAGGCTTGACAGCCGTAGAACTGGCCAAAGATGACGAAGTCCGCAACAAGATCGACGACCTCACCTTGTTCTCGCTCATACCAGGCTCCGACTCGCGCACAACGGGTGTGGTACGATCCTACTTCGTGGAGGATACGTCCATCCGCTTTGTCTTGAAGTCGGGGGCACCGGTCGATCGGTATAGCTATGCCGTGACGACGTGCCGTCGATCTTTGACAGATTTTGAGCACCTTGTTAAGTTGCTAGAGATAGAGAACCCTTCATCATGGATACCGTCTCTGTCGGATGTGCGGTCGCCGACACAGATTCTCTCCAGACCAAGCCGAGCGGTGCTCAAGGATCTCCAGATTCGGATGGATTGGTTCTTGCGGGTGCTCCTGGCGCATCCTACGTTTGCTACTCACGAGATGCTTTGGGAGTTCTTCCTGGTGCCTGACTTGCAGCTTGACATGATGGCCGAACGGAGTAGGCTCAAAGCGGAAGCGCTAACGGAGAAAATCCACGACGAGATGGAGCCTGTCATAGACCTAAGGGAGGTTGAGCAGTTTGTCGACCACGCTCGTGATATCGTCAGGAGCGTGCACTTTTCTACGAGGAGCGTGGCCCGGAGGGCGAACGTGGTTGGGAATGTTGCCATGGGTAAGTTATATATTATATCACCATTTCATAGTCCTCTCCACCCGAAGGAAGCCCTTACTAATAATGCCACCCCAACCAGATCTCTACGACGCCTCCCAACTCCTCCACCGCGCTCTCACCACCTTCCCCTTCCTCCCGCCCTCCCACCTAACCGCCATGGAACTCTACGTCCGCGCCCTCGCCCCGCCCCAAAACTCGCCAACAAACCTCTTCTTCAACGCCTTCCTGACCCTCTACTCCAACGTCGAAGCCATCCTCCGCGCCCTCGCCAAACCGCCGCGAACCATCGCTAAGATCGTCTCCATTCGCCGCGAGGCCGAGCGCAACTACAACTCGCTCAACCGGTCGTCGCGTTGGCCGCTCGGTCTCCTGGACGAGACAAGACAGCGGATGAACGAGGAGAGAGAGGAAAAGGCCAAGAACGCGGAGCGCGAGGCCGAGATGCTCGGAAGAGAGCTAAGGTACGCGCAGCAGACGGTGGCGGGCGAGCTGGCGGGGTGGAGGGATATGCATGAGAAGATGGGACGAAGGGCGATTAGGGAGTTGGCGAGGGGGATGCTGACATTGGAGAGGGGGAGGATGGAGGGGCTGAAGAGGGCGTTGAGGAAGGTGAAGGGGGTTGACGCGGGGGATTTGTCGGGTTTAAGGGAGAGTGTTGTTGTTGTTGATGGGAATGGTGTTGCTGGGGGGAGTAGTAGTGGTGGTCACGGTGGGAACAATGGATACGGAAATGGGAATGGAAATGGAAACGGGAGAGGTGTACCCGGTAAAGGAGTTCCTGTCGGTGTTGGAAAAGCCCCGGCGACGATAGCTGCCAGTACGGTGGTTGCGACGGGGAGACCGGTCGATGGGGACGAGAGCTTGATTCTTTCTGGTGTAAACGGCGGGACTGGGACACAATCAGACGCTGCCGGAGGTCCTTCTACTTCTACCTTAGCACCTTAGATAAAGTGGTGTAGAGACTTCAGCACCGCGGTAGTGGAAAATGGCGTTGAGGGGCATTTCCAATCTCATCATGTTGGCTATGAAACATGTTTTCTTTCTTTCCATGATTCAAGGTGTGTTTTTCAAATGTCTTCCAGCCAAAAAGAAGAAAGGTATATCATATCCGCCGACAAGCAAGAAGCAACCAAAACCAAATATTGCGCTTTTACCTAGGAACTAAAGGGTATCTATCACCTCTATCAACAAATGTGGAAACGCCCCAAGTAACCAACTCCAAACCCCCGAAAAGTAGGTGTACCAATCCTTGCCCACACCGCAGTCCTCACTGAGGCATTGGAACTATGGTACTCAAGAGAAAACCATCTCTCCCAAGCCCCTCTCTTTCATGGCTTCTTGCACAGAAGCCTTGATTACCTCTACCGCCTCTGGCCAGGTATATTTCACTTTGGCTGTCATCTTGCCTTTCTTCTTCTCACTTATCGTTTCTCCTGTCTCATCGTCACCGTCAACACCACCTCGATTATTCCCCTCTTCCACTCCGTCCACTCCATCTACTCCGTCCACCCCATCCCTATTCCCATCTCCCTCTCCCTCCCCCTCTCCCCCACCCTCAACGCACCACTCCAACCACTTAACCAACCCCCTAACCTTCTCCATATCCCTCTCCAACGTAACCACCTTGAATAGATACTCCTCCAACACCTCCATGTCAACCTTACTCGGCCCCCCCTGCTCCCCTTCCGTCGACACGTACCACGACCGAATCATCCTCCTCACCGCCGCCGTGTCCGTGACCTTCATCTGCCCCCCACCCGCAGGCAAGTCCGCGGATTTGAAGGTCGCTTTGGAAGGGGGACCGGGCCAGTGGATCCGCCGTGGGTCGCGGTTCGTGCGGCCCCAGTTTGGTGGGGGGCCGAAGAGAGGGTGGTGGTGACGGCCGGCGGGGGGTGGTGGTGGGAATTGCCGGTCATCGTGGATTATTGAATTTGGGTTCTGGTTGTTGGGGAACTGGAGCTGAGGGTTGTTGTTGTTGTTGTTGTTATTGTTGTTGTTGTTGTTGTTGTTGTTGTTGTTGTTGTTGTTGTTGTTGTTGTTGTTGTTGTTGTTGTTGTTGTTGTTGTTGTTGTTGTTGTTGTTGTTGTTGTTGTTGTTGTTGTTGTTGTTGTTGTTTCCGGCCTGTCCTCGTCGGAGGAGGAGGTAATGCTTGGCTGATTCAACGTCTACCGCGATCAGATTGACATGTCGACTATGATGCTCTTGCTGCTCCCGAGCATGAGCAGCAGCTGCCTCTTGAGCCTGCCGCTCAAGCTGCCGGCGTTGGCGGGCGTGGTCTTCGATTACCTCGCGCCGGACGTCTTCAGGGAGTTCGGACAGGAAGTCGGGGTCTAGTGGAGGAAGGTCGATTTCAACCGAAGGTTGTCGGGAATAATCGCCGGGACCCTGACCCTGACCCTGACCCTGACCCTGACCCTGACCCTGGTTTGGTGGGCGGGCTGCAGTGATTAGGGACGCTTGGCGGAGACCGGCTTTGAGGTCACGCTCCTTCTCCTTGAGATAAGCTGGAGGACGACCGCGGCTGCGCTTGGTGGGCGTGCGGAGACGGTCGACGGGGCGGTTGATGATTCGGTCTTTGCGGGGAGATTGCGGGAGAAGGGTTTGCCCACCACCGCCGCCACCTCCCCCTTGAGGCTGTGGCTGGCGGCTTGGACCTGCTTGTGCTGCTGTGTTGCGGCGGTAGGAAGCGAGGACTTCGGCTTGCATTTCTGGCGGGAGAGCGTTGAACACTTCAAGGTCAATGTCGGGTGGGATTTCTGCATGGTTTGGAAGGGCTTTCCTGCTGACCGGTTGAGGAGGCTTGGAATCTGTGCGTCTGTTGGGTTGTGCCTTCATTTGGTCTAGTATCTTGGACCGAATTTCCTCTGGCAACTCAGCCAACACAGATGGGTCGAGCTGAGAAGGCATGATAAACTGAGTTCCTCTGACGTTGAGCGGCGTCTTGGCCTTCTCATCTGCCTCGCCAGCCCTTGCGAGATGCAATGCTGGGTGGCCCTTCGGTTTTCGAGGTGTGAGGGGGTCAGCGGTGATAGGATCCTTCTCGTCATGTGCCGAAGACCTATGTTTTCCCGGACTCTGAGGCTCATCATCATCAATGGCCTCAGCCTTCCGCTTCTTCGCCGAGGATATCGCTGCTGCACCAAAACTCAATTTCTTTTGGCTTCCCTGTGGTGCAGCAGACGGCTTTAGGGGTTCCAGCTTGGTCATCTGGACCCCCAACCCACGAAGGTCACCCGGGCTGAACTTGTACGAGCGCAGAATTGCAACGGCTTCCTTTCCGATCACCTCTCCACTGTTGGTCGCAACGCCAAAGGACACGCTCTTGTTGAAGGTATCACATTTGCCGTGACCGAGATGTTTTGGTGGGTCAAGAGGAGCATCAGCCGCTCGTCTCATGATCTTCATGGTCAGATGCTTCCCCTTGACGCCCTCATTCAATAACCGACGCTCCAGTTCCTGTGACAGGTTCCTCACGAACTCCTCTGCCTCCTCTTGGTTGATGAAGCGGATGCCCCAGTTTACATCGGCCGACACTGACTTTCGGATCGGTTGCTCCCCAACTTCAGCCCTGTCAATACCCCGCGAGTACTCCCACAGCTTTTCTCCTGTTTTCGGGCCTAATGCCGAGACGAGTTTCTCCTTGCTGATCTGCCGTATGTCTTTGACGAACTTGATGCCAAGCTCTTCGAGTTTTGCACCAATACTGTACGCAACGCCTGGTAGGTCCTCCATCTTGAGCTCGCCGAGGAAATCCAACACTTCTTCCGGCTTGATTTGGTATTGTCCAGCAGGCTTGGCTTTGCGAAGGGCAACCTTGGCCAGCAAGATGTTAGCACCGATGCCAACAGAAACATGACAATCCGTCTTCTCCTTGATGCGTTCCCGAAGCTTCAAAGCCATCTGATCTACTTTCTTCTGTTCCCTCCAGACGCTTCCTTCGCTGATGCCAACGCCCTTGGACCCAGCTTCGGCCATGACGATGTCAGTGACATCGATGAGTGCCTCGTCGATACTGACACTCTGAACGACCCCGCCAATTTCGAGGATAGCATCGTAAAACTGCCGACTGGCTTCCTCGTATCCAGGAAAATCATAAGGTAAGATCTTCAGATCTGGACAGAGCTCCAGGGCGCGCTTCATCCACATGCCGTTCTTGACTCCAAACTTTCGGGCTGGGTAGTTACAAGAGGCGATTTCAGAACCGCTTCCATTACCATGAGCTACCACAGCTGGCTTGTCATGGTACTCTGGCGCCTTCTTCAGGGAGACAGCACAGAAGAAACTGTCAAAATCGACATGCATGATGTACCGGCGAGAACCAGCAGGCCGCTTGGCCGACTTCTTGGCTGGACCCTTTTCGGCGGCTAGGCTCTGCATCCGGGACTTTAGCTGTGCCTTCCATGTGGACAGGTGGTGCAGACGACTTTCGGAGTAGTACTGCTTGAGAAAGTCGGGATTTGCGGTCGAAGCCTTTCTCATCTTGGGATCTGCAAGTAGTCTGGCGTTGTGCTCTTCCGAGGTCATCGGTTTTGCTGGCTGCATTTCCTCATGCTTTTCTGTCTCTGCACTTGCTGGCTCTGCATTTTCTGGTTCGGCAATATCTGGAGTAGCAGGTCGGGCTTCTGGAGAAGCTTCATAAGGAGCTCGGTACGGAGGAGTGTCGGGTCGCTGGTTTGAAGGTGCATCAGGCTCAGCGGGAGCAAGAGGCTCTGACTTGGATGAAGCTGGCGCTTGCAAAAGATCGACGCTCATATCATCCTCGAAGTCCTCGATATTATCGTTTACTGTTGCTGAGGGAGATTTGAAGGGAGTCTTTGGCTGTGCCGGACTGCTGAACTTCTTCAACTGGCTGGTGTAAAAGCTGTTATCCGTCTGTTCACGATACCGCTGAGGAGTCTGCTGCCGCGGTTGACTACTCAGCATCTTTCCAGCATCAAACTTGATGGTTCGCTGTCTTGGCCCCTCTTCAATAACCCGGTAATCGGTCCATGGCAACATCCTTCCTGCCGCAACAGAATCCACCACCCAAGCCGGCTTGACCACTCGGTAGTTGGCCAAATCTACAACCTTCTTTGGCGGCATAGACGAGGCAATGATGTGCGTCGCCATCGTCTTTCCACTGAGATACTGGAGCCAGCCAGCGCCATGTTGGACCAGCATATCGTGTAGGTCGTTGGTTGAAGGCTGGACGTACCCAACAACGTGGACGACAACTCCTTTGAAGAACTGAGGTTTGTCTTTGGCAGAAGAGCGCAACTGGGCGTCGCGGTTCTGGAGCTTGATCTGTTTGTTCTGGAAGTAGTCGGCGAACCCTCCAAAGCGGCTGCCCCCGTACTCGTCGCCGCCTTCATCGGTGAAGGCATGGTTGTCGATGTTCTTCCGTACAGAAGCCGAGTTCTTGTCGAGAAGATTATTTCCAACCATGGTGGTGATTGAGATCCTTTACACTGATATCCAAATATCCAATTCATGGGATGGAGATAATGCCCAAAATGGCCATGACATCATTCATGAATCGTCGTCGGGCATCCCGCCTGTTTCGTGTGCTGTTCAGCGAAAGTCGTGAGAAGTCATCTCGATATTGAGAGAAGAGAGAAAGTAATTTTGAAAGATGGTATATAACACACAGCTAGGAATTGAGTGAGAGTGGCAACTCAACGTTGGGTGCCTTCCATATTCGGTGGACGTGACTGGAACGCGACGAGCCGCGGCCGGCTTTGATGCGAGGTCCCGTGACTGAGGTCCACTTTAACGCTCCGTCAAGGGCTCCATCAAGGGCCCCCCCCACTTCCCGCTTCCGTTGCAGATCTCAGCCTCAACCAGACGCCACCTTTCCCTCCAGCCTCGCGCCTCAACTCCCGAGGCTGGACCGTCCATCATCATTCGCATCATCCCATCATCATCTTTCGCGATTCTTCTTTCCTCCATGACCATTCTCCCGCGGTAACCAACTACCCAAACGCGGTAATCATCACACCGCAAATATGAACAACGAACAATTCCGTCGCCTCCTCCTCGCCAATTCCCAGAAAAACAACAACAACCAAAATGGCAGCACATCACCACCCTCCTCGAGCACCTCCAAATCTCCCGTGCCAGCAGCGCCAGCGGGCAACAGCACCCCGCGCAGCACGCTCGCCCTAGGTTCCAAAGCACGCTCCTCCATCCCCATGACCCCTCGCTCCGTCGCCGGCTTCAATCCCCGCAACGAATTCGCCCGCCAACTCGCCGAGCGTAATCAGCAGAGCCTCTCTTCATCATCACAACAACAACATCCCAACAAAAAGATCCGAACCTCTGCTCCCAAGGGTAGCAGGCTCGCCGAAGGATATGTCGATCGCGCCAAGCAGAGACAGGCGCAAGAAGAGGCGGACGAGAGGGAGCGCAAGCTGAAGGAGCTGGAAGAGCGGTACAAGAAGGAGGAGATTGACAAGGAGGAGTATGAGCGTTTGCGAGTGGAGATCATTGGCGGGGGAGGTGATTTGGAGACGGCGCATTTGGTGAAGGGACTGGATTTCAAGCTTTTGGAGAGGGTGAGGAGGGGGGAGGTGGATGTTTTTGGGGAGAAGATGAAGGATGCGTCGGAGTCGCCTGAGGTGGAAGAGAATCAACAACAACAACAGGATGCCGAAGAGAACGAGGAACGAGCGGATGGTGGCGGGGAGGACGGCGACGCGGATGATGTGCTCGAACAACTTGAATCAGCCGAGGTCAAGGTTAAGAAAAAGGAGAAGGTGCAAAAGAAGGGCGAGTTCGCAACCACGACACTACTACCCGCGGGTGCAAAGAAGACGAGAAATCAGATCTTGGCCGAATTAAAAGCCGCGCGCGCTGCGGCCAAGGCCAAAGAGGAATCCAGTCTGGGGTCCAGGTTCAAGAAGATCGGACCCAAGAAGAAGCAGGCGGAAACGAGGATAGAGCGCGACGACAGAGGGAATGAGATCATGATCATTGTCGACGAGGATGGTAACGAACGACGCAAAGTTCGAAGAGTCGACCTGAGCAAAACCCGGGAAGAGCAAGAGAAGGAGCGAGAGGTGCTCGCGCAGGGTAAGATTCTGGGCATGGATGTGCCCGAGTACTACAAGAAACTGGAGGAGGAGAAGAAAGCGGCCGAGGCGGCGGAGGAGGATAAGGAGCCGAACATTTTCGACGATGTCGAGTCTGATTATGATCCGCTGGCCGGGTTGGAAAGCGGCTCTGATGACGAGTCGGATAAGGAGGACGGAGAAGAGGTGGAGGATACTCAGAAGAAAGAGAAGAAGAGTTCATCAGATATGCCTCCTCCTCCACCGAAACCAGAACCAGCAGCACTCGCCGGACCGAGGAATTACTTTCAAGATTCCAAGACTGGTCTCACTTCGCAAGAAGAGTACAAGAAGCCCTCGCTTGACGACCCCTCCTTCCGCGCCGCGCTGGCCAAAGCAAAGGCCATCAGCGCCGCCGAGAAATCCGAAGAGGAGAGACTGGCAGCCGAGAGGGAGGCACGACTACGGAAGAAGTTGCTGGAGAGCAGCAGAGACGACGAGGATTTGGATATGGGTTTCGGGTCGAGTCGTATGGAAGACGATGCCGATCTGGACGAGTCGTCCAAGGTCAAGTTGTCTGAGTGGGGTGAGGATGAAGACGATGATGGATATGAAGGAGGTGGAAAGGCGGGCCTTGGGAGTAGTAAGGGGAAGCGCAAGCGGGGCGGCGGAAAGAAGGGGGGTGATAAGAACAACTTTGTGGATGTGATGAAGGTTATTGAGAGGAATAAGGCGAAGGAGTGAGGGCACCGCCGATGATTAGGGGGGGGAACGAAGATATGATAATATATACCCAGTGATATGAAGTAGTTCTATAATCTATGTCTACAAGCTGTCATGATGTCTCCAAGCAGCGTCCTCTAGATGTGGGTATTCTGCAGTGCAAATCTCCTTTGTGCCATCTACGTCCTGTAAAAACCGTTCAGTCAAAATCTCATCACATCCAAGCCCTTTATAACCCGGCAACCCACAACCCCTTTCAGTTAGGAAGCACATCCTCCCCCCTCGCATTCGCCTCATCCGCTCTGCTCACACACTCCTCCAACACCTTCCAAAACAGCGGAATATCCAATCCCCTCGGTATCCTCACACCCTCCTCACCCTCGGGCAGGAGCTTGGCAACCGTCATGCCCGTCTTCGCCCCACCCACCCTCGCATCCTCATAACTTCCCTCCGTCACCACCGTAACCTCAAACCTTTCCCTGTGCTTTTCCACACTCCCAGGAGTAAAATCCCAGAAAGGAATCTGATACTTCTCAAGCGGCGTACCCACAAGCCCCGTCAACACAGCCGCCACAGCCAACGGATCATGCAGCGGCGGGCCCTCCGTAATCCCAAACACGTCCGCGTACGTCTTGGCGAAGAACATGAGCAACTCCACCAGCATGGTGCGCAGCGTCGTCTTCCCTTTATGGCTCCCATCTTGCGGCAGTTCCGGGTGCGCCTCCTTCCCCTCGGGCCCGTAAAGGATCAAATCGCGGACTTGTTCAGTGGTCAGAACCATGTGTGTGAGGTCCAGAGGAATCAGCGTCGTCTTCCCCGCCAGTTCTCGGTTCGAAAAAATCGCGTGCGCCGCCTCGGGGTCGGCAAGGACGTTGAACTCTGCGAACTGCGTCCAGTTCCCCACGCGCGGGACGCCGTCGACGGTACCCAGGATGGCCGGGGTGAAACCGTTGCCGAAGGCGCCGCCCATTAGGGACAGGCCTTTGACGTGGGTGACTAGGTCCGGATGCTGAATAAAAAGGGCGGCGGCGTTGGTGAAGGAACCGGTGGCTACCACCCAGGCGGTTCCGGGGGCGCAGGAGCGTAAAGCCGTAGACATGGCGGTTACGGCGTCTACGGAAGTGTTGGGGCCCACGAGAGGCGTGGGGAGCAGGTCGGTCCCGTCGAGACCGGATTCGCCGTGGATGTCGGTCGGCGCGTGCATGGTGGGCCGGTGGAGAGCGTGAGAGGCGCCGATGTAGATGGGGATAGAGTGCGAGCGGGAGATGGAGGTTAGGATGGAGCAGGCGTTGCGGGTTGTTTTTCTGTGATGTGACGGTTAACACATGGTACTGCGGACAGACGGTACCTATGGACTGGCTTGACTTACTCCAACGACGCATTGCCAAAGACTGTAGAGATACCCAAGATGCGGATGGCTGGGTGGTAGGCGGCTAGGAGAATGGCGAAGGTGTCCTGTTCATGAGAGACTCAATCGTTAACGTCTGAAACTGAATCTTGCAATATCGATCAAACAACTTCATTCTCATTCCCGTCCATTTTCGTCGGTAGGCAGGTAGAACCGATGCGATGCGATGCGATGCCATCACTGCTGTGGCCACAACTTGTCCGATCCGATCCACTCCGTCTCCGTCTGGTTCATCTCTTCAACTCGGATGTTTTCTTTCCATCATCTCATCTCATCATCGCACCGCGCCCGCCACGTTTTTGCGAGACGAACAGGTGGAGAGAGAGTGTGAGTGTGAAGGAAAGAACAGTGACGTCCACAGGTTGAACCCGAACCAAACGGAACTTGAACAGAACCGGATATGGACCTGAGATGAGGTGGAACGAGAAGCGCCTGCACTCGCTTCGCAGCGGCAGTGACGGACCGAACGCGAGATGCACCTTCCACTTTCCCGTCTCTCTCTCTTGTGCATCCCGTCGCGACCGACTCATGTGTGACTCCCGTCCCGTCCTGTACCACCCGAGCTGAACTTACATCGTGACCCGGATCGCAATCTAGCCAAACGGGAATTCTGTTATCGACGGACGCCATCTTCGCTTTTTTTCTATGATATGACAGGTATTGATCCAAAATGATTTGTTTTCTCGGAAACTCTCCAAGATTTTTTTGAGAGTTTCTAGGAAGATGTTAACTGATAAGCTCCGAAACGCGGGAGTGGCGGGGTAAGCAGGCAACTGGACTCACTGATAATTTATCGTCTCTCGTCTAATCTCCACGGTTCGTTTGATCACGGACGTTCGAAATGACAAGGAACCTAAAAGTAAACGAGTCGTGTATACACTACTATGAATAATGAAGAAATAGAAAAGTGGTTGGAGTCTAGTGTACCTATATAAAGGACAAACAACAACCAACAGGATGCTCAAAGCCGCGGATATCCCTTCAACCGCCTTTCGCCTGATGATCCCCCGAGACCCCAAACATGTGAGTTGCTCGGCTTGTTGTTAGTGGCTTGTTCCCTACAAGTTTTCTCCACCAGGCGGCCACCAAACAGGAAGGCGGGCGGCTGATGGCTGAGGACGCCGAGTCCCGATATTTTTTACATTACTAAACAATTTTCCCAGAGGATCTACACTAGAGGTATAGTCCTGATATTGCAAGGCGAGAGATCTGCTTGTGAACTTCAAGTCTTGGCATTCACTGGAACTGACCCCATGATCAAAACATACAGAGACTGCGGAGCTTTGCTCGGCGTGGGCAAAAAAAGGGGGGAGGAAAGAAGAGGGATGATCGTTACAGCAACGGTGATCCTTTCGTACAGGAGCAACAGGAAATCACACCCAGCCCAGATCGTACACCCACCTTACAATACCTTACCCTTCGACCCTTCCCATCCAAGTCCCAACTTAATACTTAAAAGTAACAGTCTTACTCCTCACCCACTCCGCCAACCCCTTATTAGTATTGAACCTCCCATACCCGCTCTCCTTCGCGCCACCATGGGGCAGCGTCGCCTCATCATGCACCGTCATGCTATTAATATGCACCGCGCCCGTCTCGATCTCCTTGGCCATGCGCAATCCCCTTCTCAAATCCTCAGTAAACACGGCGCTGGTTAATCCGTACTCGGTATCGTTCGCGATCCTTAGCGCCTCCTCCTCGGTCTCGATCTCGTACACGGCCACCGTGGGACCGAAGCTCTCGGTCTTGTAGATGTCCATGTCGGTGGTGATGCCCGAGATAATAACGGGCCGCATGCACGTGGTGGTTTCTTCTTGGGCGTCAGGGTTGCCGTAGAGCAGCTTGGCGCCCTTGGAGAGCGCGTCGGCAAGGAGCTTCTTGTTCTTGTTGACGGCGGTGGAATTGATGAGGATGGGGGCGGGCGTCTGGGGGCCGAAGATGTTCTCAACGGCGCTGACGAGCTTCTTCTCGAATTCGGCGCGGACGGACTTGTGCACGAGGATGCGCTCGGTCGACATGCAGATCTGGCCAGAGTTGAGGAAGGCGCCGAGGGCGCACTGGGTCGCGGCGTTCTCGAGCTCGGCGTCCTCCCAGACGATGGCGGAGGCCTTGCCGCCGAGCTCGAGCAGCACGGGCTTGAGGTTCTCGCCGGCCAGGCGCCCGATGATGCGGCCGACGGCGGTGCTGCCGGTGAAGTTGACCTTCTTGACCTGGGGGTTGGAAATGAGCGAGCTGGTGATGGCGGGGGCGTTGACGTGCTCGTGGACGAGCATGTTGAGAACGCCCTTGGGCAGGCCGGCTTCGTGGAAGACGGAGCAGAGACCCCACATGGTGCGTGGGCAGAGCTCGGTGGCCTTGAGGATGGCGGTGTTGCCGGCGGCGATGGGGTAGAGGATGGAGCGGATACCGAGGATGTAGGGGGCGTTCCTTGCAACAAGTGTTAGTGAATCACTATCGCTTAGTTGCCTGGGCTGGACTCACCAAGGGGCAACGGCGAGAACAACGCCAAAGGGCTCCTGCAAGACGAGAGCAGCAGATTCGGGATCATTGACTACTGGGAACGATCCTTCCAACGTGTTGCATCTCCCGGCCACATCCAACACCAACTCCTTCGCAATCTGAATGTTGGAGTCGGCCCATTGGCGTGGAGCACCTGTCTCATTCATCATGTACTGGCCCAACTCCTCCTTCCTCTTCTCCAAGATGTCGGCCACCTTGTGGAAGAGGTCCCGGCGTTGGTTGGGGTGCGATTTCCTCCATGTCTTGAAAGCTTCTGCCGCCGCGTTTACGGCCGCCTGAACTTCGGTATCGGTAGCGCTGCTGCACTTGTGAACAACCTTTTGGGTTGCTGGAGATGTGACATCGAAGGTCTTGGACGTGACAACCTCCTCGCCATTGATGAAGAACGGCACGGTATATGTTTCGGCCATGGTTTCGGTTGTTGGATGAAAGAGCAAGGGGATCGCCAGCACAATCCGGGGTATCTATAAACTGGGGAATGGTTAAAATCCAGGCAAGGAACAAAACCAAGTAATGCTGAGAAACAGAATAATGGTCAAGGGAAATGCGTAGCAAGGGTTCTATAACATCATATACGTCGTAGCGGATCCCAAGGACGGAGTGAGTGGGACTGATGAAAGATCTTGGTTGCCCACATCCCCGCAGCACCAAGCCCGGGAGTGGGTAGCATTGATCAGCGTTTGAAAGAACTCAACTCGCCAAGCCAAATATAACTAACTAACCAACCCAACTCAACCAACTCGAGGTTCCGAGTTGAGTTGCACTCGGGGTTCTAGGTTGAGTTGCCGAGTTGGCCGCCTTCGGCAGATTTTTTTTTGGTGGTGGTTTTGGCCGGGACCGTATTCTAAGGAGCAATACCCGAGTGGGGGTTAGGGTTATAGGAGGCCCTATTGTCTTGGCATAAGTTGCCCCACTCAATCCAACTCGAACCCCCGAGTTGAGTTGAGTTGAGTTCTTTCAAATGCTGCCAATGATGGGCCGATGAACCATCCAGGACATCCCTTGGTGGTGACATGACAATGACCCGGGTCTTTATCCTGATGAACTCCTTGCGCAAGTTGTTAGGCTGTTACTGTGACTGTGTCTCCAGATATTCCATGTGGTGGTTACACAATCTCGGCTCCAGATTTGATATGCAAGGGTCAATGACACGGCGACACTGACAGCGCCGACAAATGAATAATGAAGCTATCGAGGAATCTGATGGTTGATCAGCTCCACCAATCAGAGCTTATACATCAGGTACCTGTAGCGAACACCAGGAACGGGGCACAACACCCACAACCACACCCTTGGGCCTTGGCAACTGCGGGGTCTCCAGTGGGATCTAGGCGAAGCGGAGGTGACCTTCGGCATCTGTCTGACAAATTCCCCTACTCTGAGGCTCAACCTTGATACGATGGCTAGGTTGATTTGGGGATAGCTTCGGGAGTTGAACATCCCCGTCTGGAAGAACAGGGGGGTCCCGGGACAAGAAGAGAGCAGTGATACGGAGTGGGGTGTATGGGGCCTCCGAAATCTTGGTGTCTCTTCCCCCGACGCTCGGACACCTCCCGAGTCAAGTCCGAGGCCGGGTTCACATATTCGGACGGGTCCGCTGGGGATGACCATCGGAGCCGGTAGATCCACATTCGGACACGGAACGGATGTGTTGAAATGTTGATCACCGGCCGTGGCGCTATTCTCTAGAGCCTGCATCCTTTCTTCTTTCTGGCTACCGGCGAGCGCATCGGCCGGGTTGACAAAGGGTTGAGGTATAAATATCATGTCAACTTCAGACACCTGAAACGAGATGAGATGGAAGACGAAGGAAGACACGATTTTGTCCCATCTTTCAATCGGATCACAGAGATGAAGCTCAAGCAAAAGTTGAAGAAATGAAAAGGTGGGGTAACTGCCAGCATCTGACAGCTGTGACCAGTTGGCATGTTGATTTGCTCTGCCTGCCTGCCTGCCCGCATCCATTTGACAGGCTTCAGGCACGCATGCCCCTCCTCTCTGTTGTGCCCTGAACCGCCTTGGACCCTGAGGTCTAGACCGGGCCATTGCGGCTTCCGATCCTCATCCCAACAGGGTCCTCCCCCGGAATGTCAGACGACGACAAGCGAAACACTTCCAAAGTGCTCTCGCAGACTGAGTGAGGCGTAAATAGAGACCATGAAAGAACTGAAGTGCCCTGTTGTGGTCTGTCCGTTGCCCCGTCAAGCTCCCATCCCAATAAGTCTCCATCATCATGCGCATGTGTGATGATGGTGTCCTTGTCTTGACATGCCGAATTCATAATGACGACACGGCTACTCTTACATCAATCACCAGGATGAACCAACCACGAAGTAAATGGGAGTTGTAGAATATCCATGTACCCGGTTGATAACGGCCAGGCAGGCAGCAATGGATGGTGGATGCTTGTCGACGATGGAACGATGGGACTACTCAATGGAAGCGAAACGGATGCGCTATTACCTTACGAGGTTTATCTGATCAATTTTTAGAAATTTCTTTCTTCGATCGGATCGGGCATTGACGCGGTTAGCCATAAGTCCCCTTTTCCACCCACTCAAATCCTCTCAACCCCAGCAGGACTGCACCTGCCTCCATTCCCCGTGTGGTGCCAGCTGCAGTTCGCAGTTTTTTCCTTCCTTCCACTTCGGAGATCCGGGACCTGCTGGCCCAGACCTACCGGTAGGCCTCCGTTAGGTTGCCTTACCCTAGGGCCACTGCAATCCATGGTGCAGAGTGCTTTCCTTCCTCGCTGCGGCTGCATCTGCCGTGATTTTAGTTTCTTCCATCTTTTCTTTCTTCCACCGCTTCTTTGTCGATCGATTTCAACCACCAGCATCCGCTATCTTCAACACTGCGCATACACAACCAGTTGGCAATTCACTTGCAGTTTACTACCACGGCGTACGACCACGGAACAGCTTGCTTCACCCAAAAAAGCCTCGCGATTTATATCGACAGCCAACGACACAAGCCCACCTAAGCTCACTTCCCTCTACCAAGAAATATCACTTTCTGCATTGATACTACTTACGGAAAGGCCTCGCCGGCTTCGTTTCTCCCTCGTTGAAACATCCAGTCAAAGAATCCGCTACGCCTGACGCTTCCTCTCCGCATTCCAGCTCCCTCCCCCCAGTGGTTACCACCCGCCCGGTTGACCAACCACCACGGCCACATCTCCAACAGCCACGTTCCGACCGTGTAGGCGCCCGACACCCTGACTCCTGGCTAAGCCATCTTACCAGAGCCACGGACGCCATGCTCAAGGTTCGACTACTTCAGTCATAGCATCAGGCGTCTTTGCAGTCTTTTAGCCTTTAGCCTTTCTTTCATCTTTTCCGAGCTTCCCGGGTCGAGAAACATCTGATACGCTCTTACGATCGAACACGCCCTGCCGATTTACGAGTTCCGCGGACCAATAGGATCTCGTACGACCCTATTACGGGACGACGACATGGGCCCCGGTCTACCATCCTCCCCAGACGACAATGACAACCCTGTCTTGCAGGACGAGCCCCGGTCCGCCCACCAAGAGACGCAACTCCCACAAGACCCCAACATGCCATCGGCACTACCGGACGGGAACCCCGTGTCCATGACTCCTCAAGTACGCAAGAGTCAGTCGTCGAGCCCTTTGCGCCTCACAATGCCGTTCATAACCCCGGGTCAGCTTGCCTTTTCAGCAATGCAATTTCTACCCGTTCCAATCCTGGTCTTGGATAGCCTCAAAACAGTGGTACTGGCTAATGAGTCTGTGGGAAGACTACTGGGCATGCCATTGGATGCGACCGGAGAAGGGGATGGTCTTTCTTCGACAATGGACCAGCTCCGTGGCCAGACTCTTTCCCAAGTTGGTATCGACCTTATCCAGGATGGCATGCCGGTTTGGATTGCGTGGGAACAGTTTTTGGAACAGGTTGCCCTCGAGATGGGAGTTGGAAATATGGGAGAGGAAGAGACCTTAAAGCCAGTTCTGCAAACAGATCCGGACGGAGACGCTACGCCACGTCCTGCACAGGTCCCCCAGTCAGCTTCCGCTTCTTCGCCGCGTTCTAGATCGACATCGGCTCCAACAATGGATGGCGTGTGCGACGGGGAAACAGGCAACACCACCTGCCGCCCATCACCAAACGCTGTTGTCGACGTGGTCATTGCCAGGAGAGATATCGCCCGGACAACATATGACACCCGCGCCCGGTCAGAGAGCTCTACGTTCCACGCACAAGCCAAGATGATCATTTCCGTTTGGCAGTTGAGCCCGCAGCAAACCTACTTTACCCTCACTTTCACCAACACCGAATCCAACTATGTCCCTCCGGTTGGTGCTAAGAAGCTGGCTGGAGGGCGTGACGTCTTGGATGCTGCTGAGAAAAAGTACCCTTACAGCGTAAACGACCCTCCCTCTATGACATCAAGTCGTGATTCGCGTCCTCGCTCTCCATCCTTTCCCCTAAGTCCTTCTGCGGTCGCCATGTCATCCAGTCCTTTCCCTCCGCTTGGACCTCCATCTCACTCTTCCATCACCAGTGCTCCTTCCATGCTCCAAAAGATCACTGTTATGAAAGATGCTCTTCTCGATAAGACACAGACGCCAATTATTGCCATGTGGAGGGACGGGAGCGTAATTCTTCCCAACAAACATGCCCGGCGCCTCTTCAATCAAGATCCTGTACATGGCGCTCCCCTCGAAGGTTCCAACCTCCTGACACAGTGGAAAATGTGGACAGACGATTTCAGCAGGCAGTTGGAGACCGATGAATACCCAATATCTGTTCTGATCAAAACTGAAACGTCTTTTGAAAGCTACAGAATTGGCATGCTAGGTCAAAACGGCGAGCGGTTAATATTCGACATTGATGGAGCAGTGATCCGAGATGAGATTACAGGCGAATTTCTGGCGGGCGTGATAACATGCAGGGACATCACGCGCATCGAGCATGAAATCAGTCAAATCAGCGAAGAAAGGTTCAGATTGATATGCGATACCATGCCTCAGCTTGTGTGGACTACGGGACCAGATGGCGCGCATGACTTCTACAACAGCAGGTGGTACAGCTACACAGGTCTCACCGTAGAAGATTCGCTAGGGAAAGGCTGGAGAAAGGCGTTTCATCCGGATGACTTGGTCGAGACTGAGAGGCGATGGCAAAACTCAATTCGAACTGGCGAGCCGTATATGATAGAGTACCGATGTCGCAGCAAAGATGGCGAGTGGAGATGGTTCCTTGGTCGGGCGCTGCCTCTGAAGAACAAACAAACGGGGAAAATCGAAAAGTGGTTCGGTAAGTGGCTCTTCTTTTATTGTTGTTTAAAGAGCATCGTATCTAACCACTGTTACAGGAACCTGCACCGACGTGCACGAAACCATGGAAGCAAAGCTCGAAGCCAAGCGGACAAGACAACAGCTACGTAGCGTCATCGCCCACTCGCGAATGACCATGTTCGCTGTTGACCCCAATCGGAAGGTTACCTTGCTGGAGGGATCGTTGATATGGGACGCTCTCTCACCGGAACGTAGTGGCCCATCCTGGTTTATCGGAAAGGATGTCTATGAAGTTTTCAACAATCTCAACCAACAATTACCGGATGGCCAGACACCTGCTTTTCTGCAGCCCCTCGAGTCCATCCTTGGCGGGAAATCACCGGTAGAACTGCAGGACCACAAGTTCGGTAAGTACCATCACAGACGTAAGGATTCGGATGTCCTGAAGAGCCTAACGACAGACTCAGCAGGTAGATGGTACCGCACTGGTTTTCAGCCCATTCCCAGGAGAGATCCTCTTACCGGAAACTCAACAGAGGATTTGATCGAAGGCGTCATGGGCTTCATAATGGACGTAACCGAATTAAAGGATCGCGAAAGGGACATCGAGGCTCAGGTACTGGAGAAGAGACAGCTTCTAGCCAATGAAGCAGCCGCAAAGGAAGCAAGTCGGCTCAAGAGCCAGTTTTTAGCCAACGTGAGCCTACCAATTCACTTCCCACATCGCTTTTGTACTAACGTTGTGTAGATGTCTCACGAGATTCGGACACCAATTACCGGTGTAATCGGAATGGCGGAATTGTTGCTTGATGTTAAGCTTGATGACGAGCAACGAGAGCTGACGGAGAACATTTTCCGTTCGGCGAACGCACTCCTGACTGTAATCAACGATATTCTTGACTTCTCGAAGATTGAGTCCGGGCGACTGGACATCGAAGAAGTACAGTTCTCATTAGCTGTTGTCATTCAGGAGGTCAGCAAGATGCTCAGCTTCACAGCCGAGCGGAAAAGCTTAGCCTTCAGCTACGAGATATGTTCGGATATTGCGATTGATCTCGTGGTCATGGGAGATCCTGGACGTGTGCGGCAAATCATCACAAACCTGGCCACAAACAGCATCAAGTTCACACATGAGGGCCATGTTAAGCTAAACGTCTTTGTCGAACAGGAAACGGACGATACTATTGAGGTCAAGTTCGTGATTCAGGATACGGGCATCGGTATCGAGGAGGAAGTGCTAAAACGACTCTTCCAGCCTTTCAGTCAGGGAGATCCCTCGACAGCGCGGAAATTTGGGGGTACCGGTCTGGGGCTGACCATTTCCAAGAACTTGCTGGAACTGATGAAAGGGCGTATGGCGCTCGCTTCCAACAAGGGCAAAGGAACTACAGCCACATTCTGGATCCCATTCAAGAAGCCACATAAAGCACAATCGGTTACCGGTCCGCTGTCTGACAGATTGCAGGGCGAGACAAGCGTGTCTTGCAACAGCCCGGCTCCGGCTGACCAGGAGCCGAGTGCGCTGAGCGGCGAGCAGAGGTCGGCATGGAGACAATCCTCGCTAAGCCTCTCCACTACCACCTCACAAGAGGAGCTTAGCATGCCGGATCGCAGCAAGGTTTTCATCCTGGTAGTCGAAGACAACGAGATCAACCAGCAAATCGCTATCAGAACGATTAAGAAACTAGGCTTTCAAGTCGCGGCCGCCTGGAACGGCAAGGAAGCTCTCGAATACCTGTCCGAAGCCAGCGCAGGCAAAAAAAGGAAGCCGGACATCATCCTGATGGACGTACAAATGCCTTTGATTGATGGGTACCTGTGCACACACCTCCTCCGACACCACGTCCCCTACAGAACTTATGTGAGGGATGTGCCCATCGTGGCCATGACCGCCTCGGCAATCCAAGGCGACAAGGAAAAATGCAAGAGGGCGGGCATGGATGACTACCTCTCCAAACCGGTCAAGAGCAAGACGCTCGAGAAGATGTTGGTCAGGTGGTGCACGACTAAAAGGGAGGACGTCTCGCCGACGACATCACAGTGCTCAGAGTCGGGTGAGCATTGTCACAGTGCGGATATACCTGCTGTTGGGCTGAATGAGGGGGAGCCATCAGATTTGGACTTGAACGCGTATGACAATAATGTTGAGGATGAGGGGTCAAGTCTTGCTACGCCTATGGGCCCTGTTCGCGTGGAAGAGGGAGCGCCTCAACGTGGTGGTGGTGAGGTTGAGCCATCACCGACGGCGGGATACTTTTCGTCGGGGTCAGGTTCTGGACATGGCGTGTCTGAGACAGTAAAACAAACAGCAGATCCTGGTGAGCAGACAATGCTTGGCCGAGCTGAGCAGCTTCTTGATCCAATACGACCGAGCGTGGAAGAAACGGCAACAAGTCCGACTTTGATAGAGCAGAGTACACATGGAGAGGCGTTGACGGAGGAAAATCTGGGCAGGTTGCAGGAAGAACAACATAAAGAGCTGCAAAGCAAATAAGTAAAGGGAAGGGGGGGTGGGAATGACATAGTTATCTTCAACAGAAAGCGGAATCACTTCCTTATAAAAGTAGGGGGGGTTAGATTAGACCTGGGGCACAAATCCCTTGTATGGGCAGGCTTTGTTTAAAAGCGTTAACGGCATGATACCAACGGGTTTCTGGTTTTGGAAGACGCATGAACGAGCATTTTTTCTCGCCTCTGTTTCTCGCCTCTGTTACATATGTCCAAGTCACCATGCAGAACTTCGACGAGCGTAAAAGTGAATATTCAGCAGAAGGGGTATCGGCGTAAGCGCAATGATATAGCAGGCGTGATAGACATGCTATAAAAATATGACGAAATGACGCCGGCATAACCATGACCACATTTATCAACTGTTGTGATCGTGTTTTGCTGACTACGGTGCAGGTATGTTTTGTTCCTGATCAGATCAATCGACTCTCTAGACTGACTTGACTACCTGAACTAACCATCCATCCATCCATCCCTCCCCAACCTGAACTACTATTTGTAACTAACCCCTCCGTCTCCCATGAGCTGCTGTAGTCCTCCCTCCACCACCAGCACCTCCACCAGCACCTGCTCCTCCTGCTGCTCCTCCTCCCCCTCCTCCCCCTCCTCCTGCTCCTGCTCCTGCTCCTGCTCCGGCAGTACCAACCTGTCCCTCAGGCGTAACAGCACTCACACTACCCACCCTCGAAGCCGGCACAGCAGCAGTAGATGTAGATGCCACCGACAAAGAAGCATGTCCCCTCGTCAACCGAGCGTACAACCCCTCTTGCTCGTCCGCTTCCATGGCCATTCTCCTTCTTTGGGCACGGAGGGCGGAGGCTTGTTGTTGAGCGGCGGCACGCTGTTGGGCTTGTTGGGCGGCGACGCGCTGGGCGGGTGTTTGTGCTGCTGGTTGTTGTGGTTGGGGGGTTGTTGTTGTTGTTGTTGTTGTTGTTGTTGTGGTTGTGGTTGTGCGGGGGACTGGAGTTGGGGGAATCGGAGGGGGAATGTTTTGGGATTGGGAGAGGCGGCGGTTTGTGTTGTTTGTGTTTGTGTTGGTGCGGGTATGGTGAGGGGGTTGCGGTTGTTGTGGTTGTTGGTTATGGTGGGTTGTTTGGTGACTGTGTTGAGAATGAGTAGTCGCCTGAGAAGCTTGTGACTGTTGTTGATGTGCATGCGGAGGTTGATTCGTCGGCGTAGCAATCACCTGGTTCCCAGACTGAGCAGCAACGGGAGGAGTATGGAATTGGATCTCGTGGCTTTCGACGTGCAGCCCGTAGCCGTGGAGGTGGTAGGGTGGGAGCATTTCCATTCCTCTTATGTTGTCTCCATTGCTGCCGTTGTTGTCATCGGAGGGGGAAATAAGGGGGATGTGGGTGTTGATGTCGAGGTCCATTTCCCACGAGTAGCCGTATCCTTGGTCGATTCGCTGTGTTGCTTCTTCTTCGGAGTCTGCTTCTTGGGCGCCATCGTATTGTCCTGTGGCAGCTGGGGTTTGTTGTTGCAGCTGTCCTGCACGTGTTGTTGTTGTGCCCCCGCGTAGCCCTCTTCTTCCTCCTGCTCCGCCTGGCAACATGGCAGATGGAGTTTCCACCGCCGTTGCTGTCGTCGTAGGTCCGGTAGGTGTGACTGCCGCGCGTGATTGATGGTGTGGTTGTCTCCCTCCTCCAGCAGCTGTCGTAGCTTGTTGTGGTGCTCTAGTCCCGGTACCACCACCCCTTCGACCGGCTGTTGTGGTCGTCCTCTCTTCCGCCTGACCCTGGCCCTGCTGCTGCTGCTGCTGCTGCTGCTGTTGCTGCGCATGTCTCTGCGCCGCATGTCTCTGCGCCGCCGATTGCTGCTGCTCCATCATCCTCGCCTGTCTCTGCGCATGGCGCTGCGCATAGTAACTTTCGTCACCGGCATCTTCTTCTTCTTCTTCTTCACTCTCTTCTTCTTCTTCGTCCTCATCGCCAGTACCCATATACTGTTCACTTATCCTTGCACCACCACCACCACCGCCGCCGCCGCCGCCGCCGCTGGTACCAAACCCTAACCCACTTCCTTGGCCGTGACCGTGACCGAATCCACCACTTGGCCCAACATTTCCAACACCAGGATGTTCCCTCCCAAAAATCCTCGCTCCTGCGCTGGGTTGTTGTGGTTGTTGAAGTGGTTGCGAGTGGTGGCCGTGATGACCCCGTCTCATGGCATCCTGACGGGCTTGTGTGCGAGCAGCCATCTCGCGGGCTTTTTGGCGCTCAAGGGCACGGTCGTCGTACGAGGCTATGTCTTCGGCCGTGATGGTTAGGACTGTTAATGGGCGGCGGAGCATTTTTGCTGGTTTTTCCTGATGGTTTTGGGTGGGTGAAGTAAGATTGAGGCTGTTTGTTTTCCTTTACGGGGGATGGTCGGAATAGCTAGGAGGTGTAGATGTCTTGTCGGGGGGTATAGTTGTTAAATTCGTTGATTTCGCTGGGTGATAATCAGAGTGAGTGAGAAGTGAGTGTGCGCTGTTCGTTGGCGCAATGACGCCCTTGCGAACGAACGGTTTGCGACGGCGATGTGATGTGATGTGATGCGGGGCACAAAGGCGATTGCGACAAGGTGTCGCACCAAAGGTCCACGGGAGTCAAGGATCGTATGAAATGATATTTCGGAATGCTGATCAAGATCACAAAATGGAATACAATGAACGTTTGGGTATCCTGTGGTTATTGCAAGTTTAATCATCGATTGAAGAAATGTTGATGGAAGCTCCCCGCGGGAAACGCGTGTGGAATGTTTCAGGGTTGAAGGCGCGTGCTTGTCTTCGGTTGGAAGGGTTGGAAGGGTTGCCGACCTGCACAACAGGGGTTAGGGTTGTGTGAGCAACTGCACTGGATACGGTACCCCTTAACTTTCCAACACTAGTTCGGCGACAGCCCTTCTCTCACATAAGCGGCTTTAGATATAATTGCATTGACGATGGTAAAATGACTATAAAACACATCAAGAGAAGATTAAACCGAATAGGTAACCCGCTATGCAAGGCAAAGACGCTGGCTAGATACCAATATCCATGTACATGGTACGCATTCTCTTCTCAATCTTTAGGTCTACTACGGATTGCTCCTCAAATATTATCAATGGCGAATTCGAAAAGAACATGCTGACCCAAGCATTACAACCAAGACTCTAACCAGAGTAACAGAGTTTACAACTTAGTCAGTGCGACGAGAAGAAGCACCACCAGTGCGTCTGCGGGAAAGGATGCTAGTGACGTTGTTGATGGGCAGAATGTCCTGCGCCACCTTCGTCTCCTTGGGGAGCTCGGTGCCAGGCTTGGCAGCAAAGCCCAACTTAGCGCCCTTGGACCAGTCATTCTTATCGAGCTCACCGCCCTGGAACACAACAAACTGGGACTTGAAGAAGATGTCTCCGTAAATGGCAAAGGGGAAGCCCTGGGAGCTCTGGAGGCCACCGTAGCACCACTTGGCCGTCGCAAAGTCATCGGTGTCGGCGGGAGCGTACTTGATGAGATCACCGGTGAGGCGAGCCTGGTAAGAGCCAATGTGGAGGATGAGATCCGGGAGGTCGGCGTTGCAGGGGAACACATAACCACCATAGTTGTTGTCGCTGCGGGCCTTGGCGATCTGGGTGTAGTAAGCATCGACGATGGGTTGGGGGAGCATGAGGAGGGTGGTGCCAGTGTCGGCAATGCCGGTGTGGGGCACGGACTGGAAAACACCGGTCTTGTTGTTGGACTCGGTGCAGTTGGAGGCGGGAAGGGTGAAGCCGGTGGCCTCGAACTGCCAGAAACCCTTTGAAGAATCGACGTCGACGAAGCTGATGGGGCCGACGAACTCGGTAGTGTCGAGGAAGCCAAAGTTGTAGTTGCCAGGCTCAGCCTTATTGAGATTGGCACTGAACAGCGGCATGGCTAGGTCCTCGATCGCGTTGCCGAAGAAGGTCTTTTGCTTGCGGGGGCTGACCTGGTTGATGGAGTCAAAGGCGAGACCGACGAGACCGGAGGAGGCAGCGTCATTGGTGAAAGAGTTGGACACATGGGTGGCAACCTCAACAGCCTGCTTTTCCACCTCGACGCCGCCAATGCTGACCTTGTCAGTGTAGACATTTCCGGACGAGCTGCTGCCGTCACCGTACGAGATCCTCCAAACATGACCGTCGACGCGCCCAGCAGTGGTACTCTCGGTCATGTTGTAGATCTTCTGGCCGTTGCGCTGCTTGGCAGGGGTGTCGGAGCTGAAAACCCAGAGATCGGAAGAGCCGGTGTCGAAGTTCATGTTGACCGTCTGAGGCGGGGTACCGATCTGGACGGGGGCGAGATACTGAACATCGAATTGGACAGGCGTAGAAACAACCTCACCTGCAAGGGAGGTCAGTGAATGTGGCGCAGGGAGACAGTGGAATACGTACCCTGGTTACCAACAGTCTCGCTGGGTCCGAAAAGGCCATTGTTCAAGGCGTTGATGTTGCCAGGGACCTTGAGGCCCAGGTCGCCAAAGACGCGGATGAGGGCCTGGCGAAGGTGGTCGGGGAACTCCATGTTGAACTTTTGGTAGACCTTGGCGACATCTCTGATGCCCTTGCCCTTGACCTTGTGCTGGTATTTGTGGTTGAAAATCTGGGAAATCTTGAAACTGTGACCGCCATGCTTGCGGACCTGGAGGTCCTCGGCGCGAACCTGAATGACGTTCGGGTCACCAGCAACCAGACCAGCTGTTGAGAGAACGGAAGCCGCATAGGCGGCGACGATGGGGAACTTCATCGTGACAGGAAAGACAGGATAGTCGATGAAAGTGAGAAAAACGTAAAAAAGAGTGTGGCCTTCTCGGGCTTTGTTGGTTAAAAGAGCGAAAGGTTCGACGACTAGTCGAAAGTGAAAAGAGAGTGAGGGAGGACGAGCAGGCCGGTGTTTTCGTCAAGAGGGCTGGCTGGTAGAAGAAAAGGAAGAGGGAAGAAGAGAAGGTGATAAGCAATCGTTGGAACAGCGGGGCAGTATAGTCGAAAGAAAAGGAGGACCAGAAAAAAGATGATCCGACTTGGCAAACACTCGTGTCGTCCCATGTTCATCTGTTTGGTCGTCCTCCGTTGTTCCTCTCGGTCCTCCCAGGGGCAACCAACCTAATCTTCTGGTGACGATCCCCAACCGCTTGACATGGAATCGTCGTTTACCAGCTGTGGATTGTTTTGATTCCATGTCAACCAGTATCACTTTGGCACCCTCAGAAAACCCTATACGTGAAGCTGCAATCCGACGGCATCCAGATACATTACATAGCAAAGTGACGGGTGGGCCTACCCATGGGCCCCATGGGCAGCGCGTTTCGGAAGCCAACATGCGGTTGAACATCGCAATTTTGAATCAGTGGGATGGCACCATTGGGGGTATTGATCGGTATTGGGGGCTCCATAGCCAGCGGACCGCTCGCTTGACGTTCCTCTGCTCCCGACTGGGCCAAAAGGCAATGATCGACGGGGTCTGAAAAGGGACGGGAAGAAAACAAAAATCGAGGGAGGGATCGATGCCCCTGAAACAAGGGCTGCTGGGTACCGCGGTAACGATTGATCACCACCAACCAAAAGAGGCAAACACATCACCCGGCACCGATGACAGCCTGCCGCAGCGGCCGTTGATCGGGTCCGGTAGTGCTGGCTGGGGTGCCACTATTCCCATCTCGGGAAGTTCACTGAAGTTCTGAAGCGAGGCCTTGTCAACCTGAAACGGCGCTTCTGAGAGCTTAACGCAGACAAGCTCGGGGTCGCCGTCTCTCATTCGCTGCGGCAATTGGCCCCAAAGTCCCCCTTGACCCCGCCCAAAGTTGTGTTTTGTAAGATTTGTTTTCCATGTTTCTAGCTCTCGTTGGTTGAGGCCTCCGACTTATAGGAAGCACAGGTTTGCTCTTTTTCCTCTTCGGTCGTATTCCCATCCAACAATCCATCCAGACAATGAAAGCAAATGCGCGCAGTAGGCAGCTTCCCGACCACTGCCGGCAGTTTCTGGTAACACGAGGGCAATATCGGAGAGACCGAATCATCTTGTCCAGTACCTCGGCATGAGCTCAGGGGCGTCGCCTTTGGTCATTTGTCGACCGAGATTGTGCACTTGGCAGATGGAAGGAATCATTTCCAATGGAATAACGACTACAAACAAGACCGGTGAGTACTCTCGGTATTTGTCATCAGCACTTGCTTCCCACAGAAAATGCTACCTCAGAGTGCGCCCTAATGCAGGCACACGCTTTATTTCTTGTAACCACTAACAGCGGCATGCATTCACCAACGCCACTGCCTTTTCAAATCGAAGAAGGCAGCCAGCTGACGCACCCTTCACTTGTGCTTTTCAAAGTTGCTTACCAAACTGAATGTTTCCCCGGGCACTGAACTGCCACTTCCTCTCCGCAAACTATCGTCAACTTGAAATCACCCAACCCACCCCGCGATGCTGAAAGAAGAACTCAACGTGAACTCACCACAAACCATACACCATCACTCAGACAGAGCAAGGCTCACACCACGTCCTTCACAGTCCTCCAAAATGTCCGAAATAGACCCCCTAGTCCTGTCCTACTCCCACCTCCACCACCTCCCCCAGCCCTCCTCAGCCCTCCACCTCCTCAAAAAGATCGCCTCCCTCGTAAAACCGCTCATGCGCGCCCGTGGCTGGCGCGTCCGCGAGCTAGGCGAGTTCTACCCCGAGCAAGAAAACCTTTTAGGACTCAACATCAACCGCGGCGCCAAGATTTTGCTTCGGTTGCGCTACCCCTCCGACAAGTCCCTTTTTCTTCCCGTCGAGCAGGTAACGGACACGATGCTGCACGAGCTAGCACATATCGTTCACGGCCCGCACGACGGCAAGTTTCATGCGCTGTGGAATCAGCTGAGGGATGAGCATGAGGGCTTGGTGATGAAGGGGTATACGGGGGAGGGGTTCTTGTCGGAGGGACGGCGGCTTGGTGGTTCTTCTAGAGGAAGGATTCCGATGCATGAAGCGAGGCGGTTGGCGAGGGAGCAGGCGGAGAAGAGAAAGGTGCAAACGACACTAAGTGCTGGGTCGGGACAGAGGCTGGGTGGAGCGAGGCCGAGGCCGGGCGAGGATATACGGAGGGTGATCGTTGAGGCGGTGGAAAGGAGGAATAAGACGTTGAAGGGCTGTGGAGTAAAGGACACGGGCGATGAAGGGCTGGGTGAGTACGAGATTCGCAGGATTGAGGAGCAGGCGACTAGGAATGGCTTTCGCTCTCAGGCGGAGGAGGATGAGGCGAACGAGGCGGCGATTGCGCAGGCGTTGTGGGAGCTGGTGCAGGAGGATGAGAAGAAGAAGTTTGGAAGCGGATATGTTGAGCCGAGTAGGGAGTTTCCGGCTGGGAGTCAGGGGGCTTTTCAACAAATCGAAGAGAAGGGCGGAGGGTCGGCAGCATCATCTTCGTCTGCACAACCACCACCAATTCCTCACCATACCAAACCAACCACCATCATCTCTTCTCGTCCACCACCATCAGTCTCATCAAAACCAGAACCATCCAACGAACCTTCAACCGGCTGGGCCTGCAACATTTGCACCCTCCACAACCCCGACACATTTCTCTGCTGCGACGCCTGCGGTACCGAACGCCCACTTCGAACTTCCACCACCACCACTGCCCCCATTCCCAAAAAGAACACCACGGGCACCAGTTCCAGTTCCAGTTCCCGTTCCGCCGGAAAACGCCCAAGCAGCTCAGTCGTCGACCTGACCAAATCCCCGCCCTCCATCCGTACCCGGCCATCACAACCAAGCTCTCACATCCGAACGGGATCGGGATCAGGATCAGGGCCAAATAAAGACAAAGAAAAAGCAAAAGCCATCCTCCAAGCTCAAGCCGAAGCAGAAGCCGCCCGCCGCAAAGTGCTCCACGAGATATGGCAGTGCTCGTTTTGTGGAACGAGGTTGGAGAAGCAGTGGTGGACTTGCTCTACGTGCGGGAAGATGAAGGATAGTTCCAAGTGATTGGTTATGGGCTAGGTAAGGTGATGAATGACGAATTGACGATCTGGAATGGGTCATTAGTGCTTACAAAGATTTGGGCATGGGTACAAAAGGAATTAACGGCATGGCATGGAATGGTGGATTATGGGCGGGGGTGGTTAGTTATTCATGATACCCCGGTTATTGAACTTTGTCTGAGATGATGGATGTATTGTTCAAGTACGATATGGTTTCGATCAACAAGCATGTAGTGAACTGCCATGCTTCCGTTCCTATTTTTTCCTGAAAACTCCTTGATTTTCAACCTCAATGGAGAACGTCAAACGGCGGATATCTGAAGCAGACACGAGCTACGCCAACCAAGCCCCCCTTCCAACACTATAATCTAATCTATCTGGTACAACCGAATGACTCAAAAATACCTTTGATCATCACAACAGCCCACCAACCACCCCTCCTCCAACCACCAACACCACCAGCATTAACGCAAGCCGAGGAGTTGACTGACCATCAGCAGCGACCGAGTTAACAACACCATGTAGATCGTAAACCTGTCTCACCCATAAGCATATATACTCCCAAAATTTTCGCAGTGCAAAAAAAAACCAAAAAAAACGCATACACTAATCCTCAAATCTCCTCCACAGATTTGGCTCTTGTTCCCGTCACAAGCCAAGTTGCACTCGGTATTGGCGACCTTGGAGGAGAGAGAGAAGAGCTGGGTGGCGCACCAACATTCTCTGTGTTTTACGTGAATGACGTTATCGTTTCGTCAGTTAGCTCTAGTACTTTTTCTTACTCTTCCGCCCTTGTGTTTTGTATCTTTCATTTGAAGTCCCACTCAATGTTCTTCTTGTTTCTTTGCAATAACAAACTAAGAAAAAAAGAAAAAGAAAACAAATTCAAAATCTCACCTCGAATACTCCAACCCAGCAAACCGATAACCCTTCTCCTCTTTCATCCCACTCTTACAAAACCCCAAACACTTTTCCACCGTCATCTCCCCCGGCAACACCTCATTGATGCCGCCGTACAGCGCCCTGGTTCCGCTGCCCGTTCCCGAGAGGGCGGTAGTCTCGTTGTAGCAACCAATGTATTTGTAGCCGTTTGTTCCTGGTGCTATTGTCGCTGTCGCGGGGGATGAGGTTGATGTTGTTTCAGGAGCAGCAGCAGCAGCTAGGTTGACTGCGATAAACCAGGAGAGAAAGATGTAAATGAAACATGTGCGGCGTACGCAGCTTGATGGCGACGAAACAAAACACGGCGGCTGCATGTTGACGCGCAGATGAAATGTAACACGAGACTGCGTGAGGCGTTGCGCAGGGCGAAACGGGTCGTGGATGAATGGTAAATGACAGTCGTGGACGTGAAGGTGAAAGAGGGAGGGCGTGTTCCCAAATCCAATGGAGCGACGCGATACGAGTTTCGACAAGTCAATAGCTACCTCTAACCGGAAATGAAGCAACTGTTATTAGAGAGAGAGGTACGAGAACTCAACGTTGTTTCTAGTTAATTATCACGTAAAGAAAGGAAAAGTCAACGGGAGGAAGAAAGACAAACACGAGGAAACCCAACACCCAAACTCCCGCAGCGGCCCCCTTTGCCAACGACCAAACCTCCAGGGTCCAGAATGCCAGCCGCAAAACTCCGAGATCCAACCAATCGCTCCCTCTACTGTACTGGTCAAAATGATGATACCCAGTAAGCCAGCCGTAGGGCTGGAATACCGCTTTTTCTCACTCGATACGGTTCATTCAACCCAATCTTATTACTGGATCGTTCCCAAGAAACTCTGCGACCCGCATCAACTCACCAGGAGATTGGTCGAAGCCAAATATACCCGGCGCTATACCTAGTTGAGTGAGTTTGAGTGAAACCGTATCGAGTGAGAAAAAGCGGTAATCGAACAGTCCTTCCACGTTGAAGATACGTTGAAGATAAAGATGTGAAAGCCGAGAGCTGAAAACAGGGGTCCAATCATCCCAACCGCGCCTTGAACATGCCTGATTGCAACGCTGACACATACTCGTCAGGCCTACAAAATCGGCGGCTGACTAGCGGGAAACCCCCTAGTCAGGGCCAGCGATTCGTACACGACCAGCGATTCGTACCTGAAACTGGGGGTACTTCCCCACACCGCCATTTTGCTAGCAAATTAATGTAGATCTATTCAACAGCATATTTTTTTAAATGCATACAGCCTAATTCCCCGCACTACCCAACACTCTAAATGTGTACTAGCTATTTGTACTCAACTGTTTACTTCTTAAATTGCTTGTTTGAATCGATAATTTTACGTGCAATCAGTCTTAGTTACATTCAACCCCCTTTATTTAGTCCCTCTATCTCCCTATTACATTACCTCCCTCTATCTCCCTATCGAACTATCCTTTCGTTATCATATCTCCTATTTACTACGTCATACCTCGCCCACCTCGTAAATCCGTTAGCGGCTCCTTACGCCCTAATCCAACGCTCGTTAACTTAACTTCTAATACTCAAAGTATCGTTAGCAATACTTAAGAGACGCTCCTAGTAGAGGAGAAAATCCAAACCGCCGTAAAGACATTTCAGAACAAAGGATTCAAAACTATAGCAAATACAACAAAGGCATTTCGAGCTCTATATAAACAAGTTATTAATCGCTATAAAGGTACGAACTCAAAAACATAAAATAAGGGTCTCAATAAGTTATTAACTAAAAAGGAGGACCTTACCGTATATACTTAGATTAATATACAAATATCTATCGGTTAGTACTATCTCTATTTCTTTGTCATGGGGCTAAGGCCCGGGCTGTAGCGCTCTGGTCACCGACTAGAGTTGTTATGAGGCGCCGTGGCTGTGTTTGTGCAGCCCCTATTAAAACTTCGTATTTCCGGTGGAGCCGCCTTTTAGATAGAATTTTCTTTTTTTTATAGAACCTTAATTAAACTATACGACTAGTACTTCTATTAATTTTATTGTCCCTATTATATTAGGTTCTATCGTAATGAATCTAATAGAATAGAATAAGTAGCCATTGTAGTAGTAGTAATAGGGCTTGCCTATTTAAATAGTTGTAATTGGAATTCCCGTAGAGTTTTCTACTATTGTAGCCGCTATAGTTGTAGAATAAAAAGAAGTTGCGAGAAGAGAAGTCGTATATTTCGTGCGAGAGAAAGAAGATTTTGCTAGGATGTTATCTACTAGCGACGTATTCGTTTAAGTAGTGAGAATAGTATTTAATATATAGCTTATTATTTAAAATTAATAGAACCCCTTTAATGTTAATATAATTATTATGATAATTACTATTGCCCCGAGCGTTATAGTTGGTATTATATAAAAAGCCGCTCCCTATTGCGGTTTTAAGCGTAAAAATATCCGTTGGCCGAAGTAGGATGGAACCCCTTCTACGTTTGGTCTTTATATTATCCGATTATATTTTATACATAAAGAAGAGAGGTCGGCGGGAATTATTATTAATAATAAATTAGGTTAGTTAATATTATTAAACGCTTTCCCGGCCGATAAGATAATTAAGGTAGAAGTTTTTTAGTGTTATAGTAATATTAGCGGTATTTGTAGACTCGAAGATTTTTTTAATTATTTTAAATTAATTTTTAGTAATGAGAATAAGAAAAAATTAGCCTTAACCCGCTTACATATTATACGATAGAGAGAAAATTACTTTTTATTAGATTAATTTTTTATATTTAAAGAGAATTTTACGAAAGTTAGAGGCTTTATTTGGGAAGATAATTCTAAATTAGTTTAGTTAAAATCTTTTATATTTAACGCTCTCTATAATTAATTAATTTTAGTTTATATATTTAAGATTTACGATTTTGATATTAAGTAATTGAAAGATATTGTATAGAAGTTTAAAGTTAATAAGGTTTTTATAATATTAGGGGTAGTAGTAAAGGATATAGTAATTATTATTAAAATTTCCTTTTTCGGCGCAATTTTATTTTTATTTTTGAATATTTTAAAGATATAGATTGTAACATTATAATAAGTTATATTAAAATAAAGGGTAATTTTAATAATAAAAATATTAAATATATTAAATTGTTACGAACTTTAAGCGAAGGACACGAGCCAACCAAGCTACCGGTACACAGCAGCCACGTGAAGGCTGGGCAGTGTAACCATGATAGGGAAGGAAGGCTCATAGGCAGACATAGGCTCATGAAGGTAAGCCAGGCTCATAAAGGCGAGCCAGGCCCACAAAGATGAGCCAGCCCATAGTCAATGAGCCAGACAACTGTAACTAGAGGCACGAGAGTATAAGAGAATGACTAGAGAACTCAGATTGTCAGATAGTTCGACAGTAGTCAATAGACCATCGTCACCAGAGACACGTATAACGATACTTGTTGTGAACCCTTTGGCTTCACCGAACTGCACTTGATAGTCTTTACCTTCAGCTATCCCACTTAGGCAGATCAAGTCTGCCGTTCGTCACATAAATAGATCTTTTAGAATAAAAGAGATAAGTGTTATATTTTAGGTTTTTATTTTTATTATAGAATTAGTAGGTATATAGTCGGTAATTATATATATTATTTGGTATAACGTCCCTTTATTAGTATTACATTTATTAAGATTAAATTTAAAGTAGAATTTGTATTGGGAAATAGTAGTAAATATTCTTTTTTTGAAGAGTTGGAAAAAGAGTAGTTCCTTTATAAAATCGAATGAAGGAGTATTTTAGAATATTGAGTAAAGAAATGGGAATTGAGAGTCTTTTTGGGATTTATAGAGATAAATATTATTAAAATACTTATTATTATTAATAATAAAGATTATTTTTATGCCTTTATTAATAAAGGTTATTAGTATTATATTATAATTAGTAAAAATATTATTGAAAAGTTAAAATATGTTATTATATTTATATTTAAGAGATAAATATGAGGGATTTTATTAGAAATGGAAGGGGTGGAGATTAAAGGGATTATTTATTTGAGGGTAGATGTTTATAGGTATAAATTTATTATTTAAATTTATATGGTCCTTAAGTAAGAATTCCCTATTATTTGGAGAAATTATAATTAATTGTTATGAAGGTTTATTTTATCCTTTATAAATATAGATTCTCGTATAAAATGGCCGGTTATTGGGTCCCGTATTTAGGATGTTCTTTAAAGAGTTTTTTTTTAAAAGCTAAGGAGTTTAAAGAAGTAGTATATTATTTAGTAATCACGTTTGTAGCTATAATAAATAGGATTAGGAAAAAGAGTGGCCGGTAAGTTGCGGAGTTAGTGATATTTATAGTAAATTTGCAAAATATTAAGAAGGCTTTTAAATTTAAAGTTGGTATAATAAATAAGGAGTTGCGAAAAATAATCTTTATAAAAATGTACAATTATTTATTTATTTGGAAGTAAGAAGAGGTTGATAAGATTAATTCCCACCGTTTAAATATTAATTATAAAATTGAATTTAAGAAAGATAAAAATAGTAAGGAGCCGCTTTTTTTTTTACAGTTATTTTTATAATATATTACGAAAGGAATTTTTAATATTAAAAAAAAACCTTTAGAGATTCTTTTCATAAAGGTTTTATTTATATTAATCATTTAATTATTATTACGCTGTTTCTTTTTATTAGGATATTAGGAGGAGGTCTTCGGTTTTATTACAATTATAGAATTCTTAATACTATTATTAAAGTAGATTAATATTTATTACTTTTAATTAAAAACATATTTAGAATTATTATTAAAGCGAAATAATTTATTAAAATAGATATTATATAAGCGTTCTATAAAATTTATATAGCCGAAGAAGAGGAAGGGAAAACGGTATTTCGAATTCGATATAGGTTATTTAAGTAGTTAATTATATTTTTCGGATTATTAGGAATACCAACTACATTTTAATAATATATTAATAGTATTTTGGTGAATTATTTCGATAATTTTACTTTAGTATATATAAACAATATATTAATTTTTTCGTTAAGTTCTAAAATAGATTGTTTAAATAAAATATACAAAATTATTAAATATATAATCATTATTAGGTTCTATTTAGATTTTAAGAAATACGAGTTCGTGGTAAAGAGTATTAAATATTTAAATAGACCCGGAGAAAATTAAAGCGATTATTAAATAGGAGGTACCTACGTTTTAAAAAGGGGTACGAAATTTCTTTAAATTTACTAATTATTATTAGATATTCATTAAAGATTTTTCTTTAGTTATAGGATTATTAATAGTTTTTATAAGTAAAGGGGTCCCTTTTAAATAGATTAAGTAGTACGATATAGTTTTTAAGAAATTAAAGGAGTTATTTATTGAAGCCCTTATTTTTATTTAGTAGGATCCCAATTTATTTATTTTTTTAGAGGTAGATTATAATATGTATAGTTTCAGTGGTATCTTTATTCAAGAGAAGGATAGGTAGAAAATAATAGTTATTTATTATTTTTAAAAGTTTATTTTCATTAAGCGCAATTATTCCATTTATAATAAAGAAATGCTTACGATTATTAGGTATATAGAGGAGTGGTTTGTGGAATTTAGGAGTTGTAAGAAGTTTGTTATTGTTATTAATTATTATAATTTCGAATATTTTATAGAGAGGTAGAAATTCTTTAAATAATAGGCGCAATAGGCCGAATTCTTTTTATAGCTTAATTTAGAGATTTTTTACTACTTAGGGAAGTTTGCCGTAGTTTTTAATACTTTATCCCGTCGGGATTAGGATTACTTTAACGAAGAGGATATAGAGTTAGGGAAATATAGTTAATTTTCTAATTTATTTTTAAAAATTATATTTGTATAGTCGCTTCTTTTATTATAGCAGGGAAGGGCGTAAAGGTATTTGAGAATTTAAATTTATAATAATTTTTCAAAAAAGTTTTTTAAGAAGACGAAGTTTATTAAGTTATTTATTAAATTATTATTAATAAAAATAGGACCTTTCTAATTTCTACGTAGGGTTTAAAGGTTTAATTCGGTAAATATATTATCAATCGGTTCGGTAAATTATATTATAGAGGTTATATTTGGATTTTAAGAGTTTTTACTATTATTAAGGTTATAGCCTTATATATATCTTTAGAAGATATTGAAAGGAACGTTTTTAATACTTGTATTATTTAAAAAGTATACGATTTAAAAATCTTTAGGCACTTTAGAAGAGAAAGTATTATTTATATTATAAATAGAGATTTTTATTGGCCGTTAATAGGTATTTATATCTGTCGGTTTTTAATTAACTACGATATTTATAGTAAAGTAAAATATTGGAGAAATTAAAAAAGAGGGTTATTAAAGCTTCTTCTTATTTTAAATTAGTTCTTTAAAAATATTTAGATGGACTTTATTATTGATTTCCCCCTTGTAGGAGGTTGCGTTAATTTCTTCGTTATTAAAGATAGGTTTAGTAAATTAGGGATTTTAGAATTAATATTTATTATAGAGGTAGAAGTAGTAGCAGAAGTTTTCTTTAGATATTTTATATAATATTATAGGTAGTTGTAGTTTATTATTAATAATAAGGGTATTAATTGGATTAGCCGATTTTGGAAGTATTTTTTATTATTTATTAGGTATTAATTAGTTTTCAAATATTGTTTTTTACTTTTAAACCGACGGTAGCCCCGAAAGAATAAATTAGAAGGTGTAGGCCTTTTTGAAAGTTTTTATTAATTATGCTTAAAATGATTAGGATTATTAGTATGTTTCTATTCTTTACTATTTACGGCTATTATTTATAGTCCTTAGTAGCTTTAGTAATTCTTTTAATAGAAGCAGATTTTAAGAACTCGTAGGTTAGAATTAAGGATTTTGTTATAATATTATAATAAATTACGGATTTATATTAAGCGATTATAGTAGTTTTTGTATAAGAGTAGGAGCGTTTTATTAATTGTAAAAAGTAATTAGTTGAAGTTTTTAAGGTGGGAGATAAGGTTTGGTTAAATTTTAAGAATTTTACTATAGCCTACCCTAAGAAGAAGTTCGATTAGATCTATACGAAATATATGGTATTTAGAATTTTTAACCCTTTTATAGTAGAGTTTTCCGAATTTTTTTTAAAGGTCTTTAATTAAATTTTATATAGATTTATTTAAGAGGGTTCGTGATAATTCTTTATTAGGTTAAATTATTATTAATTTTTAATTACTAATTATTATAGGAGATAGGGAGAAAGAGTGTCTTGTAAATAAAATTTTCCATTATACGATCAAGAAAGGTCGTAGAATAATTTTAATTAATTAAATTAGTTAAGAATAATAATTTTAAGAGTTATTAGAAGAATTTGTTAATATAGTGGCCTTGGACTATTTCGAAGCAAAATATAGCCTAATTAATATTAATAATGGATTAGTTGAATAGTTTAGTACGGAGTATACGAAGTAATAGAGATAATAATAAAGGAAGAAAAAAAAAGGGTAGTAAATATCAATTTTAAATTCTTTTAATTCTTTTTCAATATTTTACGCTTCCAGTTATTCTTAATTTTTATAATTTCTAATTATTTTTCGAACGATTTAAAGCGGGCTATTAGTTTTATTAAAGTAGGTTCTTTAGAGGGCAGGGCGGGGGTTAGGGGAATAGTTGGGGTAGTAGGAGCGGTAGGGGTTAACGGAATAGCAGCGGCGTTACTAGGGGCCGAAAGGAAGTAATTATATTTTTATTTAAAAGTTTCAATTAATCGAAATTTATTTTACTAAAGTAAATAAAATAAAAGGAATTTATCAAGAAATAGCGTTATTTTTATATAGTTCGGCGGTATAACATTGGATAGTTATAGTTTTATAAATATACCCAAAGGCTTTTATTTTTATTTTATTAAAAGTCACCGCTTCTCAAATTATAGTAAATTTTTTAATTAAAGACGAAGCTCAGCTATATTATTTATTATTGTTATAATAGATTATATACGCCCGGTTTCTAGGCTTAGTATAGTGTTTGCGCAGGATATTTAAATATAAAATATATAGGATTTCGGAGAGGTTATAATTTAGTTAAAGAATAAATAAAATTAATAACGATTTTTTGAAGTAGGAATAATAAGGAGGATTTATTAGTAAGTATTTAGATTTAATAAATTTAGGCTTTTTAAGGGTAATAATAGGGTTTTTAATACGTTTATAATAGGCGGCCGCCTCTTAGGAGGGGGATTAGGAATTATATAATAATAGCGAAGACGGGGCTTCGTTTTTAGATGGTTAAAATAGAAATAAGAACGGTTCGGACGAAATTAGGCGAAGTATTTATTTGAGTTAGGAAGGGTAGGTGAGGAATTTGTTAAGGGATAGTAATATTTATTTTAGTAATTTAAACGATAATTAGAAAGAAAAGAAGAAAGGAAAGAGAAAGGAGAAAGAAGTAAGGGGAAGGGTTTTTGTATATAATTCTAGAGGTGTGTGTGTGCGTGCGCTATTGCTTGCTACCTACTACTTTCGTTGGTTGAAATAGAAGGAGTAAATATATAGAGAGGTAGGAGGAGGGAGGAGGGGGGTAATATTATAGGGTTAAGGCCTAGGTTATAGTATTTTAATTATCGATTAGAGCTATTATGAGGCGCCGTGGTTATATTTATATAGCCTCTATTAAAACTTTGTATTTCCGGTAGAGCCGCCTCTTAAATAGAACTTTTTTTCTTTATAGAACCTTAATTAAGCTATACGACTAGCACTTGTGTTAATTGTGCTGTCCCCATTATATTCTTACTTTATTACCTTTACATATAAATACTAATTATACCTCACAAGTATCGAAATAACCCCTTAATAATTAGTATTAATAATAACTACTTTAATAAGATTAAACCGTACTAATAATAACAACGATAATTCTATTACTATCCCTCGCGCTAATAGTAAATAGGTACGTCGATATATAGAGAAGGGAAACTTCTATAACGTTCGAATAAAATCGATAGCGTAAGTAAAAAAGGCATTACAAATACGGGCAAATATAAACGAGGTCTTTTAGTTATTCTATAAGACTATTACGAAATATAAATTAAGAGGGATAATATCTAGAATAGTAATAAATTTAATTTTAGAGTTAGTATATTAAATAAAACCTATTTCGTATAAATTTATACTAAAATAACCGAAGTGTAATCTATTAATCCTAACTAAAAAATCCTTATTACTATTCTTAAAACTATCTCTACTTCTAATCGTACTATACTACCCTTCGTTTTACTCCCCGGCGTTAATATTACATACAAGTATATTAATAATTCCCTTAACAATAGGACAATCCTCGCCGCATCCGTACGAAAGTATATAAATAACTAATATACGCTAAATTAATTCAAATACTAAGAGGAGCATTTACAACCTATTAATAAGGAAGAGAGGCGAATTTTAATATTAAATAATATAGTAATTACTATACTATCGAATTTTACGAATAATATAAGCGAAATAATATTACCCTATTTCTTTTACTTCCTTATTCTACCTACTTCCTTTAACCTCTCGATATTAGGATATTTTAGATCTATAAACATTTTTATTAGGTAGATATATGTAAGAAGTTCGCCTTCAATAACGTAAACTATAATAAATTAAATTTTCTTAATAACCTTAAGTAAGTTCGTAAGAAGGTGTCACAAGATTGCCTATAACTGTGCTTGGCACATGCACGGCTCCTACTATAGGTAGTTGAGCCTCGTGCCGTACTATTGCCGCTATTAGCCAATAGTATATTACGTACATATATACGTCCGCTAGTCCCAGCTCTAAGTATAGCCTTCGTACTTTATCCTATATCGCTAAATTTACGTATACTTCTCTTCTCCTCTCTTCGTATAATTACGTATATTTAATCTACTCCCTACTATTTGCTTTACTCTGTAATAGTTAATTACACCTTTCTATTACGCTGCGAATATATGTTATTATTATTACCGCTATTATTAAAAATCTCTAACGTACTCGCAATCTAATGCACTATAATAAATTAATTAGTCATACCGTAATATTAAATTAAGTAATTGTATTATAATACTTTCGAACGCTTATAAAGTAGAACTCTTTTTGTCTTTTATTAAATATTGCTATATAATAGTACCCTATTATTTAAATGATTAATATCTTTTATTATTAATATAGATATTACGATTTCTATAATTAGTTCTATTATTGATCCTACTTACGAATAATTCTTCGATAATATTATTAAGGCCCTTAACGGTAATTAAGAACTAAATAATTTAATTAAAGAGGACCTTTTTAATATTATTTTATAATTAATTAATTACCCTGCCTTCTCCTATATTATTACCGCCCTCGTACGCTTAATTAACGAAAATGTAATTAAAGTTGATTTATTTACTACTATAGTAGAAAATACGTTAATTATTATTAAAAAGTAATGTATTGCGTAAAATATTATAATTGCTAATCTTTTTAATATAATTAATATTTTAAATAGTAAAGTTATTATTTTTAAAAAGTATTTTATAAATATTTAAAATAATTTAACCGACTTTAATTCTATTTTCTTTACCGCTAATAAAATTTCAACCAAATTTAAAAAGGACATTACTACTTAAATTAAAGCCTTTAAGGACGCCCTCCGTACGAAAATTAATTTACCCGAAATTATCCCCATACTTAAGAATAACGAAGAAGAAAATAATATATTTACCCTTATTCTTAAATTACGTATTAATAAGGATCCCGAAGTTTTTACCGGCGAGGGTAATATAATTATTAAACGTATTAAATCTTACTATATTTAGCATATAAAGATCGAATTCTATTAATTTTAAGATGCTGAGTACTTTAATTAACATAAGCGTTATAAAATTATTTAAATTTTATAATATTTAGGTAGTCCTGTATTTTACGTTCTATTGCCCTAGGTTATATTAATATTAATGGTGGTTGATAAAAATAAATAAGTATAGAAGATTAGCGAATTTTTATTCGCTTACTTTGATATTAAATATAATTATATAAATTTTACCTTCGAATTCTATTGCGATTTTGAAAATTTGAAAATAATCAAGGGTTAAAATAATTCGATTTCGAACATAAATTTATTACCCTTATTGACCGTTATAATTTAAATAATACTATAAAAACCTATTATTTAAAAATAAAGGTTACTGACTAAGTTTATAACGTTATTGCGTACTAGTAAGAGACTCCCGCTCTTAACGATTATAATAAGTAGTTTACTATATATTGTAAGTTCGCTACTAACTTCGAAGAGTGTAATTAGTATAATAAAATTATTATATTTTATAAGAATAATAATTCCGGTAATTCTAGCTCCAGTTCTAGTAATAGTGATTCCGCCTCCGCCTCCGGATATACTATTAATTAAAATAGTAACGCTATAAATTTTAATACTATATTTGCCCTCGATATTTCTCTAGCTTGTATAATTAATAAAATTATTATTAATTACTACGTATAGAATAATCTATATAAATACTACGTTAAACTGGGTTATTAGGCGATTAATTATTATAATAGTATTAATACTAGTATTTTTAGGTTGGAGAGAGACTGTAATTACTATAATAACTATTATAGTAGTAGTAACGGAAGTAATAATAATTAATCCGTTATAGGCTAAACCGGCTATAGTAATGGCGTTCGTATTAATACTATAGGTATTAGAGAGGCTATTCCCGCCGCTCCTACTACTATAACCGCTCCGCCTATCGCCCTAATTCCCTCCGCCGCCGGCGAATATAGCGCGGGAAATACGTAACCTCCCTATTAAATTATACGGAGAAGCTATTATTTATTATAGTAATAAAAAAGGAGCATATAAATTTAATAAATTTAGAAATTATTTAATTAAAGAATTTAATTTTAAATCATTATAATAATAATTTCATCTTATTTTCTACTTATATTATTTACAGATTACGTAATTAAAGGAATAAATATACTATTTTAATCGACAATAGGTATTTAATATTCGCTTTTATTAATTATAATTTTACTATTTATTATATTATACTATTATTAAAGCTTCCTAAGCTAAAGGCTTTATATTTAGCCGACAGCGTCCCTAAGGATTTTATTATTTACTATTACGAAATCTAATTTTAAATTGGCTATTATATAGAAATAATTGTAATATTAACGTAAAATTTAATAGTAGATTACCTGGTAATTTTAAATATACTATAGTTCACATTTTATAACCCCTTAATATTTTAATTAAATAGATTAATTACTTTTAAGAAAATATATATTAGACATTGCTTACCCGTAAATTTATTTATTTCCTTTCGTCAAATACCTAAAGCTTAGGATAATAATTATACGAAACGTTATGAAGTTTTAAATTAAATTATTACCCCGCCTTTATCCTTAATAATAGAAGATAATACTGAAGAATCTTTATAACCCGAAAATAGAATAATATTCTATTTATAGGAGATGAATATACCCTTATAATTAAACTTTAACCCTAGAACCGCTAGCCGTCTATTACCCATTTAATAAATGAGATGTGCTATAAAATAATGTTTCGTACCGCTAGAAGTCTATTAAATACGTTCTAATATACTGTTAATTACAAACCCCGCCTCTAAAATGAAACTTGCAATTTACTATTTTATTACTAGTTAATAGAAATTTAATATAGGCTACTGTATATATATTCGCCGTATTTATTATTCGAACGATTTAATCATTTTAATAGATATTAAAGATTTAATAGTAGTTAATTTTAATTGGCTTTACGAAATTTATAAATTACGAATATTCTATATATTATACGCCGAAATTATAGATATTGTAGAGGAAGTTAAGGCGGAAAAGAAAGTCTGGGCTAAAGAAGTAGAGGGAAACGTCTTAAAATTTAAAGAGTAAAGAAATAATAGAAGGGTTATCGAATGAAGGGTAAGGATAAGAATAAGAAATTTATTAATTAAAGAAATAATATAGGAAATTATAAATAGTAAGGGTATTAAATATAAGAGGTTATTAGGTAAATATTTCTACTTTTAAATTAATGTCTACGCGGGTGGAGGATCTAAAGTTACTATTCGAGTTATTAGAATTATTAATAAAATTTACTTAAATAGTAAGTTAAATAAAGATTTCGAACGTTGTAAGGAAGCTATTAAAATTGTTAGGATTATTGAGGAAAACGCTGCTAAATTCTATAAAAAAGCCGATAAGCCCCCTAAAATTAACGAATAAATTAAAGAAAATTTTCTTAAATAATATTAGAAATATATGAACGTTTGTAAATTTAAGAAAGTTATAATTACCCCCCCTCACCGCTCTTATAACGTTAAAATCGAATTAAAATTAAGCGAATAAGTGCCCTATTTAAAGTTAAAACTTTTTAACCTTAACGAATTAAACATAATTAAAAAATAAATCGACGACAATTTTAAAATCGGATTTATCCACCTATTCTAATTAGAGGCCGCTTTTTAAATTTTATTCTCAAAGAAACCGGGCGGCGGAATAAGAATTTTCGTAAATATAAAAGTATTAATAATATTATATTTAAGAGCTAATACCCCTTCTTTTTAATTAAAGAGACTTTTAACGTTATTTATAAGGCTAAAATCTTTATTAAATTAGATATTATCGCCGCTTTTAACCGTATCTACGTAGTAGAAGGGTATAAATAGTTAATTATTTTTATTACTCGTTTCGAGCTCTTTAAATCCTTAATATACCCTTTCGGGCTATAAAGAATTTTAAATACCTTTTAAAATTACGTTAATGATATCCTATACGATATATTAAATATATATGCGACTACTTATTTCGATAATATCCTAATCTTTTTTAATAACGAGGAGGACTATAAGCAATATATAAACGACGTTCTCGAACGCTTAGCCAAGGCTAACCTATAAATAAATATTAATAAATACGAACTCTATATTAAAAAATTGAATATTTAGGATCAAATATTATATTTAGAAATATTAAAATAAATTTAAAGAAGGTTAAAACTATCGCCGACTAATAGCCCCCTACTTTTAAAAAATTCTTAAAAAGCTTCCTAGGCTTTACTAATTTCTATTAGTATTTTATTAAAGAATTTTCAACTATAACTATATTATTATACAATTTTACGAAATAAAATATCGAATAGGTATAGACTTTAATTTAGTAATCCGCTTTCAAAATATTGAAAGCTACTTTTAGTAGCGGACCTACTTTATATATATACGATTAATCTAAAAAAAATAATTGTAGAAATAAACGCTTCCAATTAAATATTAGGCAATACCTTCTTTTAATATAGGGACGACGGAATATTCTACCCTATAATTTATTTCTTATTAAAGTATACCGCCTAATAATATAATTATAATATTTTTAATAAGGAATTGCTAGCCATTATTAAAGCTTTAGAGGAATAGAGGCTAAATTTAGAGGTCGTTTAATAGCTATTTAATATCGTTATAGATTATAAGAATTTAAAGATTTTTACTACGAATAAATACTTAACCCTTTACTATATACGCTAATTATAATTTTTATTCTATTTTAATTTTTTAATCCGCTATACCCCAGATTCGAAGAATCTTCGCCCCGATACTTTGAGTAGGAAGCCCGAGGATATACTTTTAAATATAAAGGATTATTATTTAAAAATTAAAAACCGCAAATTAATCGACCCCGTTCGTTTTGAAAACGGTTATTTTAAATTATCGGCTATAAGTATTAATAATTTAAATTTCAATAAAGAAGTTTTCTTTCTAACCTTAAACGCCCTAAATGAATTAAATAAATTTACGGACAATATTATTAAAAAAAGCTATACTTAATTTTTAGTAATATAGGAGGTAATAATTTATTTGCAGGACCCGAACCGTTTTAAATAGTGCCCTTATATTAAAAAAAAGTTGAAAGTAGCATTCGTAGAATATTTAATAATAAAAAATAAAATATATTATAAGAGGAAAATATTTATTAACCCCGACGATATAATTATTTATTTATAATTGATTTATTATACGTATTTATTTTTAATGGCGGGCTACCCGGGTAAAAATAAAACCTAAATATAAATAAACGAATATTAGTATTAGTCCAATATAGCGGAGGCTATTAGGGCTTACTATAAGGGTTATTTAATTTATTTAAAAATTAAAATATTGTGGAAAACTAAAGTAGGCTACTTTAAGTTAATGCTAGCCTCTTTCATACCCTAGACCGATATTTCGGTCGATTATATTTCCCTACTCCCTGAAAATCTATATTTAAATTAGAAATTTAAATATATTACTATTGTAATAAATTAATTAATTAAAATTTTATTATTATACCGTTACCGAGACTATAGAAGTTAAAAAAATTATTTTATTATTTTATTAAACGGGTATATACCCTTTATGACCTCCTTAATATTATAGTATCCGATAGAAGCTCTTAATTTATATTATTATTCTAGTCTACGATTTATAAAAGATTAGTAATTAAGAAGCTACTTAATTCCGTTTTTTACTCTTAAACGAATGCCCAAATAGAGTATATCAACGCGGAAATAAAATAATATTTACAAATTTTCGTAAATTAGGTATAAACGGACTAAGCTAAGTCATTATTACTAACGGAATTCGCCGGTAATAATATAGTTTTAGAAATTATAGGAATTACTCTATTTTTTACTACCTATAAATTTTACCCGTATATAAATATCGAACTTTCTTCAATTACCCCCTTATAATTTTCGTTTACTTAATAAAAAGAATATTTAAAAGTTAACGAATTAATAGTTTGCTTTAAAATTATTTAGGATTATATATGTACTTCGATAAAGAAGGTATAAAACTGTTACGAAGCTAATATTAACGAAAAATAATTCGATACGCCAAAATACCAGCCTAAGGACTTAATTATACTAAATATAACTAATTTAATTAATTGGCGCCCTTATAATAAACTATACCCTCGCTAGGGGAGCCCTTTCAAAACCGAATAAATATATTCCTATAATATTAAATTTATTTTACTCACTAATATAAAATACTCCCTAATCTTCTATACCTTTATAATTAAATTATATAGGGAAGGTTTATCCGGTTAAACTACTATTTAAGAGGATATACGAATTAATAAAGGTAGGGTTATAATTAGAATTAATAATTATAAAGAAATAATAAAATAGGAATTCGATAAATTTCCAAATTATAAATAGAAGGGAAATAATTACTATTAATTCTATATAATAATATAAATTTATTATAACTTTACTAAAGAATTAATTACTAACGTAATTAATGTAATGAAGGCTATTATAACCTTCTATAATAATTACCCCAAAGCGCTGATTCCGTTAAGAATTTAAAAATAATTAAAGATTATAACTATATTATAAAAGTAAACCCTAGCCCTAATACTACGAATTCTAACGCCCTACGTACCCCGAATACCCCGAATTATATTATTAATTCCACCCTTAATATTACCGACCCTAACCCTAGCCCCAAAACGCTCTAAGCGTATTACTAATTTAAAAGAATATATCAACGCCACCGTTGCAAATATTACAACCGAACAGTAAGTAGCCCCGCCCCTAAAGCTAGGCCTAACGGTCGAAACAATCCCCTATAAGCTAAAAGTACTATTTATAAAGGATATAAAGAAGTTAGATAAAGTTTTCAATAATATCTTTAAAGAATTGTCGGAAATATAATAAAGAAAGAGGCTCCCTACGAAGAATATAGAGGATATGCTAGAGGCGGGGACCTATTAATAAAATAATAATAATTAAATAATAGAAGAGCTTAGGGATATAAGGAGGATCCGGGAATTTGAAAGCGGAAGATCTTATTTATAAGTAAAGGAGTTTAAAGATAAGGATTGAAAGATAATCTATTATTTCATATATATATAGATTTTAAAACTATAGAACTTCTTTTATAGGGAGGAAATATTACAAAATTACCTATAACTATACTTAACATATATACGGCTCCTACCATAAGTAATTAAGCCTCGTGCCGTACTATTACTGCTATTAGCTAATAGCATATTACGTATATATATACGTACGCTGGTCCCGGCTCTAGGCATAGCCTTCGTACTTTGCCCTATATCACTAGACCTGCGTATACTTCTCTTCTCCTCTCCTCGTACAACTACGCATATCCAATCTACCCCCTACTACTCGCCTTGCCCCGTGATAGAAGGTATTCAAACCAATTAATATACATTTTATTTAGAAACGTACCGGCTTAGCTCCCTTCAACCCTAATTTAATCATATCAAACCTTCGTAATCCGTTAACCTCATTAATAAACAACGAATTTATTAAAGAAAAGCGAGGGTATATAATTCGTCTCGCTAAATAGGGATTTATCGACTTTAGTATAGAAAAAGAACGAATATAATTTCGTATATTAAGGAAACTATTTACCAATGTACTAAATAATCCCCCTGTTGTATATAACCCCTATATAATAAGGGAATTCCCTATTTTACCAGAGCTATTTATACCTAAGTAGAAAGACCGCTCTTAAAGAGAATAGAACAATATAATTATATTAATTCTTAACCTCCTCTCTATTAAAAAGTATAATAAATATATTAATTAACGGCTTTCGTTTATAATTAAGGGAGATTACCCAATATTATTAACGGTTTTATACGTATTTGCCCAGTGAAATAAGGCTAGTAATGCACTTAGTTAATTAATTATAAAGGAGGTTAAATTAAAGCGTAAGTATAAAGATAAAGTAGTTAAAGAGGTACTACGTAAATTTTATACTACTAACCGTCTATTAGGCTGTAATAATATAATTATTATTAGTGATAGTAAATTATATACGGCTATAAATGAGTATTAACGTATTACCCTCACTAAGAAAGAAAATGACTGTATTTATATTCAAAAACTTCAATGAAAATAGAGTATATTAAGTAAATAGGTCAATAGCTTTATTATAATTTGAAAAATATAATTAACAAGCGAGAGGTTATAGTTACGTGTTATTAAAATACTAAGGAAGGAGATTTAAATATATACTATTCTATATAGAATTTAATTATTTAATAAATTATAGCTTATTAATTAATACCGTAAGAAGAGGGTAAACTGCTGGCGCTACTTTTAAGTAGAATAGTAAAAGGCTATAAATAATAAAGTAAAAAGGTTAAGGGGTAAACGTACTATAAAGGTCATAACCCTACCCATTTATTAATAACTTTCTAATAATCCCCCCAAATTATATACTCTATAAGTATTTAGTAAAGTAAGAAAGAAAATTACAAATAATACTATTACTACCTAATTAACTAATAAAAATACTAGTATAATACTAATTGCTAAAGAGGAACTACTAAAAACAAAGGTTATTAAAAATAAAGAATATATTAATCTACAAGATAATTTAAATTAGTAATACTTTAACAACAAACGGTATACCCAAATAAACAAAGAGGATAAGGAATATAAGGAATATAAAAATAAGGCTATTTCTAACAATGACGACGACGACGAGGGGGGGGAGGAGGATAATAATAACGATATAGAGGGATATAGGGATTCTAATTACGAGGAGGTTAATATACTACAGCAATAAGGGTATATAAAATAATCCATGTCATTAGACTCATACGTGTGCAAAATAACAATAATTTTACGTGTTGATGTATATGCTGGTCATGTCAGCGATTTTGCATGCGACTAAGAAATATGGATATATTATTATAAAAAACTATTGGCTCCGGGCGGAAGACTTCTATTTGTATGGGAAACGTTAGTAAGTGGATGTACCCCGCTCGGTATGAATCGCTGGTCGTGTACGAATCGCTGGCCCTGACTAGGGGGTTTCCCGCTAGTCAGCCGCCGATTTTGTAGGCCTGACGAGTATCTCTATCTACCTCTGCGTAGCATTATTGATAAGATTTCTTCCATGGACCTTCTCTGACCATTCGAAGTTTCTGCCGTGTTGCTTCCGTCACGAACTCCCACCTGCTCATTCACCTTAATCACCTCGGACACTTGGACAAACCACTAGACTTGCGGTTCATCATCACTACCAGAAAGAATCAAGAGAGGGGAATAGATCAACATATAACCACGGCAAAACGCACAGCTCCAAGGAGAAGGATTCCGGTGAAGATCTATCTATACCTCCAAGTCTGAAGCCTCACGTCGTGTTCCCATCCAGTTTCAAGTTGCAGATGATCGGGTAGGTATGTAGTTACTGTGCGTAGATTAACATGGTCAATTTAAGTGTTCACATACGATCCGATTCTTGCAATACTCCGCAAGCATGTGAAAAGAAATCACCGCGCGGAGCACTATGGCGAAGAACCCCGTACTGTATATCAAATAGTTCATTCTTCAAATGGGTTTAGCATCAACAACAACACACATCACTTGGAAATGAGAGCTCCAGAAAAGATCCAAGAGAAAGCACGTCGCTTGATTTTCGGGGTATGTCCACTAGCTGACACAAACTCACAAAACTAACTAGCGGTACTCACTCCATCTTCCTGTACCGGTAACAAATCCAGGACAGCCGACGCCTTCCTCTTCGACACCGTTGATGGGAAGATTATTAGCGGCATCATAGACTCGATGGTCGCTGTCGCTCCAGACATAAGCTTTGATTTGTGAGAGGCAGTAATCCTCGGCAGCTTGCTCAACCTTGGCCACATCGTGGAACTCCGCGCAGCATGTCCGCGTCCAAGTCCCAACATGACAAGCTTTACAGACCAGGCCGTCCACATTCCGCACAGGTCTTCTGGCCAAGCGCCAACCCACAAAAAACATGCTCCCACAACTCGTCGATCTCAACCATCGAAAGAACATACACCCAGACTTCTATCTGGATCAGGGCCTCCAATTCCCCTCGTACCATCCTCCCGAGGAGCAACCGGCTCTCCGTCCCTTCCCGCCTCTTCCTCGAGTCGCTGAACAGGATCATCCAGTAGTCGTCGTCCGTCTTTTCCTCTTCCACCCAGCGCTTCCATTTCCATTTCTGCTTAGCCATGGAAAGAACCTGGAGAAGCCCAGCCACCGTTGCTCCCGAGGAGCAACCGGCTCTACTCTTCCATCGGGTACTTGGCGCTCTGGCTGCCGTCTGGGTAAGTGAGGTGCTTCCTTGTTCTTGGATGCGGCTGTTGATGCCTTTTGCTTGGGGGCCGGTTTGTCGAGAACAGTACCCTTGACATCCAAAGGAGGGAACTGCTTCGCGGCATTGGTGTTGGTCGGTGTTTTGGTGATGTTTATGTTGAATATTGAATCGACCTGGTGGAGGACGAAAGCCTTGCGTGTCTGGGTCGAAGACGAGTATATATTGACTGTCTGCTGTAGTGCGGACGCTATTGTATTGATATTTGTCTCCGTTATCATCGATCGTCGTCGGGAGCCGTGAGGGTGTTCTCCTGCGGGTGGTGGAGAGAATCAGATTCTCTTCAAGCGTGAAGATGATCGTCGTGTAGAAGCAAAACTCTGGTGACTGCACATCGGGTACATGTCTCCAGATGTCGGTCAGCGGTCCGTCATGATCGTTATGCTCCAAAATCTGCCGGACCCTCGCCTTCTCTCTGAAGACGAGTTGCTCGATCAAGAGTTTTGATCGGTCGAATCCTTGGGCGACTTTCCGCTAGTCAGCGGCGACTAGTAGCCCAGACGAGAATAATAATCAACGCTCATTTCATCTGACGCAACATAAATAAATTGTTCGTCAGTCATGAATCGGAGCCGAGCTTCTTCAGATGTCCTCTTCCATCTCGTCCCATCCCCGTACCTATCGTCCTCCTCTACATCTCCTTACTACCTGCTTGGTTGGGCCCAAGGTAAAGTAGCCTCTCGTTGGAACCGCCTCCTCCACGTCTGATAAATGTTCTGTTAGAACATCGAATGTGTTATTGCCGCCGTGCCAGCGCCGCTCTTGCATCGACTGTCCGTTTAAATGCCTAGCCCATCCCCAAAGTCGGGCTATCACTAGTTCAACCTGTCCCGTCCCCGTTTCGTCCGTCATACTCTCCTTTAAGAAGTTCTGGTCAATTTTGTACCTAGCACGCGGGGTAAAATGAAATTGGACTTGGTAGTTCCGATATCCAAAGTCATGGTGCTGGCAAGTCGGCTTAAACGGGAAGCCCCAAGGGCTGTCCGGCACGGCGGTACACCCGTCCGATGACCAGTCCCACTCGAGCACTCCGCGCGAGGACGTCTCGGCCGGAGGGACTAACAATATAGCCAATAAGGTTGGAGGTGGGCTTAAATTTATTGTAGCCAACACCCAGGCGAGCGAGAGTGTGTACGGAGACCAGGGAGAAATCAAGCTCAGGGGTAATGAGGAAGGACCCCGGTCTGGTAAGGGTTGCTTGTCTTCCATTACCAACATCTATACTTGCCCGGAAGTTCGCGTGACCTAGGCTATTTGTGTCGCTGCCGGAAAATTCGTCATGGATAGGCCACAGAAAAGTCGGGGATAGGTTTCCCACGGTCAAATTTCTGGATGTCTCCTAAGACTACCCGGTAGAGATGGACAAGTTGAGACTCACCAAAGGTCGTGACCACGTTGTTGAGTTGCTGCAACTCATCGAGAATCTCGCCCGCAGACCGCGATTGGCACGGGAACGCCGCTTCGTTCGACATCGTTATCGTTTTGTTTTCGTAACAATGTGGTGTATTAGGTGTTGGTAGGGTAACGGGTGAAGAGAACGGGTGAAGAGTCTGAGATCGAATCAGAATTGGCTCCGTATGAAGACGAACCGTCTGCATCCTCCCCCTCCCTTCACGCCGCCCCACCGGCTATTATCCGCTTGTTGTTCATGTTTCTTACAACCGGTAGAATGACGCAACGTATTCTAGCCCTTCAATTCAGGGACTAGAAGAGGGGTCCCGGCGGGGGGTTGGAGTTTATGTACTCCAAGAGGGCCTCGCAGCCTCGCTCGTTTAGCAGGGCGGCTGCGGCGGAGAATGTCGCTGCAGCCGAAGCTGCCGACGTGGACGACGTTGTCGTTGTCGCCCTGATCAGCGTACTGGCGCAGCGCAAGCTCCTTCTGGAACTCCCGACCGACCTGGCCGTACATGGCAACCAGCTGCTTGCACGCACCGACGAGCGCCTCGCGAGGAGTGAAAGCTGTTGAAGAGGGCGATGTCGTGTTCAGTGGCCCGGTTTAGGATTGCTGGATTGTTCGAGGGGCTTTTTTCGAGCCTCCACAAGTTCAACTCAATGAGGTTGTGTACGCCGGTGCTCTTGTTTCTTTGCGGTGTTGGCTTCACATAGTAGGGTACATCCCACTCGTCCAGCTCAGGATCAGAATCCCCCCACTTCGTAACCGAGTCCTCGGGTACGGTCTCGTCGAGGCGAACGTTTTCGAAAACGGATTCGTCTGATGGAACCGTCCGTTTGGATGCGGATCATGGCTTCCGGCACATTAGGATGGGCAACTGTGTGGTGTTAGTTTCTGTTTATTATTGTGGTGGTTGTGGTTGTAGTTGTGAGGAGGGGTTGTGAGGGCGAGAGGGAGGTGAGGGAGAGTGAGATGGGCTGAAGGGGAGGTAAAAACGTACTCCTATATCCGGCCATAAGAACGTGAGACGCCTACTTCAGGTGCTCAGCAAGGAGGTGTGGTCCTCCTTAAGGATCTTGAAGTCGGTGTTGGACATTCCTTTCATCAGTGTCAGCCTCACGTCACCACACTTTAATTTTCGTCACTTCATCCTCATAATATCACGTACCGGTGAAGACTTTTTGGGACTCTTCTGCGGTCTCTGAGGGAACTTGCGGCGGCAGCATCATGGCAGCCTCCAGCGAGGTACTCATTGGCACTTCAACGGAAGGGCGGACATCCGGAGCAGCAGCGGTCCCTTGGGTGGCCTGTCCCCAGGGACGGGAAGGGGACTTCGGCGATGATGGCTGGAACTCAACAACTACCACGTTAGCGGACTCGGAGGCCGCCGGCGATCCATAGGCCCGTTCGGCCGCTTGCCTTCGGAGAACTTCCGCGACGCTCTTTGTTGGCGAGGGTGCGTTGGAACGGGTGTTGCGGGCAATTGAATCAGTGAGGATCTCCCCGGGCGACGGTGGCCACCTCAATCTTCTTCTCCCCATCCTGGAGAAGGAAGAGCTTCTCCTCTTCGTTTGTGTCCTGGTCGGTCTGGAGCATCTCGGTCTGGGGCATCTGGGAATTTCCGTGTCTCTTGGATCTTGGTACGGCCTGAAAATTCGTATGCGAATAAATTCCATTTCGTCGAGTTGTCGATCGAACGGTGTGTAGTGCCTGCCTGCGCCTGACCCATATCTCCCGAGGGCGTAGAGTGGAATGGCGTGTGTGTTCGTGTTGTCAGACATCTTTGGGAGCAGATACTCGTCAGGTCGTCGAAGTTGGCGGTGGATGTGGTTGCGGAGTCGGATGAGCTGGTGGACGTGCTGGTGCTCGCCGTCGAAAGCGTCGGGCGAGGCCCGTTTTCGCCAGTGGTAGTTTGTCCAAAACCCCTTTCCGTGGGGCGGGCCTGGTGCCCGTTTTGACCGTTCTCAATACGGACCATAGTGCTGGTGTTGATTTGGACGAAAAATTGACCGTGATTAGGTATAGTTGATGCTTTCGCTTCCATGGCGACGGCGGGGTATGGGGGTTTGACCACCCCCTTGCAGTTGACACTGCTGACCTCAGGAGCTGGTGTCAATAGGCCATTTAAGACCTGCGTCTGCCCGAGAGCGGGAGCGGGAGGTATGTAGTCGGGGAAGGCTCGTCGTAGATTGTTTCAACGTTGGTGATATAGTGAACACCACGTTGGCTGTTGCTTGAGCTCGTAGGCTCGGGAGCAAGGGGGCCAGGTAGACGGCGCTGAGCCCGGAGAGACCGAGGAAGAGGGAGGCACGGTAGGGGATGGACTCAGCGCGGGACTCTGAGGAGGACTCTGAGGGGGGCATTGTGGCGGTTTTTCTTTTCCGGATAGCTTTTCTTTGGATAGTAGGAGAAGAAGATTGTAACTGGATTGTTCTGAGTCGGCTGGGGGGAATGCGGCTAACGTGAACGGAAAAGTAGCCATGCGATGAAGGACGGGCTCATGAAAGTCTGGAATGTGCAACTGTCCTCTTGATTGCGACGTTTGATGCCGCCAATTCCTGATGAGCCGCTGCACATATCTCTCCGGATAGCCAGGCAATTCATCACTGCGAAACATCGGAGGTTGGAAGGTAGAAACCTGGAAGTCCACCCCTAGTTGCTCCAATTGGGCCTGCAGGGTTTGCAAAGTTCCACGGGGGCAATAGCCATCGTAAGTAGCGTTGTCCGTCGCATCTTCCTCGTCATCCTCGCGATCACACACCACCGAGAGCAGCTTCAAATCGGCCTGATCGTTGGCGGGATTACCGTCGATAATTATTTGAGAGACGACCAATGCTGCCGTCGTTGGACGACGACAATGATTTTGTGTTGACAGTGCTAGCGTCGTTGGACGACGACGACAGGGAAGAAACCAACAAGAATACTCACCTGCGCTGGTGGTATGCCAGCTCACGGATTCCTTTGAAGGAGCCAAATGAGACATAGTGTCCGCTGTGAAGAGAGTCACCCAAAGAATCTGCCAGCCACAAAGAGAGGGATGGCGACAGAAATCACTTGCATCAAGACGCCAAAGTTGAAGACCCAAGAGGATATGATGAGACCCCATCGCCGACCTATCTTATCCGCCAGCAAGGGAGAAGCCAAAGCACCGACAAAGGTACCAGTCGAAAGGATAGAGACGATAAGGGAAGATTGCGAGGGGCTAATGGTCAATTTCCCATTGACATCCGTATAGCCAGTGGAGAAATGTTGCTTCCAGTATTTCATGGCAATGACGCCGTTGATATGCTGCCGGTGTCATAGCCAAAAAGAAGACCTCCTCTTCCTCCTCAAGAAGGATATCAGGCCCGAGTGATGCCGCCTCGGTGGGGGCGAAGAAAGGCACTAGCTCCACGAAGAGAGCGGGCTCGAAGAACATCTCCGGCCCGTGTGAGAACTCGTCCTCGTGTGCGTCGTAGGGAGTGGGAACCGAGGGGAGGGTGGAAGTAGAGGAGAATGCAAGGCAAAATCTCTTGAATGTAGAAGAGCAAGAGGAGGTGGACGGAGAAGAGGAATGCGAACGTCAGGAAGAGGACAGTAATATATTGGACGAAGAGGTTGAAGGCTGGCTCCATTCTGCCAGGCCAGCAACCTCTCCTCCAGGCCAGTCACAGCTATACCTCCTTCAAACGGAGAGCTACCACTCCGTGACAGGCCCGGAGTCATGTCCCAGACGAGCCAACTTGCAACTTGGAGCTTGGTAGATGGCCTTTTGGAAAAGACCGCACTCCTCTGGCGAGAAAGGACTGTCTTTGGACTGATGAAGTGCTCACATTGCCACATGGCCCCCAGGACCGGTCTGATCGTTGATAGAATTGTGGCCGCCTCCGGGCGCCGGTGCCGGTGCCGGTGCCGGTGACGATGACTGTGTCGGGAAGCGGGAAGGAGAGGGACTCGGTGCCCGACTCCTGCGTCTTCTGGCCGCCATGTCCGCTGCGACCTCCTCTCTTCGGTAAAATGGACTAGCGTGTCCCGACCAAGAGCCCGGAAAACTTGCCCACTGTGACACAGCGGCTACTACCAAAGATATCCTAGCAACGGCTGAGGAATTCTGGAACTCGAAAACAACTACGTCAGAGGACTCGGAGGCCGCTGGCGATCCATAGGCACGAGCCCACTTTAGGAAGCGTTAACCTCCTCATAGAACTTCTCAACAGTAGGGAGGACTTCATCTGCAAGTCATAAACAATTTCGTTAGCATCAAATTTAATGAGAACAAACCAAATAAGAGGTTATACGTACTAATGGCAACATCACTCCCGCACTTCTCCAACACGCACGCCGTGCCGGCTTGGACGATAGCCGACGCGTTGTCCGCCGTGCACCAGTACTTATAGTCGTCCTGGGAGCACCGTCATCTCAATGTCTCCGACGGTCACCTTCGGGGTCGTACCCCGAGTCCGAATCCTGGGAGGAGGGAGACAAGGGTTGAGGGAGTGATGGTGTGACTATGTCAACAACCGCGACTCATGGATGCCCATGATCGAATTCCTCGACGACCAGCACGAGTCCTACATGCTCCAGGAGCAACAACCCCGCCGTGGAAAAAAGAAAATGTGCAAGATGGATGAAGAGAGGCTCTTACGTTGCTCATGTTGGCTTGCTCGAGATGCTCCTCTGGTAGCGTATGCACAATCACCGCGACCTCCTCTTGTAGTAGGTTCGGTGGTACTGAGTACACGTTTGAATTGTTCGTTGACGGGAAATTTAAGGGAGAGGTGCCTGATCAGTTTCCCCTTTTCTGGATCCTGCACAGGCGTTTCGGAAAGCCCGCTTGATCATGTTGGCAGCAGAGGTGATGGGTCTGTCAGTGACGTTGTTGGAAACGTCGACATGGAGCGTCGTCAGATTTGGTAACAGTGAACTCGACCTCTTCCACCGCGGTCAAGGTGGATGATCTAGTGATGGTTCTTATTAAGAGACTGCCACTCGTCGAATGTATAGTAGGTTGCGCGGGCCTTCGAGTTGTTGGTCTTGTGAGCGTTGGGGCACCGAAGGTAAAGAGACTTTGCCCGATTAGCAGGGCACGGTAAACGAGGAGGTAGAACATCGGCCGAAGATGGTCGAGCGAGGATGGCACTTTTGATCGTTGATCAAAACAACCTGGCCGTTTCAAGCAAGATGGAGGTGCCTCTAAGGGTATCTTCACGGACTCAGGCATACTTTGTTCCAGAGGGATGGTATTCCAACGGAACGGCCTGGTCACCATCAATGACTTTCTTGTGCGTCCGGGATTGCCGGCAGCCATAGTCCATGTCAAGATTATCAAAATCCGGAACGATTGACCGGATGGGTGGCAGTGTTGAGCGTGGCAGCTCCCACCAAGCATTGAGAGACCAGAGTCTCGCAACAACAGCAACAAAGCTGCTGAGTCTTCAGTGTGTCGGTGTTTGAGTTGAATAAAAATAGAGGAGGCTCATGGAGCCGGCCGAATGAATCGGCCATAACACGGGTGATTCTGCAAAATCACGTTAGCCGACAATAGTCAAATGGCTGTTCACGAGAATCACTTACCCCCAAAAAAAACGACCTCACCAAGCATCGAGGTCCAGAGCTAAACCAGATGATCGGCCATGTACGTTCCAATCTCCCTACAATCGCATGAGCTGCATGGCGACATCCTTGATGTCCTTATCCTCCTCAGACACACAGCTTCTCACGGTGGGATCGGGTGTGAGCATGGTCCCTGCCCCTGTGGCAACACCCAAGAGTGAAGTCAAGATGAGGAGGAAACGACTTCGCCATGCCAAAACAGATAGCCCAGCTGATGTAGACTTGACAGATGCCGGACAGTGCTTATTAGAAGTAGGGACTCCCAATCAAGAGGAGGCCAACCCGTGAGATGCAAGTAGGGCGAGACAATGCCGGCACCACTCGCAGATTCTGCAATAGACAGGTGTCGGATTTGACACTGCGGCATTTGTCGCCGCCAATCCTTGTGAATGGAGAATGGGAGGAAGTCGCATGAAGTCGTCAAGTAGCCGGTTCAGGAGTTGCGTGATTCGACGCCGCTGCTGACTCCCATCTGCCGTTCTGCCCAGGGCCCACATGTAGTTCTCACTCGCTTCCTTGAGAGCAAGGAGGTCGGTGAGCTGCACGGGATAATCCTTCGGTGGTGGACGGGAAGACGGTCGGGGGCCGCGTTCTCTGACCAGCCGTTCTCGATTTTCCTCGTAGGTGTGGCTATCGAAGAAGAGATCGGCCTCGGAACCGGTGAAGCGTTCATGGGCAGTGAGGTCAAAGTCTGGCATATGGTCCCGGACCTCTTGCCCAAAATCAGGAGAAGCGGGCGCTCGCAGAGTTCCAACATAAGGCTTTTCCATGCCATGAACGTAATCGATCAGCTCGTCCGCATCCTTCAACCTTGTCAGGTGCCTCACGAGCTCAGTTTCGAAGCACCCAGCACGCTCTTCTGCTTGGATGGCATCTCCATTCATCCTCGTTGACCACATCAAGAATCTCATCATGTGGAGACGCATTCGAAAGGCGTAGCAACCCTTGGCGTGCATGAAACAGCCAGAGCACAATGGTGTGTCACGGAGGCTGGTGCCTTTCACAATCATCTTGAGCATCTGTCTTCTCCCGTCCTCAGCGCCCTCGGCCAAGCGAAACAGTGCTCGTAAGGGCAAGGCGTCCAGGGAACCGCATTTGACGCACTTGGTCTTGACCGGGAAGGCTGGCACGATCTGCGGCTGTTGAGGCGTGTCGAGGGGCTCAGACTTGGGTTGATGGGTTGAGGAGGATGGTGTTTCCGGAGCCTGGCTAGGGAGTGGTGTCGGGAGGGTCTCCATTGAGGAGGGTTTTAGTGAGGAGGGTTCCCGTGAGGAGGGTTCCGCTGGGTGTGGGCACATCAGGTCCGATGATCGCTGCACAAATAGTTAGCATCTCCATCGAATACAAGCAGAGGTGGTGTCAGAGGGTAAGGGAGAGTGTGGGACGCTCGAGTGTGATTGTTCTCAAGCTTTGCGGCTCGAAGAGTTGGGGAGGTGGGGAGGTAAACCGAGGAGAACTGACCTGGAGGATAATGCCACAATAAGAAAAAGAATATGACAGAATGGGAAAAGATATGAAGAGAAAAAGATATGGTGCTGATGTCAAAAGCTTTGAAGATGTTTTGTAAGATGGGACTGTTGATGAAGAGGAGAGGGGACAAGATCAGGAGGGGGGGAGAAGAGGGAGGTATAAGTAGTCGAGGGACGAGGAACTCTCGCAGAGGAGTGATTCTGTGAGAACGAGAGAGGTGTATATTACTTCCTTCCCTCTGCTTAACTGTCTCTTGCCATGCTGAGGCAATGGAGAGAAGGCCGAAACAGCAGCAAGCAAGAGAGAAACAGCCTGCCTCCTGTAGTTCCGCTGGCAGGAAGCTTTTTCAGATGACAGGGCGCCCACCACTTGAGCTCTGTAGCGTTAAACTGCCGAAGATGTTCTTTCTTCGTAAGGTCAAATGGTCGGGGGCTCGTCCAGAATTGAAGTTATGAGAGGATGGATTTACCTTAAAGACTCGGGGAGCCATTCCCAATTTGAAAGATCGAAGGCCTCCGACAACCAAGCATACCTACCGTATGAACTCATCAAACTTGGTCGGGTAAGTGCGAAACGTGCCAGAACCAAGCACTCGGAGCAGCATAACGTACTGGAAAGCATCTTCGGGTTTTGGTTCAGCGCAGAATACCGCAGTCTGCAACAATGACTCTACATGGAGTCCGCAGGTTCAGTTGCATGCCTAGATACCCGAGCCCCGATTTGACGAGTTTATACGGTATGGATGCTTCTTGACAACCGCCAGACCGACCCGACCAACATACAGGTAACACTGCCCCGGTTTCCCGAGTCTCTTCGGTAGGTATGAATCGATCGACCACGCAGCTGTGAAAAGAAGGCGCAGTCCTTCAACACAGGTTGTTGCTGACCAGGTCGCCAGACATTGGAAAGTGGAAGTCAGATGCCGTTGAGAGAAGACGTCACGATGCACGTTATGCAGAAGAGTGAAGAAGAAGGGACGGGAGACAAAGAGAAGGCGAAGATCTGAGAGGAGAAGGAGATAACAAGGAAGATGGTGAAGCCCGATGCCATTCCAAGCGGACATTTGCCAACTTGGATGAGAAGTGGAAGCCACGAGGCTGAGTGTTGGTAGGTGCTATCCATCGATCTTGACTTGACCCTTGTCGAGGCAGGTGGTATGCACAAATGGCTGGCTGGCTGTCTTAGTTCTCGGTCCCGGGGTTCAAGTGGGCCCTTCGAGATCGTTACTGCCTTGACATTCAGACATTGTCCCTAGTGGGGTCAAGGGTTCGACCGAGCTAAGGCTGCTGGATCAGATTTCTGCCACCAGGTAGGTACGCATTGGACATTTCTTGTTGCCATAACATCGGTCTCAACCGAAGACCTGATCCAGATTGAGCTTGTCAACAGAGACCAAGATGATTCCACAGGCAAGTCTGTTGCGTAGGTAGTACTGGCAATGTACCTACCTCTTTACTTCTTCGTTTCATCTCAACTGCTCAGCCAAGAGCGGTCACTCGCGTTGCAATATCGGATCTTTCTCACTGCTATACTGCTCGGTCGCTCTTTGCTCCCCGCTGGCCTCCCCAGCTTCCAACCAACTTCATTGCCTTCTCTCCACCTCCCTCTAACCTCTCATCCTTCAATGCGCCTGCTAGGCACTTCCATGGGTCTTTGCTACCTCCCCACTTGAGCAGGTTTCCCTTCAACCTCTCTCCATTTTCTCTTTGCAGCGCTGCTCCGCCTTGTCCACCGGAAAAGACAACATTCCATACCCTCTGAGCCAAGACCCGGTCAAAAAGGTAACTGTAATATGTGCTGCCGTATCCGACCAGATGGCCGAAGAAGCCCTGCCATGCAGTTCCCTGGGGATCAGGCGGCGCGGTGCTGTACTGTCTCTGAAGGTTGTGGAAGACTTCGGTGGAGTCGATGTGGCCTTGCGACGCCTTGGACGAGTGCAACTCCTGATCGAGCATGGCAAGGATGATTTGGTTCTCAGTGTCCAACGCCTCAAACCGACGGGCCTCGCGGATCTTGTTGTCAACCCACTCATACGGAAGGGGGTTGTCGGTCTCGTAGTGGCGTGCGAACAGAGCGAGAACAGACGGGTCAGCAGCAAAGTATTCCATCAGTGTAGAAGGAAGCTCGGCGAGATCAGTGGCGCAACGAGTACCGCTGACATTCTGGAAGGAGGTGCGGGCGAGGATCGAGTGGATAGCGTGACCCATCTCGTGGAAAAGAGTCTCGAGCTGGAAGAAGGACAGGAGAGCGGGCCGGTTGTGGGATTGCTGGGGGAAGTCGCACACAAGAGCAATGGTGGGAAGCTGTTTGATAGTACCGTCCTGGGAGCGAGAGTAGGCCATGCCATCATTGGCAGCAAACTCGGCAGACTCGAACGAGGGGATCAAAACATCAGGGTTTTCAGCTTGGGCATGGGCAGTCTCAGCAAGCTCTGTGGGTGACAGCTCACGAGAGCAGCGGAGGGTGAAGTGAGCTGGGTTCGGCGACTTGAGGGGACGGTAGAAGAGGTCGCAGTATAGAACGGCGACATGACCCTCAACATCCGAGACGACATCCAACCGGCGCACATCGGGATGCCAGGTCTCACCGGGCATGGGCTCGCGGGGGACGAAGCGAATACCGTAGAGACGAGTGAATATCCTGGAGAGACCTTGCATGACGGTGCCGAGGGAGAAGTAAGAGGACAGGTCTTCACGCTTCTGTCGGGACTTGATGGCCTGACGGATAGACTCGGCGTAGAAGTCCTTGTCCCAAGGTTCAAGTGTTGCGTCCTCACCCTTGTGGGCCCTCTTAGCCGCGGTAAGATCGGCCACCTCCTGTTGAGCTTGAGGTCTGGTGTTTTCGGCCAGAGCTTGGAGAAACTGTCTAACAGACTCGGGGGTGCTGGCCATCATACGGTCATGGAGGACGAGATGGCCATAACTCTCGAAACCAGAGAGCTTGGCCGACTCACCACGCAACAGCATGAGCTGCTCCAACAAATGGACAGTCCTGCGGGAAGCGGTGCGAGAAGCCATAAATAATTGGTGTCGGGCGTGGTCATCACGAACGGTACGAAGTGCTATTGAGGCTTGAGGACTCAGAGTTTGGACGTACACTTTGCCCATAGAAGTCATCCTCTTGACCTCCACGGGGTCCATGCCCATCATCCTGGACTTTTCAACGGTGCTGTATGGGGTCTTGGGCTCCATGTGCTGGATAAAGTTGGTTCCAGTCTGGCTGATTGCCGACGACAGTTGGACGAACTTGTCCCGAGCGTCCTTGGGCAAGTGAACGGCGGATTTGGCAAAGTCGAGCTTGAGGACCTCGGCCACCATCCTCTCCTCCTCAGACCAGGTGGAGCTAACATCTGGGTTGTCCATTGCCTTGACCAACTGGTCGTACAAGCCCGTCATGGTGTTGAGCTGGTTCATGTACTCGTACATCATGTCCCAGGCTACCGAGGCGGTCCTCTGGATGGCCTGGTCAGGGTGCGTGACGCGCACAAAGTCGGCCATGTCCAAGACGCGACATAGGATATCACTCAGGCGATCGAGATGGCGGACAACGGCGCGGTATTCGTCGAGAGATTGGGCGTTGAGGACCTTGTCGACCAGGGCGCGAGCCTTTCCCAAGCTCACCTGGGCAAAGTCGAGGAAGCCATGGGGGCTGGTGAGATATGCGTTACGGAAAAGACCGACATTGCGGCCATGTTTGTCGCCGGAGAACTGCTTCCATGTTTCGGGTGAATCGAAGATGGATCGTAGAAGGGAGTCGTCGTGCTTTGCCCCGCCGTTCTCGTGGGTGACGGGGGTACTACCCGTCAAGGTCTTGGGAGCTTGCGCAGTAAAGCCTGTGAATCGTCGCCGTTGCTGTCTAAGCAGAGGAGAGGGAGTGCGTCGTAGAAGGCAGTTGGAGCAGACCCAAAGCCGGGGCCTGCTGGCTTTGACCAGAGGCTGTATCATGGTGTCGAGGTGCCAACTGGGTTTGGAACTTGGAGGAGGAGAAGGAGGAGAAGGAGGAGGAGGAGGAGGAGGAGGAGGAGGACGTGGAGGAGGAGGAGGAGGAGGAGGAGGAGGAGGAGGAGGAGGAGGAGGAGGAGGAGGAGGAGGAGGAGGAGGAGGAGGACGTGGAGGAGGAGGAGGAGGACGTGGAGGAGGAGGAGGAGGAGGAGGAGGTGGAGGACTCGGTTTATGGTCGCTGGGTCGGTAATGGTTGTGGATGGCGGGGTGACCAACTACTACTATAGTGTTTGTCTAGGAGGCGAGCATGTGCCGCGATTGTTCTGTCGTGAATACTAGAGTAGATCTAGAGGTCGGGATATGGTGGTGTTACAATTGGTGATAGGAAAAAGAAGTAGTCAAGACAGAATTATGAGACAGAAGAAGTATTGCCTAGAACAAGTTCCAGTTGTGGAAAAGCAAACAAAAGTCAAAGTCAAGCTCGCAAAGTGCCTTTTTAGCGGTTATCGGTACGTACTCTCGGTACTCCAATTGACGGAACGGTAACTGTACCGCTGTAAAGGTACGTAACCGTCACCCGCCAAGAGACGATCCCCCCCAGTCCGCTGCGGGAACCACCCCACCACGCCCGCAAGCCGCGACCGCAGTGACCAGGGGCAGAAAAAGCAGCAGGAAACAAAGTCCCGAGTTCCCGGAATTTTACCGTAACGATACGGGTACCACAGCTGTACCTTGACAGAAGCTTGAATTGGACTTTTTGCGCCTGGGCTTGTATGTGCAGTGGACATCCGACCGATTGATTGATTATCCTCCAACTGCCCTCATCCCAAGCTCTCTTCGCCAGCTCTACCTACCCACCTCTCCCCCCCTCGTCGACTCCATCATCCCGACGCCGTCTTTCTTCCCTAGGTCAATTGGGTTGGATAATGGCTGCCAGACTTGCTTTCCAGCGGGTGAGCTGACTTTTCTCTTTTTCTCTATGCGACTCCAATGTCTCTCTCTGCATCATCACATGTGCTGCGTCATAAGGTAAACATGGACATGGGATACGGACTCATGCTAACTTCTTGACTTTGACCAACAACAGCGCGCCGCCCGGGCTACCGCCGCCGCCCTCGTCGGCTCCTTTGCCCTCGTTCCCACGGTCGCCTTCGCCGAAGCCTCCGAGAGCCGTGCCTCTGTACGTGTTCAGCCCGATTGCCGTCCTCCATATTCGCGCTCGCTAACCGACGTCATATCTCTGCCGAAACAGGCCAGAAAGCCCATCTACGACGATGACTTCGACGTTGTGCCATCCACCCCTTCCTTCACCACCGCCGAGACCACAAAAGACGTCAGCTCTCCCGCCGCTGCCACCTTAAACGCTCCCGTCACCACCAAGTCCCCCGCCGGCCAGAAGACCTTCACTGATAGCCTCATCGACGTCCTCGCCAGCACCAACACCCCCCGCGGCCCTACCCCTACCGACCGTCTGGCCGCCCAGATCCGCCGTGCCCGCCTCTTCCTCTACGAACAAGCCTGCGTCGCCGAGGACGCCGTCAACTCCGGCATGTCTCGCGCTTTCGACCTCGAGCACTCCTTCACCTCCACCATCGCCGGCCTCGCCCCTCCCCGCGAGAGCGGCGAGCGCCTCATGCCCGGCCTCATCTACGTTCTCGTCTCGGGTATGGCCGGCAGCATCGTTGCGCGCAACCGCGGCGTTGTCTTCCGCGGCGCCACCCCTCTCGCCTTCGGTCTCGGGGCTGCCTGGACCTTCCTCCCCGTCACCATGAACAACGTCAGCGCGCTGGCGTGGAAGTACGAGCAAAAGTTCCCTGCCGTGGCGAACGCGCACATCAGGACCCGTGAGGGCATTGAGAAGGGTATCTACATGGCCAAGGTACACACCGAGATTGCGCAGCACAAGGTCGAGGAGGCGGTTACTGGCGTGAGGGAGACGGTTGAGGGTTGGGTTCGCAAGGGCAAATAAATTGTTGCAGCATATCACTTATAGAGAAATGGGAACCAACAAGAGTGGACGATGATGGTTGTGAAAAAAAGAGAACGAAAAGCGGGCACAGGCACATGGGGCTGTGACCTGCGCGTGTGTGTGTGTGTGTGTGTGTACATGTGTTAGGTATAGCTGGGCAATTCCAAGTGAAAGCGGAAAATAGAGATCGTGTTAAGCTTCAGGCGCGAGGGAGTTCCTCTGCCATGTATATTGTACGATATCACATCACTTGGTGAGTGGAAAGGGTCAAGCTGAATGGTATGATATCCTCTTCACAATTGATGTTTCTTTTGTTAGCGTCACTCAGGGGCTCACCTTGGGGCTTGGCATGCGTTCCGCTTTGGGAAATAATTGGCTTCTGCATGTCAGCAGCTGAAGGATGAGTTTGACTTCGGTCTCTTCTCTTCACCATCTCTTCACCATCTCTTCACCATCGACAATCAACCTGAAGAGTTTTCAGGGTCCGGCTTGCAACATTCATCAAAGTTTTTCTTTCTGGCATCTAGACACATACTGGTGGCTCAATCGGCAACTATACTGACCTCTATTTTGTCTGCCTAAAATCAGGGGTATATATGGTGTCACAATTCCGTCAAAACCCACTTCATTCATCGCTCTTTCCCCGCCTTATCAGACCCTGAGACTGGTTGGTCTTTCTATCTTCTGTTCTAATTTCATCAGGCCATCTCACTCAACCTGCCACAAATGAAGTGAACAACCAACTCTTCAACCACATCAATCCCCCAACCAAAGTGATCACACAACCACCACAACACCACAACCATCATGGCACCCATAGCCAGCGAACCCCGCCAAGTCCGGGTAGTCCTCGACCTCCCCAAGCGCAAGGCTCTCTACACACTCGTCGTCGAAATAACAGATTGGATGCGATCCCAGCTCATCCTCAAGAACCCCAACCAGCAGAACCAAGCCAACAACAACGCCTCTCGGGAACCCAACACCTCCGGTGGCGGCCCATCGTCATCATCATCATCATCCCTCATCGATGATCTGGACCATGATGGTCCCCCCTTACCTACCCGACCCAGCCCCGGCGGCACCGGCGGCACCGGCGGCGGTCCTCGCTCAAATCCCAACTATAGCAGTGGTGGTAGTGATAGAATCGCCCCCCTCCGGCACGCCACCCTATCCCACTTCGACACCTGGCGCTCCTCCCTCCTCCAATCCCTTAAAGACCTCCTGACTCCCGCCGACGACACCAAAGAGATCGACGCCCGGCGGCAGCGCTCTGAACGACTCGCCCAACTAAAGCTAGAGTCCCCGGCGCCTGGAGAGAACTTGATTGATTCCGGCGACTTACTCGGTCCCGTCGCCGCCGCCGCCGCCGAAGACGGCAAGACCGTAGCCGCCCTAAGGCGGCAGCGACAGAAGAAGGAGGTAGCGGCGTTGCAGGGACGGTATCACGCTATTCCTACCCCCCGGCTACTACTGACCGTGATGAGTCAGGAGGATAGGGAGGAAGTGGTGGTTTGTCTCTTGCTGCTGCTTCTTTCGGGGGGCAAGTATGTGGCGGAGTCACGGACGTTTTTGGTTTACCTGTGCTCTGCTCTGGAGTTGCCGTTGGCGGTTTTGAACGAGCAAGAAGCGGAGGTGGCTACTTTCCTTGTTGAGTCCTCCAAATCTCCCGAAGCGCAGCAACAAATGTCAGCAGCTAAAGAAGCCGAAGAGCGCAAAAAGGCCAATCAGACCAGCCGACTGTGGAAAGTTGGCCTGGCTTCCGTTGCAGGAGCAGCGATTATTGGAGTTACGGGAGGACTGGCGGCGCCGGCGGTGGCGGGGGTGCTTGGCGGGTTGATGGGCAGTGTCGGGTTGGGAGGCGTGGCGAGTTTCTTGGGTGTGTTTTGGATGAATGGTGCGCTTGTGGGAACGCTTTTTGGGGCGTTGGGGGCGCAGATGACGGGGGAGATTGTGGATCAGTACGCGAGGGAAGTCGAAGACTTTGCCTTTCTGCCGTTGTCTGGGTCTGGGGCGAACCAGGGAGAGAGGTTGAGACTAACGATTGGGATCAACGGGTGGTTGACCGAGTCACTTTCTTCGCTGACTGCTCCCTGGTCGGCGCTGGACGCTAGGTCGTCGAACCTGTTTGCTTTGCGGTATGAAGTCGCGGCCATGTTGAATCTGGGAAACGCTTTGAGCGCCATGGTCACGAGCGCGGCGTGGACGTATATCAAGGTCGAGCTGCTGAAACGCACGGTTTTGGCGACGCTGTGGTCAGCTTTATGGCCGATTTCGTTGCTGTCGATGGCGTCGGCGCTGGATAACCCGTTTTCTCTTGCTAAAAACAGGTCGGAGAAGGCGGGCAAGATTCTGGCGGATGCGCTGATTAACAGAGTCCAGGGCGAACGGCCGGTGACGCTGATCGGGTATTCCCTGGGCGCAAGGGTTATTTACTCGTGCTTGCGCACGCTGGCGGAGCGCAGGGCGTTTGGACTTGTCGATGAGGTCATCCTCATCGGTGCACCGGTGCCGAGCGATAGGGATGCGTGGGAGATGATGAGGAGTGTGGTTAGTGGCAAGCTGTGGAACGTCTGCTCGGGCAACGATTACCTCCTGGCCTTCATATACCGGACTAGTTCCATTCAGCTGGGTGTGGCGGGGCTGCAGGAGATCAAGGGTATTGAGGGTGTTGAGAATCTCGACTTGACGGGGACGGTCAAGGGACATGTGCGCTACCCGGACATCTTGGGTAAGATTTTGGACAAGTGTGGTGTCGAGATTAAGGAAGGATTTGGAGGTGAGATTGAAGTTGAGCAGGATCTCACGAGGGAGGAGGAGATTGTGTTGGCGGATATGGAGGCACAAGGAAAGATTCCTGCGGTGTCAAGGGGGGACAAGGAAGCTTGAGTGTAATGTGATGAGATGGGTGGAAACGGAAAAGGAGATATATATAGGTTTCTTATGAGAGTACCTACCTAGTTTTAGTAGTCATTAATGGTATTCAACTTATAATAGCTCATCATCTTTATTACCACTTTTGTCTCTTTATTAGCGGGTTTCAAAAGTTGAGTAGTGATCAAGTCTTGAAAACGGCGAGAGTAATTGTATTGTAGCTAAGTACTTGATTGACAACTATGTTCATGGCACAAGAGGTTTTTATCCTCAACAAGCCGACCCGACCCATCTCATCTTCTCCATAGTAGTAATCAGAAAGCGATTGATACAATCTTTGTGAACAACTCTCGATAAACCCCCGAAAAAACAACATCACCATTTCATAGGTAGCCAGACCAGCACACCGCAACAGGAGAAAGCAATTCAGAACGAAACCATCGGCGAGGGGGAAAAAACACATAGTGTAAACCTCCTTAACCATTCCTTCACATTATCACCCTTACACTAGAGACAGACTAGGTAAACACAAACGACCGACCGAACTCAGCAAAACCCTTCCTTCCTTCCTTCCTCCCAAACAAACAACAAAATCAATGGATGGTATACCTTGATAAACACCCTCTCTTTACTCCAACAGCAGCAACAAACAAAAAAATTCAAACAAGCCAATCCTTCCTTATTTATTTCCCTTCTTATTTCCCGATACTTCCAGCCCCAGCCCCAGCTCCAGCTCCAGCTCCCGCTCCAGCTCCCGCTCCTGCTCCCGCTCCACCACCAACTCCCCCATTGTTATTCCCCGTCCAACTCCTAGCAAGCGGACTCCCCACCTTCGGCGCAAACTGCAAGCTCTTTCTCCTAGCCGCATTCAACCGCATCATCACCCCCAAATTTCTCTCGCGGTTATCGCCTCCTCTTAGGAGACCCATCGTTCCGGCCATTGTGCTACTTAGCGGTGGGCCGCTTAGTCCACTCAACGACGACGACGACGACGAGCCTTCACCGGCAGCGCCGGCGGTATTCCCGCCATCATCAATATCCATCTCATCCAGGGCCGCCGGCAATCCAGAACACGACCCAACCGACATTGAAAAGAGACTTGTTCCCCCCCTTGTCGTAGTACTAGGCACAGCATAACTCAAACTAGGCTTAGGCGGACACGTCATCGCTCCTCCCGCGTGAAGACCGTGACCGTGACCGTGACCCTCCGGCATCGCCTCCCTTAGGAACTCGGCTTCGTGACCGGCTTCGTCGGCGGGGATTAGGAATGACCCACCGTCAACCTCATCATTGTCACCGTCACCGTGACCGTAATCGGTGGAAGAAGCGGGAGATAGATTAGCTGCTAGACGGGCGACGGTTTCGGGGGCGGGAGTCTTGGGGATTGGTGAGAGGGTTGTCCATTCCCTTTCTTCTTCCTCCTCTTCTTCTGTTTCGTTGTGGGGTCTTGTGGTGGTGGACGTTGACATGGCGAGGATGGAGTCGCTTACGCGACGGTTGTCACCACCGGGGGATGAAGAAGAGGCGTCGGGAGAGGGAGGGGTGCGGACCCAGAGGGAGGAGGAGCGGCGTTTGCTGCGGCCGGTGTTGGTGGTGTTGCCGGGGGTTGTGGGGTGTTGTTGTTGGGTTTGGCGGGTGGTGGTTGAGGATGAGAATGAGTTGGTGGTAGTCGTGGTTGTGGTCGTGGTCGTGTTGGTTGTGCTGGTGGTGGTGGTGCTGCTGGAGCCGGAGCCAGAGCCGGAGGGAACGAGGGTGCCGTTGAGGTTGGCTAGCGCCTTGGGCTCCATGCTCTTTCTCCTGCGGGCACCACCGCGGGGGATGAAAGAGAGATCGATCAAGTAGTCGGCCTCATCTAGCCACTTGTTTTCACGTTCGCAACTGTAAATGGTTAGCATGTTGTTCATCAGTTCATCGGGGATAGAATACTCACTCAAGAACCCAGCTGACACCCACGCACTGCACGACACCTTGACTCTCCTTGACCTTCTCCAACGTCCTCTTGCTACCATCCTTGAATACCACATGCGTGATACCAATCTTATGCCCCGGCCCAGACACCGGTTCATCACCCGACGCGCCAGCATTGGGATTCCATGACCAGTTCTTCACGCAGCGGGCGCCCATCTGGCCAAGCAGCTCAGTAAAGAGCCCACTGGCATCCGCGCCCTCAGCAGTATGCACATCGCAATATACAACTGCCCCCCTTAACAGCTTGGGGTTGAGGTCCTTGTGAGGAGTACGAGCAGGCGTGTCCATAGCCGACCACTCGACCTCGGACTTAGCGGGCGTGACCGGCTCGGAGGGGACAAAGTCATCTTCCTCATCCTCTGGCTCCGGTTCCTCGGCGATCGGGGACCCGAACTCGGCTTCGTCTTCTGGGATCTCGGCCAGTGATGCCCCCGCGCCCATGCTAGAAATGCGACGACTGCGGCGTCTCTGGCGGCCGCTCTCATCTGTAGTGATCTCGTGGCCTTTGGGAGGCGACGGCGCAGGAAGTTCGTTTTGTTCAGCGACAACTTGAGGTGGAGTCTGCTTCAAGGGTGTCTTGAAGGGAGTCTGTTGAGTCGGAGTTTGCTTGACAGGAGTCGCCTTCACGGGAGTCTGGTGGATGTGCACTTCAACCGGCTCGTTCTCTTGCTCATGTTCTTGCTCCTCATCGACCTCCTCTTCAACCGTCTCCATCTCCTGCTGACGCTCTTCGATGATCACATCAGCAGTGTCCGCGAAGGACACCCTCGAGAGACTGCTTCTCCCCGACTTTCTAGGTCTGAGAGAACGCGGTGGTGGAGCGGTAGCTCCGTCAGCAGACTTGAGAGGAACCTTGGAAACTGTGTGCACCTCCCTCATGGCAGCCTGGGGGCGAACGGGGGTGGTCGGGTGAGCAAGAGCAGCGGAAGCTCGCCTGGTGACCCGATTAGTCGTGTCAGCCGGCGTAAAGAGATTGACATTCAGCGGACGGGTAGTGAACTCGGCCATAATCGGAACAGCATTCTCATCGCCATATTCCTGGCTCGCTTCCGAAAGGTTATCGGAGATGCTGTGCTGGCTTCCATCCTTATCGGCGCCATCGGTCGTATCCATCACATCAGAAATGCGGGCTAGCGCCTCGGCCTCGGCTGCGAGCTCAACGTCTTCGGTGGTGATAGGGATGTCCTCGAGAATTGGGGATGCGTCGTCATCGTCAACCATTGCATCGGGGTCGACTTCGGCTTGATCGGCATCGGCCATGACTGTCTCAACGGAGTCCCCTTCATCCTGTTCCTCTTCGCCCTCGTCAACCTCAGCCGCCTCGTGAGCATCCCTGTCAACGGGCGCATCATTCGCATCAGCCGAGTTAGCCTCCGCTTCAACTTCCTCATGTTGCTCCATTTCGACAATCTCTTCCTCTTCCTGTGCCACTTCCATATCCTCATCCTCCTGTTGCTGCTGAACATCGGCCTCAACTTCAGCCGAAGTTTGAGCATCAACCTTGTCAGAGGGATCCTCCATGGTCTTCTCAGGAGAAGATTCCTTCGACTTCTGCTGCTGCTGTTGGCGAGCAACCGAAGTTCCAAAAATCCCAGCCTCTTTCATCGCGGCCACATCGAAGAGTGATTCCTCCTGCTCATCCACCTGTTGCAGCCTCCTGGAACTTCTTCTTCTACCGAACCTGCTTTCCAAAGGGGCCGCAGTGTTAGGCTTAGCGGGAGTAACACCGCCATTCCAACCACTTAGCTGCTTGGCCAGCGGTGTGAATCCCAAGCTCGAGTTACTCTCTTTCTTGGCGAGTGCCGGAGTCTTCGCAGGTGCTTGGGTCTTCGGAGGCGCCGGAGTGACTCCGCCGTGCCAACCGCTCAGCTTCTCAGCCAGGGGGGTAAATCCGAGGTTGGAGTTGTCGTTGGCAGCAGCCTTGGCTGGAGTAGCCTTCGCTGGGGTAGCCGTGGCCTTCAGCAGGTTCACCTTGGGCGGTGCCGGGGTAACACCTCCCTTCCATCCACTCAACTGATCCGCCAACGGCGTGAAGCCGAGGCCAGAACTGCCGTTGTCAAAGCGCATTCTCTTAGTTGTGCTTCGACCGGAAGGTGTCCGGTGGCTGGTGTTAACAGAAGGTGTAGCGGCGGGATGAGGGTTGGCCTTGCTGCCCCTTGGGGGTTGGGCGGGAGTGGCGTCCTCGCTCTCCTCGGAAGGGTTGAGGACATCTTGGCGGAGATTGCCGAACGAAGGACCGTTGAGCAGATGCTGAGGTGGTGACTCAGGAGGAGTGGTGCTAATGCTCTGATCGATGTCCAAGTAACTCTGATCATCATTTTCGGGCTGCGGGGTCTCGGGAATGACGATTTGCTCGACGCTTTCGTTGCCCAGCTCGACCTCATCGACCTCCATCGAGTCCTCGTCGTCTTCCGGCTCGATGACCTCGGGCTCGGCAACTTGCTCCTCTTCCCGGTCTGTCATCTCCTGGTCCTGATCTTGTTCAGCCTTGTGCTCCTCTTCTTGCTCCTCTTCGTGCACCTCCTCAAGCTCTTCCTGCTCAACCTCGTACTCTTCCTCATGCTCTTCCTCTTCCACGTTCTCTTCTATACCCTCTTGCACCTCCTCATGCTCATCCTCTTGTACCTCTTCTAGCTGCTCCTCCTCCTGGCTATGTTCATCCTCGGCTTGGATTTCTGGCTCTTCCTGAACAGCAGCTTCGACCTCTTTCTCCATATGCCTGAGAGATCGTCGGCGTCCAGTAAACAGTAGCCTAGCTGGCTTTGCCGAAGAAGTGAGAATCTGCATCGTGCGCTCGCCAAGCTCACCAGAAGGACCATCGTCGTCCTCCTCGTCCGCAGAGTCCATCCCTTCGTCTTCCTCTTCCTGCTCCTGAACCTGCTGCTCATTCTCCATCTCCTCATCCGCTTGCTCTCGGTTGTCGTGTTCCTCCTCCTTGTGCTCCGTTTCCTGCTCTTTGTGCTCCTGCTCCCGTGCCATCTCTTCCAGACGCTGCGACTTGCGTCTCGCAGTGCCGAACTTGACAGGTGGGCTGGCGAGCAAAGAAGGCTTTGTTTCAGCAGCAAGTTCCTCCACAATGGGCTGCGGCTTGACAGCAGACATTGGCACCCTCTTGGCCGGGCTGGCGAAGAGGGAGGGTGGGCCCATCATCCCCGCATTCGTCGAGGTGGTGGCGGGACCAGCGAGGACATCTCCGCCCATAAGCACAGTCGCATTTCCGGGTGGTCTTTTGGCTGGACTGGCGAGAAGGCTGGCACCGCTCTTAGCGGGTTGCGCAACGGGTTGCCCATCCGGTCGGTTGGCGAGTAGAGGGACGCCAGCAAAAAGACCCTCGACGCGCTTGGCCGGGGTCTTGATGCTGTTCTTCCATGGAGATGGTGGAGGACGGCGAGCGGGAGAAGCGAGCATCGAGAGGTGTTCGGTCGGAAGGAAGTGGGGCTTCAGGACTGAAGGTTCGGCGGAGGCATCCTTGTTTTGCTCTTCGGGTTCAGAGTTCGCGGTGGACGTAGATGCCAACGCGGGTTCGTGTTCCTGTGGCTGGTCCTGTTCTGGTTGCTTCTCCTGTGCCTTCTTGCTGGTCTTAGGGGCCGGCGGTTTAATGGGAGCTCTGCCTGTCAGTAAGGGCTGCAACAAGGCCGGACTGTTCTCATGAATAGCGAGTTCATCCTCCGAGTCGTCACCGTGTTTGGCGGCTGCCACTAGTTGGTTAACTTTCTTAGGGCTAAGGGGAAGGGGCTTGTGTTTCATGCCTTCGACCTTGATGTTTTCGGGAGCATCGCTGGGGGTAGCTGGTCGGCCAGCACGAGACACTGGCCTATTTGTCGTGCCATTGGCAGCACCTCTCCTGGCTGTCGACGTTGATCCCTTGGCTGTTGTACCCGTCCGAGTCCTGACTGGCTTTGCACGAAGTCCCCCGGTAATTGCAATTGGTCCTGCCTTCTTCTTCCTTCCTCCCGGAGGCCCGATGTTCTCTTTTTCTGGCTCCTCAAACTTGACCGTCTTCTTGATAGCGGGCTTTGCGAGCGCTTTGGATGCGGCGGTGGGCGCGGTCGCCGTCGAGTCGGTCGGTCGCGTCCTGGTTGTGCTGGTGTTCCTGGAAGTGGCTGTTGAGGAAGATTGGTCGTCCGGTTTGGCTGAACGCGTCGCGCGAGTGGCCTTGGAGGCAGGTTCTTGAGCTTTGGTCGGCGGCCTACCGCGCGTGGCCGTTACTGGCGGTCTGGTGGAAGCTGACGACGCAGGTCTCGATGCAAGCGAGGACGCGGGTCTAACCGATGCCGAAGGGGCAGGTCTCGATGTCTTTGCAGCTTCGTTGGCTGGATTCCGTGCTCGAGCCCGGGTGGCGCGGGTGGTTGCGAGAGCGGCAGCTGGTAGACGTACGGGTCGAGTGACGGGAGCTGGAGCAGGGCGATGCTTGGCGTGATGGTCGTCGTCTTCGTCATCGTCGGTCCGAGCCTTTCTCTTGAGGCTTGTCGAGGCAGTGGGCGCGGTGGCTCTGGATACGCCGGTCGTGGCAGATGTCGCGGATGTGGTGGTGGTGGTGGTGGTGGTGGTGGTGCTGGTGGTGCTGGTCGCGCTCCTGGCTTTGGCTGCGGCAGTCATAGCTCTGGCATTTTTGGTGACGGCAGACGAGGCCACTCGCGCTCTCGTCATGCGCTGTTGTGGTTGCTGCGTGTTGGATTTCGGTTCACCCATGATGGGCGATGTGGTGTGGTGTGGTTGAAGACTTTGGCGACGAGACTCTTCTTTGGCAAAGATCAAGGGCGAACCATGAAGGGTGGTTGCTGATGTTTGTCGTCCACGGGTTGTTGGGGCAAAGCGAGAACTCGATTCAAAAAGCAAACGACACAAGTAGAATAACCAACGTCCAAAGTGGCGGGAACAGTGAAAATGATAAACAGAGAAGCACTTGCACACCTGGTTTTGGGGGACGGCGATTCAAAGTCAACAATTGGGGAAAAGGGAAAATGCAAAAAGTGGCACCCTTTGTTGATCAAGCGTCACGCTCCTTGGTTGCCCTGGGAAACGACCCGCTTTTCGGCTGCGGTGTATCCACTGCCGTCATGCCTGGTGGGGAAGGTACGTACCTGGGCAGCTCGGGTTAGGGTTATTCTCGCCTCGTTCACCCCTCCAATATGTTACCAAGATAACTCATCGTGCCTTCATATTTGAAACTTGAAAGCCGGGTTGTTGAATGAGGGTGTGGAGTTCAAGGTATTATAGGCTGATTATCGGGTTGGATTGTTACTGCAATTTCTAGTTCGAGCATTGTGAAGACAATGGTGAATAGCTTCAAGTTCTCATCAGGTGTTTGAGCCCAGGGTTATCAGTGACGCGACATACCTACTTGTAGACTCCATACAGTGCTTGGACAGTCCCATGTCTCATCACACCCTCAACCCTTGACTTTCAACATCAACCTCGAAACCTCACTTCAAGTCGTCTTCAAAGACAGTTGACGTCCACCACACCCACAACCTCTCTCATCTCACTCCCTCATGTCAATCGACCTCAGCTGGGAAACCGTCACCGGCGGGCCCGACGGCCAAGAGCTCGCCCATAAAATTCGCGATTTCATTCACAACAAATTCCAGTCCGTCCCTCTACCGCGTTTCATCAAGTCCGTCACCGTCCATGACTTTGAGTTTGGCTCCATCCCTCCCGAGATCGAGCTAAAGGATATCACCGACCCTCTCCCCGATTTTTACGAAGAGCAACCCGGTATAGATTCCTCAGAGGAAGAAGACTCCGAAGAAGACATCGCCTACGAAAATGAAGGCGAATATCTTGACGACCCAGCCGAGCAGTACGGCAGGCTGAGAGGCGCCTCAGCCTCCGAATCACGGCGAAGACTCACAGTAAACAGCAGTACCGGAAGTGGCAGAACCAGCGGCGGAAACGGAAGCGGCGGGCCGAACTCAGGCAGAGTAGCCTACCTCCCACCGCACCTAAACCCACACTACAACGGCAGCGGCAACAACAGTTCTCAAAGCCTGGATCGAGATGGCAGATACTACCGGGACCCAAACACAACAGGCGGCGGTCCCGCCCACGGCACAAACCATCATCACGCCGACCTAGGCTCCCCCTTCCTCGGCGTCTCCACCCCCGGAATCCCCGGCGGCACCTCCAACTTGAACTTGCACTACTTCACCTCGCAATTCACCGCCGGCCTTTCCGGGACACAAACGCCTCTAGCCGCCGTAGCCGGCGCCGCCCACCAACGCGGCCCCTCATGGATAACAGACCAACAACAAAATAACATGTTACCAGGAGTCGGAGGAGTAGCAGTAGGAGGAGGAGGAACAGCAGCAGCAGGCCAAGGCCTTCACAGCTCATCCACGCCCAACCTCCGGCTCCACTTCCCCGGAGTCGGAACTACTAAAAACGCCCCGGGACCCAGTCCCCTCACCGGCTCCAGCACCCCGTTAGGCGCCCTGGGAACCGCCGGAGGCGTGGGAGGCATCGGCCGCGGAATGGGCATGGCGGGCATGGGAAGCATGGGTATGGGTGGCATGGGATACCCACCGACTGCTCCTGTGCTTGCCATTCCCACAGGTCCGAGACACAAGAGGAATCCTTCTTCGCAGAGCTCGAATTCGGTGGGTGATTATAGCCCTGTTGCAGCGCCGGCGGCGGAGAGACAGGGGTTCTTTTCGCCATCGTCTTCTTCGCGAACTTCGCCGTCGGCGGCGGTGGGATTGGGAATCGGAAGAGGGCTGCCGGCTGGTGCGCTGGGAGGGGCAGGATCAGGACTACTGACCGGCAGCGGACCGAGTAGGCTACAGATTCCCAAGCAAGGATTGAGGGAGAAGCATAGCGTGTCTACGTTGGCGCCTAACTCGGCTGGACCGTCGTCGTCGAGTAATCATAATCATGCGGGGTCGGCGATTCTGGACGATGATGATGGGTTTTTGGATGGGATGCATGATAGAGATCCGGTCCAACAACACCTGGACGTTGAGGAAGATGAAGAGGAGGAAGAGGAAGAGGAAGAAGAAAGACAACGGTTTCGGGAACCAAGAGTGGAAGACATCCAAGCTGTGTTCCGCATAAAATACGCTGGCGACGTGAAGCTGTTGTTGACGGCTGACATCTTGCTGGATTATCCCATGCCCAGCTTTGTGGGGATTCCGGTGCGGTTGAGCATTACCGGATTAACGTTCGATGGCGTGGGGGTGGTGGCGAATATCAGGAAGAGAGTGCACTTCTGCTTTTTGAGCCCTGAAGATGCGGTGGCTGCTGTGGGCGGGGAGGAGAACAAGGCTGCTGGGAGCGGGAATGGTGTCGGGATAGGAGGAGGCAGCGATGGGGCCAAGACGAAGATGGGTGGGCTGTTGCAAGAAATCCGCGTTGAAAGCGAGATTGGGCAGAGGGAAAGTGGGAAGCAGAGCTTGAAGAACGTGGGTAAGGTGGAAAGGTTCGTGTTGGAGCAGGTGAGGAGGATCTTTGAGGAGGAGTTTGTTTATCCTAGCTTTTGGACGTTCTTGGTGTAGTGGTGCTCACTTCATACTAACCCACAAAATCCTATGACACGACTCTACGTAAGTGTGCTCTTGAAGCCCTGATACGCCGAGTTGATATCCAGCTCCAACTCCCTAGCTTGTTCCTCACTCAGCTCTTCCGTCGCCTTCATCTGGTTGAGGGTGATCAGCCACTGCACAATCTTGCCCCTATTGTCAAAGTCCCTATCCGTCACCTTGTTTACCGACTGGATCACGTCTGTTAGAAGAGGGTGCAGCTGATCCTTGGCCAACAGACCCAGACGCAAGGCATCGAGGAAGGTGATGAAGTCCTGAGTGGCTTCGAGAATGAGAGTGCCGCTTGTGCCTCCCGAAGCGGCAACCGTTGCGGGTGCTGGGCCGGAAGAGGCGTTAACAGCTGTTGAAGGCATGCCGACGCGGATGCGTTCAGTTGCGCGGGGAACCTCGAGCTATGGGAAGGTGTGTAAGTCAGTCAGACTCATGAGACGGTGAAGTGACTTTGATGATGGACATACATCCCACTTAGCCTTGAACTCCTCTAAGCCGACGAATGCCTTGGCTACAGTCTCATCGGCAACAAGCGACTTGTACTGCTTCAGCGATCTCTCACAGATCTCAGTATAATCGGCCTCGGGGATGGCATCTTTTAGGAATGCCTTTTCCAGCTCATCCAGAGTGACGATGATGCTAAAGATTTCCGCTAGTGAGTCCTGAAGGTCGCGCTCAGCGCGGGTATCGGCGAGTTTCACTTCCTGTTAAAGTTGGGAATGGCATCATGTTGTCAGTAACAGGACCATGACATGGCAAGGTAACCGAGTGGGGTTTGTTTACCTCGTCCAGGTTTATCGTAGCTGAGAGTGCAGTGTTTGGAACATAGCTATGAGGTGTAGGCGCATATGGCTGGCGGGATATCATCTTGGGGGCTGGAGGTTGTGAAGTGTCGTCGTTCTTGTTGGACTCTTCATCATGAAATCAACTTGAAGATGACAAGTATCTTGCGGGCGAAGCACTGAAGCTCCAGTGGATGGAGAGCTGCGAGGACGTTCCAAGACAAGCTGCATGCGCCAGTCAAGAGTGGATCCGCACAGTGACAGGAGTGCCCCACCAGGTACACAACTAAGACCAAAGAAGGCTAGCGCCTCCACCGATAAGAGCAGCCGATAAGAACCCCGGAATCTAGGAGGAGAAAAAAGTTTGGGAGGACCGCGACGGCAAGAGCACAGAGCACGGGTCAGTTTGGGTGCGGAATTGGCTTCCACTTCCACTTCCAGGTTCTCTTCACTAAAAAAAACATCACCAGACTGGACTTATCACACCCCCCAGCCAGTCGCCCACCATGGTCAAAAACGTCAAACAAACGAAAAAGTTCGAAAAGAAGCACCTGAAGGGTGTTCTAGAACGCAGAAAGGTCGTCCAGAAGATCAAGCAAAAAGAACAGATCAAGCAGAAGAAGCAGGCAAAAAAGTCCCAAGATGACGCCTTCATCAAGGGCCCCGATGGCGGCAAGAAGCCTGTCCACGTCAAGAAGAACCTCGGTACTGCCGCCGCCGGCGAAATGACCGTCGACGACTTCTTCCAGGGCGGCTTCGAGATTCTCGACAAGAAGACCAAGGATGCCTCCGGCAAGCTGGGCAAGAGGAAACGCGACGAGGAAGAGTCCGACGCCGAGGAGGAGCAATCAGCAGACGAGGGCAGCGATGTCGACTTCTCCGACGACGATATTTCCCACGATGAGGTTAGCGACGACGAAGAGGATGACGAGGTCGTAGACGACACCGCCCCTACAGGTATGACCAAGGAGGCCATGGCCTCTCTCGCCGAGAAGGATCCCGCATTCTACAAGTTCTTGAAGGAGAACGACCCAGAGGCCCTCGAGTTCGACGAAAACGCAGAATTTTCCGAGATTGACGAGCTCAGCGGGAGCGAAGGCGAGGGCGAGGAGCCCAAGAAGAAGAAGCAAAAGAAGGACACCAAGGCTGCCGACGACGAGAACGGCTCCGAACTCACCCAGAAGATGATTGCCAAGTGGAAGGCGCAGATCGAGGAAACAAAGTCACTTAGAGCCGCTCGCCAGGCAGTAATAGCCTTCCGTTGCGCCGCCCATCTGAACGAGGACGACGACGAGAAGCCCCAACGATACACCATCAACAACCCCGATGCCTTCAACGACATTTTGGTTCTCGCCCTTAAGCATATTCCCGAGGTTCTCGCACACCACGTTCCCGTCAAGGAGTCTGCCTCCGGCAGGGCCTATGTCAACACCGATACCAAAAAGTTCAAGATTCTGTCGCAGCTCGTCAAGAACTACGCCGCCTCCATCATCCACCTCCTCGGCACCCTTTCCGACGAGCCCACCCTCAAACTCACAATCTCCGCTCTCGAGCCCCTTCTCCCCTACCTCCTCTCCTTCAGGAAGCTTCTCAAGGTCTTGATCAAGACGGTCGTCGCCTTCTGGTCGCAGTCCGCCAGCACCGAAGCCACCAGGATAACAGCCTTCCTGGTTGTCCGGCGCCTGATGGTGATCTCAGACAAGGGTGTGCGCGAGACGGTCCTCAAGGCCGTCTACCAGGGTCTCGTGCAGGGCTGCCGCCTCACCAATGTCAACACGGTAGCGGGCATCAACATCATGAAGAACTCGGCGGCCGAGCTCTGGGGTCTGGACCAGACCCTCGGCTACACCACCGCCTTCGGCTTCATCCGCCAGCTGGCCATCCACCTGCGCAACTCCATCGTCAACAACAAGAACAACGCCTTCCGCAACGTCTACAACTGGCAGTACGTGCACTCGCTCGACTTCTGGTCGTGCGTCCTCGCCGAGCACTGCTCGCCGCTCAAGGAGGCCGAAGCCGGCAAGGAGTCGCAGCTCAAGCTCCTTATCTACCCCTTGGTACAAGTCACCCTCGGCGCCATGCGCCTCATCCCCACGGCCCTCTACTTCCCCCTGCGCTTCCAGCTCCTCCGCTCGCTCCTCCGCCTCTCCCGCGCCACCGACACCTACATCCCGCTGGCCTCCATCCTCCTCGAAGTCCTCAACTCGGCCGAGATGAAGAAACCCCCCAAGTCGTCCACTCTCAAACCGCTCGACTTCGCCACCGCCTACAAGGCGCCCAAATCCTACCTGCGCACGCGCGTCTACCAGGACGGCCTGGGCGAGCAAGTCATCGAGCTTCTGGCCGAGTACTTCGTCCTCTGGTCGCGCAACATCGCCTTCCCCGAATTCTCCCTGCCCGTCGTCGTGGCGCTCAAGCGCTGGCTCAAGGACTCGCGCAAGAAGAGCAGCGGCAACAACAACGGCAAGATCGGCACGCAGCTGGCCCTCTTGGTGCAGAAGATCGAGTCCAACGCCAAGTTCATCGAGGACAAGCGCAACCGCGTCGAGTTCGCGCCCAACAATCGCACCCAGGTCGAGGCGTTTTTGAGGGATTTCGAGTGGGAGAAGACGCCGCTGGGCGCGTTCGTGGTGGGACAGCGGAAGTTGAGGGCGGAGAAGAGGAAGATGATGGAGGAGGCGAGGAAGGAGGATGAGAAGAAGAGGAGGGAGGAGGAGGAGGAGGAGAGGTTGGGGAAGCAGGCTGAGGATGAGGAGGATAGCGAGGAGGAGGAAGATCATGATGATCTTGCTGAGGATGATGATGATGAGGAGGAGGAGGAGGAGGAGGAGGAGGAGGATGACGAGTGAACCATTCCTCTTTAAAGTAAGGAAGGAAAGTAGTAAAATGTTTTGCTTTGTCTTGTCGAAATATTATGGTATAGATTAGAGATGATACCTGCAGTTTTTTGTGGTTTTGCACTGCCTGCGTCCATCGTATCAAAAAGGCGCCTCTTTGATAGTTTTTAGACTAGTACCTAGGGAAAATAACGGAGTTTAAGTGTTCTGAATTTTGGTCATTTCAACTTCATCTGAATGGATTGTTCTCTATGATTCTCCCTTCTAAAAAAAAAAAAAAAAAAAAAATCTCCTAAATGGGTTGGTTGGAGCTTGTCTCAGTACCGCAAACGAATCAATGGAAACCGACACCTCCTCAAGAAACTGAAGATATCCTAAAACCGAACTGAAGGGTGTTTTGCCATTTACTCAGTTCACACGCGATATATGACCAAAGGTCAACAACCATCAACATTAGCCGTACGATCAACTGTCAAACAAGTACTACTCGCAGAGTCTTGATCCTTCAATCAACTGTTCGTCATTGAGTTTGAGCGGCGAATGATCTACCATAACACCCCAACCAACACTGTCTTTAAGCAGCGTTTCCTTTGCCCAAATGTAACTACATATGTATAATAATGATATACCGAGTTTTCATACCCAGATCCAGCATACCCAGATTCAGCATACCCAGATCCAGCCAACCACCGTATTACCCCTTTAAGAGACGAAGTTCTGTTCCCTCGTTTGGTATCCTCTGCCTTGAAACTTTCCTTTCTTCCAACTCCCCTTTCCACCACCCCCACAAATACACCCACCCCCTCCCAAAATCCTCAACACCCTACCTCCCCTCCCCCAACCTCCTAAACCCCTCCAGCACCTCCTTATCCACATTAACCGCCCACTCCGCCTCAAACTGCTGTTCACCACCCATCCTCTGCACCAACCCCTGCAGTCTTTCCCTAGTAAACTCGTACGCCTCGACTCTATGCACCGGATCCTTCAGCGCAAACTGCCTCTCCGTCACATCCAGCGGGGTATCCCACTCGTAACTCGGCAAGCTATTGGGATCCCAAACCAGGTAATCTCTCGGGTTAGTACTCCCACCACCCGGTTGTTGTTGTTGTTCTTTGGCAGAAGCCGAGTTTATCGATTGTCGGAAATCTTGTTGTTGTTCAGTCAACGACTGCTGATCATCCTCGCTCGCCGCCAGCTCCGTCACCACGCTCGTCCACATCGCCAAGAAATCCTGCAGTCTAGCGAGCACGATCTTCTCCTGCACCATGGGATCCGGCAACTCCCAGAGGCGGGTGAGCGCCAACAAACTGAGCTTCTGCCGCTCGACCTCGGCCATGCAGTCGAAATTGTTGAACCACAGCGTGCCGAGCCACTCCCACACCTGCTCGACGGTGGAGCCGGCCGTCGTGGCGATGCCGGCCAGCATGGTTAAGAAGACCGTAGGGTCGCCGAGCGCGATGCGCGCTAGCAGCATGAAGTAGTCCGTCTGCTTGATGGTGTTGATCTGGCTGACCTTCTTGTTGGGGCCGTGCGTCGTGCTCGCCTCCCAGGTGCTGTGGAGGCCCTCGAAGATGGTGTTCAGGAGGCCGATTTCCAGCATGTCCTGGACGACTACCTGCAGGCCTTGGACGCCACCGATGTCCTCGGCGATGCGAAGCACCAGCTCGATGGACTTGGCACCGGTCTGGGATTGCTCGCGGGAGCGGGCGTCGAGGGTCTTGACGAGAGCGGCGAGGGTCGGACGGCGTAGGCGGTCGTCGAGGATCTCCCTGGGCGCGAGGAGGATGTAGTTCTTTACGACCTCGAGACATTGGTTTGCCACTTCCGAGTCGTACTCGAGGAGGGGCAGAGCAAGCTCAACCATTTGTACGAGGTCGGGGTGGAGGGGAGGGTAGCTTTGTGTGGTGACGGACTTCCACAGAGCTACCGATTCTTCGATGAGGTGAAGGTGAAGAGCGGACTCGGGCTCCATAGCCTCACGCAGCAGCGGAATAATCGCAGGTTGGTAGCGTTGAGAGTCTCCGCGCATCGAGTCAACAAGTGCAGACATGATGGCAAGGATCGACTGCTTGATCATGTACTCCTCCTTTTCAGCTGACTCCCACAACTTGGGTAGAGTCAGCATGATGGCGTCGCCAAACTGAGAGATATGCGTCTCCATTCGTTGGACAATCGCCCGAATAGTGTCCAGAACAGTCAGCTTGGTCTCATCGCTTGCCACCTCCTGGAGCAGCCCCATAAGCTGGTTGAAGACATCAGGAGCAAACGGCAAAAACTGCTCGCCCTGGAACCCAAAATCGTCCACGATCCCCTTGAACTCGCGGGCAGCGGTGATGCGGACAACCTGGTCGTTGTGCGGATCATCAGGGTTCATCAAGTGCCTAAAGATCTCGTACACAGCAGGTCGACTTTCCTCGGCGATCCGGATGGAGATCCACTGGTTGAGCAGGATAGCTATACGCCTACGGAGCAGCTTGGACATGGAGTCCTGTATCTGTGCGTCCTTCACCAGCGTAGTCTTCAAAAAGCGATCAAAGTCGAAGGCCTCGTGAATAACGGCAGCCGCACACCCAAGAGCGCAGTAAGCGGCCTCCTTGGTGACGATATCCATATCGACCTTGGTTGCAAATTCGCAATATGTGAGAAGTGGTTGCCCGAGCTCCTTGTAGTGCGTCAGGAGGTCAATGAGCAGCCTCTCAGCACAAGGCCGAACAGCCCACTCGTATGCTTGTCCCTCATTGCGCTCCGCAGCCTCCCACTCTTCCGGGTCTTCTTCCCATGCCTCAAGATCAGACTGCCGGAAGATAAATAGCCTACTGATGGTCACTTGGACAATATCCAAAAGGAAGTTATTTGTCAGTAGCTGGTCCTTGACAAGTTCCATCGCCTCCTTTTCCTGATTCTTGACCTCTGGGCTCTTGTACTTGAAAGTCTGCATCGGCCTGTGAGCAATCGACACGCAGCTTCTAAGCAGCAAGAGACCCTTAAGGGCCAACTTCTCTGAGAGCGGCCCTTCGTGCTTAGCGCTGCCATCGTGGTTCTCAGAGCCCGTTTGCCTGATGCCGCCCGACTTTTCAAACTCATTCGAGAACTGCTTGACAAGGTTCCAGTAAGCCTTGACAAGCGGGATGGAATTCGGTAGCAAGGGGAAACTGGCTGGGTGGGAATCGCACATGTCGATGTGCAGTTTTGTGAACTGGATCAAGTGCTTGCCCACCGAGTCCTGGAAAGGGGCAGGGATGTGTGACTCGGAGCTGATGCCGGTGAGGAACTGGTCAAACTGAGACTGCGACAGCGACCAGAAACCCTGGACCATAGGATCGGTATGCGGGTGTTCGTAACCAACCGTGACCAGCCTGCGCAGGATTTTGAGGGCCGTCAGGCTGTTCTGCATGTAGTAGTCGGCCTCATCCTCATCGCCGCTGCCACCCCTGGCGAAGAACTGCTGCCACGCGGCCGTCCGCTCGGTATAGATCTCACCGAGCAATTGGACGAGCTCGGGTGTGACAGCCTGAAGAGCGGTCTGCGACCTCCGCAACCGCGCTGTCGCAAGCTCTTTGACTACCCGCAGCAACACCTGCAGAGCTCCGCTGAGGGCAACAGCACTCTCTGTTCTTGCGCTCCTGGTGACATTGATAATGGTGGGCATGACGTCTGGCCAATCGTTGGGATAGTCTATGCGGACAATCTTTGCGATGACAAGGGCGTTGTGTAGTGCGAGGTTCTTGTCCTCCTCGCCGACTGAGCCCTGTAGTAGCCTCGAGCGAATAAACTGTTTTTCGGCGGGTTGAATCGCATGTTTCGCAGTGTGTCGCCAGTACTTGTCGATGCCGTTCTTGAGCAGAATAACTGCGAGAAAGCGGATGGAGTTGTTTATGGACTTGTCAAGGAACACAGTCTATATGGACAACATGTTAGCATGGGGCACCTCAAGTCTAAAGGTTGATACCTCTAACCCACCTGTAGAGAAACATAGTAGTCTGGGCGAGACTCCCATGACTGAAGCTGCTGGCCGGCTGACTGTCTCTGGGCGTGATCTGTAGAGAGGGCGGCGTACTCGAGCGTCCGGGCAAGCTCGACGAGGTTTAGAGGGGCTGCCTCGCCGGGCACCTCGATAGCGAAGCTCATTGTGTTGTTGTTGTTAGCGCCGGCTGGGGGGTGTCTCTGGCCTAGTCGTAGTCGGTTTAGGGTGGCCTGGGGTATCATATATAAGAAAGGAAAGAAGGTCGATTGTGTAGATGTTTCAAGTCGAGTTTGTGGAATCAGTCGAAGCAGGCGGAATGGAGATGGAGCTTGACAATCTGATCTTCGAGACTCTGGAGGTCTGGGCTGTGACGCGCTGCAGCTGTTGAAGCGGGCCCGTCACTGGGCTGAGATGTCCCGGCGGTGGAGGGAGCACTTCCACTTGGACAGGGGCAGCAGTGGATGTGATACGGATTAGGTGGGGTTAGCATAACAACAACGGGATGGCGGGGCAGCCAGAGTTGTTAGTGCAACAACATTACTGCAGTGCGAACTCTAACGCTGCTGCAACCACTTTCACCCATCCCCATTTCGAGACCGCTTTATCAACACAACAACAATAAAAGGGGCTTCCTATTCGAGCTGGCTGCAGACTAACACAGTTACACATTCTATGCTCTCGTCTTCCCACCCTACAAGCTCGAACTGGGATCAACCTGTTCCAACAACGCAATGCCCGTAAACGCTCCCTGGTCTTCATAGAATTTCTGTTTACCACTGCCGTCCATGTTGAACCGGTAGACCGCACCACCGCTGTGTGTGTATGGTTAGTCAGTACATCTTGAGTCCGAGTCTCTAACGCAGCAGGGGTGTTGACATACAGATCTGTGGCATAGATATGCCTCGTCGTCTTGTCAATGGCCAGTCCAATTGCCTCATGCAAGTTCCGCGCGATGACTTGATGGTTGCTGAAGGACCCATCCGGATTGAGGGTTGCCCGGTTCAGACTATTACCATTCGGCAGCTCTCCGCGGTCAGTCCAGTACAGAGCGCTGCCATCCTCGTCCATCTCGAGGTCAATGGGCTCCGGCAGGTGATCGAAAACCACCTCAATATCCGGTCTGTTGGAGGCATCACATCCTTCAGGCATCTTGATGGAGGCTCGGTAAATGCGTCCTTTAGACCCCTTCGGCGGTCCCTTTTGGGTCCAGTAGAACTTTCCCTCACGAGCTGAGACAGTGATGCCTACGCACCATGAGGTAGGGTCATCAATCCCCTTCCTCCAGTCGCCAGCCCGGACAAGAGTCTGGAGATTCGACCCGTCAACACCGCAACGGAAGACTCGCATACCCTCTCGGTCGGAAAAGTAGAGCATCTCGTTGTCCTGGTCAACAGACAACTGCTTGGGCGTGTGAACGGCGCCAGGAGGGATGATGACCCGTACGCCAGTGCCGTCCAGGTTGCACGACATGATGGAACCGTCGTTTTGGCCGGGAGTGCCCATGTTTGTCCAGAGGATCTTGCCAGCCTTTTGGGAGAGGGCAATCCCATCTGGCATCGGCAGGTGATCGACGATTACCTTGAGCGGAGATCTTCCATCTGCACTCCCGACGAGAATGCGGCCCTTCCTGTAGAACTCGACGTTATCCGGATCATTGTTCCATCCGATATCCAAGAAGTACAAGGACGGGGCATGCAAGTTGTCGTCACTCATTTGTTCCTGGTTAGCTGTCTTGACGGTGTAGCCAGGTGGGTAGAGACCGCCCTTGCTGCTTTTGGCTCCGAGTCTGCCCTCGTCAATGTACTTTTGTAGAAAGGGCAAGACGCCTCTGTCCTGCAGGCCACGCTCTTGGATGTAGTGCTTCTCGATGAGTGAGACGGTATCTAGGCCGACCGAGTCCATCAGTATGCAGGGCGGACTGCCAGCCTTGATAAACATTTCGGTCCAGACGGCGTCGAGTTCTTCGGGAGAAGCAACCCCTTCAGCTAGCACCATGAGACACTCGCGCTTGATGGCCGCCCAGACACGGTTCAGGATAAAACCAGTCGACTCCTTGTGTGCAATCACCGGCATCATGCCTGACGCTTCGAAATGTTGCAAGAGAAAGGGAAATATCTCAGGTCGCGTAGAGCCGCTGGTCATGAGCTCGACGATGCGGATGGCCGGCGGAACCATGTAATGGGTGTTCAGCATTCGTTGGGCAGTCTCTGGCTTGACCTTGGCCGTCATCTCGCGGGACTTGTAGGAGGACGAGTTGGAGGCCAGGATAGCGTCCGGCTGAGTGAGGCCTTCGAGTTCGGCAAACACATCGATCTTCATATCCAATATCTCGGGTACGCATTCGATAACGAGCCAGGAGTCCTCCACGGCGGGTTTCATATCTTGGAAGCCATGAACGCTGATGGTGTTCGGATCCACGATAGGCTTGTACCTCCATAGCTCGTTGGTGATGTACTGCAAAGCCGCGTTCGTCTGTTGAGGGTCTGGGTCTCTGATGTGGACTTTGTAGCCGGCGGATGCCCAGCAGGCACCGATTCGACGGCCCAGGACGCCGGCCCCGAGAATTCCGACAGACCTTCCGGCAGTAGATGGTAGCTTCCACGGCGTCATGATGGATTTCGACAGCCTAGGGGAAAATGTCCATAAGGTGTTGAAAGATGGGAACCTGACATGTTATTCAACGGGGAGGACAAGGTTCACCTAGGCATATGTTCCCAGGTACCTGTAGCTGCTCTCACAGCTGCAGTCTACACTCTCCCATCGCAGCTGCCTTGTTCTGGAAGTGCAATCCGAAAGCATTCTCAATGCACACGTCGGCATGACGCGAGGCCATCAGGTTCAACCAACCTTCATCTCGCCTCAACCCTCACCGGGCCTCGATTCCCCTCGGGTTCTTGACTTTGTCCGATGTCCTCATTGGGTCAGTAGCATGGACGCGTCTTGCGTGTTCAGCTCCACGAGAACGAGTAAGAAGAAATCAGAGAAGAATCACCGTTTGGTACTTGATCCAAAACCTCACTTATATCGGAAGTTCGGAAAGGGATGTCGTTTGGATGAAAGGGTGAAGTTGCAATTCCCCTTGCACTAGTTGTAAGCCAATAAAGTGGGTCCATCTCCACCTTCCCCGGCGTGCTTCTGCCGTGTCGTCCAGGGGCCCGGGGTTGCTGTCGGATGGGGCTGGCTGGGCTGAGGTTCAGCTGAAAAGGACGCCGTCAAATGCCAATTGACCAACGACGGTGACCGGCGGACGGTTGCCGGTCTGTTAGTGGCTAAATACCCTCTGTTTGTCACTCTCTGTCAGGCCTTCCAAGCCTTCCAATTTGGGCTGGAACAGACTGAACGGCAACCGCCGCCCGTGCCAACCTCGGCTCCCCCGTTGTCTTGGCTCCTCCTGAGATCAACACTAGACTCCATCGACCTCCCGACACCACCTCCACGCACCCATGATCATCGACTACCGCCGACTCTTCTAACTTTTCCCCTGGCCGTTTCTTGTTTCTCTGTTTTTTGTTTGTTCTTGTTCAACCAACCATGTGATACGACCTCCATCCCGATAAACGAATGATACACCCACGCCAGCCTTGAACCCTCGAATCCGAATCCCTCCTAATCCGATCCGATGAGCGACACCAAGTCCCCCCCTCCAGGGCCTCCGCCTTCCGCTCCTGCTCCCGCTCCTGCTCCCGCTCCTGCTCCCGTTCCCGCTTCGGCTCCTGTTGCCGCTCCCGCCGCCGCCGCGCCGACTATCCCTCCTCCTACCTTGCCGGCAAACAACACCTTTGCCCTCGCCCAGCAGCGACTAATCGCCCGCCGACAGGCTCGTGAGACAGAGAACGCCGCGCGCCTCGCCGCCCAGCGCTCGGAATCCCAACTACGGTCTCGCATCGCCGCCTCCCAATCCCCTTTAATCCGACGCCTCGGCTCATCCACCCTCTCTCTCTGGGATGCCATCTCCTCGCGCGAGGGCACACGGCCCGCCTTCCGCGTCGGCCAAGTCGACGCCGAACTTCTCGACGCCGAGCTCGTCGACCTCCTCCGCACCCAGGTCGGCGACGCCCTAAAATACATTGGCGGCGGCGTCTCGTCGACCCTCAAAGACGAATGGGACGCCGAGATCCTGCTCATCCTGCGCGCCATCCTCTTCAAGCTGACCATCTGGGACCACGACGCGACCTACGGCGCCGCGCTCCAGAACCTGCGCTACACCGACGCCCGCAAAAACGGCCCCGTTCTCCAGCCGCCATCGAAGCTGCAAAAGAGCCTGTACGGCTTCGTCACCGTGGGCGGCAACTACCTCTGGACCAAGTGGGAAACCTACCTGCTCGACCACGACGAGGCCTCGTCCTACTCGCTCGAGGGCCCCAACCCCAACATCCAGCGTCTCGGCCGCCTCACCGAATCGATCGGCACCTTCCACGCCTTCGCCTCCTTCGCCTCCTTCCTCGTCTTCCTCCTGCACGGCCGCTACCGGACCATCCTCGACCGGCTCCTGCGCATGCGTCTGGCGCCGCCCACCTCGCAGGTCTCGCGCGAGGTATCATTCGAGTACCTCAACCGCCAACTCGTCTGGCACGCCTTCACCGAGTTCCTTCTCTTCGTCCTCCCCTTAGTGGGAATCAACCGCTGGCGCCGCTGGCTAGCACGCACCTGGCGCCGGACCAAATCCATTCTCTCCACCTCGGCCAGCAACGATCCCACCCAAAACAAGGGCGGCGAATTCGCCTTCCTCCCCGAACGCACCTGCGCCATCTGCTACCAGGACCAAAACAGCGCCAAGTCCGAAGCCGAGCTTCTCGCCGCCGCCTCCTCCTCTTCAGGCGTCGTCGGCTCCGCCCAGACCGACATCACGAACCCCTACGAGGCCATGCCCTGCGGCTGCGTGTACTGCTTCGTGTGCGTGGCGACGCGCATCGAGCGCGAGGAAGGCGAAGGGTGGACGTGCTTGCGGTGCGGCGAGCTGGTTAAAGAATGCAAGCCTTGGAATGGCGATGTCTTGTCGCCCTCTGAAGCGCATGCAGCGGCGGCGAATAGTGGCGGGAGGAACGTGGCGTTTGCGGCTGGCGTAAAAGAGCGACCTGACTTGAACAGACTGTCGACGGAGAGCAGCGGGAGGAGGAGTAGTAGTAATCGGGTCTCGTTTGATGATGAGGTTAGGGAACGGAGGAGGGTGTCGTTTGAGGATGAGATTAGACCGGGCGAGGATGCGGCTAGTGATGATGGGCCGGTTCGGGTGCCAGAAAAGAAAGAGACGCAGCAGACGCAAACGACGAGGGCGATAGGAGTGGGTGCGGGTGCGGGTGAAAGTGAGGGCGAGACGGCGAGCAGTACGAAGGCTGATCAAGAGGAGGAGGAGGAGGAAGACGACGAAGAAGAAGAAAGAGAGGAAGAAGAAGAAGAAGAGGAGGAGGAGGAGGAGACACAATCAAGTGGTGACCTTCAGACAAGTTCTGACGCCGAGGACGCCGAGGACGACGAAGAAGAAGAAGACGAAGACGAAGAGGAAGAAGAGGAAGAAGAAGAAGAGGGCTCAGACTCGGGATCCGAAGGTTCCGATTCCGAAGACTACGAAGCGGAAGAAGAGGAACTTGGTCAAGATCTTGCTTTCTAGTTCTCATACCATACCAGACACCCGATTTGGTCATTGTCATCAGATACTTAAGATGGCTGGACAGACAGATGGATTCAAAATTCAACGGGCGGGCGGGTTGTCACAACATGCAACGTTGCAGAGTACGAGCGAGCGAGCATTAGATGGAGCAGGCAAGCAAGCGTGCAAATTATTTTCAGTGTATATGAATGACAGACACATCTAAGTACAAGTACAGTCAGGAAAGGTAAAGGGGTGACAAATAAGAGTACTATTCTAGTGCAATGTGTGGGTACTCAAGCCTTTGTCAAGATGAAATATGGACGGAGCGAGAGACCGGATAATACTACATAATGATGATACCCGCTCTCAGAACCTCTGCCGTACTCCGTTGATGGGACCCCAGGAGTAGTGATCGTGATCGTGTGAAGATGGTGAGTGGGATATGTTTGTTTGTTGACGACATGGACGAACTCATCTTCTTGACCAGTTTGCTACCATGCATGGGATTCATTGTAAGTGACGAGAAATCGAACTTTGCGAAATAGCTCGACACATCTACACCTAGTTTAGTTATAACATGCCCTTACTTGACACTCGTAAACATAACAGGTTCTCCGACGTGTATCAATCCCTTATTTCCCTAACCTATCATAATCATACAAGTGCTATCCATATCATCAAGTCATTATCATGTACGCTGTCTATCCTGTCCGTCTGTCTGTCTTTCTCCACCATCCATCCAATCCAACCCGGTCCATCTAGGATACCCAAAACTTCCTTAATCAAAGTAAACAAAAAGAGGCAAAGGAAATGGGAAGGAACGTATAAGGCTGTTAACTAGCCATGTGCCGCAACTTCTCATCACTCATCTCCTCCAGTCTTTTCCATATCCAAAAGTGCCTCTCATCTCACTCCTTAAACCTCCTCCCTCTTCCGCCTAAAACTCCCCAACCTCCTCTTCAGTGACTGTGCAATATTCTTCCCCGTGGTATTACTTCTGCGCAACCCACTACTAGACTCCCCTCCTCCTCCTCCTTCATAATCATACCCTCCTCCGTATCCCGTCGTAGCCGCGGCATTACTCACGCTTCTCTGACGGACTCTAGTGTTGCCTTCTTTCTGGTCACCCATCAAGCCAGAACTAGAGCCAGGGACGTCCAGGTGGTGAGTAGAACGAGGTTGCATCTCAATCATGGTCACGCCTTCCTTAGAGGCGTAGTCCCCATGGCTATAGCCACGGGCACGGCGAGAGGTGGCCTTGTGGTCTTTGAGTTGCTTCTCGATAGTGTAGGAGGGCTCGCCTTTGCCTTTGAGGTCATCGGGGTGGTATCGCTAAATGGTTTTGTTAGTTGATGGGTTCGTTTGAAAAGATAAAAGGGGGAACTTGGGGAAAGAAACATACATAACCCTCCCATCTCTTGTAGGCATTCCCGCTCGTGGCTCCCTCACGCATCAAGTCGATGCCTTCTTGATAGTCCATCGTCCGTCCAGCAAGATCTTGCATTCCGGGGGGAACGACGGCGGTCCCTTGTAGCGGAACGTGCTTGACCAATGAGTCCTGGACGTATTCACGGGGAGTGGCCCTGAGATCCTCCATGTTGGTGTCCTTGACGGCTTCGACGGGCGAATACTTCTTGTTGCGGTTGCGGGACGCCATGGTGGCATCATATGGGCCGTCATGGTGGTAGGTGACGCCACGTCCGGGGCCAGTGAGATCTAGTGTGTCGATGATATCGATCGGTTGCTGATGGCGAGGGTTGTGCAGGTTGGGTGCTCGATTGGCAGCCCGGTGGTCCCGTTCAAGCATGGCGAGTGGCCGGTGAGACATGTCACCAGGATAACGCTCCCTCAAGGAGCTGGCACGACGAGGCCGACCGGTTTGATATTCGCCTTCACGAGCCATTGTGTCTTGGTCTTCTCGTTGAGCGAGTGTTTCGAGTTTCTGGGTGAGGGTTTCCACAAATCGGTGAGAGTGATCTTTAGGATGATGCTCGGCAAGGGAGACAGCACGTCGAACGCCCCAGCCTTTCTCTATCAAGAGCTTATTTGACTCGTTTACGGTTGGACGAGACGAGGCGACGCTGTAGGACCTGGTGAGAAGAGTGCCCTGGTTCCAGCGGGTTGTGGGAGGGCTGGCCGTGTGTAAGGATTTCTTTCTTTCCAACTCGGTTACCGGGGGAAGAGGTAGTTCTTCGGAATGCTCGGCGGTAGGCGCGAGTGAGCTCCTACGACGGTGGGTACCAAAAGTTGGACGGGTAGGACTGGCACACGGCGGAGATGTGACGGGAAGACCTTGGATGCGAGTTGCGGATTCCTCGCTGGGCTCGGGCTCGTAGAGTGGTCCTAGGATATACTTGCTTGCCTAATCGGGTGTGTAAGTGCAAGCCGTGGAGTAGAGGGATGTGGGAAAGATGCGAGTTGTAGGAGCGAAATTGAGTAGGTTTTTTTCTGCAAACAAGATGACTGAACAAAAAAAAGAAAAGGGTGACTGGCTAGTTTATATCTGACGCTTACACGCAGGGTCCTGTCCACAGCAAGCCGGACGAAGCATCAGGCATGGAGTCTCTCGGCCTTCAAGTGGCTGCGCCTTGGCAGGGGATCAGCAGGAACGTGGGAGGTGACGCAACATCACAAGTACTTCCCGGCTTGCTGGCTGTCGTCACTAACAGCTGGGGGGGAAGGGGGTGTTAAGAGAAGACGGCAGAACCATGCGAAACTGTTAACAGAAAGGGTAGAACTGATAGCGCTTGCCGATCACCACTACAACTGGACATGTCAACACTCATGCAAATTCCGCCAAAGCCGAACATCCCGTCATCTTGGAGCTGACGACTTCTGATTCTTGTCGAGGGACCCAAAGTGTGCCCACACAAGCTGACACGGCTGGGCGATCTGTGGAGCAACATAGAAGTAAAGGACAAAGGACGACAAAGCTTACCCATTGCTTGTCGTACACCTGGTCATCGTCGTCGTACGTTCCGTCATCCATCCCGCTTGGCTCCAGTCTCGGGTGTCTCTGAGTCGACAGATGTGCGGCGGCCATGGCTTCCGGACGGCTGTGCCCTTGATGCAGGGGATCGGCAGTAGGTAGGTTGAGGTTGAGGTTGAGGTGGCACAACGGACACGACGGGAGCTATTACTTGTCGCACCTGAATTGAAAAAGAAAACGAAACAAAACAAAAGGAAATGTTACCAAGGGCAGCTTGAAAAGGTCGGGTCGACTGGGTAGCAAGCGGTGCGATATTATAATTGCCATCCGCTTCCCCCTCCTGAGCCTCGCTCCTCAAGAACGGGTGTCCCATGATGGAGACATGGCCAATTGGCGGCTTCATTTGGGCAGCATGACCACCAGGAGAGCATTACCACCCCCAGGCAGCGCAAGCGCATTTAGCCAGCCCGGAGACGATGCAATCTAGACCGGAGGTTCAGGCCGGGCTAGCGACGGCATGTTTGTTGGGCTGGTCGGTCGTGGTTGCGTGGTTAGGGTGGTGAGTTTGGCAGGATTCTGCTCACTGCACACAAAGTGGAAGGCACTGCACGCCATTGGGATCTGAGACCGACTTGATGCCAGGGCAAGATCTATACCTGCGGTAGGTACGATGGCTGGATTGGAAAGAGGACTTGAATGTACACAGTAGTGTAGAAGGAAGTCACCGTCGGGTCAACAGACCACACTCATCTCCAGTCCTGCGAGTGTACCTGCTTCTGTTCTGCCTCAGGGAGACGCAATGTGCGGGGAGAAAGGGTCGGAGAGGATCTGAGAGTGCAGGTGGAAGCCGCGATTACCGCCATGTCTTGTCAAGAACTCGATCTTTCCGTTGAGTGAGTTAAGAATTCTCCACTCGGTCTTTGCTCACACTTCACGCTTCAAGTTCTCGTCGCGACACCCTCCACAACTGTTCCGGTTGGCGGTTACAAGAGGAAGCAACCAGTGAGAGGATGGAGAATGGAAGGAAGGGGTTCCCCGATCCACACCTTCCCCGCGTGCCGGTACCTGCTAGAAAATGCAAGTTCACTCGCTAGCAGGTATGCGCATGTTCTCCGCCGCGCAACTGCCACCCAGGGCCCGGGGAACCGAGGCGGGTTAGCGACAGACTACCCCCTTCCCCTATATCTAGACTACTTAACCGCTTTGGGTATAACTTTTAGGAAAATGTCTTATCTTATCGGCCACTAACATTTCAACCCCAAATCAAGGCCAAAGTCCGTTAGTCCACAATCGGTCTTTTTCGAAAATTACTCCAAGAAATGGTTGGTCACACTTATAGTCAGCCTCCAGGACAATGCACCTTCACCAAATGCACTCCCACAAAATCAAAAGTTAAGCCTAGTCGGGATTAAGACCTTAATCGAGAATCGTCTTCATTGATTATAGTAAGCGAAAACTTGGACGAGGACATTGTTGTTTGCTCTTGCACTGTTCAGGTTGGAGTGCATCGCGACATTGAATTGCGCGACCTATGGAGTGGTTTGGAATGCGATTTGCTGCCCTGAAGACCGAGCTGCAATCACTGAGGTTTGGACTTTCAGTGCACTTGCTTTACGGACCTACAGTGGTGGTTGACCAGGTCCGACTTCTTTTTTGTACAGTGGAAAAAAGCTGGGAAGTGCTTCCCGAACCAGTTAAGTAGTCTAGATATAAGGAAGGGGAGTAGTCTGTCTCTAGCCCGCCTCCGGGGAACCAGGCACGCCAGACACGCCAGGCACCGCGGCACCTCGACCTCAAAAAGCAGATTCGACGACCTGGCAAAAACCCCATCTCCAAGCTCAGCAACTTTAAACCAAGAGTTCATTTTTTTTTTTAATTTCCGGAACGTCTTGGCTTTCTTTTTTGGCCATCCGCTTAGAGGTAGAATTTGACCATCCCATCTTTAGGGCGTCCATTTTTTGTCTGGTACATCACCCACTTGCCTACACAGATCTCAAGCCAGACCTCAGCTCACCTCTACTCAGCCAGTCAGCCAGGCATTTCTCAGCAACCTCCGTCGCCGAGCAGCCCCGTTACAGGCCAGCCATGAAACGGACTCTGGTAGAATATGAGTCCGGGTCCGGATCTGAGTCCGAGTCTGGAAGCCCATCGGAGAAACCGGAAGCGAGTTCGGCAGATATTCCTCCACAGCTCAAGAGGCGCCAAACTGGTGACATCGGTCCTCGGGCCCCACCCTCGGCTCCGGCTCCGACTCCGGCTGCCCCACTTGACCGAAGCTCTGGCACCCACACCATACCGCCAAAACCGGCACCGAAGTCAACGTCATCTCTCCCACCAATCTCAGATCGCTTAACTGATTTATACTCCTCTAACGCTCGAACTGCTGTCGCTGACGATCCTTCCCTTCACCAAGGCCGTCAGCGCCAGGTCCCTCACATTCCCGGAAACTGGCCGAGCCACGTATACATCGATTGGGACCCCAGCTCAGGGGAACGTGAGCTCCTCTCATCGCTTGTTGACAAGCTTCAAACCGAGGTGGCTTCTGCTGCTCAGTGTTACCCCGATCTCGAGAATGTTAAAATCAACACAGCCTTGCGAGATCCGGAGTTACCCGTGGACAGGCCATTGCACATCAGCCTGTCGGCCCCAATTACACTGACCTCGAAGAACAAAGACGCTTTTCTTGACGAATTGACCAGATCGATGAGGTCAAGTGGGGTGAGCCCTTTTGTGGTGGACTTTTCCGGAGGAGTCGAATGGTATCGATCCGAGGAAAGCACCAGATCGTTCTTGGTCCTGCGGGTGCGTGAGGTTCAGAACACTGGCACCACTGCAGATTCGAGCCCCAACCCACGACTGACCACCCTTCTTCAACAATGCAACAAGACCGTGAAAGATTACGGTCAACCGCCACTCTATGATTCTCAGGATATGGGCTGCCGCTTCCACGTCACGATAGCCTGGACCCACGCTCGTCCAAGTGAATCGTTAAAGCAGCTGACGGATTCGCTCCTCGACAACTGCAAAACCATTTATAGTGAAAACGTGTCGATCAGGGACAAGCTTCGTACTGGCTCAAGTTTCCGCATTAATACGGTCAAAGTCAAGATTGGAAATTACGTCACCAGGTTTGAGCTACGTGATAAGGGTCTCGGCTTACCAGTCAAGACTGCATAGGAGTGCGGGCCTTGCCAGTTCTCACGCGTCAAGTCATACTTGTCTGGCCTAGAAACGCCCTCAGATTGCTAGGGCCAAGGGGAAGAAGGCGATCCAAGCCCTGTCGAGTATGGGTGCAGCCCCAAGAAGTATTTCGATACGGAGGAGGAAGATTGCCAGCATTGCCTCGAGTCCCACCCGGAGATATCAAAGGGTTTTGACAACGCTGCAGAACGGTCTTCGTGCCCCGGATGCCATCGGATCTTCTTTTCGCGACAAGCTCTTGATACTCACCTGGATTCAGATGTTTGCGGCGCAAGGGAGAAGAGCGCGGAGATTGAAAATTATTTCGTCGATATCAAAGGGCAATTGATGTGCCGTTTATGCAAGACTTTCCTGAACCCTTCCCAAACGGGAAAGTATTTGAGGCTTTGGAAGCATATGGTTGGGAGTGGTTGCTACGACCTGTCGAAGTCGTTCGATGCAACTAAGGAAGCAATACAGTGTCGGCGATGCGGTTCACGCTGGGAGGGAAAAGATCCATCGGTAAATTTGGGCAATCATGTGCGTGACGTATGTATCGCTCTAGCGGAGTCGTTCGACGCAGTTGGGGAAGGATTCTGTTGCAGGCATTGTGGTGTTGAGTTCAGCAAAGGAGCAAAGATAGGCCGGAGCATGTATGAGATAGACAGGCACTTGGGTTCGCGAAGATGTAAGATTTTACAAGAGTACGAAAAAATCGAAGGAGGATTAAGGTGCCGGAAATGTGGTGCTGATTTGGAGTTCACCTATAGGCTGAAAGACATAAAGGCACAATGGCTCCTTGATCACGAGAAGACACTGAGCTGTAAGAGGGAATACGAAAAGCGAAAGGCGGATCCGCTGGGGCTAGGGAAGGAAGAGAAGTCTAAAGAGGGTGAGTCTGGAAAGGATGACGAGTCTGGAAATGATGACGAGTCTGGAAATGATGATGAATCTGGAGAGGATGATGACTTTATAAGCGAGCATGAGGCTGGAAACGAGGTATAAACGGGTCAACAAGGGGTCAATGAGGCTAATCCCGAGGAGAAAAGCGGCTGAGGGGACTTGGTATGACTAGAGGTTCCTAGATTCAGCGAGACTTCTTGGTGGTGTTTCAGAAGTCGACGTGAGCATAGTTATGGTTGGGGTACAGCACTTCTTTTTTGCATCAGCGTTCACATGTTCATAGAGGTAGCTAGCATCAAGGGTACGTGGACAGAAGACGGAGGAGGTGCCTTAGCATAGCAATGAGTTGCTCATGTATTACACTCGTACTTCCATCGTTCAATTAGCACTCGAACAGTGCTGGCAACTAAAACAAGTCAAATCTATCTTGGTTAGTTGTTTATTGTATTCAAGAAGAGACTGACTTGTTGAGTAGGTACCAACTGAAGTGTAGGAGTACATCGAGGACTAGACTAGACACAACCACTTAACTGAGTTCAATAACCCGCAAAGAAAGAAGAAAACACTTCTCGCAGCAGAGGAAAGATGTGTCCATGAAGATGCCTATACCTCTATTATGATTATGCCTAGGTAGTTGAACCCACATCACATCACATCAGACACATCGTCCAACTGATCTTTGGAACAAGAACCACCACCACACGGATGGAAAGTTGGCAACAACAGCCTCCATGTATAAATAATATCCTACCTTGCTTACCTATGCAAGACGTTCATGTGTTTAGCCTTTGAACATATTCGGACGAGAAAACCGCGAATGTATTTATGCGGTATATATATATAGCAGATTCAAATTCACGTTACTGTCTTCGTAAACACACACGTTTAGACAAGGGAAGTGTAAAAAGGGGGGGGGGCGGGGGGTGGTGAAACATTCAGCTGCAGAGAAATGTCCATCAGTGTCTATATAGTTCTTGAAGGGTCACGAGAAAGTACACGAACACTGAGAGTCTTACCGAGTAAGAATAGCCTCGCTCTCATTCACCAGAATTGAGGAAAACGCGCAAATCAGTGAGTGGTACAGCACATCAATCATAATCATATTACGCATGTTACTGTTCTGTTGTTTGTCCTTTCTTCTCGACACACCCATCGGAATTGTCACTCGAAAGGTAAAAAAAAAACAAGCCATGCTTTTATTATAAACAAGAAAAGAGAAAAGCTACCCTGTAAACTACACCTCTATCGATACCAAAACTCATCTTCTAAGCTCAAAGCCCAATCAAAGCTCATCAAGACTAGGTCTCCTAAACTCCCAAGTCCGCGGCATGACGGGCAAGCCGATATAGAATTGCCAGAACCGTTTAAGTTCGGTGGTGATGATTTCGTAGCTGTTTTTTTTTATTTTTTATATCACCAACCAATTAGCAAATGCACAAAGAAAACAAAGATGGAAATGGGGATGGGGGTTGGGGGGGTATAAAACTCACAGGAACCCAGGTAACTTGAAATAACTCTTGATCACCAACTTGAACGCCGCAAGCACCACCGTGAACTCGTTCTCGAGCTCATCCTTAATGGTTCTCTTCTTGTATTCGAAGTTGGGATCGGTGTCGGGGTGTTGCGGTTGTTGTTGGAACTCGTCGAAGTCATCATCATCGATATGTTGTTGCTGCTGCTGCTGCTCTTGCTCAACCTTGGGAGCTGGAGTAACTCCCGCCGCCGTGGCCTCGTCTACAGCGGTTGTGGCAGTATTTGTGACAGAGGCCTCCTCAGCGGCATCAGCGGCAACGGGTGTCGAAACAATAACGTGTCGTGGCTTTTTGGCTCGGTCGGGGATGTGATGGGCTCCCGAATTCTCGGCTTCTTCGACTTGCTCGTGGGATTGTTGTCCCTTCTCGCTCTCCTCAACCATCGCCCTAAACTTCTGAATGGCTTCCAAACTGCTGCTTAACCGAGCATAAGTATTAAACAGCGCCACTAGCTCGGTGCGCTTAAGCTTGAACGGAATCTCGTCAGTCGTAGAGGTTGTCGCGGGAGTATCGTTGTTAGCGAACTCAAAGAGAACCTTGAGCGCAGTCCCGTACCCAGCCGTCTGCAACTTGCCCCACAACCGACACTTGTCGCAGCCGACGCAGTCCATCAGCCTCGAGATGTTGCGGAAGCGGTTGCGGAAGTCTTCCTTAAGCGAAGGGCCCTCGCCGTTCTTGAACATAATCGACTCGTCGAACACAGGGCCAGGCACGCTGTTGGCGGCCTTGGAAGTGACGGCGAGGACCTTGGCGCGCGTGTCGGCGTCTTGGGCCGGGTCGCCCGTGCAAAAGGTGTACTCCTCATGAGAGGAGAGGTAGGGCCCCAGCTTGGCGACGGCGCGGGTGAGCAGGGCGTAGTTGAAGTACAGGTTGCTGATGCGGTCCGGGAACTTGTGCAGGCGGTTGATGTAGCAGGACAGGTTGGGCTGCCACTGGCCGGTGGTTTGGTTGAGGAAGTCCCAGCAGAGGTGCGTCGAGATGGACGCGTGCATGCCGCTGACGATCTTGTAGAAGACGCGCTTCTCGAGGCACTCGTCTTCGGACTCGAGACCGGTCTTGGCGACGAAGGGGACCAGCGGGTTCTGCTCGCGCTCATGCTCGAGCACCTGCTGCCGACCGGCGGCTTGCATGACGGCGCGGAAATCCTGGGCGGCGGGGCCCTTGGGGACCGAGTAGGTCTCGCCCAGCGAGGCGGACTGGGGGAAGGAGGATTTCTGGAAGCAGTTCTCGCGGTAGATGGCGTCCCAGACCTGCTTGGCGCCCTCGCCGGCGTATCCGGTGAAGCGCTCGGGGTTGCGCAGGAGAGAGACGTAATCGCCCTTGGAGGTTGCGCTCTCGTCGTCCGGCACGCAGTAGTCGCGGTCGTCGCACTCGTCGTCGTATTCCACCACGCAGGACTCGCCTACGTTCTCTCCCAGCTCGCCCTGGAGCGGGCGCTTCGGTTCTTGTCGCTGGACGGACTTTCCCGGGTGCTTAGCATGGGGTCCTTCGAGCTTGCCGAGCTCGCGGGCGCGCCATACTTCGGGAATGTCTTCTTCGTTGTCGAGGGTCTCCACGGCGCAGGCAATGTTGCCGCACATGCCGTTCTCGTCGTTCCAAAAGGGACATTGCTTGTTGAACAAGTTCAGGCGGTAGTGTGAGAAGAAATCGGTTGTCCGTGTTAAGTCGTCGAGCGCGGGCTTGATGTCGCGGTTAAGCTGTTCGAGGGTGGAATAGGAGGCGCATGCATCACTGACGATGGCTTTTGGTGATATCTAGAAGGAGAATTGGCGGTTAGCTTCAAGAGCCTCCTTTCGCAAGACACCATTGACTTACAGCGCATGATTTATCGTCGCTCTTGCACTGGGCTTCGGGACTCCAGAGCGCAAAGAGCGACAAGTAGAAAAGCCGCGATGCGGGCTTCATGGTGAGCTGTTGTTGCTTGTCCGGGACTCGTCTCCTCCGGGTGCATGAAAGAGGCCACTCTAGCTAATTATACGTTGACCTTGGGGTGTTCCACGGGTTTCGGGGCAACGGTGGCCAGACCGTAACCGTTCTCGGATAATCCGATGTTTCGTCCCGTATAGCAATGTCCGTGTAGAGATGAAAGGTACCTGTTGCTTCGTGGCACTTCTAAGATTCTCGAGGTATACTTTTTAGGGGCGAGTTCAACGTGTTCTGGACTCTGACGTCGCTCTCTGCAGGGGTTATCTGTCTTCTGCGACACGGAAAGAATTCTGATGGAATCTTCGATAAGCACACACGGACAGCGCAATGACAGGGGTCCGGGTGAGAAAGTGCCAGTCTCGGAACGTCAATAGGGGGTTGAATAAAAGTTGGGAAACGACAAAGACAAAAAAACACTTGAAAGGAAAAGGGCAGAGCAGACCAGGGACATGTAGGTGGGAATTGATATTTTCGAATTATCTGTCCACTACCTGGGGTTCTCGTACCGGGTCTCGCGGGCTTACATCTTAATAATCATCCCGAACCCAGTCCTCCATACAAAGGAGGCGAAGCATCTTGTTTGTTGCAGTCCGATCAATTGGACACCCTAATGGTAACTTTCTGGAAAGGTGTCCAGATGGAGATCGGGAAAATCAGCAGATTTCAAATTGCCGACCGAACGACCTTTTCTCGACTGACCTGACGATGTGATGCGGCACTGTCCGAGGTGGCGCTCCCTTGCATTTGTCCAATTATGTTGTTCCTTTGATGCTTGAAGAGAGGTTCAGTTTCCGTCTTTCTGTTTCGGGCAATGTCCGGGTTAACACACGATATGCTTCATTCAACAGCAAAAAGGCGTGACCTCATGAGAAAGAATGCTCTAAAGAATCCCACGAGCGGTTCAGAATCCATATCGAGACATCTCGAAATGCCCGACAGTATGCAAATTGAAGTTACTTGTGTGAGGCCGAAGACTCCGGCCCTCTTGGCACCCGTCCGGGTTCGGGATCCGAGAGCTAAAGTCCCGTGAATCTCCGCCCACGATAACACCACATCACGTATTTAAGATGCATATCAAGATCGGTAGCAGCCATTCCAAGAGCAAATCTATCGCTTTGGTCTAATAATGAAGGCATCGTCTTAATCTGGATGGGCATAAGTCATTAAATCCCAGCCATAAGAACATACGGTATATGCACCTACAACATCGCCTCCACTCATATCCAAAGTGAACGCAACCATCCATCTTACTAGGCAACGCATCGAGGTCAAATTCCAGGCATAGGTCAGCGTATTGATAAGACTCTTAACAATATAACGATGCCTACCGATGAACCGTAAACACATGAGGACTAGCGTCGACCTGGCTGAACAAGACGTTATCATGCCTTTTACAATTCATGACACATCCGACAACGAAATTTAGAAAAAAACATACAAGACAGAGTCACTTTTACATCAAATGTAGACAAGTTAAGTTTTGTTCATCGTTTGTATTGTTTTTGCACCTTCCCCAGTCTACATGCAGTTGCGCCGAAGAGATTTTGGGTCATAAATAAAGAGATCAATGGCGCTAAAAGGCAAGAAAAAGAAATCCATCCGGTATGTCATTCATTCTTGGAAACAACCATTCCCTGCCTGGGGATGCGACTGATGCCGTAGAGTGCAGATCAAATACACATGGCCCCCCCAACTTTTGAGTATCCGGTCCCAATGAACGAGGTATATGAAGACGTCGTCCCAATACAAGACAAGATTCTGCCTTCAATTAAAGTTCCTGTTCCTATTCCCAAGTATTGCGCTCGTTAAGCTAAAAGGTAATTTAGCGGGAAGACATGGCCTTGGTGACGAGGCGCTTGAGGGCAAGCTCCTTCTTCTTGAGGTCCTCGGCGGAGGAGTCCTCAATCTCGAGCTGGCTCATGGCCTCGGAGAGGGACTGCTCGATCTTCTCCTTCTGGCCGCGCTTGAGCTTGAGGGAGAGAGTGGGGTCGGAGACGATCTCCTCAACGCGGGAGATGTAGGACTCGAGCTGCTGCTTGGCCTCGAAGCGCTTGGAGAAGGCCTCGTCGTTGCTCTTGAACTTCTCAGCCTCCTCAACCATCTTCTCGATCTCAGAGGAAGAGAGCTTGCCAACGGAGTTGGAGATGGTGATGTTGGCAGAGCGGCCAGAGGTCTTCTCAGTGGCGGTGACCTTGAGAATACCGTTGACATCGACCTCGAAGACGACCTCGAGGACGGGCTCACCAGCCTTCATGGGAGGGATAGGAGCAAGAGTGAACTCGCCGAGAGAGGTGTTGTCCTCGCAGTTGACACGCTCACCCTGGTAAACGGGGAACTGAACGGTCTGCTGGTTGTCGGCAACAGTGGTGAAAGTGCGCTTCTTGATGGTGGGCACAGTCTGGCCACGGGGGACGACGGGGGCGAAGATGTTGCCCTCCATGGCGACACCGAGGGAGAGGGGAACGACATCGAGGAGGAGGAGGTCGGAGGTCTCGGCGGAGGTGGCCTTGCCGGAGAGGATACCGGCCTGGACGGCGGCACCGTAGGCGACGGCCTCATCGGGGTTGATGGACTTCTCGAGCTTCTTGCCGTCGAAGAACTCGCTGAGGAGCTTCTGGACCTTGGGGATACGGGTAGAACCACCGACAAGGACGATCTCGTCAACGGCGGACTTCTCGATAGCGGCATCCTTGAGGACCTGGGCGACAGGCTCGAGGGTACCGGAGAAGGCCTTGGCGTTCAAGTCCTCGAAACGGGCACGAGTGACGTTGATGTTGAAGTCCTCACCGTCGAAGAGGGAGTCGATCTCGATGGTGGTCTGAGCACCGGAAGAGAGGGTACGCTTGGCACGCTCGCAAGCAGTACGGAGACGGCGGAGAGCACGGGCATCACCGGAAAGATCCTTCTTGGTCTGTGAGAGAGTTAGCCCAAGTCCTTTGCATTGGATTTACCGGATTTTTTTCCCAAAAAAAAAAATCCAAAAAAACCCCCAAAAAAAACGACGGGAATAGGGAAAGCAAAGACAACGGAACAATTCCCACGCACCTTACGTGTGAACTCTTTCTTGCAGTAGTCAAGAAGGTTGGTGTCGAAGTCCTGACCACCAAGATGGGTGTCACCAGCGGTGGCCTTGACAGTGAAGACACCACCCTGGATGTTGAGGAGGGAGACATCGAAAGTACCACCACCGAGATCGTAGATGAGGACGTTGCGCTCCTTGTTGGACTTGTTGGCACCGAGACCGTAGGCAATAGCGGCAGCGGTGGGCTCGTTGATGATACGGAGGACGTTGAGGCCGGAAATGGCACCAGCATCCTTGGTAGCCTGACGCTGGTTGTCGTTGAAGTAGGCGGGGACGGTGATGACAGCCTTCTCAACCTTCTTGCCAAGCTTGACCTCGGCAATCTCCTTCATCTGTGTTGTGGGAGCACATGTTAGGATGCGGTTCTTGTGCGCACGGACCGGGGAGTTCGGGATTCGGATATATGGCTGTGGCTTACCTTGGTGAGGACCATGGCGGAGATCTCCTGGGCGGAGAAGGTGTGGACACCGCCGAGGTAGTCAACCTCGACCTTGGGGTTGCCGGCACCATCGTCGACAACCTTGAAGGGCCAAGACTCCATGTCCTTCTTGACAGTGGGGTCATCGATGCGGCGACCGATGAGACGCCTGGAGGTGCGTTAGTGAGGCTGCGTCTTTGAGACTGAGATACTGGATAGAGCGTACTTGACATCGAAGACGGTGTTCTTCGGGTTCATGGCGGCCTGGTTCTTGGCGGCCTCACCGATCAAACGCTCCTCAGCAGTGAAGGAGACGAAAGAGGGAGTGGTGAAGCTACCCTGCTCGTTGGCGATGATCTCGACATTGGTACCCTCGTAGATGGCAACGCAAGAGTAGGTAGTGCCTGTGTAGGAGGATTGAGGTCAGCAAGGTGCTCACATATGGGTGAGTCTTGACCGAATGCGCCGTTGCCCTTGGTGATGCCCAAAAACGCACAAAAACAAAAACTCGGGCGCAAACAGGTCGCAAAAACGGTGGCAACAACATGGTATTGCGCACGGCGGGGCTTATAAAAAAGGTTAAGACATACCAAGATCGATGCCAATGGCACCATCGTAAACTTCGTCCGCCATGATGAAGATAGTGTTGTCTGGAAAGGGAATGTCGAGACTGAGCTGAAGCTGGCAACGACGAAGGGGACGAGGAGGGAGTTGAAGGGTTTTAAAAGGCCTGAGCCGGTCCAGTCACTGGGGAGTGGGCTACGTGGGGCAGGGCAGGCCGGGCGACATTCAATTTTGAAATTTTCAACTGCGGTGCAACTTTTTTCTGTTGCATGGCCAACCGCCCCGGTTTTCCCCACTGACTAGCCTGGATTGGGCATGGCTGGCTATGGCCACTATCTTATCTAAGCCTGACACGTGACACTACTCGTGATATCTGGTCCCAGTCTTCTTCAATCCGAGCCTACGACTGGCTGGCTTCTGCCTGACATGGGGTGTGGGAGGGACGTTGAGACGGTCGAGGGGTCTTGTCTTGGAACTTTTTCACCTTGGGCGCCTCCTCCGGCCTCTGGGGGCGCTAGCAAGGACTGCAGTGCAGGGTGGGCAAGGGCAACTTTTCGAAGTGGAGGAGGGGGAGGGGTCTGAATCAGTTGCAGGAAAGACGGGAATGGTTTCATTGGATTGTTGACCTTCTGACACGACAGGGCAACTGAATGATGAAACTGAACTTTTGCCGACAATGCAATGTTGGAGACTCGGAGGGAAGTGGAAGTGGCCATTGTGAGTCGTAAAGTTTGATCTCTGGGAGTCTGGAAGCGGCGATGGTTTGGAAAGAAACAGTTGTGTTACGAGTCGTTACACGAATAATTGCTGCAGGCTACAGGAAGTAGTTGGCGTTGTCTGCATTTTGCTGCTTGTGATTGCGGCTACACTGAATTTGTCAGTTGGCCTCCATACGTAACTGCCAATACAAAAGTTTCTTCGATTTGTTCGACCGCCTCCAAGACAAACCCACTCTATCATCTTGTCGGTGACTATATCTCTCTAGAGACTACCTCTCTCTATCTGCACTACTGCAATCTCTGTTTGAAAGAGCAACCGACTTGTTTGCCTGGAGCAGCAAGTCGCAACTTCCACTTCCAACTTGCAAATCGCACCTGCCGTCTAGACCCTGAGTGCTTGGACCACGCGTCTAGAAACTGATTTCTTCTTTTTGCCGTGACAAACTTTCCTCGTTCCACGTCTTCTTCTTCTTCCTCTCAACATCTCAACTTTTTCTCAACAACCAAGCATCCAGAAACTTCCACTTTTCCTCGGAAGAGCAGCATCCCGCAGGCAAAAGCAAACTACATACACAATCCAAAACATCCGACCGAATCGTATCGTGGATCCCCCAAGTTGGAGCCCCCCTCGCCCGCAGTCCCCAATCGATTCGCGCTTCCACCCACGCCTCGCCGGGCCTCGCACGCTTAAATCACTTTCTTGGGCATAAACTGCTTTTTTTGTGGGCCCGTCTGTCCAAGCTCAGTCCTTGTTAGCTCGACTCCGTCTTGTCGCCCTTTGTCGGAACGACACACTTTGATCAACATCCACTTTCCAAACCCCCATCGCAACATCACAACCGCCACCATGTCCGAGCAAGTCGATCTCACCACCATCCCTATCAGCCCCGAGGGCGGCAACACCAACGGCGACGCCGCCGTCAAGGACGACAAGACCGTCACCGTCTTCCACGACAAGGAGCACTTCAATGTCAAGCACCCTCTCTCCAACCGCTGGACCCTTTGGTTCACCAAGCCCTCAAGCGGAAAGGTTGGTTTCCCTCCCCCCCTCCGCCTACCATCTGCCCCACCATACCATGCAGTCAGCTAACATCACGGCGACCAGGGCGACAACTGGAATGATCTCCTGAAGGAGGTTATCACCTTTGAGACGGTCGAGGAGTTCTGGGGTGTATATGTATGTCCATGAGTGCCCTCCCACCCCGCGCTTTGCGCAACATGCATGCTGACCAAAACGCGCGCAGAACAATATCGCCCCGGTATCAGAGCTCGCTCTCAAGTCCGATTACCACCTCTTCAAGGAGGGCGTGCGCCCCGAGTGGGAGGATCCCCAGAACAAGCACGGTGGCAAGTGGTCTTACCAGTTCAAGGAGAAGCGCAGTGTCAACATTGACGAGATCTGGCTGCATACTATGCTTGCTGCGATCGGCGAGACTCTCGAGGACGAGGAGGACGGTGAGGTCATGGGTGTTGTCGTCAACGTCCGCAAGGCCTTCTTCCGTGTTGGTGTTTGGACTCGCACTATCGGCAAGCACATTCCCGGCCGCGGCGACGGAGACATTTCTGGCGGCAAGGGTAGGTCCCCTGAGAAGGGCAAGGAGATCCTGATGGCCATCGGCCGTCGCTTCAAGGAGGTTCTCCAGCTCCCTGCCAACGAGGCTCTCGAGTTCTCCGGTCACACGGAATCCGCTCACAGCGGCAGCTCTCGTGCTCGTGCCAAGATGACCGTCTAAATGCGGCCTCCAGTTCTGGCCATGTCATTGACAAGCTAAAGTCAAACCCGGCTTTAGCAGGCGGCTTCGTTTTCATGCATACAACGAGCCGCTTATAATATCTACGACGTTCGAGAAAGGACGCCATGCGGTCTTGGCGGCGGCATACACGCAAACGACAACGCATAGAAATATGGGATATCTCGTTGACGAAAAAGTTACCCGCTTCATTTACTTGGTGGAGGAATCCGGGAGTCTGGAAGGGGGGAATCTAGCCGTGGCGTCGGTTTCCAAAAATCCTTTTTACATTTCATTCAGCAGCTCTATTGAGGTCCTTATCATGGCGTTATTTGACTTTGGAAGTTAAGGCAGCCTTTAAGTCGGTTTTATACACCGTGGCCTCCTACTCGCAGATTTGTGCATGGATCTGAGCGTGGGCAGTCGTGGAATTAGACGATGGTTTATACTCGGGACGAGATGGGATTGCCGCACTATTTCCATCGGGTTCCTGAGAGAGCATGTGTATGGTGTGTTGGGCTTTTGCGGCGGGCGTGGGACACAAGTCGTCGCGGGATATGGGACATTGATAGGAGCTTAGTGAGGAATAAAAGCATTGGTCCTCTACATTCGGCCGGAAATGGACATGCGTCTTTGTTGACTAACATTAACGTTAAGGCTCGGAACAGGAAAGTCCGGCTTGTTACCTCTGATTGTGGACACAGCCGTCCTGGGCACCGCTCATGGTTCGCCTTGAGAGTCAACGAGCTTTTTACCAGAGGTATTGATACCTTACAACCCAAACTCGAACGATGACATGATCGCGGATCAAGACGACTGACTTAAGAAGAGCAGGTATAGAAAGAATTTCTCAAAGATAAGCTAGCTACTATACAACTTTATCCAAACTCCAAGTTGACCTAACGCCTCCAAAAACCAACATCCCTAATAAGATCAACCAACGGACTACTTATCCAACTTTCCAAAACTTGTTATCCACGGTTAAACTGCTTCATGGCGTAAGAGGAGGAGGCGGTGCCGCGCCGGCAAGGGTGAAGGTTCCGTCGCCAGTAGTAACAGTGGAAGCAGTGGTGGAAGTCCGCCTCCCAGACGTCAGACCACCACCTTTAGCAGTGTTTTTCTCAGTAACAGTGAACACTTCTTCCCCACCGTTAGTGGTAACAGTGTAGGTAGTCTTCTCAGTCTTCAAATCAGACTCAACCCCCCTTGCAAAAGGATTCCAGTTACCACCACCACCAGCCACCGCCCCGGCCGTCGTCGTAGTTGTCGTCGCCGTCGTCGTCACCGTCGTTGTCAACCCCCCTCCCCCACCTCCTGTTCCTCCTCCTCCTACTGCACCTCCTCTCCTCCGCCACGCCTCAGGTAAAAATGTAGCACCAGTAGCACCACCAAGCCACCCATCAACCCTTTCCAACCCCCCTCTCACACTCTCATCCACCAACTTCACCCAATCTCCCCACCATCCAAGCGCACCTTCCAACCTCGCCCAAACCCATCCCACCGGTCCCCTCCTAACCAGCTGCGAATAAAGATACCCCACCCCTCTTAACAGCGCGGCTAGCGGCGGAAGCACCACCTTTTTAACCAGGTCCCCGATGGGAGCGAGGACTGGTTTGAGTATAGCTAACGCTAGGTTTTGAAGGAGGGTTAATGCGCGGAGGAGGAGACCAACCAGAGGGCGGAGGGCATCCACAATGGGGGTGAGGAGCGTGGTTAGGCCGTCTTTGACCTGGTTGAAAACGTGGAGGAGTGTTGATTCCAGGGCCAAAAAGAAGGGGAGGAAAGAAGGGAAGAGGAAGGGAAGTACCAAAAAGCGGAGGAGGGAGTAGATGAGAAGAGTAAAAAGGAGGCGGCGGAGATGGAGGAGGGTGCGGTTTGAGGGGATCAATCTGCTCAGGAGAGATGAAGAGGTGCGGGAGGAGGAGAAGTAGGGGGAGGAGGATGAGGATGAGGAGGAGGAGGAGGAGAGGGAATGGGAGGAATGGGAGGAATGGCGGGAGGTAAGCGGGAGATTAGTCCATTCTCTCAAGGTAGGAACGTGCTCCGGCAGGTAACCTGGGTAACCGATGTAATACTTTTCTGGACCTGCCGAAGGATCATTGCTGCTGCGGCGGAGGGCGGAAAGGTTGGACTCGTCGGCTACGCCCGAGTAGTAGATTGCGTTGCCTTTGGCGATTAGGTGGATTGCTTGAGCGTCTTCTTGACGGTCGAAGGGGTTCATGTGATGCTTGAGACGGCGGCGGGTGTGGGGGGCTTTGTAGCCCTGCTCGTCGGAAGAGTCTTCCTCTTTAGGAGGGGGATTGCGGGGGATGACTTTATCAAAGTAATACTCGTAAGTGGGGTGGGTCTCGATGGAAGCCATGAGGTCGTTGGTGTGGAAGGAGAGGCCGACCCGGAAGGACGGGTTCTTCTTGACCTCCTCACGTCTAAAGGTTTCCAGGTTCATGTAGCGTTGGATGGCGGGGAAGATGGCGATTTGAGTCTTTGCCAAGCGAGAAGGGAGGTAGAGCTCTGGACGGTTGGGGTCACTTTTAGACCTGCTATAGTTCGGCTCTGGGGCAGGAGGAGGATCGTGAACAGTGGGTGCAACAAAGCCGGGACGGAGTCGCGCAAGCCTGGCGGCTGTGGCCGTCAAACCGGACTTCAACTTTGTACTGGCGTCATCCAAGGCAAGTCTGAGGGTACCGCGTGCCATGGCAGCCGTGGTCCTGGGAGTACGTCCGTCCAGTCCAAGCTCCTTTCTCCTCTTCTTCCGGCGGCGGTCCGCTTCCAGGCCTGCGTGATACCGCTTCTGCGCGTCTTGCTCGTGCTTGTCGGCCCATGCCCGGGAGATCTCAAAGGGAATGTCGTCGACGTTCTCGACCTCAAAGCTCCATGCATCTCCAGGCAGAGGCCAGTTGAAGCGGAAGACGTCGCGGGATAAGCGCATGGCGATGTTGAAGTACCCAGCCTCGGCAATGATATCGTGGATTTCTTGGTGGAATTCCAGTGGGTCGATACGCTTCTCAAATTCGACGTCCATGAACCGGAGCAAGGGAGAAAACAAGGCAGTGGTTTGAATTGCCAGCTTGTCCACCTCGGGCCAGAACTCGGGAGTCAGAATGTATTCACCAAGAGCAGCGCGAACGCTTTGGGAACGCATCACGGTGCGGACGTAGCCTAGGTAGTCCGCGGTTAGTTAACGGCCACAAGCACAAGGGAGACAAAGGATCAGAAAGAAACATACCATCCATCTCAATATAACACTCATCCTGCGCCTCCAACATCCTCTTCGTACCCCTATCCGCCCCAAACAACAATTCATCAAACACCTGCTCCTGCAACAACCTCACCAACACCGCCACCATCAAAAACTTCCTATACCGTCCCTTAGCCAACAACACATCCCACCCCGCCGGGTGATTATTATCCTGCCTCGCCACCAAGCTCGCATAATGAACAAACTGGTCCGAAACGCCCGCCTGCTTCCACAGGTTCATCCAATCTTTAACACTCTTCGCACTGAGCTTGACGTCGGACCCTTCGTTGTCAAAATACTTCTCCGCCCACCTATACACCCTCCGCATGAGGTCTTCCCAAAGAATCCCATACCAGTCACTCTGGAACTCGATCTCCTTATCCTCCTCCGACAAAGTCGGCCAGCGGATATGATCAAACCCCAACTGCGTCGGCCTCCACCCCGATTCTCTTATAGTCACCACCTGTCTCGGGATCACAGGAGTCACATCCACCCCGAGACCGACATCGAGCCTCAACTTCTTAGCCACTCCCTTCAACCCCGCCTCAATAGCACCGAACGCCTCGAGGCTTGATCGCGCAAAGGGGATGTAATCCAGGGTATGGAACGGGTGTTTCTTTAGGGGCAAGGGCTTAAGCAGTCTGTCGTCGACTCCCAAGATGGCGATCTTGCGCTCGTGCATGGCTTTCTTGTTGAGTTCCTGGTAGAGCCCGTCCGAGGGAAGCCAGGGCCGCTCCTTTGTGGGGATGGGCTCGACGACGACGTGGGTGGATGAGATGCGGCTGGGTTGGCGGACGTCGGAGCGGGCTTTGGGGACGACGCCGAAGGAGGGGGGCTTGAACCCGCCGGTGCTGTAGAGGCCGGTGGGCGCGGAGTGGGCGCCTCGGTGAGCCATTGTTGTTTTGGTTTACGTTTCTTCTCCTTGCTATGTTGATGAGTGTTCGTCTTTGCGATTGTGGTATGCGCCAGCTTTCTCGTGTAGTTCTACTCGGGGAATCAAAGATATCGTGGGTTCCTAGTGAAAGCAATGATTTGGTGAAGTCATGAAGATGTTGCCAAAAGGAATGCAGAAAAGGTTCTGTAGGAAGATAGTTGGCAACATGCTGACAACATATGAGAACAGGACACAAAGGGGGGGTAGCTGAGCGGGATCAATGAAGCAGTCAACATTCTCGACCTTTTCGACAATGGGCAGAAACAAAGGGTGATGCGATGCTAGGGGATAGCTGACGGAAATGGACATGAAGCTGGAAGAACAAAGCAGACCCAACCGGACATGGAAAAGTCCAACAATGGCTCACCTGAGAAGCACTGGCATATCTTTGAGAGACAACATTCCAACCGTTCGCATCGCATCGAAGCTTTCTGTTCTTGTTAGCTGCCGTTCTCGGAATTGGCAAACATCTCAGGGCCAACAACCTGAGTGTGTTGCATTGTCTTGTTTGCGACTGTAGGTAGACAAAGAAGGCTGTCAATGATGGCTTCCTAGTCAATAGGTCAAAGTGCACATCGGTGCTCGTCTTATTTCCCAACTTGCTGCAAATCAAATGTCGTCGCCGACTGGCTTGTAAAAATTCGCTGTTTGGATACCCCCTTTTGTCACAGATATCATACATAACAACATGATGCTCTGGCAATGTCCACTTCATCCGTCCATTACCATACCTATACTCTCTCAGTCATAGCACCACCTCTTTATTTAGGCAAGCAGACCTAACAACCCCCATAATGGAGAGAAAGTACCAAATGACCGAGCCGAACGCATTGTATTCCACCTCCCACCGTCCATAAACTCCATGATGTAAGTAACTTGACGCTCGCCAACCCAAACACTTTCGAAATGACTCGACTATCTTGCGCCGGCCATGACCAAGCCCCATCGTTGAACCAGAACCTCCTCAACATTGCGGAAACCGACAAGATCTTGAAAGGAATAAGAAAGGTATCAGCAAATACCAGAAAAGAACATTTGAGACGAAAGTTCGTTCAAAGAAGCGGTTACACCCTAGGTAAAAAGGCATTGATAGAAATCCTCTCCAGCTCACACTCAGCGCCGCTGGGGAGCTTCTGGCCTTTTGGAAGGGCTGCAATCATCGTGACACTGATTACTGTCGTACCCGGCTGCAACGGAAGGTCAAATACTATCGCATTCACGGGCAGCGGGTCGTCAGAAATCGGTAGAGGAGTCGCCCTTCCCACCATCGAACCATTAATGGTGATGAAAAGGCGATATTGCCGTTGTTGCTGCTCCAGAATAGGAGACAGTCGTGGAATAAGTTGCAGTCTGCTGTGATTAGTCGGCAGATGAACTGTCAGGTTTTGTTGGGCCAGTTTTGGATGGGCCGGAACTTCAAGCCTAAACCGCCTCTCAAGGGGAATGCTTGGATGGGTACGAATGAGGATGCTGTGGATAAGGGCATCGGCAAGACCTTTAAAATGCAGTTAGCGATTAAGCCTTCATAAACAGACCTGACATGAACTTACCTCGACCAGGAGCACGGTATGTCTTATCCCATATAGGCGGAGGCGGAGGCGGCGCTACAATGGGCACATGGCCGTTCTGAAGCGCTGCAGAACCTGGCTGTTGCGAATTCAGTCCCGGCGTTGCGGTTCCAGGTACCACAGCGGCCCCATTCACACCCGCTCGGGGTGGTAAAGGCACAGGTGATTGTTGGACACCCCCTTCGAGCTTAGCCTGGGTGACGGCAGGGCTTGGTGCCGCAGAGACAGATAGACTCCTGGCTTTATCTTGAGATATAGCGGGGACTGCAGACGGGACAACTCTATTGCCATTGACGGCACCATGGCTATGATTGGAATCGATGGATTGGCCAGTTGGAGGCGCTGGCGAGGCGGCAGCGCTACCACGAGAACCGCCCACGTGAATGGTGATCTTCTTTGGACCGCTCACACTTGGGGTCTCCGAGCCGGGAGCGACCTTTAGTTTGATCTTGGGGGGCTGTGGCGGTTCTTGAACGAATGCCTTGGCCTGATCCAACTCTTTCTCAAAGCAGTTCTTCAGTTCTGTCGCAAGGTCGTAAATAACGCTCCCCTCCTCGTTGTAATAGTGGGCATTGTTCCAGAGAAGGCTGGCCTTCTCCTCGAATGCAGCCCAACTCTTGAACTCGCTCACACCTGTCGGACTGGCGCGACCGTAGATACCTTTAACGAGCTTCTGCAGGCCTTTGAGGGAGAGGGGCTCAGTGATGACAGCAAAGTAGTCCTTGAAGCTCCTTGGAGGAAGGTTGATAAAGTCAAGGAAGTAAGGGTCACTGTTTTGTCATGTTAGTTTAGAAAGGATGGCAATTTGGGACGAGTGAGCGATGGGGGTGCAACGTACGATCCATCCGGTTTGCGAATAAGTTCCTCCACAATCTTCTCTTGTGCTTGCTGGAAGTTGAGGCCTTTGTAGGGTACATTCTCGTACTCATGGTCTGCCTTCTTCCTGCCGCCTCTACCAGGCTTTGACGTAGGTACTGGCGAGGCTGTACTCCTAGCCGTTGGTCTGCCACTCTCGCGCCTCTTGATAACAATCCTTCTTGGGTTCTCGTTGTCTTCGTCACCGCTCTCGTCGTGGTCGTCATCGTGGTCGTCATCTTCGCCTTCAACATCATCCTCGCCCTGGGTATCCTGTACTGAGGGAGATTCGCGTTTCCGCACAGACTTGACAGAGCCGTTCGTCGAGCCGTTTGAAGAGTTCTTCTTGGTACCGTTCTGACTGGCGTTCTTGCTCTCGTCATCGTCCTCCTCTCCAGGAATCGGCGCTGCGGTGCAGCTGTAGCCGGTTTCTCGCTTGTAGGCGGGATTCGTCTTGGTCATATAGTTGCTAAGCGCTTTTCTGACGCGTTCAGCGTCCTCAAAGATGTCGGAGCCTTTGTTGTAGTATTCTTTCGCGTTCATAACCATACGTTTGAAATAACCCTCCAGCTCCGACATGTTCGCAAAGTCCTGGTTGTGCAGTTTGCGCTCGATTGTTTTGAGAGATATGGGCAGCTTGATGCGCCTGTAGTAGTCTTCGTTGCCTTCGCGGGGGATAAGGTCTTCGAAACAGTTGGCGACAGTCCGTCCACTATGATCAGGATGTCAGCGTCAACCTTGATGGAAAGAATCCAAGATATCCATCTGTTGTTGTCGATCGCAGGTGGTGCAGCTATAAAAGAGAAATTTGCACCGGGTTTCGTGTCATACCTCTTGTCTTTGGTCCTACGAATCATCTCGAGGAAGTGCAGGCCATATGCGGTAGTGGACTCATGGGTCTCTTCGATGTTGAGATCGTAATCCGTGTAGGGCTGCATTCATGGTTAGCTGGCTGTATGTAGTCGTACATTGAGAGCAGTGTTTGGTGGCTGGTGTATGTATTGTCGGAGCCAAGGGATAAGACGCGGGTTGAGCATCGTGGGAGGCAGATGCTAAGCTTCATTGACAGTGAGGTGCTGGGGTTTGATCAGATAATGGTGCTGGGTGCTGTCAATGGATGCATGTGCACTTCCTCAACTCCCTCCCCAGACGAGGGAAGGAAGGCAAAGGTTGTGGTCACTGTATGGCCGCATCCTCGTCGAAAGAGACCAGCACAACGGGAACGGGGGTGCATGTATATGGGGGAATGGGAGGGAATGGTTGGAGGTATGATGGACTTACGCCTGGTTCCTTCTTGGTGCGCTTCGCAGCGCGGTCGTCGCCATCCTGAATGTTGGCTCCGTTGGAGATGCTGGCTTTCCGCTTATTGTCCATGTCGGCGAAGATGTCGTCAGAGCTACCGGTAGGGCGGTGCCGGCGGGGCAAATGGCAGTTGGGGAGAAGGGTCTCGTCTGGGGGTCAGGGACCGGATGGGAGTCGCTGGCTGGCGCAGAGCAGGACGGGACTCGGGGGAGACGCGTTGCGGTTTGGCGATGTCGTTCTGCGGGCACAAAAAATGCCACTTGGGTTAGATTGATGGGTAGTGGATTAGTGGGAACCGCGCTCCAGTGCTCCAGCAGCGATGGGCCTGGCCTGAGCTGGGGCTGTAGCGGGCGGGCGGGCAGGCGGGCGGGCAGGCGGGCGTCGATGGAAGTGGACGGGAAGATGGCCGCTTGAGAACGTGATGGAGAGAACAGGGGGCGGGCTAGAATCGGGCAGTCCAGTTGTAAGTGAGGTGGGCAACCACCCGCGAGCCAATAACAGTGGTGGCTTGTGATGGTGTATCGACTCTGCGCAGGAACAGAAACACTTGTGTGGATGCTGCACGGCGTGCTGGGCAGATCTGGATGCCGGCAATGTGGACAGTGGTGATGGGCAGTGGGAATACCCTCAAGTTAACGTGTGGTATATAGATGGCGAGTTGGGTGCTCCAACAGATGAAAAAAAAGACGGTTGGCCGTTGCTTTGAGCGGATTGTCCCGAGCTTGTTAGTGCAGGTGGTTGTTTGCTTCCCTGCGCCGGGCCTGGTTGTGGTGGTGTGTCTGGTGCCCGTCCTCTGGGACGACTTTGAGAAAGTGAGAAGTGAAAGCGTCGGCACTCTGACCACATCCCTTGGCGACTTGGCGGCTGGCGGCCGTCTGTCAAGTTCTTATTCAAACATGCCAAGACCAGACAGCCTGCCGCGGCCGGCACCATTTAGGAATCTGGTGGATTTGCCGGCCGGACACTCCCGTCTGCCACCGAACCCCTGTCAACTGGGTGCAGTGGACTTGTGATTCCCCTCGTCACTGGCCGGCCGTTGTCAACCACATCAACCATCTCATCGCAACACCGACACTCTACAATAACGCCAAAGTCTCTCGACAATAGAAGCTATTGTTCAAGATAACCTTCGTGCGACTCACAATATCACCCGCCCTCTACAATTGACTCTCGGCTCCATCGTCCCAACTAATCCTGACCTCAATCTGAAGACAATAGTCACAATATACCTACTGCCGCCAAAGACGCCGACTCCACTGCCCTGACAGCGACCCTTTGCCTCCGGGTTCTTAAATAGCACTCTATCCGCCCCACGCGCGCGGCCACCACAGCGAGACCAAACCACCGAGAGACGCGTTGTGGAATCGCACAGCACCGCCAGCAATCATCGCCTTAGCAACCGATACCCAAACAACAACAATCGCACCACCGTAAAACACCCACAACGCAAGCAGGCAAAATGACACCGGAGGAGATGGGCATCGACACCAGTCGCCGCAACCCCAGCCCGCGGCCGCTGTCTGATAACGAGCGCGCGCGCCTCGAGGAGTTCATCGACTCTATTCACTATTCTACTCGGTACGCCCTTGCGCACTTTAGGGAGGGTTCTACTGTACGGTTGCTGACCCTGCCACTCGTTCCTATAGCTACTCCGACAGCGAGTACGAGTACCGTCACGTCCAGCTACCCAAGGCCATGCTCAAGGCCATTCCCTCCGACTACCACGATAAGTCCAAGGGCACTTTGAAGCTCTTGTGGGAGGAGGAATGGAGAGCCATGGGCATTACACAGGTGCGCGCCAACATGATCATTTGCGATGGGCAACGCATAAGGAACGGGAAGACTAACACAAAGGTTGCGACAACAGAGTCTCGGTTGGGAACACTACGAGGTTCATGAGCCAGAGCCTCACATTCTGTTGTTCAAGTAAGCGCATCCCATTCGACACTACCACGATCAACATTGCTAACTAGACGGTACCGCAGGCGTCCCCTAAACTACCAGCCCCCTCAGTGCTGAAGACAACTTGACTAGAGGAGGACTAGACGGGAACACACACAACACACACGCATTTGGAATTGTACCATACCTTGCATTACCATGATACTCACGACTGCATAGCGAACTTTTTTTTAGGGGCGACATGTGCCGACAGCGATCACGATCGATACTAGGATAATACTCGGAGGAAACTTGCTGGCTCGAAAGTTTTGCTTCGATCAATGCGCCCATGATCACCCAAAAAGCCTGGTGCCTGGAGGGCTGGTGTGAGCGGCCGCATGACGAACATAACCTACTGTGATATGGATGGATCGACTTGACGGAGACATAATACCACAACCTGGAGGCTCACTGCTGGAAGGGATGAACATGCCGAGCTCTCTGATAGTATAGGCCAAGGTTGGAGGTGGGTTCGCTAGACGTGCAGAATTCTTTTGTTCATGCACCACCCGGCCAGTCTCCGGGCCAGTCACTGGTCAACCATCTTGCTGTCGCGGCTCGAACCGAATTTCAGGCGCAACGGTTGATATCGGCAGACAATCTTGAAGGAAACAAAGCAATCATGCATGGGGGATTGTTGGCCTCATATCTCCGGGGTGGGCTGTTGGGTTCCATGGAAGGGTGAACGGAGATAGAGAATCAATGGAATGGAAATGATTTGCCAGTCAACACTCCCTAATGTCTCTATTACCAGCTAGCTTGTGTGTGCGCCGTTGACTTCCCACGTGGTCGTAGGTATGTACCGCCTCGCTGCTACGTTTTACGATGTGTACTTGAGGAATAGCTTCATTTTGTAGAAAAGGGGCGGCGTCCACCTCGAGCAGGAGGAGCCTAGGGAGCATACTACCTAGGTAGATAGATGGAATGAACCCATGTTGGGGGAGTGAAACTTGAAGATTGGGCGTTTCGTAAACCATATCAACCATTCCTTCACCATGGGTTTACAATGACGAGCCCTCGCATACATACCGATTCGTTGTGAGCTGAAGTGCCATGGAGAATGTGAACTACTCAACTCCCAATATAAGTAGTCATCAACGACAGGGTAATTAATGGATAGAAATGGAATCTATAGATGTATGTGTACAACAACAACAACAACTTGCGCTTTGACTCGAATCAGGCACTGCAGTGGAATTGCCTCTTCGGACACATAGGTGAGTGAGTGTCATTCAGTAGGTAAGGTACCAATTCACTAATGTTTCGGTGGTAGTTTTCCAAAAACAACAACCACTTAGTTCCTGGTCGAGTGGCGTAACGGTCTGTCTACCGTCCTAACACCTCCTCGAACCTCCACTCCAAAATTTCCTGTCCGGTTTGGAACGAAACGATGATGTACATTCAAGTAGTAACCCAAAGAGCGTTCACGTCGTAAGCCTCGTCCGTCCACTACCCGTCAGGGTTAGAAAAGGATCTGTGCAAGTGTGAACAGCGATAGAAGAAGGTAATCACAAGTGCGCAAAGAAACTCAAACTCAATAAGTTGGGGTGTTTCGACGGTTAACCGTCTCGTGCTCGGATGAGCGGTTGTCGTTGTTGTTGTTTTTTTGTACCTTTTTGTAACTTTTGTCGGAGGGTAGTAGACTAAGAGAAGGTTAGTTTGCGTATTTTGCGAGGTGGTGAATTCGATTGAGTCCGTCCCTGTATGACTTTATTCTTTTTCTTTTTCTTTTTACGTTCCTTCCCATTGCGTTGGCACCGACCGTATGGGCATTGGGTCAGGACTTCCTTGAGATGACTGGCGACGTTCGATGTTGAGCAATTTGCTTGTCCAGTCACCCTAGGTACGTATATCCACCTTATCAACCTGAGTGAGTTTGTCGCTCGGGTAAACTATCAACATAGAATGCCCATCCAGTCTCGAGCCGCCCCGAGCAAGGTACCTAATTGAAAGTACCGAAAGTGGAACGCACCCTTGCTCGTTACGTGAAAGCTGGGGAACTGGGGCTGGAACGGGAAAGAGCGAGCGAGCGAGCGATGATGGACGGACGGATCGTGCCTTCCTATTGTAGAACTTGTGCTCTCACTGGTTTGATGTTCCAAGTGGAAGGATGGTAAGCGTGACTCCCCGTCTCGTCTCCGTTCGAGATACGATCAACACTTTGGTTGTGATCACAAGAGATTGAAGAGGAGGAGGACTCGGAGGACGAGAGAATCCACCCTCCCGTCGCAAGTCTCTGGCTGTCACTGGTCCTCTCACGGAGATGAGATGGTGACACTCATGCAGGAACACATGCAGGAATGAACGTTTCAACACATTGTAGTCCTCCCGGTGTAGCTTTGGAACCGTTCCAGGGGCCTCTCAAAGGTTGTCATGATTAAGGGGCGGTAGTATCCTAGAAGTGAGGTTTCCAACATTACTCGATCGTCAAGTGAACATCAGGGGGGATGTGGGCAGCACACCGGTTAGACACTGACGCCTCATTGGTTTGTCTTCGCATTCATCGTAGCTTCGTCGACCTCCCTGATCCAGAAACGCCGAACAGCTCCTCTTGGTTTAGTACCGTCCAATGGATGAGTGACTGACTGTAGTAGCTGGTAGTTGATGTAACCGCCTAGTGGTGCAGTTAATCTACCACTCAAGTCATGAAACGAATTCCCTCTTTACCTCTTCTACAGAAAACTCCGACTGTAGGTAGATACAGACAGGTACGAGACAAACGGCTCTGGCATTTTGATTCCGTTTGAGATTAGGTAGTGTAGAGTAACCAGGAAACGGAGGAGGGAGCCCCTATCGTAACCAGTAACTAACTCCCTCAGTTCCCAATTAGTGAGGCCATCACAAACCTGGTTCGTCCTTTCATCATTTCGTTGGGAACTGTATTGTATGGTGTGTGTAACAGGGTCACAGTCATCACGACCAAGTACCAACATACTGGAACTTGGAACTACACTGCTACCGTGTCGTCGTTGATGAAGCGGAAGTGGTAAGCTCGACGAGGGAGGGCCCGGCGGACCAGAGGGGACCCATTACGTACATTCTCCATTCTCCATTCTCCCTCCTTCATTCCCCCTTCCCCTTCCCCCTCTTCCTCTTCCTCTTCCCTTCGTCCCTTGCCTCAGAGCCGGACCGGACTAGACTCTTTCAGGTAGATGTATTGATATTGATCACTTACCGAAGTGAGTGAATACCTAGGTAGTCCGATCTGCATAGAGAGAAGTAGCCCATGTCGTACTTACTGCCTTGTATGTAGGCAGGGCAGGGCAGTTGAGTCAACCTATGTGGTAGTAACATAGTGGCATATGTGAGGGAGCATGAGGGAGCATGAGGGAGTGAGTGACTTCATCACGCATCGTCGCGTTTCATCATCTCATCTCCCTCCCGTTTGGTCCGTCCGTCTGTACCTTTACAGTCGGTCCCAACAGGACAAATGCATGGGGACATTACTGGCTGGCTTATCACGCACTGTCAGGAGAACCTGGGTTAAGTGACTGACTGATGGAGTGATGGAGAGAGGGAGTGATCGAGGGGGGTCGAGTAATGTACAGTCCAATACTGGTTTGTTTGTTAGCTCGAGACTTCGAATCAACTTCCCAAGGTGTTTTTATATCTAATTGATTCGTTTGGTTTCATAGCTAAAGCGTAATCTTACCTTGAATATGTTATTTCCGAAGTTCAATATTTATATTGAATCTTGTTAATGCCTTTTCGATCTGTACTTAGCCATTCAATTTGTCCTTATGAGGTTTGGGACAATTCGGGACGGATATCGTCCAGTATACCAGGAGTACCAAGCTAACAAACAAACCAGCATTGGACTGTAGTGTCGAGTGCTCGAAGTGAGGGAGCAAAACTAAAGTGATGTGATTTCCACCATGCAGTTGCAGTAGCAGCAGTTGCAGCAGTTGGTGGTTTACCTCACTAGACACTCCCTCACTCCCTCACTCCTGGTCCCTTGACCCTCCTCAGAACGTGATAGTGATGTTCGTCGCCTTCGTCATCATCCTCGTTCGTACCATGTGCACCAAGTCTAGATTGTCACGACAGTGTATTTGCGGTGATGAAGAACACTATACTCGGAACTGGGTGTACTGTACTTGAAGGTGGCTCAGCATTTAGCAAAACTCCAAAATATCCACAGCAATGTAGGAAAATGTGGGAATTCTCTCCCTCCGTTGCCGCGTTGTCACGGTGGTCGCATCGAGGTCGACCACCCGGGTGCGGCATTGCTGTTGATGTCGATTATCATTGCAGTTGTGGTTGTGGATGTGGATGTGGATGTGGATGTGGTGGATTGGTGATGTAGTGTCTGCTGCGTGGTTGTTGTAGTTCGGAGGCAGTCGGCGTGACCGGGGTTGTACCGTGGTCTGTGGTCGGGTCATGCAGCATGCGGCCGGACTGCGGAGGCCGACCGGGTCGGTGGAATGGGCCGCATCGCATCGCCCCGGCCGGCATCGCATTAGTCTGCGGCGCAGACTGTCCCTGGACGGAGGGACTGGAGTCATTGGAGGAACATGGTTTCTTTCCACCCCTGCCTTGTGCATACTCCCTCTTTTTCTTTTTTCTGATTTCTGCTTTTGCGCATCTTTTGTCAACAACGGCCCTAAAATAAAAACCGGCCTGTGCGCAATTTCAAAATATTTGTATTATTGGGAAATGAAGCCGTCAGTTTTTATCTGACGTAGTATTGTTGCAACTCGGCATCCGCTCACCCGTTTCCCCGTCCACGGTGAGGTAGCAGCGGTCCAAGGGTTGGGAAGGAAAAGCAAGGGTGTTGATGTTGGAGAGGTGTTCGCGGAAGGAGCAATCATTGACGTGGTCAATCTCCAATCACGGCCGCTGGGGCGCCAGCTTGGAAGGCGTGCTTTTTTGTTCACGTGACTAGGCTCCTAGGTTAGGGGTTCAGTACCCGACATTCTGGTTCGGTGGCTTGGATATGTGGGCCGAATGCGAGGTCTTCTGCCAATGAAAATATTCCAAGATGAGGAACAACCCAATCACGAAATGGCCCTGTATCTTCCATACGCTTACACCACAGCCTTCACCCCTTTGAGACACCCCCTTCCTGGGCAGCTCGCCTTGGCTCTCATCCTGGTCTTGGCTTGCGACCGTTGTTAACTGTTGCTCACTACCCATGTCCCGGGGAACTTTATGCTATCATCCAATAGTCCCAAATGTCTTGCGTGCTGCTTGTTTTGTGAGCGTTGGGTACTGGAATGCTACGCTGGTCCTTCCAGGACATGCCGGTTACCGGTCGTGCCATCGAAAGAAAGGTGAGTTATTTGGTTTTCTTATCGATTTGTTTTCGCCGGCCGGGAGAATCTGGTGCCGTTCAAGTGGCTTACCCGCTCGCTCATACCGATACTTCACCTTGTTTCGTGTGGCTTGCACCTAGTCTTAGAGGCGTAAAACTAGGCGAGAAGGGGCAGAAAGAAAACTGTAAAGACAAAACAGATTCCGTGAGGAAGTCGGCCAGTCCGTAATGACGGGATGCTTGTCACGCCATCACGAAGCATCATCTGTTCCGAATGCACTGGCAGCAAATGTGTGACGACATTTGTTACTTACCGTGAAACCCACTTGCCTCAGATGAGCACTGGAGTCCGGCCCTACCAAACGAGAGCGACCAAGCTCTGTTTTTTGCCCTTCTTTGCGAGCAGGTTGTATGGCGTGTAGAAGAAGAAAGAAGAGTGAACTCTTCGTTAAGAAAGTAGACCCCCCCTTGCGCCGCGGATAGCACTGGCCACCATGGCATTAAGCCAAGATGGGATCAGCGATGATCTCGCTAACTGCCTGTTCCGATGTCACCCACATCTCCTCACTTCCCCGACTCCCTGATCCCTTCCAGTGCTCCTCTATCATTCATAGCTTTGCCCTTTTCGGCCATGTTTACAACATTCGAAATCACACAACGACAACGGCGGAGCGGCGGCTGGGCGGGGCGGTCGTCGGGGCGGGGGCGGCTGATTTAAACTGTGCTCCGGCCGGCTTTAGGGTGTTAGTTCCTGATTGCCGGGGCCCGATTGGCTGGCTTGGGGTCTGGTGCGACCCAGCTCCTAAGCCACTCGCGCTTAACTCGTCGAATGAAACGGGTTGCCTGTTCTCGTCACAACGTTTTGGCCCCATCTTTGTTCTCCCAGCGGGTGGTCAATGTCACCCTAACTTTGCGCGATGCCGCCCTTTGCTCACCAACTTCCTGCTCCGAATGGAAAGTCAACTTGGGCTTGGGCATCAATAATCGGACCTAGTTGATCGACTACCGTTGTTGGTGATGATGAGGATATCGTGTACACGGTGGTGCACTGCGCTGAGGTGGTATCCGCTCCAGTTAATTGCGAGTGAGGTTTGCGAAACGAGGTGACGTTGAGATTGGCTTGTCGCGGCCAGGGTTATGTGTCTGGGGCTGACAGACGTTAGTGCCCGCATACATAGTCAATCTCAATCTGGGGCCACAGAAGCAGGAGAAAGGCACGGACAGCCTCCTGCTGGGGTTGAACAATTATGTACACCCCCTGATCAAAAGGCCGACCTCGCTCAGATCAATCCGCTCAGTGATTCGCCCTGCTGGAATAGGCAAGTGTCGAATGTGTGCTCTCCAAGGTTAACCCATTCCACTCCTAGAGAGATTGAGCCTAGTAGGGTCGTCCGAATACATGAAGGGAGGATCGATTTACATCATCGGGACAGGGTCGGCATCGGGTCCTACAGGGTAACGGGAGAGAATATTCCTCGCTTGTTTCTTAGTCAGTGATGTGAATAGCAAATCCCATGCATTTCGCAATGATTTTGACGCAATGTGGCACAACCTACTTACTGTTATCGGTTTAGACGGTAATCTCGTTTCTTTTTCATCGGGAATCTCTTTCTAGAACGACATCTCTCTCTGGTTCGTTTACGGGCATCGTTTACGGGCATAAGGAAGTCTTCTTCCCGCCAAGGAAGCAGCCGTACCCCCGATAACCAGACCATGCCCAACATGGGCTCACATCCCAAAGCAGGGCCGCCGGACATCTTGCCGGACATAAGTATCGGGTAAGGTATGCCACCGTTGGTGATTGTCGGTTCATCCCATATTAAAACCCGAACCAACTCATCCCAACCAGGCTTTGTATAGTCAGGTACCGGTGTGCCAGAGGTACATTCGGTAATTATCGAAGGGTTCGAAGAAAAAGCGCAAAAAAAAAAAAAAACAGCAAGGTCTCGGCCAACATCCGGTGGCACAGCTAAAAGCGAGTCGGATAACGGGTGGACAAAACAGGAGATCAACGACTGTTCAAGCCAAGAAGAAAAGAAACTGAGGAGGATTCAAACCCTTGTCCCGAGCTGTGAGTGTCTGACTTCATGTTGTGAAGCACAAGGTTATGTGCATAGGCTGCTTGCTTGATCTGCTATGGCGCAAACTGCTGTGCTTCCCAGAGTAGAACGAGGTGTGAGACTGGACGCCTCGTCAGGCATTGGCGACAAAGGGTGTGACATGTTGATGCCAGGAGATGCCCGCCCTGCTGTTGTATGTATCACGAGACTCGGATCCGGCGCGAGTAAGGAAAGAAATCGTTCCTGTCTTTTTTCACCAGCCTTTGGGAATGGCCGGCCAGCCAGCATCATGTCATTAAGGGATGCATGCCGCGACCTGTGCGTGCGGGAAAGGCTTCCCGTCTGCCGTCCGGCTTACGGCGGCGCGCGATGTGCGGTGCGGGGGTAAGAAGCATAGTGCCATCCTACCTCTGGGCATCGCAAGGTACGCGGTGCGATGCTTTACATGTGTTGGCGTGCCCCGGTGGAGATGCGTTGTGCAAAATGGAGTCGGCAGCCGTAGCCCGTAAGAGACACAGTATGTGACGATACTGTACGGCATACGGGGGCCATGAACGGGGCCCATGCCGGGACCGGCCACACCAAAAGTTGAAGTACACAGCACGGCTCCTGATATTGGCATCAGATCAGGCACTATAGGTGCGTGTGACTTTTGCGGTGGTGTACTTACTGAAGGGGTTCGTGATGACGGCATCTGCACTATCAGCGGAGTCGTCACGTCTGTGGTGGCATGGCCGGCCATCCGAAGGCTGAAGCCCGTCAGGCCGGAGGACGTGATCCCTTTGCGCGATGGGTGCACTGCATCATCACATAGCAACAGGTGCCTAAGATGGCTCGTATTGCTGCGACTTTCCTGTGCCTCTACCGCTATGAGCAATCGACAAGGTAACGTTTCCCCAGATAGTCGGTAGATGTTTGGGCTTGTGGATATGGCCTTGAGGCGTTGGCCATGTTCGGCGGGGCAGGACATCGCTTGCGCTTGCGGCTTATCCTCGTTTAGATTTATCGCCGTGCTGTTGGAAGCTTTCACCCGATGAAGTCTCCCCTCCGCGACCGCGTTTATGACCCAGTAACAAGTCGTAGGTCCACGGGTATGTTCTGGGCAGAACAACCTGATCAGGATTGGACCGCGGTGCGAAGAGAGACACGGTGGTCAGCAGGACGTCGAGACATGCATCTGAACCTCTCTTGTTTGCGGCGAGGGAGTAGGTAGGAGTAGGAGTAGGCGGGGATTTGGTTCGTTTATTGCTGGCAAGACAAGTGGCTGCATACGTTGATCTCCCTTGTGCCTAGACTGAAGGATTTCTCGTTTGCCTTTCCAATGCCGGTGCGCGTCGGGGTCCGTCGCACAAAGGGTGCCGTACAGGTGCCGTTCAGTGTGAGAGTCCAAGAAGTTGAAAAGTGATGTTTTGTGAAAAGTGTGGGCCGAGAGAGGAAACGCGGAAGAGGTTGCCGAAAAGAGAACGACCGGGCCAACAAAAGTCGGCCTGCTCGCGCCTACGCTACGTAAAAGTGGATCCCTGCGGCTATTGCCAACCCCACACTTGCCTATAGTGTAGGGATGGGGTGGAATTTCACAGAAATTGTAAGGAACGGAAAAGTAAGGAAAATAAAGGAAAAATAAAGGAGAATTTCAACACGTGCCTTATTAGGTGACCTTGAGTCCTATATATACGTACCATATAGGTGTAAGTGCTAACATCTAGGCTAGGATTCTATATGCAACAGTGCTAGATTTCGTATAAAAGTACTAAATTTTATAAAAAATACTAGATTTTGTATACAAAAGTACCAAATTTCATAAAAAGTGCTAGATTTAGGTCAACATGCTAGATTACTAGTACTAAACTAATTAAATCTAACCGTCTTTTCTACTCCCTTCTTTCTATATTACGATATCTATTATATTTAATAACACTAGCCTTATACTTCCTAATCCTCCTCTACTACAATAGGATCGTCGTCCTACATTTCTATATATAACCGGTCCTCCAACTCGTCAAAGAATTCTTATCTAAACTACTCTAGCAAAGCCATAAAAGGAACGTAATTGTTTTAAAAGACCTTATAGTTCATATAGATAAAGGAAACTATATCCATCTTCTTAACTCTTATACAGTTGCGCAACGGTCCCTCAATATAATTCATAGCTAAAAAGGCACACCCAGAAAGCACACTATTAGCAGGCGTCTATAATAGTCTAATAGCTATAAGCCATAGTTTACTACCCTCTATGCGCAAGTAGGTCCAGAAAGTAATAGGCTAGAGGTTGTACTACTATACTTAGCGTTAAGGGGTAAAGAAGCCTTCTCTTACTAAGTAGAATAAAAATTCATTAACTAGAAAATTACCTTTAATACTGTTAACGTGTGGCTAGTACTGTGCCTTGTAACTGCCTTGTACTACCTTGTAGTATAGAAGGCTAGTTGAACTATTCCTTCTACGGAATCAGTTGACTCAGTCCCCACAGAATGTACTAGAATACAAGAGGTTTTGCCACTGTATTCTAGAGTCTTATAACTTAGCTAGCATTTCTTCCAGACTGATTTGTCATCACAGGATTCAACAGAAGCTTCTAGATGCTTAGTGTCCATGTATATAGAGACCTCTCCTCTCCTTCAGTTCGTCACTCCTTAAGCAAGTAAGCACAAGTCAAGCAATACAATATAGTCTTTTCTCACAGTGCAGAGTCCACTGTAATCTTCTGTCTTGAGAGCAGAGTCCTCTCTAAGACCTCTTTTACAACATCCTTTTATTGTACTTGCAACTACGCTGCTTCCTTCAGCATTGCTGTCGTACTTCCTACCGCTTCCGCTCCGCTCTGCTACAAGTGCATAGTTCACTGTAGCAACCTTGTACTGGTGCTATCATTATAGGCCAGTCAGGGCACCGCAGCAAACAAATACTAATTACCCACTTATACTAATTTTGAAAAGTATAAATCTAGGGTATAACTTCTAAAATAACTAATTAGATCTAATAAATTTGCATCCCTATATTATTAGGGCAAAGAAAATATACTAACTAATTTATAAGGGTAAATTACTTATTCCTCCTTACAATATAAATAGCTACAAACGACTCTTAATCGTATAGCATAATACTACGCTAAAAAGGTTACCAAACTTGCCAAATATTAATCTATCTAGGAATAACGTAATCGATAATTGCTTTACTAAATTTTAATATCAACTAAACCTTATAAATTAGCTATATAAACCGTTCAAAAACATCAAAAGCGTACCAAAAATTAATATTCTCGATAATAACCAATACGTTATTAAATTTAACAGGCTCGTTATTATTATTATTAATAACAGCGGGAGGTATATTGTTAGGCATAATATTATACCAAACGTTATTATATATATTATATATAAAAATAATTAAGGCATACTTTACCTTCTAGATAAGAGTAATAGATCTATACTATAACCCCCAACGGATAATTACACTACTATAAATTAGATTAACGTTAATATATATAAATAATAATCAATAAAAATCGATAATAGTCAATGTAAGGGACAATAGGGGATAACTCACGAAGACAGGATACTAACCAACTTATATAATTCTAATAATATATATACACGAAGTTTTACTAATTATAATTCAAAGGTTGTAAAGAAGGTTACTAACTAAGTAACGCTATTAATAATTATTTTAAACGGCTCTATCTCCAGCATATCCTTAATAAATAGCTAGAGGCTATAAAAATCATATAGAAAACGCGTACTGAAATGAAGCAAAAACACACTACCACAGAAAAGCATAGCCTACCCAAAACCTTGGAGTGAGGTGCTAATCTGAAGGTTAGGAATGATTTCGCGAGGATGCTAGAATGAAGCCTCTAAACTGTAGCCATCAACCACCAAAGGAGGGAGGGGGAAGCAGAGCTTTACCCCTAAATTAATTGCCCTAGAGTTAGGAACAGATCTGGAGGTCAGGTTCTTAGGGAGGGAATCACGAGCAAACTCAACAGTTAAGTCTTTTTGGGAGCGAAGGTCAAATATATTCTGCTAGTTGAAGTGATGTCTAGTCTAAGCTGCCTGCCTTCCTTCCTCTCGTCTCAAGGAGAAGTGCTACCCTTTTTATCCCTAGAGATCTCTACTATGACTGTCTACCTTTGGAGTTTGAAAGAGACGGTCCGACAGATCTGCTCCTCCTTATCTGAATCACTCTGCTTTTAATAACCCCCTGGGTCTATACTAAAAAAACAGAAAAAATTCCCTAAATTAGTACTTTAGCTCGTCCCTCTCTATTAGAATTATATTAATAAGGCGGGCGCTACTATATATATTGGTTACAAAACTAATAATCTTTACCTATTAATTCTCAATAATAAGGCCGGTTTCAACGAAAATTAGCGCTATAATATTAGCTACAATATATTCGGTATTACTAGTATAAATGTTCTTCCAATAGAACGTCGTCTTATTAGGGAGGTAAATAGAAATATTAAGAATACGACAGCTAATATAATTATCAAACTCATCAAAAACGATACTAACGTAGGTTGCTCGCTAAATTCTAATTATTACCGCCGCTTTAACCTTATAATAAATACAGGGAAGGTAGACGTCTAAAATAGTACGCCAGTATAATAAAGAGTATACTATATTAACTAACTGGAATAGCGCCTTTATATATAGGGTATCCAAGGTTCCAAAGGGCTTACCCCTATATAATATCGCTTTAACTATAAGGAGGTAATTCCTCTCTACCTAATCAGGACTCAAAACAAGGGCATAATACCGTATATTCTCGTTATTAACTACTTACTAATTGATTAAGTAGCATTAGTAAATATTGTAGGCCTACAAATAATCTCTCATTCTAGTAACATTAATACGTTATACCTAGTTATAAAAACGGTACTTTGTATCCTATACCTATCTACCAAGGCGGTTGCAGAATTCGAAATGTTAGTAAACCGCCTCGTTTCGAATAGGAGGCATCTCATGAGGTTGTTATGATGGCTTCAAGCATTCAAATACACTCGAAATCGTGTGGTTTGGTCAAGAAATGAAGGAGTAACTGGCGATAAGATATGTTGGAGGTATGGTGTGCAGACATTTCTGGTGGCTTGAGTGCACGGGCCGTTATTTGCAAACGGATATTTTCGTTATTTTCAGAATTTCGATAATTTCGGGATTTTTCTTATTTTTACAGGAATTAAGCAACCCTACTATAGTGGCGCATAGCGGGGGAAGTACCTAGCCCACTTTGTTTTTTTTGCCCACTATCAAAACGCTCAGATCATCAACTTGCGTTCAACTTCAACGCTGGGGATTGGAAAGTGCGAAGCTGTATCTTGATGTACCGGCAAGTATCGGCAGCATCCCACGGCTCCTTCCCGGAACTTTGGACCCCGGAGGCTTGTCGGAGCACCCCCTCCTCCCCTCCACCTTGACTGCATCACATCGCTCCTTCCTACTACCTTGCTATTTGTCCAGGTCGGTTAGATGATAAGGTGAAAATGGAAAGATAGACCACGGGACTTGAGATTTTCTCACATGCCCGTCTCGTCCGGGTTAGGAAGGAAGGCCCCCAAGACGCACGGCAAGCACATGACGGGATATGTCTGCGTCTTTCTGCGTCTTTCTGCGGACTGCGTCTGTCCGCGTCTGGCCGCGGCTTCCCAAGGCCGCACATTGGGCAACTGCCGCGCCATCGGCCTGCGTTAGCTGGCCAACAAACAGTCGATGAGGTGGTTCGATGTAAGCATGAATTTGGGGGTTAGTGTTGAACTGGCGGTATCACTGATAGGTTGGAAATCCGAGGTCGAAACAGACGTCAGGAAGTTTGTTGAATGTTGTCAGAGACTTCTTGTCATGAGGAGCAGTAGGAGGTGTGATCCCAAAAGTAAGCTGGGCAGGTTTGCTATTGTCTGGGCGCAGACAGATTGCTGTTGATGTGATGATGCAGGGAGTTGGCAAAGTCGGCTAGGGCGGTGATTGTTGTTGGTTTTGGCCCTCAAGACGACTTTTGATGCAAAACTGGGATGCGGGAGTAGTAGGATGATCCTGCTACGTAGTTCGGTGTCAAAGAGCCTCCTCGAAACCCCAAAGAGATGAGTGAGGTTTGAAGGCGGCTGGAAGATGACGAGAATAGAGTCGAGGCAAACACTCCCCTCCCACACACACACAGCACGGAAGTTTTTACTGCACTATTCCGGCATAGAAATCACAACATCGAACACAGCAGGTCAAAACAACATGGCACGCCAGGTCCCCCATGACTGTCACTTGTCAACACGAGCTTTGCCAAAGTCTCACAAACGCTCGCTTGCTTTCCGAGTTCTCTTTGCCAGAGGTGATTCAGCATGTGGTTGGAGTGTGACAAGCAACACATGGACAAACATGCACACGTACAACATGCGGCAAAGCTGTCTTGTCACGGAGAATTTCTTGACAAGCAGAGGTTTTCATAAAGCCGTCAATGTGGGAGCGCGGCTGTTGTACCACAAGACGGATAGCCTCAATATGAGTTCGGTAGATATTGCATTGCCTTGTTTACTTTCGATGCAAGGATTTGCAAGCAATTGTCAACAATTGGCGAGGTGGTTGAAGACAAGCAAGGGGGGGGGGGGGAGGACGGCTTATAACCCTAACCCGCGTGGAACTCTGCCTGGCCGGGTCGGGCCAGGCCAGGCCAGGCGACTTACACGAACTGAGGCCGGCCGCAGACCGGACCCTGCAGCCAAAAATGGCAGAACCGTAAGGCTTTTTTGTCACAGACGTCAACTCCTCGGGCTATTTTGCATGATGTTTGCTATTGCGGAAGTCGAACCTTGTAGGCTTTCGTGTTCACGAGCTGTGGGTCGGCGCGATGCCTAGAAACACGCTTACATAGAGGGTTAGCAGGTTGTAGCATAGGTGTATGCCAGTAGTGGCTACTGTGGATATTCCTTGCGGCGTTGGCGACGGCACAGCAGCAAACGGTGCGGGAATGGCGTCTGACGGCAATACTTTGCTTTCTGATCGGATCATGCGGTCCGAACCGCTAAGAATTTGTGCACTTTGACTGTTGGTTCTGTTGGTCCTTCAAAGGGGAAATGGGACTTTTGCAAAATGCTAGACTCGCGGGCAAAAAAAATAGCTGGTATTGCTACCATGATCTCAGGCTTATATTATGTTGCAAAACAAGGATATGTAGAAGAGAACATGTACAAAAGCGACGAGGGTGGATTTGGGACAATTAGACAAGTGAATTGCAAAGGATGAAGGAAACAAGAACAAATCTGGCCAGATACAAAAAAATATGTGCAAAGGAGAAAAGTAAAGATAAACATGGAAATCAAAAAGCCGCCCTTTTCCTTCATACACAAGGAGTCAGCACCAGTAAAGCCCAGTTCTCGGACCAGCCGAGAAATGAGCCAAGGCCTGACTCCCGTCCAACGCCCACATCTTCCACCAGTGCTTGTCCTCCTCCATCACCACCCAGTGTGCCTTTGATGTTTAGAAGCCAGCGATGGGATGCGCAGATGTGCGGCAGGAGGTCGATAATAATTGCCCGAAGGTAGAAAGGTGGAAGTGTTGCATATTTTGGGAGTTCTCAAGAGTTGTCGTTCCGGTGGTTATTGACTCGGGGATGCTAATGATATGCAAGACTCTGGTTAGGAAAGTTTCTGTCGCGGTAGATGAGAGACCAACGTACGAGAGTAACTCCTGTTCATTCGTGACTCCGCAAAATCAATGCTCTCCGCAGTCGCCGTCCTCCTTGTGCTCAATCTCCTTTGGCGCACCCTCGGGGCAAGTGTTGGTTCCGGATCCCTTCTTGGCCGCGCAATCGATCAGATCCTTCTTAACATGCTTGCAAGCACTGAAGCGGGTAATATAGACAGTGCACATTGTGGCGGCTGGGGAAAAGTTGACAAGAGGTGAGAATAAGGTGATGACTATTCGTCAGAGTGTTTTGACTCGTTGATGGAGGCTGTTGCGTAGGTGTAGAGAAGTGGTGGCGAGGCTGATGGGATGATGGGAGTAAAGTGAAGCAAAGATGGTGTGGACAAGTGCTTATATACTTGTCACGATCCACGGTTTGACAAGGCAAAATGTCGTAGAGGGTGTAAGAGGCGTAGATTGCTTGGTAGTATGTCCAGGTCCAATTCCTGTTTCAGAGAACGGTTGTAACCAAACTGCTGGTATCAGCCAAGTGTTCCCTATAATGTTGTTGGTAGGAGACACCTCTGGTGTAGTGGCGAACCCAGCAAGGATGGATAGAGGCTGTTGGTTGATAGTCCCAAGGTGGATGTGGAGGGTATTCTCACAAGATGGGGGCCCCGCGACGTGCTCGTAGACGAAAGTACCTACGCCGTTCGATACCTTCGACAACGACGGAAGCAGGGTGGGTCAGTGTAGGGGAGGCATGCGGCAAGGGGTTAGGGGTGGTCAGAACAGCCGGGCCTATCAAAACGCCACGGGAAGACGTCTAGTGCTTTCTGGACCGGGAAGAGCAAGCAGGTGGGATACCAGGGGAGGAGTGTCAAGGCTGCATATAGCCCTCGATAAGGAAAGACGACACGACAGTGCGGGAGAGGTGTGCCTTTCTGTGATGGCTGTCGGGTGGGAAGGGATGTCAAGTCCTTAGTAGATTAGCCAAAGAATCAGTTGGGCCGGTGTAGTAGCATCCAAGTTTGCGGTGCCTCATACGTACCAGGTATGATTCCTTCGTGGGCAAGAGTTTGTCAAGAGATGGGTGGATCGATCAAGCCCTGTAGTGACATGCAATTGTTCTGTTGGTCTGCTAAGCTGGGACTACCAAACCTAAAAAAGCACCGTCCTACAAGGCTATTGGCTGCCGCGTATGGTGAGCGAAGGGACAGGACAGAAAGAGTTGATATCAGGTCTGTGTAGAGTACAGTAGCGCGCCGGGGCAGAACTGGAGATAGATTCGTATAGGCGGCCAATATGCTTGCTTGCCATGTAAATGGTACGTCTGAGGGAGCTCGAACCAGGGGACGACGTACCTTTTGAGAGACATGGGATGAACAGAGACGAAGGAGAGGTAAGGTACGGCCAACTCTCGGCAACCTCTTGCAACCCCAAGGTAAGGCAGAGACAGCAAGTGTAAAGAGGAAGCCCTAACTGGCAACGCAGATTGCTAGGGAGTGCCCCTGACGAGCAAGGAAGGCCGGTTCACTTGCAGGGACATTGGCTTCCGTCACACAAGCCTACGAGTTCCGGTCGCTCCAGGTGTGTACAATCCTTGCTCGTTCAACAGGGAGGGGGTGTGCAGAACGAAGACTAGGCTATCCCGGGCCATGTTGGAGTACACAATGGAGGCTAGCCTTGATGGACTTAGTGAAGTGGGCAGTCTCCAGATGGCCAAGCTTGAGCCGGGCCCGGTGGAGCTGGGGTGGGTGCAAAAGAGATATTCAGTCGTTAGAGTTGTCGCTCCTGTCTGGTACCAGTCCCGGCACAGTGGCATTCTGGTGTTGTTGATGATGTGTCGGCCTTGTGCAAAGGTGAGGCGCAGAATTCGAGGCTGAAGAGGTGAGGTCGCATACATGGGTTGTAAGGTGCGTAATTGGAGATGGGTGCCCGGGGGGGGTACAAAGATGCTATTCGCTGACGCCACGAAGCGATGCAGACAATATATGTCCTGGGACTTCCATTGGGTTGAATTGATTGTCGCCATTGCCGAAATAGGTAATCCAGCAGAGACTGCTTCGCCGAAAGAGGACTCTAAGCGGCCGAAATTGGCCAAGATTGAAGTCTCGATATCTCCATCTCCAGGCTAGCCCATCTGAGTAGTGTCGTTCTGCACAGTGACCTTGTCGCATGAACCGTGGCTCGCGTGACTTGGGGCCGCCGGGCATCGTTAGGTCTGAACGAACAGGCCCTGAACCGAAGGCTCTGACTCTGAGCAGGCTTGGGGCAGGCTCGGGACAGGCCCTCGATGTCTTGGAGAGGGCCAGGGAGTTGTCGAAGAGTTGCAAAATGCTTGTTTTCTGGAAACTCGTTGGTTCGGTCGACGTGCCGCACGCAGTGATGATCTGATGTCTCTCCAGGGTCAGAGATAAGGTATTAGCCTAGAGGTAGCCCTCGCCTGGATTTGCCCTGGGGGATGGAGGGTTTGGAGGGCCTGGAGGGCATGGTAGCAGCAACGACAGTGGTGGGTGGCACATTGCGCCCGTAGCACTCTGCTACCAACACTCAGGTCTGGAGATGACGAGGGTGATGAAGTGTGGTATTTTGGAATATCCAGATCGCGCTAAGGCGCCGCGGCCTGGGAAACGGGCGAGCCGTGGATGAAGATGGCTTGCTCTGCCCTGCCCTATCCGCCGTGCTGGTGATGCTGGTTAGTCTTTCGTCTTGACTGCATTCACACGGGGCGTCGAATGGCCAGTGCCCTGTTCCTTCCCGCGGTGCCTGCCCCTCTAAATCTTCCGAATTGGCCAATCAGGGAGTTTAAATTTCTGGCTTGAACTGGATCGCCGCCAGGGGTCTCCAAATTTCTCTCAATATTCCAATCTCGTACCGGTGACCAGCACCGCAGCAGCCTTCCTCGCTGCAACCTTCGTACCACTGTACCTGAAAGATGCCCACTCACTAGCAAATTGCTCTACGGTACGGGCTGTCCACACTGCAATTTTCCCACCTTTCTTTAGTTTTTTTTGGTTACTAATGTCTTCGAGGTACTCATCAGCCCAACGGGAACGGCGATTCCGTGTCTCGGGGACCTCGTTCTTCCCGGTGAAAGTGTGCAAAATGTCCCCTTGCGGTTGGGATCTGTTAGCGTTCGCTGGTGGAAGCAGCGGTGGAAGTTGAGACTTGCAGCTTCTGAACCATCGGAGCGAGTGCGGGGGGAACTGGACTCCAATTTTCTGCGACTCCATCTCATCTCTTCCAGAAATCAGCCCAACGGCGGTCGCCATCTGGATCCGTTCAATCGCCAACTCCAGTCGCCCTCTCGACCGACTTGCACCCCCAACTCAAATTGCCGGCGTCCTCTCACCACCCTCCTCAGAGAAACAGTGACGGTAGCTTCATGCGGCCCTGAAGACGACTCGCTTTTGGCTTGGTTCCTTCCGGCTAGACCGGGACCCCGCTTAATGGCCCTCTGGCCGCCTTTTGCGGCCGCCACAGCCATGTTGGAGGCTACCGTGCCTTGACTACCAACACTCCGCCTCCGGCCGATATAAACTCGGGCCTGATATACCGGCCCGCTAAACGTCGACGAGCAGCATGTGGATGTGGCATTGGGAAACACAGGACCGGGCGGATTGATTAGTTGAATGCGCATCATGGAGGGGTTTCGGAGGCCCTGGCAGAGGGACTACTACACTCCCTTGCTCTCGACTCGCCAAGTGCCTCGAGCGAGGACTTGATAGCTCCGTCGCCCATCGTTGTTGCTTCTTCTGCATCCGATCAAAGATGCTATCCGGGATGGATCATCAAAAGCATGGTCTCATTGGCGACAGTACGACCGAAGACGCTCCCTCCCCGGGACAAGATGACGGGGTCGTCCAGTGCGTGTGACTATGGGGTCTGCCTGCTCTCCCCCCAGGTTGCTCTTTGCGGGAGAGCGTCTTGGGATACACTGTCCCTCAGCTGCGGGCGATGGTGATGTGATGCGTCTTCTCTGAAACTCCCTAAACTCGCACATTTCTGCAGTCAACTGACCTTTCCAGGGCGCACACCTATTCGACAGGATGAGAAATGATCCAATCTCGAGCGTCAATGAAGGGACGTCATAGATTGGTTTCCGACGCCCCAGTGATCTTTCGCAACTAACCCATGATCTGGGACACCCTCAACCATATTGGCTCAAGGTTAGGACGACAAATCTCATAACGGTGGCACGGTGCTCAGTACTTGATGCATCATTAAAACGCTCACGTATGTTGCGTACCGTTTTGCGGCCCATCCATGGAGCACGTCTCGCAAGTCATTGCTTGCTAGTGAGGGTAAAATGTGTCCTAGGATAAGACGGGAAAATTGCTGGCCGCCCAGACAAGTTACCTTGTTCTACGACCATCCAGGACAGGAGACTACGTTGCTAGCCCGTGGAATCTATGGCATGCAACATAGACGAGGACACCAAAGGGACACTGTTGGTTGATTCATCGGCTGTTCGCGGCTCTTGGCGTTCAAAGAAGCGAGGGCCGGCATGTAACTGAATATGTTCCGGCATAGGGGAAAGCGAAGAAAACCAACAACAATGCGGCTCTTGTCCTGGTCAATATTTGGGAAAGGGTGGTAAAATCACCGAGTTTGGGTGGTTATCCACCGTTCACTGCGCTTTATACGCGCGTGTTCGCGACTATGTCTGTGATGGCGCCCGATCTGCCAATCACAGGAACGAGTAGCCGCCAGAACCATGCTACCGGTAAGCACCATCAACAACTCAACTCTATCGCTTGGATATCTTCCGCCTGCTGTGTACTGACCAACTACATAGCCCATACCAGGCGTCACTGGCATCTGCCACCTCCGTGATCGCTTTTGTCATTAATCGATATTGTCTCCTACCTAATGGAGACTGAGTCACGCTTATCTGTGCCCCAAGAGAGGATAAGTACCAACAGTCACCATACCCGGCCCCTGACCGTACGGTCGATCGTACCTGGCCTCTGGCTGTGATTGGGAACTATTGCTTTCTACCACACTGTTCAAGTACGGCTGGTAATGATGGGTAGCATCGTTCTTTGACTGTGTCACAGGCTCCGGTTCACAACATGCTCCTGCCGAATATGGTTCCCTAGCACGGCATCCCCCTCCGCCGCGTGTCGACTGTGATGGCCCGATTGGCGCAAGTTTTCTGCACCAAGCCAGCTGTGGTGATATTACCTTTGCCCAGCTTTAATCTCCAATACGACATGCAGGAGACACCGGTGGGACCACGCCGTCTTGCCCTTGTGATATCGGAATCAAGTTGGAAGCACCCGGGCACAGTTCGCACAGCAAACGTATACCGGCCCTCCTTCTTCACAACCCTCGATCATGATCACTGTCCAGCAATCTCAGCATTTGAGCAAGGGTATCAGAACTCCCCCATGCCGGAGGAGGTACCGCAGAAGTGGGCAGGACTCCATGGGATGATGGTAGAGCTTCACCAACTGGATACATGCTCATATGCGTGTGCTAGGTGCGAGATATCCTACCCAGTTGGTCGTTGGTGATAGGACTCGCGCTAGGGACCTAATGAAGCGCACCAACAGTACCGTTGGAAAGCTATCATAGACCGCATCGGCCCGGGTCGATGACAGGCATGCATCTCAAGGTACTAGGCACACCCCTTCATTCGTGATCCAATTTGCGGGTGTCTCTAATCGTAATGGCACGGTGAGATATGATACATCCTCCTCAGGGGCTACTTTCAAGACGTGTAGGCCGCCATCTGTTCTTGTCCCTGTCTTTGCTTATACAGGCAAGACAGTCTATCAGTTCCGTGACAGAAGAGTCGCCGGACCAACAACCCGACCTTGATCAGCTATAAACAGGAACGAGCCGCACCCATGATTTTCAACTTGTCGAAGGTGGACTTCGTCAATTTTTCATCCAAAACGACCCTGCGGATGCTTTGTTCTGGGCGTTTATCAAAATGAACGCCTATATGATATGAGATCTCAACAGTTACAATAAGATCCCTTCACCCGAAATTCGGTATGTATCTCTGCATTCACATGCTTACATGATTGGAGCAATGCTGCCGGTGTTAGGTACTCTGCTAATACACGGAAAATCGACACGTAAGTTGCATGCTTCCATCACTCACACCACTTTTCTTCCCGCAACCTTGCCCCAAAGTTTGAAAGAGGAAAAAAGATACGCTGTTCAGTGGATAAACCTTACATCTATCGTGAGACGGTGAAGCGACCACGGCTATCTTCGGGGTTCCCATCCGACCATTTTATTCTTTGATAGCATACTAACTCTGAAATAGCATTTCCCCGATTTTCCTGCCTCTTTCTTGGTCACATGCTCAAGACAGGGCAAGGCACGCCATCAAATAACGTACTAGGGTTCCCCAGAGGTCAAGGCGCCCTAAAGAAACTTGAACCTGTGACGCAATTATCGGTCGGCATCCCCTTCTAGTTTGAGTGTCTTTCGACTTCCCAAGGCCTTCACATGGTACCTTTTGGCGGCTGGCCCCGGTTGAGGTGGCCCGTTTTAGGTTCCATTACCCCAGACTTGCGTGGTTGAGCTCCAGCTTTCCCCGCGCCCCACAACCCCCGAAATCCCGGATGTCAAGTGACAGTCGCAACATCTTCCGAGATATCTTCGACGGGTTAGCCGGCGACCAATCAAGGCCAGCCGAGGCCCGGTCAATCGAGGACGGCGTGTCGGAAAGACCGCCCAGACCTGCCAAAGAGCCGCTCATTGCTCCACATTTTATAGGCTACCCCTGGTGAGTATCAAAGTCTATTCTCGTTTCCGCCGCGATGGCCTTGTCCCAATCCGCCATCATTGCACCGGTCTATGGGCAGGTGCGCAAGCCGCCGAGCTACCGCTGCCCTACAGGGCATTTGACGTCGACATCAGTCGCCCGCTTCGCATGCGTTTTCTTACCTCCAGACTCTAGGCTGGCCAATTCGCACCGCTTGCCAACGTCTCTTCACCCGTTGTCAGCTTGCGGATAACAAAGGCTTTGAACCCCTCATTACGCGTCCATCCCGTTCTGTCCCAAGCCAATGACAACCCCACGTGTGTTGGTTCTCTGACCTGGCGCCTTCAAGCTCCGGCGACAGGGTAACCTCGCTTTGGTCAATCCAATCATGCGTCATAGAGGTTTTAGCTTGGGGCAAAGGTGTGTACTCTTGCAGTCCTCTTGCAGCATCGTTGCAGATAAGGCTTGGCAGGCAGCCGTCTCATGGGTTGGAAAAAGTTGGCGTCGGGGAACACTGGCGCTCTTTCGATCACCTTGTTCATGTGAAAAGTGCGGAGCACAGAAAAGAAAAAGCAATGATTTGCGGCTTGCACCTGCCTTGCGGTTGGTAAGCAGTCGGCCAAGTGTTGCTCGAGTCAGGATATAAGGGCATGCCCCGTCTCCATGGAACCCCCGTTCATTTCTCCAGAGCTCCTCCTTCCCATCTCTATATCAACCCCAATTCCCTCTGCTTTCCCTTCTCATCACGGTTTCCCAGACACTTTTCCTCAATCCAAAATCGCTCCCTCACTCAACTTTCGCAACTACCAGCGGGCTCTTCACCCACAAGAAAAGCACCACCTTTCTCGGTCTTCAACCACTCTTCAATCACCAGCCATGTCTTCTCAGGATACCCGCTCCATGAGCCAGCGTCTTCGCCCTCGTCGTCCCTCGACCTTCCTCACCTTGGCTCCCATCATCTCCGGTGCCGAGCAAAAGCCCAAGGACGCTTCTGCCGATGAGGTTGCTCTCGAGTCTCCCACTGAGAGCGTCAAGCAAGTAGAGGCCGACTCCGCCGAGGCCCTCAAGCGCCGCACCTCCAGCGTCAGCAGCGCCGGCGGATTCCGCTTCCTCAGGAACCACTAAAGGGTCGCACCACTCTTTGGTGGTCGGCACTTTGCCCATCCTGTCATTCAGTCATGTTTTTCAAGCGATAAAAATAGGCAAGCGCGAGCCTTGCTGCACGACACGTTTCTTTATCATATACCCTCCAGCCATGGTGGCATGAATCCCACCGACATGGGAACAACAACGACGTGCTATTTCGGCGGATAGAAATACACCTCTTTTGGGCGACAATGGCAAACTGGATTATTCTGATACCACAAAGGCTTCCAAACGGCGCTTCTCGGTTCTTTTTTTCTGTTTTCTGACGGGATTTCTGCGAATGATACGCTCCACCCGGGATGGAGCATTCAAAGGCGCTGCGGAATTTTTTTTTTTTTCTCACTCTCGATAAGGAGTTGTGGAGGTGTCCTTCAGGTGGACAAGGGAGGGATGAATGTGTTTTTTCCTTGGCAGTTTTGGGAAGGGGCAGGAGCCAAGCACGTGGGAGGTTCATTTCTGGGATGTGCTGGCGGCAAACAGGAAGGGGGGATCAACAAGGGGATAGTATACCAACTTTTCAAATGAGAACTCACTAGTTCCTCTGCTGGCTCGGTATCGATTGCCATCGTTGTGTGTGAGCGGGCACAATGTCTAAACAAAACAGTTTCAGGCAACTTGGGCAGTGAAACTTGAATCGTTTGGTTTCTCTCTCTCGAAGCTGACCAACTGTCTGCCCCCCACCAAGCTGTTCGTCTCGTATTTTTTTTCGGCTTCCCTCGGTTTTTTTTTTCAGCGCTTGTCATCCACATGAAATCCCCACCCATGACGTCCGTGGTTTAATCAACTCGACCATTGAGATCGTCTTGTTGAAGCACACCTTCGGTAGGCAGCATTACAAATACTGTAAATGCCGGATGGTGGGTTTCACATCCAATCTTACCAACGAATAGGATTCAAACCGTATTCTGACAGAAACAATGGAGAATGTTACTTGTCGTTGATGAAAAGAATGTCGATAAGGGTTGTGAAGCCAAAACCTTGTCTTGGCGCTTATTTGCCAGCATATCCTTGCCTCCAACGCACCCGGCCAGGTCTTATTTCCCCGATTGCGATAAGCTATCGAAACTTTATTTTGTCTACATCCGACTTGCGTTGACATTCCACTTCACACCTGCCCGCCTTCCATGACACTTTGGGGGAGAATACAGGAGACGGACATTTTCAGGAAGGAACAATCAAACAACAGATCACATCGATGGACCTCATCAACTGACACACTCCATCCCAAATCTCAAGCCGTCGGTGGCTCGGTGCAAGATGCCCGTTTCAGCTCGCACGATAGGAGGTATTAGATCTTGGGCTTGGCAAAACACTTGAACACTTGGCGAAGAGGGGTAAAAAGACAAACGGTTCAGGTTTGAGAACTGAGACCCTGATGGAGGATCACAGGCAGGCAGGCAGAGAGAAGGGATCTTCGGGGGGGAAAAAAAGGCAGGAGAAGCAGCGGTAAGAAGAATCGATGGCCGGACCGGGCGGATGCACATGTGAAAAGCCAGGAGAATTCGTTGGTCTTCGTTGTTCGTTCGTTCTTGTGCCGGTCGGTAGATCTTGGGACGGAGGCTGAGATCTGCATCAAGGGGTTGCGCTGTTGTGTAGATCATCGGCATTGTTTTTTGCACATCTGATAACAAGTTGACAACTCACTGGCACTGGGCTTGGTACATCATACAGCCGAGCAAAAAAATCCGGGGAAATGCCCTCCAAACCCAAAAATACCACCGTGCCTACATCTACATAGATGATGCTGTCTGGTTCTGTGCCGTTGTGCGTGCTTCAATAACCGCCACTGCCGACATGCCGTCCGTCCATCTGTTCCCTTGGGTCCCGTCCCTTCGGCACGGCGTGCGGCCATTCGGCCAAAGGAGGCAAAAGCGGTATAACACTCCGAGATCTTGCTTAGATTTTCAAGATCAAGATCTCTTGGCACACTTCATTGTGCCTCGCAAGCGCGGGGGATTTTGGGGCCAAGCTTTCAGGTACGGACTGTACACTGTACAGTATGAAGATAAAAGCGAAGAGACAGGGCATCATCTTGCTTGATACTGACAGAGAACGGATTTCAGAGAACGCAAAACTGAAGAGGCGAAAATAAATGCATTCGAACAACACCGCTAATAATGTTCTACACGCTCGGGAGTGGTGAAAGATCAACATCTGGCAATCCAGACAATGATTGACCAGAGATAAACTCCAAAACATGATCGTCACTGTCCGTCGCCGCCGCCGCCGCCGCCGCCGCCTCAAGCGCGACGGAATTCAGTGATCAATCACATGAAGCCTCTACTACTCGTGTGTTAGTTGTTGCCCACTGCCACTGCCAGCGAGCTCTCCCTCCCCCACCATCACACAAAAAAGCGGGGGCAAAACCGCAAGCTGCCGTGCCACGGTGCCAAGGCACTGCGCTAATGCCAAGCTAGAGATAAGCTCAGGCAGAGGCACTGCAGGCACAACCCACCACCCACCCACAAAACCTCCACACACAAAAGCCCACAACAAGAAATGGAAAGCCCGCCGTACGGCAGGCAGAGAAAGAAAAGAAACGACGGAGCGAGCGGGAACTTGAACTTGGAGTGAAGTTGAGATCCGAGACCCGAGACCCGAGGCCTCAGGCCTCAGGCCGAGCGGACGGACGGACGAAAGCGGATCTCCGAGCGAGCAGCTCAGCTGGTTTGGGCGGGCGGGCAGGCACGACGGGAATTCATAATGAACGGACGACGGGATGCACAGACCACACGGATACCGGCAACTGGCAATTGAAGTTGAAAAGCTTGCCGAGGGAGGGCCCGAGGCCGACCGGGCCGGACATGGCCCCACTCACGGAGAGTTACTAAACCGGGCCCGGGCCACCCGGTCCACCCGGTCCGGACTGGAGCCAAATATGCCGGAGGCCGGAGCGGGCGAGACATCCGGGCGCCGAGATGGCTGGCCGTGGTAACCGGGTGCCGGTTCGGGTGCCGTTTCAGATCCTGAATTACATCAATAATTGTGGCCATGGTAAGTATGTATTCACCCTGAGCGGCTGGGGGTCAGATCACAGCACCTAGAATATACGATTCGCATTCTCCTTGAGTTATGTCAGATGGCTGATTGATCATTTGTATCGATATCAAATTTGAGCGTTGATGAATGAGTTTCCACTTGTGCCAGCCAGGCCTCTACAGTCAGTTGTGAAACATGATTCAATTACGATGTCTTCTTCGGAATGTTTTTATTCTTTGATTTGAAAAGGAGGGAGATGGTGGAGTTTGTAGAAGAGGAAGGTTGGGCCGTGGTACGTATATCTTTCGAACTTGTTTTTACTTGTGCAGAGTGCCTTAAATGAACAGAGCGTTCTTCGGTATCTTGAATCCTTTTATGGAGTCAAGCAGTTGATCTACTGGTGGCTTTTGTGTTCAAAATCCTGTAACCGAATTTCGTTCGCATAACGGCTTTTGGTTGTGTTCCTCACATGAATAATACTGTTCGATGGTAAACTGGAGGAAACGAAAAAAGCAAAGAATAAAAACATATCATTCACCCACCCTTTTGCACCTTCACATATAGTCCACAACCCATCCCTTCACAGTCTAACCACCTACTCCCACCTACCTACTCAAAAATACCCCAACCCGCTCCACCCAAGCACCCCTCCCAACTCCCCTCTAACCTCCTCCCACTCCATCCCTCCCTCCTGCCCATGCAACCCATTCAACCTCAGACCCGCCAAACTCAACCCACCATTGCCTCCCAACATCATCTTCCCACTCCCCGCCGGATTGACCCCATGTGCACCGGTGCCAACCACGTACCCCGCCCGTCCCGCAATCTCTTGCCGTTTACCCGTTCCCAGCTCCATGAACCGCTCCAGGATTTTCCCATCGACAATGTTACGTCCGATACCTGCGTCCACGCCCGGCAGCTGCATGCTGGCCGAGGCCGAGGGCGAGGGGAGGCGGTAGCCCTTGGGGTTGAGGCCCGCAGGGTGGGGGAGGGCGTTGGTTAGTTGGACTGCTAGAGAGGAGAGGCGGCGGTAGGCGTTTTCTTGGAGGGGGCGGAGGGTGGCGAGAACGCCGGTGGGGGAGGCGAGGAGGAGGATGTGTGGGGGGTTTTCTTCTGTGTTGGAGGACGAGGAAGAGTGGGGTGTAGGGTAGACGGCGGGGAGGAGGAGGGAGGAGGTGGGGTGGTGGGCGCCGGTGTTGAAGGTTGTGCGGTGCAGGAGGAGATGGCCTTGGAGGGATTTGGGATCTGGAAAGGCTTTGTTAGTTTCTGGGGTTGAAAAGAAGAAGAAGAGGAGGAGAAAAAAAAAAAAGGGGGATACATACGCTCGGGATCAAATTGCAGAATGTGAATGTGACCATCTGCATCGCTAGCCACAATGTACAGCTCCTTCCCATCAGGCAAGAAATCCGCATTCAACACCTCCATCCTGGTCGAGCTCTTGCCGAACAGCATCATCTTGTAAGGCTCTTCCGTGTAGCCCGTGAACCACACGCCCTTGAAGGCGTCGGCCATCAGACAGAGTCCCGTGCCGGGCAGCTCCTTGACACTCGTGACGTAACAGTTCATATCCATAAACGCCACGGGCAAGAGCGTCCCGTCTTCCTTAAGACCGCGCACCATGCATTTCTGGCCTTGGGCGACGAGCATCAGACCCTGGGTGCCCACCTCGGAGAGCGCTGTGACCGCGCCGCGCGGGATATCCTCCTTAGCGACCAGCTTCAGCTTCTTGCTGGTCTCGGGCTTGCCAGGCTCGGGGATGACGTCGGCAATGTCGAAGACGTAGACGCGGCCTCTGGTCGGAAGATCTTCGCCCTTGGTAAGAGCGGTGCCGACAGCGATGAGCTGTTTGCGCTCGTTGGTCGACTCGGACACTTCAAGGTTGAGTGTTTCGACGCAGAGGACAGTTTCGCACGGCTCCATCTCGACGGTGTCGATGACGGTCCAAGTGATGCCACTAAGGAGTTTGAGCATGCCGCGGTCAACCATGGGCTTGAACGTGATGTTTTCGCGCGCCCATTCCTTGTGGTAGTCGTCGTCCTTGGGCAGCTCAAACGGTTCGACGTTGTTGCAGCCCACCACGTACGCCTGTGTAGGCGGGTGGTAGGCCACCGACTGCGTGTCAACTCCCACGGGGATCTTCTTGACGGAGAGACCGAGTTCAGCGTAGCTAGTGTCTGTAGGAATTTGTGTCACCCGCGCGATACCGTTGGTGTCAGCGTAGATAAAGCCATGTTCGCAACCTTCGGTATGGAAGGAGCTCATGGCTTGGACACCGGATCCCTGTAGGCTAAGCACCCTGGGACTGGACTTGGCTGTTTTGAGAATGAAGCTGGGCGACGACCCAGGAAGGAAGACGGTGCTGTAGCCAGAGATGTTGCTGCAGCGCCGCATAGGAAGGAATCGTTGTGCATTGTGAGGCTCGTCATCGTCCACCGGCTTCTCCTCAGGCGCCTTGGCAAAGGTTGAGTTGGGTACTTTTTGGAAGAAGAGCGATTTTGAGAACGGCTGTCCAGCAGTAGACTTGAGCCGGTAGGGTTGGTATAATGTTAGATCATCATTAGCATGGCGAAGCTGTACATTGATCGATTAGCTAACACTCATCGTGACAGGACGGGTCTATAAGGACATACGATAAGATATGGTGATTTGTGAGTCGTGTCACCCAAATCAGCGACCAAGATCTCGGCAACGGACTCCTTAGCTGTGCCTTTCCTGGCAGCATAGTCGGCAGAAAGTCCTGGTGGTATATAAGAAAGCCCTTCTGCCACATAAACTGGTTTCGTCAAGTCAGGTAGACGGTAAATCTAGTGAAGCGGGTCAGCATGTCTTCATCCGTGAGGCCTTGATGCTCTTACATATAGAACACCGCTTGTACTTAGCAGGAACATAAGAATACTATCTTTTGTTCCCTTGCCCGCGGTCTCATCGGCAAATACGCCGTTGGTGTCGGTATACAAGCATCCCGTCAGCCACTTTGTGCTTGTCAAAATCTGATCTTCTTTGTCGACTTCTTCAAGTTCCAAAAGCTTTGGACTCATTTCCGCAATGAATACGCTGAAGTCGTCCCGGATAAGAAGAAGGAACGGGTCAGCAATGCTGGCAGTCCGAACCCGCGGCTCCGCTCCCGTTTCTTCGTCAAGCATGGGCACGATCTGGCTCAGCCCCAGGTCTAGAGAGGTTGTGTTAGTATGGCACTTGAGGCGTCGTGCAAGCTTTGATCTTACGTACCTCCGTCATAGCATCGCACTTCTGACTTGAGGACTTGAAGGATTCTGGAGTCCTTCCCCATGGTCCCTGCCTCAACAGTCAAGCCAGCAGCCGGCTCGAATTCGGTTCCGGTAAGGCTCTCAAAGCCAGCTGCTGTAAGGGCATAGACATCAGAGGTTTCATAGCCATCAAGATCCACCTTGGCTACGATCATGAACTTGTGGTGCTGTCCAGAGGTGTCGTAGTCATTGTTCATGGGGCCCTTATCACCCACCAAAGTTTTTGGGATGGGCTTCTTGGCACAAACTGTCCAGAATCCTCTTGCCTCTGGGAACTCGAATCTTCCAATGATCTTTGGTTGTATTGCCAGGTTCATGATGGCGAGTGCGCTGGCCTTTCCCCGTCCCACGGCACAGACCAGTTGGAGATCGCTGCGGACACCTTCCGAGTTTCGTTCCTCCTCGCTGTCGGGTAACGTGACGGGTTGGCCATACGTCATCTTTTGTATTGGTGCAATGCTCAGGAGTCGGTCGTGGATGCGGAAGTTGAGATCTCCGCTCTTGATGGCCTTGGCGGCGGACATGGCTTGCTCTGGAGATGTTGACTCCTCGCCATATAGGTCATCGTCGTCGTCCTCGAGATCTTCGTCGTCGAGATCCAAATCCAAATCGGCATCCTGAATTCGCGACTTTTTCCTCTGAGTTTGGCCCTGTCTCCTAGTCCAACCAAGCAAAACGGAATCGCCTTCCTCGGAGCCCACGAACACAGTAGACCTTCCTACCCGGGACAGCGAAGTAACACGCGACTGAATGACACTACCGCCGGCTTCTGGGGCTAGCATCTTAATGCTCAGGCCCGAAACCGTACGGCCGTCGATGCGGAATGTGATGAGCCCCAGGCGTCCGTCGTTGAGAATCAGGAGGAACTCCCCGAGTTCTGCCGCCAAGACGTCGATAGCGCAGCCTTCGAGACGAAGTTCCAAGTCGGATTGGTCGACAAGACTAAAAGAGGTGGTCTGCTTGGTGAGGGGGTTGACAGCAATCCCGTTTGATTTGCCAGACTGGTCGATATGGATGAGTTCGTTGGCTCCTACAAGCAAAGCGCCACCCACAGGTGCCGGGAGGGCGACAACACGGAAGAGATCCTGGGGCAGTCCATTGACAGCCAAAATGGTGGTGGACGCCCTTTGCTGGAGGTCTAGGGTGAAGACCATGTATGTAAAGTGGTCCTTGTGACCGAGCGAGTTGGAGGCGGTCTTGGTGGAGGACAGGACACCAATGGTGGGATCTCGATACTCATGCAGGAAGGCGAGGTGCACAGGATGGAGGAGACTAGCTTCAAGTTTGGAGAGGCGAAGGACGAAAGACGGTGAATATGGTGTGTCTTCTATAGTGCTAGCTCCATTTGCGACGGCGCCGGAAAGGTCCTTCTTGGACCTTGGGCCGTCCAGCTCTTCATCCCAATTATCCATGTCCATGTCCTCATCCGGCTGCTTGAAGGGCAAGATGGCCAAGTTCCTCTCGCTGAACTTGAGCGCAGCGCATCTACTCGCGGGGTCTGCGACCAACAGGGTGGGATAGTGATGCAGAGGCGCGACCCACGGGCTCCCTACGAGCTCTTCTTGTTCGTAGTAGTGAATCGAGACGGTCTCGAGAGTGTTGCGTTCGACATTCCACTCAACCAGGCTGAGACGAGCGTCGCGGAAGGAGAGGAGCAAGCAGTCGGCGCCACCGGACGAGCTGCCGCTGGGCTTCTTGATTCGCGCGAGACCTGTTATGGTGTTGGGCAGGGTGACTTCGGCGACAAGAACCAGCTTGGCGCTGTTGGCACGATCGGTCCTTGCGGCAATATTATCTCCTCCCAAGAACGAGGCCTCGAAGCCGTCATCGTCGTTTACGAGTCTGCTATCGTAGCGGCCAGCCGTCGTAGGCTTGGATGGGTTTGTACCATTGAGGGTAGCGGGGGCATCGATCTCGACGGAAACGACCTTTGTCTTGAAGATTTGGAGTAATGATGCCTTTGCGACGGCGAGATTAGTACCCTGACCAGGGACGAGCTGGAGGGTTACTGAATGGGTGACGGCCGTGGGCGGCGTCAACTCTGTATAGCATTGCATCGTATGGGAGTCGGGAGCATGTCGATGCTAGACGAAGCTCGGAATAAGTTCTGGCGGCAGATGATGCTGCTTCCTGTTATTGTTTTAGTAAAGTTTAGCGCGCCAGTTGCAGAATGGTTGTAAAGTGAAGACGAAGGTACGCAGCCATAGATTTCCCTATGCGCGATGTGATGTTGAGTGGACGGAGGATTGTATTCTGTTGCCGACGATGCAAGTGGAAGTCAACACGATGATTGTCCCAAAGCTCAGACCCCCAGCGTTCTGGACCACACATTTGATGGCTTGCTGGATCCCACCTCAGCTGAATGTTGAAGCTGTGCGACCCACAAGGTTCTCGTTGGAGAAGCCCCGCCATCCCCTCGACACCAATTCACGTGGAGTATTGAACAAGATATTAGCATGGTACAGCACATTGTGTAGCCGTGAACTGAGACATTCTTGTACACAGCAATGACACCCAACCTGTGACGCCATACGATCGGTTGACATTCCGGGCGGGCAAGTGTGAGACTTCTCCAACCCACACTCAACCTGTGTCTGCCACTGACGACTTGCACCTCCAGCTGAAGTGCTCAGGCTGCAACAGTGCAACATTCAACTGCACCCTGACGACTTTGGCTGGCCATTGGCGATCCTGCACCTCTTCCCCTCCAACCAAACAACATTTTACATATCAACATGTGAACCATTTAAACGCGGGATACACACATACCTTACTTTGCTGGACCCTTCTTTTCCGAATCTGATTCATGACTGGGTGTTTCTCCCTTGTCTGATGCACCCCACGTCATCCGGCCATTGATGTTCTCCACGATTCCATCCGTACCTACCACTGCGACTTTTGTCACTTTTTTTTCTCCCGTTCCGCTGGGCTGGCAGCTGGCTGGCCGTCAAAAGTCCATTTCTTTCCCAACTTGTCGTGAGTCTTCTTCAGATCATACAATCACCACCCAATCACCACCCAACCACGGAACCCAGGCGGCCCAACAGCTGGGATCTTGAAAGCGGGAACCTTAACCAACTCAATGAATCTGACCCATATGATAGGTCCTTTATCCTTTTTTCCATTGGTCCCCTATTAGATAACGACGAACCTGTGAGCTACAAGGCTAGGCTTGGCCGCGGGGCAAACTATCGCTAGACACCCAAACAACAAGACGAAACCTGAGCTAGACGGCGCCAGAACCGGCTATCAGGCATACAGACTTCAAGATATAACCCATTCCATGTCCAGGTTGCCGCCTTCGTGTTCCGCCTTTATACCCTTCTGCGATTGACTGACGAGTACCCATGACCATACCGCCTGCCCGACGTCACCTAGAGAGTGTACCTGATAAAGGATGGTTTCCGACCCTCTTCACCTCCTGGATTAGCAACGACATCTTTGTCGTCAGTTTCCGCCGAGATGGCATTCAAGCTCCCCCTTGGTCCCCTTTCGCGCTCCAACAATGGCGACCATTCCTCCGAGTCCGACTATCCGGGCGGCCGTCGCGACTCCATGGCCGCTCTCTCCATCTCTTCCCATGTCAACCAGGAACAGCTCGCTCATACCCTTGACCGAATTCACAATACGGCAAGCCAGTCTGGGGTCCTGACCACCTTCAACGATTTCGCCCCGCCTCCTCCACCTACTGTGCCTGTCGCCGAGAGCAAGGGAACTACGGGCGAGTTGGTACAACAAGGCTTGAGTGGTCTCTACAGCCGTCTTAAGGAGGTCGTCGGGGTGGCAGGGAAATCTTTTGCCCAGGAGGCCGAAAGTTCTACTAACACCCAGGATGCCGCGTCCAAGAATCCCAAGAGCCCGATTCCCAATAGCTCCAACAACAGTAGCGCCAAGATATCGATTCCCTCCCTTCCCAAGGGAGATAGCTCATCCATCAAGTCGCCTTTTGATGCAAAGTCACCCTTTGATGCAAAGTCGCTCTTCAATAACAAGTCACCCTTTGAGGCAAGGCACACCTTTGATGGGCCCGCCTCTCTCGAGATCCCACCCGCCAGGTCTGCCGGCACATCACCGGTTTCGCCAACCACCATACCGGCAGACCTCCAGTCCCCCTCACAGACAACCAGACCACCATCACTTACTACGCTGCAGAGCCTCAAGACTGGAAACTCGAGCGCACAGACAATTCCGAGGACGGGAAGGACGCCCCAGTCAACCACTGCCAGCCCTACCGTTGCCCCCTTCATGGGAAAAGGGCCTTTCGAAAGGGATAGTTCTAGGGGTCCTGCCAGACACCTCGAAGAGCCCTCAAGTTGGGGCTCTAGCCGGCGGAGCATCAGCAGACATGGTGACGGATCCACGCCGCCTACCATCGCCGTGAGAACAAGTGTAGATAGCACGACGGCCGCTTTGGCGCGCAGTAGAAGGGAGGACGACGTGAGTATCGACGGCGGCATCGACAGCCCCATGAGCCCTTCTAGGCCTATACCAGATGTGCGCATCTCCTCTGCCTCGTCGCGCTTGTCCGAGACCAACCAAGTTAAGCGAAGGCCTGCCATTATTGACCGTATAAGTCAGTCAAGAGGTCATAGCCACTCCAGGTCCTCGTCTATGGAACCCGGCAAGGCAGAGCCTAGCCCCATTAGCACATCAGCTCACAGCACTGTCTATCATGACTCTTTTACTCATAATGTCAAACCACAGAGGTTGCAATCTGGAGCCATGAAAATACCAGGCACCACCACAAACGAGGGAGCCCCCGAGGTCGTCAATGCTAGACTAGAAATGATGAGGAAGCAGGTCCTGAGCAAAGAGTTCTGGATGAAAGACGAAACCACCAAAGAATGCTTTGCCTGCGGTAGCCCGTTTACTGCCTTTCGGCGCAAGCACCACTGCCGCACTTGTGGCTGCATCTTCGATTCAAAATGCACCTCTACCATTTCCGGGCAGAAGTTTGGCGTTCAGGGAACCCTTCGCGTCTGCAAGAATTGCTTGGAGGTCATAAACCGCCGCTATGAAAGCGGATCCGATGATTCAGCGGATGAGCCCTTTTTGCCCACCATCTTTCGTTCCAACCAGACTAAGCCGCCTCCTCTTCCAGCTAGACCTCAGGCGGATGACGAGGTTAGTATTGCCGAGCGAACGGAGCAAGCGAATGACACAAGGTCCGCCAAAACGCCCATGATGGCGATTCCAGCCACACGCCGAGTTGGTGATAGCAATCGTCACTCGGCCGTTCTGGAGATTGATATGCCACAGCTCAGCCGCCCAGGATCATCTCGGTCGCTGAGATCACTTGCGGCGGGCCGACCACAGTCGTCTAGTCACCGCAGGCTTCATTCAAAACATACCTTCTTGAATAGATTCAAGTCTACTACGACTGATGACAGGGCGCCTTTTCGCAAGCCTGCCAGCGAAGAACTCGGGAGAAAATCCAAATTCAGCGCGTTCCACGACGACAATATCATTGACCCAGAACTTGCCCCCTATATGTCGGACGAGTCAACCGATGACGAACAAATGAGTAGCATATTTGCAACCCTGAACAGCAATGATGTGCCAGCGGCCAGCCTTGATCCCGACAAAGCCAGCATGGGCTTTAGAAAACATAGGTTCCGCCACGGCGAGAAGAGCATCAGCGGACTTAGTTATACCAGCAGAGGCCACGAAGACACTGGTTTACCAACTCTCAATCTCCATACCCGGCCAACCAGAAAGAGAAACCTCAGCACTGCAAGTGTCACGGGCCACCCGCTGCGGTCACCACGCCCGAGATCTGGTATCTTCAGCATCATGTTAAACACTGGTGCCTCAGCTGACGCCTTATCTATGTGGGATAATCCTGGAGTTGTCGAAGCATCTGCACTCAGTAGAAGGGATTCTTATTTCGAGGGCAGGTCACCAACCGGTGGACTCAACCCCATAAGCATGAACCACGTCAAGAAGCTCTTCCGGCAGCTTTTGAACGACGCGGAAATTCCCAACCCTGCAGCGTGGGAAAAGGCCCTCATCCCAATCCTTGACAGGTGTGCTGATGACGTCGATCCGGACGTCCGCAACGGAGATGACATGGACATTCGACACTGGATCAAGTTGAAAAAGATACCCGGCGGCAAACCCGGCGATACTGCTTACGTCCATGGAGTTGTCTTTTCCAAGAACTTGGCCCTCAAGACCATGCCCCGCAAAATCGAGAATCCCAAAATCGTCATCATCACTTTCCCAATCGAGTATCAGCGGCACCAGGAGCAGCATTTTATGAGCTTGCAGCCGGTCATAGAGCAGGAAAAGGAGTATCTGAGGATGGTGGTGAACAGAATCCTAAACCTCGAGCCTCGGGTGTTGCTCGTCGAAAAGAACGTTTCTGGCGTGGCTTTACAATATCTTTCGGAAGCCGAGGTCGCGGTCGTGTATAACGTCAAGCCGTCAGTTATTGAGGCTGTCTCCAGAATTGCCAACATTCCTATCATTTCATCCATGGATATGCTAAGCTTGGGTGCCCGCGTCGGAACCTGTCAAAATTTCGAGGTCAAGACCTTTGTCAACAAGGAGCTCAAAGGAAGGAAGAAGACGTACATCTTCATCTCCGGCTGTCCGAAAGAGCGCGGCTGCACTATTGCTCTTCGCGGTGGGTCAACTGAGATCCTATCCCGCATGAAGAGGATCACCGAGTTCATGGTTTACGTGGTTTACAACCTCAAGCTCGAATCCTGCTTGATGCGCGATGAATTCGTTCATGTGCCTCCGAAGCTCGAGTCTCCCCCCCGGTCAACCACGAAGCTCCTGAGTGATGGCAGTCAGGTCCCGTTTTCAACAACTCCAAGCACACCACCAGAGGAAAACCCCCCCGCTCACAGGATGGCCGAACACAGCCCCGAACATAATCAGCCCCCTGAACCCTCTCAAGTGACCGATGAGACTGTCGAGAGCATAACCTCGACTGAGGAACATTCAGCTGCCGCCCTCAACACGAGTTCATCAATCAAGGAGGAGACCGAGGAGGAACTAATTCGGGCTGAGTCCGAAACACATGAAGGTCAAGGTGCGGAAGACTTGCCTATGCCCACATATTATGGTGACATGGTCGCCAAATACGAGACCAGAATCCTCTCTGCATCACCCTTCGTCAAGTTCACTCAACCATACCTGCTCATGAAAGCCCGAGAGCAGGAGAGGCGTCTGGTGTATCTCAAACGTCTTCGTGACCAGGACATCGTCGAAGAACTCGGAGAAAGCGAGAAGAGTGAGCCTCAGCCTAGGCAATTTCAGCTTATCAAGCCTGAAATGGTGCATGAACTCGGCCAAAAGGCCCCGCGCCACATCATGGAGGTGCTTCATGCTGTCTACGATGCGGAATATGACAAGGCCTTGTACAACTACCAGACCCAAACCAAGCAGTGGGAGAATTACATCCAGGGAAGCCTCGACCTATTTGATCCTCACTCACACCAGAGCATCGTTGTTCTGTACTCGGTTACGTGTAATGTGACCCAAGTCCCATGCACGGAGCCCAGCGTCGTGGCTTTTGAGTTCTATAGGGAAACTCCGGACGCACATAGTGGGATGTACCAAGACTGCACCCTGGGGCAGTACATCGAGGACGTCTGCGAAAGCGCTGACTCAATCTGTCACTCCAATGGATGTGACCGAAAGATGTTTGAGCATTACCAGACGTATGTTCACGAAAACGCGCGAATCACGGTCATGGTGGAGGACAAGCCAAAATGGCCAGAGAACTTCCCCGAGAGACCACACGAAAGAGATGGTTGGAAAGATGGCACCGGAATCTGCATGTGGAATTACTGCAAGGTGTGCAACAACCATTTCGGGCTGATGCCCATGTCTGTGAGCACCTGGAAGTATTCTTTCTCGAAGTATCTGGAATTATCGTTCTGGAGCCGTGGTTTACGCCTTCGTCCAGAGACAGGATGCCCTCATGATCATCAGAAAGACCATGTTCGGTTCTTCTACTACCTATATCGCGACATTGCCGTCAGGATACACTACGATCCGATCGACTTGTACGAAATCATTGTCCCTAGGTCAAGAATCACATGGAAGGTAGACCATGACCTGAGGTTGAAGAATGAAGTCTTTACCAAGGCAGAAGAGCGCTGGAACCGCTTTATCAACTCGGTCAAGGCCAGGTTGAAGAGCATCAGAATCGACAGCGTCTTGCCGGAGAAAACGGAGCACTGCAAAGCCGAAGTGGAAAGAATGACAAAGAAGGTACAAGAGGACCAGGCCGAGCTGATTCAAGACCTTCAGGACGCCTACATGGGCTCAAAGTACTACGAGGTTCTTGCCATGAACGGAGTTATACGTCAGATGGCGGAGAGAGCTACTGAATGGGACGTGGCCTTTACCAAATTTGAGGCCGACTTCCTTTCGGACAAAGATGTTCGCCAGTTGACTATTATCCAGCTGAAGAAGATGTTTGACCCAAAATCCGGATCCTCAGGTTCTGAACTTGGGGAGAAGCCGTCCTCTGAGGCAACTCACTCCAATGCCAACGCCGGCGAACCGGAAATGAAAGAAAAGCCATCGCAGCCAACGGAAGATGAAGGCCCTAGCCCCAAGACGCATTCTCCAGTGTCTTCCGCGACCAAACCTGTTTCTGTGGTAAGGGGGGAAGCAGTGGATGAAGCCGGGTCCATTCTGGGAAGAGTCGAGCCTCTTGACCTTGCAACTGCATCCTCGCCCACGCTCATTAGAAATGGGGCGGATCCGGTTCTGGAAGCAGCAAAAGTCACAGTCAACGAGCCAACGCCGATCGTCACAGCCGCAACCCCCACACCACTACCGACACCTCTCTCAAAACTCAACGAAGCACCTCAATTTACCGGTGGCGAGTTGTCTTTGGCTGAAACGATCGAACTCAAACGCCGAGAACAACAGGCAGCCATGCCTGAGGCTAGCACCTCCGCCGCCGGCGGTGAGGGTTCGATGGAAGGTTTCAGGCCTATTGTACCGGAGCGCACGTCATCCCGTAAGGCGGGTTTGACGGTGTCGCCTCCCTTAACACGGGCCATTTCACAGCCAGTGGGAGCCATTCCGAAGCTACAGTCCGCCATTCCGAAGGCTAAAGAGCATAAGATGCCTGAGCCGGGTGATCTTGCGCGGGCAACAGGAGAGGGCTCATCTCTCAAGGGAGATAAGAAGTTCCTTGGGATGAAGATCCGTCCTTCTGCTATCCCACGCTATCGGCATAGGAATTCGAAGGTGTTCACTCTTGCGCGTCACTTTGAGGAGTTGAGTCGAGAGTTTGAGAAGGAGCGAATCAAGGACAAGAGAGAGCGGCAGGCCAAGATGTCTTTTCCACGTGCATATCTGCCACGTTCGACTACCAAGGCCATCGTGGAGATCTACGAGGATGTCGACCAGGCTGTTCAGGAACCCGGTACTGCGGAAGAGGGCCACCCTGGTGACAAGGACTCGAAGGACAATAGGCCAATGGAGGGTTCCTCTCCGCCAGATCAAGCCCAAGGGGATCATGCCAGATTGTCTGCAGACCAGGGCCGCACTTCGTCAGTTGAGATCCCATCCCGAGAACCTACTCCTGAAGATCGGGACCACGAAGCGGACGCAGACGAAGGACAACACGAGAGCGAAGCCGAGTCCGATGAAGAAGGTGCAGAAAGTGATGCCGACCGGTCAACATATACGTATGACGATATCCCGACTGATGTCAGGGACCTGGCTGCATCCATCGAGCCAAGTGAGGAAATACCTGAGGAGCTACCAAAACACCAAAGGAAGAGCCTCATGACTATGCTCACCAACTTTTGGGCTGAACGCTCCGCCAGTGGATGGCCCGCGCTTGACTACCCTTACAATTCGACCGATCACATGTTCACGGACTCTAACGTGATTGTCAGAGAAGACGAGCCAAGTTCTGTTGTCGCCTTTGCGATGAACTCCATGGACTACCACATCCAACTTCGAAACATCCGAAGGAACTCCAGGAGAACCCAGCAGCAGCAACAACAACAAAGGCAGCAGAAAGAGCAACAGCAGCAACAGCAGCAACAACAGGAGCTACCATCCCAGGATCCCGAAGAGAGCAGCGACAGCGGCATGCTAGAAATCAAGGGCGGCGGCGCCGGTCCCGACCTCAGCGAAGCCGAACTCGAACAAAGCATGCTCCGCCCCTTCGGCACCCACCTCAAGTTCCAATTCACGGAAGGCTCCGGCAAGTTCACCTGCAAGATCTTCTTCGCCGAGCAATTCGACGCCCTGCGGCGCAAGTGCGGCGTCGGCGACCGTATCATCGAGTCCTTGTCTCGCTGCTTGAAATGGGACTCCAAAGGCGGCAAAACCAAGTCCGTCTTCCTCAAGACGCTCGACGACCGACTAGTCATGAAATCCCTTTCCCCCATCGAAACCTCGGCCTTCCTTGGTTTCGCGCCCGTCTACTTTGAATTCATGGCCCAAGCTTTGTTTCATGACCTCCCCTCCGTCATCGCCAAAATGCTCGGTTTCTTCCAAGTAATCATCAAAAACCCGCTCACCAACACCGAAGTCAAACTCGACCTTTTGCTCATGGAAAATTTGTTTTATGACCGCTCCCCCACCCGCACCTTCGACCTAAAAGGGTCCATGCGCAACCGCAAAATCCAATCGACCGGCGAACAAAACGAAGTCCTGCTCGACGAAAACATGGTCGAGTACATCTGGGAATCTCCCCTCTTTGCACGGGAGCACTCCAAACGTTTGCTCCGAGCATCCGTCTGGAACGACACCCTCTTTTTGGCAAGACAAAACGTGATGGATTACAGTCTCATGATCGCCGTCGACGAGAACAAGAAGGAGTTGGTGGTGGGCATTATCGATTGCATCCGCACTTGGACGTGGGATAAACGCCTCGAGAGTTGGATTAAAGACAGGGGGTTTGCGGGGGGAGGGAGGAACAGGCCGACGGTGACGAGTCCGAAGGAGTATAAGAGTCGGTTTCGAGAGGCTATGGCTAGGTATGTGCTTTTTGGTCCTGCGAGGTTTACGTGCTTGGTTACGAGGGGGAGGGATGGGGGGTTGGTTTTGTTGAGGGGGTTGGTTTAATCATGTTCGCATGAACAAGGTGTTCGAACGGATGAGGGAGGGGTGGTTGGAGTGGACGTTGAAATTGCCTGCTGACACATTCTTGGATACTTCTCCTTTTCCTCTATGATTATAGGTATATTCTCCAAGCACCTAATTGCTGGCATCACTTTGGAAGTGCCCTGGGCCCTACCGGCAATCCTTCCTTGAAGGCTGTTGTTGGTCCTGCTCCTAGGACGAGGTTCGCGGGGGATGTTACTCCGTCGATTAGGGGGTCGGTGAGGGGGTCGGTGAGGGGGATGGAGTGAAAAGGTGGTCGAGGGTAGGAGGTGGTAGGACAGGAAGCATATGGGAGGAGGATATGGTTGAGAGGTGGGTATGTGTTGGGAATGGAGAGCATGATGGTGCAATGACACCGGTGTGGCTGTGGGATGGGGAAAATGAGGAATCAGAAGAGTTTGTTAGGCCGCAGTCTTGTTTTTTGTCTGTTGCATTGTTGTTATCATTATTGTTAAGCACGGCGTTTTGCTGTTGTGTTCACCTGTCAGACAGAATGAAAAGGGGAAAGTGAGTCTTGGTCCGTTGCCCAATTGTCTGTTGAAAAGTGGTAATCAATTCAGTCATCTATCCATCTACTTCCTTTTGTGCCCTTGATCTGACTTCTGATTGGGAATGCTTACAAACAGCGACGCTGTCTATCCTGGTGAGAGGCCGGTCAGTTCCCCCCGTCCCCCGTCCCCCGTCCCCCATCCCCCGTCCCCCATCCCCCATCCCCCATCCCCCGTTCCCCTTCCCCTCCCTCTTTTTCTTTTATTCCTCGTTCATGTTACTAACTTTCCACGATAGTCTTCCTCAGATTCACCATGATCACTACCCAGCAAAAATGCCAGACTAGCCAACACAATCACTTGCCATCAATCACTCACCGGCTTAGCAACCATCAAACTAATAAGCGACAACCCAACCTGCGCAGCAGCTAGAACCGTCGTCTCCCCCTTATTATCATAAGCCGGGCTGACCTCTACCACATCCGCCCCAACAACAGACAAGCCTCTCAGCCCGTCAATGATAGTCAGTAGTTCCCTCGTAGACCACCCGCCGGGTTCCGAGGTCCCCGTGCCCGGAGCAAACGCCGGATCCAAGACGTCAATGTCGACGCTGATATACACCCTCGAGTCACCCACCCGGGCCTTGATGGTCGATATAATCCAGTCGATCCCGTGCTTGTCGATGTCCCGGGCTGTGATGACGGTGAAGCCGCAGCGCTTGTCGTTAGCACGGTCACTGCGCTTGATGATGGGGCCGCGAGTGCCGGCGTGGACGGAGGTGTTGCGGATTAAGCCCTGGGAACTTTGTGTTAGTGACTGGGGGATGTTATGGGCATTCAATGAGGGGACCTTACTTCTTCGTGGGCGATGTGGAGGAAGGTTCCGTGGTTGATGCCTCTGTGCCAAGAGGATGTGTTAGAGTTGTTGAACCTCGCTGGGTGCTCCGGTCTGAAGATCGACTTACGCATAATCGGAGATGCCGCCTCCGAGAACGTCAGGATTCCATGTGTCTATCGTGAGGTTAGTGTCCACTAGGCCGCCGCATCGATACACAGATATTCCGCGTCAAGACAACTCACCAATGTGACTATCGAAATGGATCACGGACACCTGACCCCATCGGTGAAAGGTTGATCGCAGTGCCGACAGAGTGGTGCTGTGATCACCGCCCAACATCAATATTCTCGGCACGGCTGCAACCGTGTCGTTGGCCGTGGGCCGTCCGGATATGACTCTGTGCGCCTTGTCGAGCTGCTTGAAGGCAACGGTATTGTCGAGCCAGGTCAAGGTGGCGTCGCCGCAGTCCACAACGGTAGCCCAGTCATGCAATGCATCTTCGTCTGCAAGTGACCATCACATCGAGTTAGTTGGAAATCTGGGAGCGGTGACCTTGACAATTTCCGAGTAGTACTCTTGGTGGGGTTTTGGTTGGTGTTGAGCTATAATCTATATTGACTACCATCGTGTACTTTGGAGGTACAGTACTTAGCTCGAGGGGTACTCTTTGTGAGACACACATTGCATTGGGGAACTTGGGGTCCTTTGGTCTTTGAGATCATGGTGGTACCGCAGCGAGTGCCGCGGAGAGATTGAAAGCTGAAACATACTTACCCGTGTAGAAATCGAATCCTCCGAGGCGTTGACTCCCGACCCTAATTCCTGTCGGCCCGTAGCGGGCTCCTGGTCGTCCGGTAACAGCCTGCAAGAAAGTGTATTTCGGGTAAGACAACTGGACTAATCTTGTCAAAGAGGAAAGAAACAAGACTGACTGTATCAAAGGGAGCGCCAAGAACAGCAATGTCGTACTTCTTGGAGGCCGCTTCTTCGTCCGAAAAACAATTCACATACGGAAGGCTGCCGAACGTCTTGAGTCCGTGGAACTGACTTCCCGTCAGGATGTCTATGTCGTCCACACTTGGATTGTCAAGGGAGATTGGATGTTGTCTGTTGTTGCTGGAAACCCAGAAGGAGGAGGATGAGGATGAGGAGGAGGAGGATGAGGAGGAGGAAGAATGAGGAGGAGGAAGAATGAGGGGTACCGTGAGCTACTACCCCGCCCATGCCGAGGGAGAACAACCCCAAGAATGATCTCATGCTGATTGACGTAAAATCAGGCATCATTAATATCCAAAGAAATGGAAGGAACAGCTATCCTGAAGCTGATAATAGTTTCCGCATTCCAGGAAGGAAAAGGTGAAGATGGCCAAAAGAATCATGGCCGTCAAGGTCCTTATACCAGGCCGTGCCTTCCCGTCCTCGATTGCAGATTTCCTGCCGCCCCGCCTTTCAATGCCCTTTGTCGGTTGCAGCATGCTAGATAAGCTGACATGGGAAGTCGCGGCAGGTCCAGTAATCGTGATGCAATTGAGATGGAGGCAACCTCGTTCTTTCCCAATGGAGCAAAGTTTGTTTTGCGGTGACCAGTCGAGTTATCGCCCCATTTCAAGAGAATCTCTCTCCATCACCACATCACCATCTTATGTCCATTACCTAATATCTTTAACCACGATATCCGACCTATCACCACCTAGAATCCGTCTGCGCAGGACCTCGATAGCATCTTTCAACAGCTACACCTTAAAAGACATTTTCAAGGCACTCAACCATCCAAGCTCCTCCGTCTTGCGCAATGGATCCTTGGGCTGGAGGCGACAGAGTGAGCGAGAGCAGTACTCGCCGCCATGTACCCATCAGTAGCATCAGAGAACCATCTGAGCATTTATCTCCCAGGGCCAGTCACCGAATCGATTCCCAACAGCCAGAAGAACGTCGAGACACGGCCTTTACTTCCCACCCAGACAAAGATGAAGTTTACGAGGCCTTCACTGATATTGACCTGGGACCAGAGCTGGAGAAACAGGGAGTGCCACCTCGCCCCAGCCGGAGGGTTCGTGCCAGAAAGCATTTCACCTACGCAGCTTAGTGGCAGCAAGAGTTCTGGTACGCCATCATATGCGTCTCCACGGCAGTTGGGCTGGTGACCCTCCTCAGATACTACGACAACCAGCTTGTGCCTGAACTGGGTGTCGGAGTACAATTTGACTCAGTCCTCCTTGTCATGGTCACAATCTTCCGAATCTCACTCATGGCCTTCGTTGGCTCTTGCCTAAGCCAAGGCGCGTGGCTTTGGGTATCGGAAATCTCGCAACAACGTTACAACCATGATGCGCTGCTGTCGGACTTCAGTGTCTTTGACGGATCGTCTCGGGGAATACGAGGCAGCTTGCGCTTGCTCTGGCGGATGAAGCTCAAACATCTTGGGTGTATCGGTGCGCTTATCATTATCCTATCACACTGGTTCGAGACCTTCAGCCAGCAAATGGTTCTCTTTGAGCAGCGTCCCCGAATTCTCAACCGTGGGTACGGTCCGGCACCGCCTCCTCCACGATCCGAGGTCTAGGACGCCTACATGAGGCGAGGAGGCTACCTTGGAGACTTGGTGCCTTCGCTCTCTACAAAGGCAGCCATCTACAGCGGCATCATCTCAACCGAGATGCCCAGGCTTCCTGTGTACTGCGAGACTGGAAACTGTTCTTGGCCAGTGTTCCCGACTCTGGCGGCTTGTGGGGAGTGTATCACAGTCACCAACGTCTCATCAACTTGCAATGAAACTTCACGCATGTGCACATACAGCGTTGACTCCGGTAATACATTGGATGTTCCCATGGATCCAGCAGCCGAGTTCAACATCTTCAAAGTCGCTCCGTCCAACGGGACATCTCATCCAATCAAGTCGACAAACCGGGCTTACTTCTCGGTTTTTGACATGCTCTCCCTCGTCCAATCTGAGGATCAGGGATTGTCGGTCACGGGTACCGAGTGTGCTCTATGGTTCTGTGTCCAGAGTTTCAAGCTCCTGGTCTTTGATGGAACGCACAATGAGACCATTGTGGGAAACTGGTCCACCACGGAACTTGCACATGCCGGTGGTGGCAATCTCCACGGCGCTGGATATTCCTTCATCGGCCTGCCCGAGCATCTGAATGCTGACAACACGACGACCTACTCAGTATCCAATGAGGCCATAACCGCTTTGCGAACGTTCATGGCTGATATAACGTCTGGAGTGGTCCGCGCCGACACAAACATGTTAGATTACTCCTCGGACTGGGTTGAAGCCATGTGGAACGCAACCAATACCCTGCAAGCCTGGATGGAGAGCTTCACGCAAGCCATGACAGCCGAGTTTCGTGTCAATGGGAGACTCTCCAACGGGTTAGGCGGCACCAAGGTTTATGCTGGATCTGCCACTCAGCTCGCCCCTTTCATTAGAGTCCAGTGGTGGTGGATGTTCTATCCCGGCTGCATGCTACTGATCAGTTTCTACTACTTCTTTCGCACCGTTGTTATCAGTGCTCGTCATGGCGTGTCTGCCTGGAAAGGAGATGCGTTGCCCATGTTGTTCGTCCGAGTCGACGACAACATCCATGCCCACGTTGGGGATGGCATGGACGTGCCAGATGGCTTGATGGGGAGAGTTGGGAATATCCGGATTGCCATGTACAGGGATGAAGATGGACAATGGAGATTCAGGTCGACCAGAGATGACCCTAAAGAAGCCTAGCCAGAACGCCATGTTGGTCATTGAGGCTTTCAATCGTCAACAGTGTCTCAGCTCCTCGGTGACACCGGCCACCACCAGCATCTTTTCCTACACAGTCACTCGTATAAAATGGCGGGATAAACTGCAGACCCTGGCCACAGCTGCCCTACTGAGAAGCTCCCCTGAAGAGTTGAAGCCGCTGTGTAAGCTCCTTTTCTAGTATACCAGGATGAATGACAAACACTTTTCAGCCTGGAGAACCTGACAAGAGCGTGATGTGAATAAGGTGTGTGTTGTAACCTTTCTGTCACACGCCCTAGGATCCAACTCCATATCACTAGGTCATTGCAAGGATGAACAGCAACAAGGTCTTTCAGATGCCATCGATGCGGTTTTGCAGGTGCCCGACAGCTGTACTGCGAGGAGGCAGGTCGCACCTGGAGATTAAGGACCGATTTCCCTGATGTCCCACTGCAGTGTGTGCTCATAGAACCTTGTGATGGAAGCACCTTCTTCATCCATATCGAGGAAGCAGTTCGTCGGATTCGGGCATCATAACCGTCATTGCGACTTCCAACAGGGCAGCCGACGATTTCCACTGGCCGTCTCCAGCGGGGACAAACAAACCCGATCCCCGAATGTCAAGGGCTGGAGGGACGCGCACCCGGGACTGGGATGATGGCGGTCAACACCAATAAGATATCATGAAGTGATGGGGTGGAAAAAGCAAAAGCGAGAACCTAATCTCGTCGGAAATAGGAGCAGCTAGGGAGTTCTGCCAACAGGCGAACGAGTTTGGCGTTCCGCGGACCCACCGTTCTGTCCTGGCGGTGTTAGCGCTCACCTAACCACCCTGCGGTTCACTCACCCGTCTTGTCCTCCGCTAAATCCCTGGCAGTATGGGGATCGCTGGGATGAGGTGGAAGGAACATCCTTCAGGCCATCTCGGGCACTTTCCCCTAGGGCAGTAGGGCTCGCGCCGGGGAATACTGGGAACCCGTCACCGTCGATCGCTTCCACCGTCCAGGGCACGAGTCCAGGGGAAAACACAAGGGCAGTTGGCAGAAATGAGCCTGCAAGATAAGATCTGATTCTAGGATGCCTGTACCTGAAGGTCGAACATTGTCTAACCACAAAGGTCGTCGAAGACCAGTCTCTAGGATTCTTCTTCATTTCCATTTGTCCGAACACCACAAAACATCCGCAGAGAGCCATCTTCAACTGAATTTAAGCCCACAAGCGTATTCGTGATCAGTCAGTTTCCCATCTCTCCTCTTGATGGTTCGGGGATCCACTACCGGACCGATGTCACCGCTGCCGGGTCGGGTCCGTTCTAACGATGGAGCTCATGGGTCGAACCAACCACTGAGGTTCGCAACGGCACCAAGTGGGAAGGAGAAGAAGCCCCGGCGTACCCCAGTCTGTCCTCCACTCGACAACAATTATTCTTCATCTTCATGATCCCAAGACACATCGAAACTCGAGCTATGTAACTGACTGGACCCGAAATGGCAGCACACCAGCAAAGTTTGCGAGTTCCAACAACGCCTATCTACACCGCCGTGGACGGGCGTTTTGTATTGTGGCAGCCGGACCATTCACATGTGTCTGATCCTTCCATGTTTAGAATTGTGGCTGCTCTGACGACGAATTGTCCGTCCTAAACCCGCAAAGCTACCAAACTCGAAGCACAAAGCGTTATTGGAACAATCTGCGACTGAAATCGTTCTCGGTTCTGGGCAGAGCTGGGCAGGTCTGGAGAAGTTGGGGGAAATAAGCTAATCGCAACACCTGGCGTCATTTTCGAGAAGAGCACCGTGTACCGAGAGACCTCATCCCCGTTAGGGAACTAGTACTACACTAGTAAAGAGGATAAGCTCGGCCAACTAAATACGGGCTCCGGTTAGTGGGGGAAGAACGGAATTGCACTAATAACATGGCTATCACGCTTGGCAGTTCAGGACAAGAGGGTTTTCGGCCTGACTCTTGAGAAGCTGTTGAAGATCACAAGACGGACGGTTGACGGACGGCAGCGGAAGGCCCCACGGCGGGATCGATCTTCTAGAGGCATCTCCACATTGCGTAAAGAGGCACGGGAATTTGTCAAACAAACCTGAGCGTCAAGGACAAGGCACGATGGAATTGTGCACCCCCCTCCCCCTAAATGTTGTGAAGCCGAAGAAGCGATGTACCTGTGGCAGAAAGAGTACATTGTCTCTCCACACGACTCTCATCACCGCGCTTGTTCTGCAAGTTGGCCAGGTCGGCCGGCCCAGTTGCACCGAACGAATACACGCAGTGACTGCAGAAATGGAATTTTACCTCTCAGCACCAGCCTTGGCGCGATAAAAGTGCGCTTCCCATTTCAGAAGCGCCGTTCTGATTCGCCGAGAAGCCGTCGAAATGGCGTGAGGCGGGGTTGGAGCATGCCAGGTAGCATTTGGACCCCAGAGCAACCCAAGGGCAACTCATCTCGCTGCATACTGTCCTGCTGGTCTCACTTTGGCCGTCTTCGCGAACGGCAATTCTCCGGCAGAGACGAGACACACGCTGAAGAAGACCCCACCACCACCGAGCACCGACCGCCGCTTAGAACATCCAGAAGGAATTGCAGCTCGCTTGAGTGTATATCGGCCGTGATGACCATTGGACAAGTTTCAATATGAAGTTGCACACTTCGCTACACGGGACGGCCGTCCCTCATCCGTCGTTTTCGGTCCCGATGGAACCGATAGCGATGATATCGACCGAAAGATGTGACTGATCACAACCTTTCCCATGATCTCGAAATGTTTGGCGCAGCGCCTTCAGCGTTACAGGTTGAGCCGTCTCTGTCTGTCCCTGCATCATTCAGGGCTTCTGGAGCAATCAATTGCCAATGAGCTGGACCAAGCCACAACTGCTTCCCCAGGGGTCGAGTCAAATGGTAGTAACGGCATCGTGGCACAGGAGCCTGATGTGCCATGCAACCCATACGCTATACAAAAAAAAGAGGCAGTATGCGGTGCCACGTCAAGTTGAGGGTTGCTCGGGACGGTAGCAGCCGAAGGCATCTTCAGGACCGGCGCGGACGAGTGAGAACGAGGTAGGATCCAATCGCAACAACAACACTTTTCGATAGGAGACACTCAACAACTGCCACAACTATCACGACTGCCCACAAACTGCCACTCACATGACAGGAGACGATACCGAGAGCTTGGAACTGGAGAGTTTTTGAAATCAATAGCGTGGTCAGCCTGGCAGTTCCGGTACTGCAGCATGCGGTCTGCAGCAGTTTAGGTTATGACCGCCCCCTTCCGCCTCTTCTCAGCCTGTCAAATTCGATGAGCTGCATCCGAAAAAAAGTTTGTTTCGAGTTTGGGTGTTCGTCCGTCTAGGGTACCCGAAAAAATATCTTTCTGCAGCTGGTCATGAGAGGCTCCGCTCCGACATTCAGCATGGCATGGAGTCAATCATGCATTGCCAGCGGCGGCGGTGGAGAGAGAGAGACGGAGAGAGAGGGTCAGAGGAAGAAATGAAAGGCTCCGAGTCGCTGCGCTGTAAGGAAGGGGAATGAATGGTGGACGGGGCATACAGTAGGAACCCCTGTTAATGCAAACACCCCCTTTTGCAAACACATACAAACTGGCCCATTAGATGCAAAAGATTTCTGCGGCCCGGATTCCCAGTTTTGTATGTAAGTGAGGCACCCCTTAATGCAAAACCCCCTCTTTTGCAAAGAATCCGAGCCATCCTCCATAGTGCCCGGATTAGTTGCATTAACAGGGGTTCCTACTGTAAAAGAAACGAAAAAGGAAAGAAAGAAAAAAAAACGAAAATCACGTGCCATGAGACCCGACAGTTTGGAACCGAGAAATTCTGCCAATGACAAGACCAGATGAGACCCGACAGTTTGGAACCGAGAAATTCTGCTGACAACTGTGCACTGGCGCCAAGCGGTGCGCGCCCGTTGGCCGGAGGCGACTGAGGGCTCTACTAGATGGCTGGCCGCTACTCCACGAGTACTTACATGACCCGACCCCATTACCAAAGCTTCCTGACCTAAGTAGATACGCTAAGACCGACCCTATACTGTGAAAAATCTCTCATCCGACCCTCGTCTCCTTAATATTTTCTTTCCCCGTAGAGAAATAATTAATCGCTCGCTTAAAGTTCCTTATAGAGAAATAATATTATTCGCGTTTTTAAATACTCCTCTTAAATATTAACGATTATATATTTAAATACGATTGTAAACTGATTACGACCGACATTTCTTTATTATATACGAATAGCCTGTGAATTATTTTTAATATATCTTTGAATTATTTTCGTAAAATAGCTAATGATAATATTATTAACGCCGACATTTTAATTATTATTACTAAGCTCGGTTTAATTAAGTAGAATAATATAATTTTTATTAAATTATTAACGATATTTAATTTAGAATAAATAGATAGTATAACGGCCGAATTCAATGAGTTAGAGAAGTTGAAGGATATAATCCCTCTTAATATATCGATATTAACAGATTTTTTTAATAAGTATAGTTAATATATTATTAATATATTTTAAATATATCTCTTATTAATCGATAATATAATAATATTAATTATATAAAAGTTGAAATTATATGCCTAATATTTATTTTATCCGATAGTATTAATTAATATTCCAATTTCGTCTAAATAATATATTATATTATAACTATTTTAGAATACTTTGACTCTTCTATTTTTAGTGTAGCTTACGTTGTATATATTAAGGGTTTAACTGAGGTTTAGGTTAAAGCCCCGTAGGACGAAGTATATAAAGTAAAATAGTTAGAAATAAATTAGTAATATATATAGAATTAATCCTTAATTAATTTACGATATTATAAATCTAGTATTTTATAAAGAGGAAAATGCTTATTAAGGATATTTCGTCTAATTATTTGAATAATACTATATATTATTATACTATTTATAAATACTTTCATATTAAATACTATGAATATTTAAACCTGCGAATTTAGTAAACGTATTAATAAAGGTTTACTATTATAAATAACGAAGAGATTATAAACTTTTTATTTAAAGTCCGCTTCCAATAAAATGAAGTCCTTTTAATTAAGCGAACTATTAAATACGGATTTATCATTAATTTATTCCTAAATTATTTATTATATTGTTTTAATTCAATTGAAGATAATTGTCTTTTATCAATATTATTTTAAAAATTAGTTGGGTATAGGCGACTAGGACGCGTTGGGAGATATAGGGTTATAAAAAATCGAAATTATTATATAAATTCGTTTAGTATATAAGTAAGGTAAGTTTTTATTTAAAATATATCTTTAATAATAAGCATTATATTTAAAATTTATTTCTATTTAAATAATTACTAGTTATAATCGTTATTAATTAAAGTATTAGAATTCGAAGCCGGGAGAGAGAATATACTTTTTTACTAACTTCCTTAATAATTTTAATTAATATTAATTATACGTTAAATTAATTATTAAAGAGTATTTAAAGTATTTTATATTCAATTTAATATATATTAAAATATATATTAAAACGAATACTATATTAATAAAAAGGACGTACTATAGTAAATAAATCTTTCCTCAATATATTTAAAATTATTAAAAATTCATTATCGATAAATTAGAGATTCATTACGTTTAAAGCTATAGTATTATTAAGATTCGAAATTATAATATTATTATCAATTTTTATATTCTAATCAATATTTAAACTATCTTATATATTGTTGTAATTTCCTATAATTAATATACTTACTTACCCCCCCCCCCCCCCCCCCCCCCCTCCCCCCTCTCCCAATAAAACTCCTAAATTGATTATTAATAATTTAATATAGGTATTAAAGAAGGTAGGAAATCTTAATATAATTTAGAATAACTAAATCCGGAATATATTATTAATAGATTAGGGACAGATTGGAAATTAATGTATAATTTAGTAATTTCAACCTATAATCCTTACTATATTTAATTATTTAACGAATATAGTACCAATACTATTCACTAAATCTATGCGAATTTTAATAATATTAATTAGGTTCGATTAGTAATTAAAAAGTATTACGCTCTT